GATTTTTTTATCAAGTGGTATAAATATTTAAATTTAATATTTACTGTTAATTAATTTTAACAAATTAAATTACATAAGCATAAGTTATATATAATGATAACAGTTTTTTATTCGATAATTTAATTTTAAAAACTTTTAATTATATTTTTATAATTATTCAATTTCAACAAAATTTGACATGTATAATAAAATAATATTTAATTATAACTCAACAATTTAATTGACAAAAATTATATTTTATATAAAATTATTTATAGGACAAGAATTGATATAATAAGATACTAATATAACTTATTCATCTCTTTATATAAATTGATTTATATGTTTAATTTTTACTCTTATATTATTTAATAATTTTTATTAGATAATTTAATTTTAAAATCAACTATTACATTAAAAAATTTAAATATATTAAAATAATTTATACATACTTTTGAAATATATAAGAATAAAAACTTTCGAATTACATTCTTATTATTATTATTTAATTTTAATAAAAATTGACAAAAATAATTATGATAATATATAATTAGAATTTAACAATTGAGTAGCTAAAAATAACCTATTATTGAGGTATAAAAATAAGTATAACTTGTATAAATATAATTTTATTTTTTTCATATACACATATTAAATGATTTTTTTAGTAAAAAAAAAAACTTTCTTAATTAATCTTATTATAATTAATGGTCAAAATGAATATGAGTTTTTTAAAAAGTTCTATGATATTTTTAAGTGAAATAATAAATTCTTATAATTATATAGTCTAAATTTATTTATCTCACTCTAGCGTAAAAATACTCCTCTAGACATACATTTTAAAGTTATACAAATTAACAATTAAAGTTATACAAAATTTATTTATGTTTGTTAATAAATTGAGACTTTTATTACATTATATACATATTATTTATTTTTAATTAAATATTATGTATATTATTCTTTACTTATTTATATAAATTAATAAAATGTTATATTTTTATTTATTATTAAATAAATATTAAAATAAAACATTTAATTTCAACATTTAAAAAATTAAATGGAATACATGTGAGTAATTAAAACTAAAGAGACCAAAATCATACATATTAAAGTATAAGGATAAAAATTGTAATTAAACTTAAAATTTATGTCAAATAAAAGAAATTTTAATAACATATTTTTTAAAAAAAATTAAAAACTATTCAATTATTATTATTTATAGCTGCTATTATACTATACTCTTATTTTAATATTTTTTAAGTTTAAATAATGTTTTGATTTTTATACTTGACTCGGATTTGTAAGTTAATTTTTACAAATAACAAATTTATAAATCAGTTTTCATACGTACATTTATTTTTGATTTAGTTACTATCATTAAATTCAAAATAAATAACATTAAATAAATATGAGACTAAATTAAAAATAAATGTAGTATGAGTACTAATTTACAAATTTTTTATATGTAGGAACTAACTTATAAAATTTTAAAAATTTTACATATGGGGACTAACTTACAAATCTGAGTCAAGAGTATTTTTGTAAATTTACGATGCACCTTTAGTTTGTATCTTAATTTTGATAGTGTTAAGGGAGTAGATAAATACATAAATGAATGTGCTGGCAATTATGTTGCTAGCAACGACACAAATGAGGGTGCATTCAAGAATGAAGAAGGTTTTGATAAAAATTTAAGATTTGGGATAGGTGGATGTGAATGTCGGTATGGGTAAATATGAAGGTAAAGTGGTTGAGAAGAGAAAAAAAAATCAATAAAAATTATTAAGAATTGATAGAATTTTGGGGATAAAAAACTAAGAGAAAAAGAGACTATAGTCTATATTGAATTTTACGCATAAAAAGAAAAAGAATGAAAATAGTGGAATTAGATGTGAAAGCCAAGAAGAGAGTATGGATGAATTACAAAATCAATATATAAACTAAATTGTATTGCGAATTTATAAAAGTAGTTTTGACTCGTGTAAGTTAGTATTTATATATAAAATTTTGTAAGTTAGTACGTGCATGTAGAAAATTTATAAATCAGTCTTATACTATATTTATTTTTAGTTTAGTCTCTTACTTATTTAATGTCTTTTATTCTAAACCGAACAAAAAAAACAAAATCAAAAATAAATATATGTATAAGGATTGATTTATAAATTTGTTTACAAGTAATGATTAACTTGTAAATTTGAGTTAAATATATGGATCAAAACATTATTTAAATTTATTTGTTATTAATTTCATATATTTTATAATTTTAAAATTTCTCATCCTCACATAATCTAAGAATGTTTTGAAATTCATGCAATTTAAGATATACTATCGATCATTGAAAAAGGAAAAACACATATTTGTTATGTGAAAGTGTTTTTCAAAGGAAGGAGTACAGTGCTTTCACATTTTAAAACACCATTATCATTGCATTAACTTACACTTACAGTAGAAACTCTTTAAATTAATAATGTCAGGATCGGAGAAATTTATTAATTTAGAGAGTTATTAATTTATCGATAAATTAATAATTATTAATTTAAAGAGTTTTTAAATAATTATACTGTACATACCAAACAAAAAGGCAAATTAATCTATGCCTCTTAGAATTACGTTGCAGCGAACCTTAAGACTCAACATACAGTAAATTAGTAACTACACTACATATGCATTAGAAATTAATAACGACTTTTGAAGTAGTAAATGTAAACAAGAGGAACAAATGTGTTCAATGTATTCTTAAGCAAGTTTGGCATATATAAATTACATGAATGTGTTAGAATATTCAAACCATATATCACAAGATGGCTTCTCATCTAAAAGGTGTTGCAAAATTAGCTATGTCAGATCAAATACGTAAGGAGTTGTGTGAGTATAAGAGAGATAATCCTGCAAGCATACAAAAAGACTTGCAGAGATGGCTTGAGAGAAAATTTCAGTTGAAAGTTAGTCAAGGAACAATATCAAACACACTTAAGTGGTCAGATGACTATCTCTCTGCTAAAATAGAAAAGGGAAGAGTAGAGATCAAAAGACACAAACCAGCAAAATATCCTGACATGGAGAAGGTTGTTTATGAGTGGTTTCTCCAGCATCAAGAACGTGTGAATATTATAGGAGAATTAATTTTGCAGAAGGCAAGAGATACAATGAAACTCGTGTACCCTCATGATTATTCAAATTTTAACTTCTCTATAGGATGGCTTGGGAAATTCAAGCACCGACATGGCATAAAGTCATTTCGTCGTTTTAGCGAGAGTAGGTTTGTTGATATAAAAGACATAGAGCAGAAATTGATATCGATTCGGGAGAAAATTGATCAGTTCCCTATGAAAGATGTTTTCAATATGGATGAAATTGGGTTGTTTTATAGGCTACAAGCTGATCATTCACTGGCAACAAAACAACTTGAAGGAAGAAAACAAGATAAAGAAAGACTGACGGTAGTTATTTGTTGCAATGAAGATGGCTCTGAAAAAATCACTCTATGGATTATTGGGAAATATGCAAAGCCTCGTTGCTTCAAGAATGTCAACATGAATAGCTTGAATTGTCAGTATCGAGCTAACAAAAAAGCATGGATGACTAGTGTGCTTTTTGATGAATATGTTAGTTCATTTGACCAAATGATGCATGGTAGAAGAGTTCTACTTGTGGTGGATAATTGTCCAGCACATCTAAGAAATATTAAAAGGCTAAGAAACGTTGAGTTGTTCTTCTTGCCACCCAACATGACATCAAAGATTCAACCTTGCGATGCTGGGATAATAAGAGCTTTCAAGATGCATTATCGTAGAAGGTTTTAACGCAAAATATTGGAAGGTTATGAGGTGAGACAATCTGATTTAGGGAAGATAAATGTCCTTGATGCTATCAATTTGTCAATCCCAGCTTGGACGATAGATGTTCGAAAAGAAGCAATAGTGAATTGCTTCCGACACTGTAAAATTCGTTCAGATAGTGACGTTGCAAGAAATTTGGATGAATCCATTTTTGATGAAGAAACTCAAGACCTCGAGACTATGATCAATCAATGTGGCTATCGTAATAAGATGGATATCGACAATCTAATGAACTACCCAGGTAAAAATGAAGCATGTTCAGACGTTCAGAGTTTAGAAGATATTGTGGGTACTATCATTGAGAACAATGCAGAGGATGACGACGAAGATGATACAGTGTCTTTGGAGGCACTTATGACGTCGAACACTCTTCACAACTTTATGATACAATACAAAAATACAACACCTAAGCTATTAGATGCAATAAGAAAAGTTAGAGATGAGCTCCAAATAGACTTGAACTTTAAAGGAAAACAAACAATTATTGAATTATATTTCAATAGAGTGTAATATATTTTTTTCAGTTTCTATGAATTATTAATTTATGATTTTCTTGGGACCGAAAATTATAAAGGGATCTCCCGAAAAATTATGATCTTATTATTTTATCGAATTTTTTAATTTTTTATATTGCCCAAGTCAGGATCGGATAAATTTATTATTTTAGAGAGTTTATTAATTTATCGAGTATTAATTTAAAGAGTTTATACTGTACATTCATTTTCTACTGTTTCTTTATTTTTATCTCTCCTTTATTTATTTCTCATCATCGATTATTTTTTTTCTTCTTATGTCTCTGTGGGTGTGAATATAATTAGAGTAAAAAGAAAAAAATGATATAATATAACATAAAAATAACGTATAAATAATAGAACTCTTTGTTATATTTAATAGTCGCGACACACTGGTCGGTATGTATATTATTCGATGGTAGAGTTTTTAGTAAAGCTAATAAACGAATCATAATAAACATAATCAATTAGTTACTCGTAATTATCTCAATAATGACAACCTCAAATCAACTACTTTCTGTATGTTTCCGCTTATACTTTCTAATCAGCCAGCATGCATTTGTCTTTATTAAACCCAATCATTCATGAAGTTGTCAGCAACAATAGAAAAAGAACTCGAGATCAGAGAGAGAAGCAAAGGAATTGATCTACATAGCAACCCATATAGCAATAATAAAAGCATGTAATAGTATTATTATTTTTAGTTTACAATAATAATATATCTGGTATATCACTATATCCTAGCTCACAATTCAATCGTTCAACATTCTTACTATCTCACTCACACCCAATAAATAATAAGACAAAATAATAATGATAATAATATCTATAACTAAAAAAATAATATGTTCTTTAAAACAAGAAAACCGCCCCTAACAAGATAAAAGACCCGCACAACTTATTGTGAAGTTGTGAATACATTGACATTGAAACAGAACTAGATTTCTGTTTGTCACTAGCTTTTTCATCGTCACTTTCTTCTTTAGGATTGCTGAAATTGGAAGGAACAATTGTATCTGGTGCTGAATCATCATCTCCAGCAACTGGGCTAGCAGGAGATGGTGAATCTTCTGGTGAATTGTTAAGACTCTTGGGCAACCCTTGTCCATATGTCACATTTATTTTGAAGTGTTGCCCACTCTTGCATTGGTCACCATCATAATCACTTGAAAAAAAGTATGTCATTCCTTCTTTCACCAAAGGAACCGCTACTGTCACAGGGTGTGTCTCGGTATTTGATGGATCAGATGCTGACCATTGGACTGTGTCCTTGTCTTGTGCATCATCGTAGTCACATAGTTTATATGTGGTAGAATTGTATGTTTGAACAACAGTGTGGTTAGTGTCCGTGTTGAAAACTGCATGAACAACACCCACATAGGAAAAGTGTTAAGTTGTTAGCAAAATATTATTTTGATGTCATGATGGGGTAGATAGGACAATTGAATAGCAAAAAATGCTTGCAAGAAGTCCAACATAGTTCAAAAGTATATATTATTGTGAGATGAAAATAGGATGCCATAATTATTCTTACCAAACAGCCAACACCTCCACGTTCAAATAATTGAATAGGACTATGAATAGAAAATTTAATAGCGGGCATCTGTTAAATATTAGCATGGTCTGGTTTTTCAAAGAATGACCTACTTATCTGCCCAACTAAATGCTCCCTTGGTTTAATTCAACGTTTCTTTTTTTTTTTTTCTCTCAATAATGTATGTTTTATAACCCGTATGACTATGAAATGATAGCTTAATCATCACTAATTATAAGTGTAATGGTTAGCTTCAATATGACTATTAGCTTTAAAGTAAGACCCTCTTCTTACTTTTTCCTTCACCTCATAATATTATTACTACAGTTTTTACATAAAAGAAAAAATAAACAAATAGAAGTGAGTGGCCACTCAATCAGAGTATCAAAAGAGAATGTTTGTACCAAAAGAAAAGAATAATAAAAAGTACTAATAGTTGTCAACCTGTCATTTTGGGTATCGGATTTTTATTTTTCCCTTTCCCCCTATTTATCTAAAAAAAGACAAATGGTAACAATAATTTTCTTTGTTACCTATTTTGCTAAATGGAAGAATGAATATTTGAGTTGAGTTGCAAACGTTGGCAGACTACAGAAAAATACCAACAAGAGTAGTGCATACCTTTCTCTTGGTGCTTCCAATTTAAGCCTAACTTTTATTGACTAACGTTAATATATATATATATATGGCACAATTTACCCAAAAACAGCAGGTATGGCGCAGGGGAAAATGACACACAAACAGCACATAGGTGACAGAGACCAATAGAATAGTTGAAACCAATCTAATTTATGCCACTCATATATATGCTAATGCTACAACACATTCCAGAATAAAAATTTTAGTCAATAGTATAGCTTTGCTCCTCCTCCTCATAATATAATAACAAAATAAAGGGGGAAAGGACAAAATGTGAAGAGAAAGTAGATATTTTGATTGCTTAAAAAGCAAAGGAAAAAAACATACTGAAAAATTATAGGATGGGTATTTTTCTCAATTATCCTTTCTTTCCTCTCCAGTATTTTTCTCAATATGATAAGAAATCATAGTAGTGTTGGATCTTTAGTCAAAACAAAAACAGGTAACTTCAAATTAGAGATTAGATCAAAGAATTGAAACTAGAACATCCATGCCAGATTGCTTAAAAACTACATACAAATAGAGAATATATGGGTCTTGATTTTTTATTTTCACAAAAGGCCTAAACACTAATAATCAAAGACAACAAAAGCAAGAAACACACACAAGGATTGTAAGAAGAAAATCATGACGAATTATTCTCAGTGAGAAACTTACTGAGGAAATCTCCCAAGCTAAACTCTTTATTGGCAACCCACTTCTGGTAATTGACTGGTTTCTCAGTATTGTCAAACCAACCTAAAGAATCTCCCACTGTGTAATTCTTGTAAGCCTCAGCAGATCCTGAGAAGCATAAGCAGAGGAAGAGAAGACAGAAGACAGTTAAGAACGGAAGAGCAAAAGAGCTTCTTCTCTGTTCCATTCTTCTTGAGGTTAGTGAATGTGTTTAGATAACACCACAAAAAAACTGGCTGTTTATGACTAGCTTCAGAGAATGAGAATGTGGGACTCTTATGCTCCCAGCCAGCTATGGAAGTGATTATGAAGCCTTGCCTTTCCGCTGAATTACTAAAATAGTCACTGTTGCATGTTGCTCTCAGTAATTTGTGTCAGACAATATACTTGTTTCCTTTACATTTTCACCTTAATTTACTTTCTAAAAATGTATTTTTTTAAATTAAGAATATATAATTATGTCTTTAAAAATACAACAAAAACTTTACCTCATTAAGCAAGTTTGACTATATAAACTACATAGTACTACTAAACTTGATCCAGTGAATAATAAACTAAACATTTATTTTTTAATTATATATCTAAAATACATAACAAACAAACTTTTATTATTATATTTTTTGTATACACATTAAAAAATTATTAATAAAAATGATTGAAAGGAATAAGTTCCCTCAGCAGTAAAAGCTGTAAGGAAAACCATCATCCAAGTCTGAGAATCTCAGCACAAAACATAACCATCAGATAGTGGACACGTGGAAAAAAACAATGCAGTGGGTCGGTGACAACGTCTTGGGTACATGTCACATTCATTGTAAACTTGGATATAATAACGTGATGCTTTTAAAGTATATCAAGAAACAATGAATAAAATGGAAACTCCTAATCGTTGGTATCTTATCTTCTTCTGAGGATAATTCTATACATTTTTAACTGAACAAAAGCTCTAACTCATTAGGGAGGCAAAGAGGCAAAGACTATATTTGACAAAACTACCATATTTTACTTACTATCATGGTTTCTCCAGTGCTTTCAATATATTAATACTTTAAACATTCACAATATATAGTAAAATCATTAAATATAAAAAATCTTAAAACAAACTAACAAATAGTATTTTTAAATGACTTCATTCTTCTTAATACTTTTGTTCTCTTAATTATTTCTCACTTTTAGTTAGGATAAGGTAGTCCATAAGCCAATCCTGCATTCACTTGCCTTATTTTGTATCTATAGTAACAGTGAACAATGTTAAAGTTTGAGAAATGTTATTTATGTAATAAAGTATTGCTTTGTTTTTTTTTTTTTTTCAAATAAAAGAGAGGGAAAAAAAAGAAGAAGAGGAAAGGTGATTAGATGAATAGTATAACAAAGAGAGATAAAAAAATATTATAAAAACTTATTATAATTTCGTTTTTTAAATAATATGATTCTTGTTAAGGGCATTGATAGTTAAAAAAGTAAAATTATTAAGACACTATTAACTTTTTTCAAACAATATAACTCTTAAAAGTTTTATTAATTGTCAATATTTTATACAAGTAAATGTGTAACAAGCCACCTTAAACTAGTTAAACTGTGGGTAATCGCTGTTGACTATAGGCTTTGCAGAAATTAAACAAGAAGAGAATTTTTCATGATTCAGGATCATGATGTTTACAATAAATCAAAATTCAATATAATTTTGATTTTTTTTAACAAATAGCAAAATATAAATGACCAAGATCATGTAGTCCCAGGTAACCTAATAATTTTTCCTAAACAAAATATTGAGTTATATAAAATAGATATGTTGGTTACATTGAAAATGACAAAGATGAGTCCATAAAATTTTTATATAAAATGCCACTCCATTAACAACTCAGGTATTTGTTGCATCTTTGTTTTTTAGTGTAATGTTGGAATTGTACAGAATTATTTCAATAAAGCAATAAATCGATTCAACTACTTGAGTTTGACTTTGCTTTTAGCAAGTAGAGATAAGTTGGTACTGAAAGTGATGTCTAAACCCTAATATGTTGTTAGTATCATTTTTTAGCTATTATTTGGATAGAACTCAATTTTACTTTACCAAACTGATATATCCTTGGTAAGTTAAAACGTCATTTATAGTGTTTTATTTTGTGTCAAATCTACTCAAACATGAATTTATTTCAAATTTATAAATTATAATTTTCATGTAAAAGATTTACATATTTTATGTTTAAGGTGAAATTAAATATAACATTAATATTTTATGTCTAATCTATTTTTAATAATATCAACATTTAGAAGATCGAATTAACTTCTACTCTTGTGTAAAATTCGGGTTGTTGTTCGTATGAAGTTAAGTAATTGAACATGCACTTTAAAAAGTCTAATCATAAATTGATAATATTATACTATATATGATTAACATGTTAGGTAATGTGTTGCATATAAGCTAATACAAATGAAAGATTAAGAGTGAAAATCAAAGTGACAAAAATCAATAGCGATGAACCTTAGCTGGTAAAACTGGACATATTAAAATGTGAGAACATGCATGGCATTGGTTTTAAAAAGGTTGGAAGAACAAAGCACATGCTGTGCCTTCCCATTTAAGTTTAGTTCTCATCTGTAGTTGGAAGACGTACCAGATTTATACGTTTTCAAGGTAAGAGTTAGCAACCTATTTTTTTAATATATATTTTTAATATGCTTTTATTGCTAATTAAAAATCATAAAAATTGCAAAATATAATTAAAAATTATTAATTAAAAGTGAAGTTTATGTAATTTTTAATGAATAACCATGCATCGAAAGAGTGTATTGTTCGTTTAAGATATAAACTAGTGATTAAAGTAAATTACCATCAAATACACTTTATGTTAAAGTTACATATATACATAATTTTTAATTAAAATTAGAGTTTTTTCAAAGTGTAGTTTCAGAGATTTAATCTTATTTCCTACATAATTGAGATTACTTTTTTAGATAATGTTAGAAGAGTCTCACATTTGATATTATGATTTTTTTCCCTTTTTTGTTGATTTCTTTATTTTTCTCTGTAACAAAAAAAATGTATTATTAATATTTTTTATTGCACTTTTTCGAATAAGATAGTTGCTTGAAAAATGTAAGCTGTTGTTTAGAAGTGAAAAAATAACTTCAATGAAAGAAAATATTTACTACCACCCATATTTATTTTAAAGAAAAATTGAGTTAATTGTTAATTTTAGGAATTGATCTCAAAATTAAAAATTACTAAACTATCGCCAAACTAATTAAAATGGGAAAATAAATGATAAAAATTTATATTTGAATATATTTTAACGTGATTTAATGGAAAATTAAATGCAATTTAATTTTGAAAAATTTGAAAGAAGAAAAACATCTATGGAGCTAACTATTTTGCATGAATTTTATACTTGAAAGATAACAAAATTTTATGACTTAATTCAAAAACTTCAACAATTGACAAATTTATCTCAATGATAATTGATTAGTTTGTACGATAAAAAAAAAACAAATTCATTTAATTACAAATATTACAATATGATTGTAGTTTCAAACCTCGTATTTTCTTAAGCATGACTTAAAAGATGACGAATATTACAATACGGTTTAATTTAAATTATTTTATAATAAATCGTGATAGCACGACTTAAATTTATTAGAAAAAAATATTCCATAAATTTGAATAAAATTTTTAAATATTTATCTGTTATTCTTACTTTCACTGTTATTGTTGACTGAGTGACATAGTATTCAAAGTTCTACCAATTAATTTAACTGGTTACTCTAGAAATTGGTCAGTTTATTGATTGAACAGTTAAACAAACAATAGAACATAAAATATTAATAAAACACTAAAATTGGTGAAAAGAAAAAGGTATGAGCTTCTCTCAATTCAAACCACTCATTTTCAATTTTTAATGTATTAAAACTTTTTAAAATATTTTTAACATAAATAGCAGTTCATAGACGAAGTGTATGCATAAATTGTCATCGTTTAATTATTTATTATATTCTTTATCCTATAAAGCATGTATTCGATTGTGTATATTTTAATGTTAATTTTTAATTAGAAATATAATATGATATTATAAATAACATTTAATTATCACCGGTTAACTACAATTAAATCATTGCAATATTTTCATGGGTTTAATATTATCTGTTCAATTTTTCAAAAAATTGGTACTGACTAACGTTAATTTAAGAGATTGAACAAAATAAAAGTGAATTCTATATTTGAAATTAATTATGATCACAATTATTAATAAGAAGTTAAGGTGATTATAAGAATAATAAAATTACTTGATAAACAGTAACATTTTGCACAATTTCTTTGATTTTGCATACATGCTATTCTCTAACAAAAAGAGAGAGTTGATTTTATTTTTAAGCTTCACACAAGAATATAGCATTAGTTATAAAATTAATAAGAACAAAAGTAAAATATAAAACTATAAATAGCCAAACAAAGCTTATTAGCTTATAATCATAAATGGAGGCTTCAAGATCATTGGTCACATGATTATATGAGAAAAGCACTTTTCCAGCTATTATCACGTGCAAGCTATTCATCTTTCACTTGGCATGTGTTCTTGCTAGCCACAAAGGTAACAAAATCCATATTTTAATGGTTTTGTTTAGACACATTACAACATTCCTCGTTCTTGTCTTTAAACCCTAGAAGAGTCATTTCCCAGTGTTCCTCACCATAATAGCTTTTATAATTCGCCTGATTAATCACAGAGAGCTAAATTAATTAACATACAATTCTATTTGTATATAGTTGAGACAATTTTTCTTATCTCAGTTATATCTTAGTTTCAACAGTGTGTAATTTTGATTTTTTAAACTAATTAAATTCTCTAAATTTTAAATTATGTAAAATTAGTTCTTCGGTAGTTTTTTATTTAAAATTCCTAAATTTTTGGAAGGTTTGTAATGTAATTAGAACACAACTCATTTTAAAAGTTTAAAGGGAAAAAATAGTAAAAATTTGAAAAATTTTATAATATGTGAAATTAAGACTTAAAGAGGAAAAAAAAAATTAAATTTAGATTCCAATCGCTTGAACTGTGTGCACTTTTCGTTCCTAAGATGAAGGGATTAAAATGCAATTAAATATTTTAATTTTTGCTTTGTTCACCTATTACTCTATTTAGTTTCTATTAACTCTTCATTCATTTCACTTGTATATATTTTCTTGAAAAAAGTGTTTTTCTAAACTTTTTACTTTTTCTTTTACTATCATATATTTTATATTTCTTAATAATAAAATTGTTATAAAGTAAATTTTTAGTACAAAATACATATTTTAATGTTTTTTCTTTGAGTATATTTTAATTAAATATATTCCTAATATAAATTAAAACTATTTAACATATATATAATATTACAACAATAAAACTGAAACATATTGACATTATACGTTTTGATATTATCTTCCAATAACAAATTATTATATATTAGCTACATTTACATTATATTTTTAACTCATATTATTGAAGAATTTTTTACCAAAGAGTGTGAGATGATATTTTCTTTTCTTTTATTATTTTAAATTTATTACTTCATCAATTTTCATTTATTTCATCTATATCTTTTTAATCATTTATATTTTTATTTGAATTTTTTAAGATATATTATTTTATATCTACTTTAATAATTAAATTAATATGAAGTAAAATTTTAGATAAAAAAATTGTGGGAACTAATAATGAATTAAGAGGAACTCATAAATTTTCTTTAAAATTTTTCTTTTTTCTAATTTGACTGGAAGTGGGGCTCACAATTTCAGTAAGAAATAAAAGGAATAATAATAAAAAGATGGAATATGAGAGGAGCGGTTAAATTGTGGGAACGAGCATCTGAGGGCAACGGCTATAAAGAGTGCAAGAAAAGAAAGGGAGCGAGTAAAAGAGTAGTAGCCGTTGGATGAGACAAAATCGAAGGGTTCAGATTGAAGAAAGAATCGACCGTTGGGGGGTAGAGGCATCATATAAAACATACACAAACGTTGCAATCACAAAGAAACATATAACACTCACTGTTTCTTCTTCATTCACATTCATTCGTTCATTCTTCACATTCACATCGAGAGACACCAAAAGAGAAACGGTTGAATACGCGGTGGCGACCACCGACGAAGGAGGCGAAGGAGAGACTCGGAACAGTCGTCTGCAGTTGTTTCTGTCGTCGCTGTTCTCTAGTCTTGGCGGTGTTTTTGGCTCAACTTTTCAAGAACCGCAACAACAAAGTATCATGGCTTCTAGAGCTATTGCTCCTCAGGAACAACCCATAGGTATGCTAAATTGTTTTCTCTTCTTTGTTCGGTTCCATGTTTATGTTGTTTTGGTTTCTGTGTTTTTTTTTTTCTCACTGGGTGTTGCTCAGTGTTTGAATGTTGAACTTTTATGTAATTTGAGGTTGGTTTGCAGTTTTTACCCTTTCTTTCTTGTGCTTCTTTTCTGCCCTGCTTTCTTTCTAAAGTTCTTTTTTTTAGGTGAGAATAAGCAAAAGAATGTGGGTGGAGAAGGAAGAACTAGAAGGGTGCTCCAGGATATTGGTAATCTTGTGGCTAAACAGGCAGAACCCGGTGCTAATGTAACTAAGAGAGTCACAAGGTTCTTTTCTTTTTCTTTTCTAAAAGAAATGTAGCAACACTGTCATACATCCTCTTTCAAATCATAAAATACTCTTTAGTAGGTAAAATTTATTTAAAATCACTTGCAATTTAACTGGAGTAACCCATATTTTTGTAACTTTTAATATATTTTCCTCAATAAACATGAGTGAGTGTATTAGAACTTAGAAACAACGTGTTAGAGCATGTTTCGTGAGACTCCTCTGTCTAATATTTATACTATATTTCCAGACTATTATTTTATATATTTTTGTTTCTCTTCCCTAATTCTACTTTTTTTGTCATTAATCAGGAACTTTAGTGCTCAATTATTGGCTAATGCACAGGCAGCAGCAGAGAAGAACAAGGTAGCATTTTTCTTCCTTTTAAATTTATTACCTGTCTAATTTTCAAAGGAGTCAATGAACAGATTTTTTTTATTTCATTCTTCAAATGGTCGTGTCTCTAAATCTGTTTGACTAAAAATTTTCCAGAATTCAAACGCTGAACTAGGGAATGGCGGAGTGGTAGCAGCTAATGGGGTTGGTGTTGGGAATTTTGTTGCTGCAACAAAGGTAGAACCAGGTCAGAAGCCTACACAGGAACCTGAAGTAATTGTCATTAGCTCTGATGAAGAATCTGAAGAGAAGGAGAAGCAAGCTGTTGATGTAAGAAAGACAAGGAAAGAAAGATCTGCTGGGAAAAATGCTAAAGCCTTTAGTTCAGTCCTCAGTGCTAGAAGCAAGGTTTTGTTCCTTTCTTTTCTTATTTTCTTTTCTCCCTCTTGTTTTGGTGCATCATGGTGGTCTAACAACAAAAGCATGTCAACAACCTTCAGGCTGCTTGTGGAATCGTTTATAGCTCGAAGGAATTGGTAGAGAACATTGATGCAAGTGACAAGGACAATGAATTGGCAGCAATAGAGTACATTGATGATATGTACAACTTTTACAAACTCACTGAAGTAATGCTCTAGGCTTTGTTCATCCACACATCTTCCTTTTTTCTATGTATGCACAAAACTCATTCGATTGTGATGAAATGAAACAGAATGATGGTCGTGTACACGATTACATGGGTTCACAACCAGATATAAATGCCAAGATGAGATCTATTCTTGTGGACTGGTTGATAGAAGTGCATCGCAAATTTGAACTCATGCCAGAAACTCTCTATCTGACCCTCAACATTGTTGACCGGTTCCTGTCCATGAAGGCTGTGCCTAGAAGGGAACTTCAGCTGGTTGGCATCAGTTCCATGCTGATAGCCTCAAAATATGAAGAAATTTGGGCACCAGAGGTGAAGTTTCTTCCTATTATTATGATATATAATTTCTGTTTGGTTTTGATGAAACGAAAGTGCTAACTTGTATTGGTTTTTCCGTATCTGTATGCAGGTTAATGACTTTGTATGCATATCAGATAATGCTTATAATAGAGAACAGGTACTGATGATGGAGAAAACCATCCTGAGACAACTTGAATGGTATCTAACTGTTCCCACACCATATGTTTTCCTGGTTCGGTATATCAAAGCCTCCACTCCATCTGATAATGCGGTATATATTTTATTGTATTTGATTGTTATGTTTTTAAAAGTTTAGTTTTAACGGATGGATTGGAATTTCCTAATGAAATGTGCCAATTTTTGTAACCACTGTAGATGGAAAACATGGTGTTTTTCCTTGCTGAACTTGGTCTAATGCACTATCCTACTGTAACGTTGTACCCTCCTTCTCTGATTGCTGCTTCTGCTGTGTATGCGGCTAGATGTACCCTTGAAAGAAGCCCTGTCTGGTCTGAGACTTTGAAGCACTACACAGGCTACTCTGAGGAACAACTAAGGTAAATCTTGGGTCAGCAAATGGAGTGTTTGTTTTATTCATTCAGCATGACTGTGAAAGTGACGTGTGTTAATTTATGCTGCCAGGGATTGTGCCAAACTAATGGTCAACCTTCATTCTGGTGCTCCAGAAAGTAAGCTGAGGGCAGTTTACAAGAAGTTCTGTAGCTCAGATCGGTGTACTGTTGCTCTACTTACACCAGCAAAGAACTTGTTATCACAGTCTTGAATGTAGTTTAGGTTAATTTTTTGGATGATTGTATTTACCCCTATACAATGATGCTATGTTATGACTTTAAAACCTGTGGAAGGTTTGTTTAGGAAGATCATTACTGTTATGATCTGTGGCTGTGTAGTTTTCTTTTTTTTTCAAGTGTGATTGGAATATTGCTAGAAAGTTGCTTGTGGGGCCCTCAAGCACAGGTTGATTCTTTTTGTAAATTGGAGTTTGATATGATGTCTTGTGATGATATCTAACGAAATCGTCTTTTGTCAACTTGTTCCTCATGGATTTGTTGCAGCAAATCTAATTTTTAAATCTAATTCTTCGTCCATCCAATCCAATGACTAAAAACTATTGACTAATTTTTTTAGTCCAATAAATGTTTTTAATTGAATTGGTTTTGCAAATTGGATTTCGATTATCCAAAATTTAAAGGAATTTTAGGGGATTATTTTTATTACTACATTTATTGTCCATCTATTAATAATGCTGTTCCCCATCATAATTTGGTGTGTGAGGAGAATCCCATGTTTCATTCATCTTACTTTCAAATTTGTAAAAAATTACATAATTAGAAAACAATTTCAGATTCCTCACACATGTTCTCGTGGACACTTGGGTTAGCATGAACACACAATTGTATCCATGAATTACCAATCACACTTTCTTTGGCTGCATTCATTGATGACTTAAAACCGTGATGCTGTTTCTGATTTTACATTTGTATTTTTTTATTTGCTTTTCTAAAATGAGAGGATAATTGAGCACAAAAAGACACCTGCATGATTGAGATGTAGAGCATCACCTTACCATTTGTTTGTTCTACGCAATCGATATTGGTGGATAGGGTTCGTTCTTCTAGACATATAAATTTTATTTTTTTATTTGTGATGTTATAAGAATTATATATATTTTAAATCTAAATAATAAAATACTATAAACACACTTAATTTGCCTAGAAAAAAGAAGGGTATGCCCACTTGCATCAAGAACTTTAAGTAAAATGTTTCTTAGAATTAATAATTAATGGTAAAAAATTAATTAAAATGATCTTAAAGTTTAAATAATCAATAGTTATGTTCAAATTAACCATGATGTGTTATTAGTGAAAAAATTGAGTAGTTTGTATAAAGCAATAGATCCAAACTTTGTTGTCAACATTATTGAAGATGATGTCTACCCATAGTTATTTTCTAATGAATTGACTTTCTGTCTCGCGCGTTTTTCTTTACGTTCTCTTCTATTTGTTTATAGTGCTAACCATTATTCTATTACCGAATAATATCGATCACATAATTTCTTTTCTTTGTTGTTCTTGCCAACACACAAAATCCGTTCAACGTTTTTATCTGTGCTTTTGCCTGAACTTTAAAGGTGTAGTTATTGTTTCACTCACGTGTGTATTATTACTTTTGCCTGAACTTTAAAGGGGTAGTAATATCAGTTTATCTTTTTTTAATATTGAGAAGTTTTCCTTGACTCCACCCATCAAACAATTTAATATGCGTTTATTTATTTAAAATCTCAGTCAAATAACTAACACGGAAAGCAATCTCCAATTCATTCATTCAGCATGAATACTAATATAATTGCTGATAAAATAGTAGAAATAAAGAGGAGTTGCCACCTTTTGGTTTTTTAAAACAAAAGTAAAGAACTGGAAGTGTGAGTGAAGTAAACGTTGAATAGCTAAGCCTTGAAATGGGACCCTTTAGAATGGAATGGAAGAAATTGAATATTAAAGCATAAGCATGATGAAAACATTGAAGTAGTAATAACAAAACAATATAAGTAACATCTTTAGACAATGATCAAAGTACGCCTAGTTTCATTCAAAGGTGTTGTAGGTTGTAAGGGGAAGCCAACACAGCATCAAACGTTAACACAGACAACACAATAACGTTGACACAAAAATCCCAAAACAAACGCAGGGGCCCAGAGGGGGCCACGGCACACACGGGCGGCACAACACAAAGCTTTTCTTTTTCCCTTCCTTTCACCCTTTTCAAAAAGCAAGCTTTCATCTTTCTCTCTATCTGTGTGATACATGCTTATTCTCTCTCTCTCTCTCTCGTAAAGCATTGATCTGACTGTGACCACTACTTGAATAACCAAATTGGAGCAACCCCTTTGCATCTGATCCTTCAACCACAAGCCTAGCTACCCATTTTTCATCTTCTCATGATCTGTTTGTCCTTTTTTTGCTAGCCTTTTCCTTATTGTCTTCAACTCAAAATAAAAAAAAAAGAGTAAAAAGAAGGAAGATTAGGGTTTAGTTTCATTGTAAAAAGCTCTCAGAATATGCTTTGACTTCAATAAGCCTAATGGGTATTGGTATCTCCATTTATAGGTTTCTAATGTTTTGCTTGGTTTGTTTTGTTTAGTACTTTTTTGTTCTCTTCATGTATATATATATATGAGTGTATGTTCCATTTTTACCTGTGCTAAAGGGCATTTTTGTGATTGGTAGAGGTAATTGGTTGTGAAAAATGACGAGGGTGACCCGTGATTTTGGTGATACAATGCAAAAAGAGGCAGTGCCTGCAGTATCTTCTGATGTTGTATTTGCTTCTAGTCGGTTTCCTAATTACAGAATTGGAGCTAACAATCAGATAATGGAGACAAATGATGACCCTAAAGTACTATCTATGAAGGAGGTTGTTGCACGTGAGACTGCACAGCTGTTGGAACAGCAAAATCGTCTCTCGGTTCGTGACCTTGCCAGCAAATTTGAGAAGGGCTTGGCCGCGGCTGCTAAGTTGTCTGAAGAGGTTACCCTTCCTTCTAGTTAAAACTCAATTTTTTTCATAGCAGTTTAATTCTTCCTTTTGGAGGGTTTTTGCAGCTTAAGATTGTTATTGTGCAATGTTTTCAATTGAAATAACCAGTGATTGTATTCATAGTTTCCAAAGAAACTGACGCTTGTATTTTTTTTTAACTAAGCTTTTCATTTGCTGGTGAAATTCAGGCTAGGCTTAGAGAGGCAGCATCGTTGGAAAAACATGTTCTTTTGAAGAAGCTTAGAGATGCGCTTGAATCCTTGAGAGGGCGTGTGGCAGGTAGAAACAAGGATGATGTGGAGGAAGCTATTGCTATGGTTAGTTATCTCTCTCTTCTTCTCTCTCTCGGAAGGTATATACTTCACATTTGTTTTTACCCGATAAACAGATGCTCATTTATTTTTTATGTGCTTAAAGAAATTCATTTGATGCTGACAGTATAAATATAAACTCTTGGTTGTTCTCTATAAAAGTCAAATTAAGAGTGTGTATATGTGAATGGAAAGGCTTTGAGAAGAAACTTGGGCATGCTTTTCTTTAGTTTTCCATTAGCTTGTAGAAGAAAATTATTTTCTTATATATATATATATATATATATTTTCATTGCTCCAATCCCAGAGAAAGAATTCCAAGTTTTTATTAGAATGTTCAACCTAGGGCCAGGTTATTTATGCTTTCCCAATCTTTTAAGAGAAGCAACTGTAACTAACTTATTCTGTGCATTCTTCAGGTTGAAGCTCTAGCAGTTCAGTTGACACAGAGGGAAGGGGAACTAATACTAGAGAAGGCAGAGGTTAAGAAGCTTGCAAATTTTCTTAAGCAGGTAATATGTTTACCTATTCTATGTGATGATGGAAGAAGTTTTACTAGAAATAGGAACCAAAAAAGGATTAAATTGTACACTGCCATGAATTGAGCAGGTCATTACTTTAGTAATGACAGGAATATTGCATAATGGAAGACATTACTTTCATAAATACATTAGCTCGATGTTATGAAACAGATTTACCTCAGTTTATTTCTTCTTTAAAGCCCTGCAAAAATAAATTTCCTTTTCCACTGCTGAGAGTTTAGATTAATTTCTAGGCTTCTGAAGATGCTAAGAAACTTGTTGACGAGGAAAGAGCTTTTGCACGTGCTGAAATAGATGATGCCAGAGCAGCAGTTCAGAGAGTGGAAGAGGCACTTCAGGAACATGAGAGAATGTCTCAAGCTTCAGGGAAACAGGTTTGGTGCTATTTTCTTGTCATTTTCCATGTTTTAATGTAGGGGAATTTGGCAAGTCATGATGCCATAACAATGAATGCTTCAGACTTATGAATCGTTTTCTTATTCATATATTTTCTTGCACTGCATTTCCTGAAAATATAATAAATTTGAAGGTAGTTTGGATAAACTTCTCAACAAGGACATATAGGTGAAGAGAAATAATGAATTATAAGAGATGAATTAAACTTCTCACTTAAGTTAAATTAAACTTATGCACATCAACTTTTTTAGAAGCTCCCTCATCTAACTTTATGTTGAAGTTGAAGTAGATAAGTTGATTTTGACTTATGTGAGAAATTTGATTCATTTCACCTCCTTAATTCATTTTTCTTTCTTTTCCTACAAGTACTTGTTGAGGAATTTATCCTGATTGGCTCTTGGTCTTGGTACGTAATTGCAACTATTTATCTTGATAAGGACAAAAGGAAAATGGAAGATGGGTATTTTGCTTAAAAGTTTCTTGCATTTATTATTTCTTTCCGTTCAAGTTTTTTATTTTCCTTGAAAGTCTGAACAAATCAACTAAACATTTTCTTTCTTGGTTATTGTTATTATGTGATAACCTTGAGCTACTGTTTCCCCTTTCTGTGTTTTCTTAGTTGTTTCCACATAAGTGTTTTATGCTTTCTCTTCACTTTTGTGAGGAAACAAGTACTGCAATCTGTCTTAACTTACTACTAATCCTCTGAACAACATTTGGCTCTCTGGGACCTTTAGGACCTGGAACAATTAATGAAGGAGGTTCAAGAGGCTCGAAGAATTAAAATGCTGCATCAGCCAAGCAAGGTATGTATTGAATTCTTGCCCCTATTTTGTCTCTTCAGTCTCTTAATTGTTTTCCAACATTGAATTGGGTTTCTTCCATTTATTTTCTTGGACATCATATTTCCATATTATTAACATTTTTATAAAGTTATTTCATGGATTGTTGATTGTTGATTGATTTGTAGGTCATGGATATGGAACATGAACTTCAAGCATTGAGGGGTCAACTTGCAGAAAAGACTAGACAATATCTCCGAATTCAAAAGGAGGTATGCCTGTCATCTTACAGCATGTTGAAGAGATTGTGATATGAAATTATGAATAGCATCCATAGTCAATTCTATGACATACTTGCGGTATTGATGAGGAAGACTTTAGGCAGTTGTTGGTTTTTTAAGCAGCATGTTATGATGAATCACATTTGGTAATGAATTTGGTAACTTGGTTTTTGGTTGCTTGAGAATGTGTGTTTATAACATGGTTTGACATCATGCATGGAGCCTGTTTTCTTTCTTACTGGGATGACATGTCTTGTCAAGTGTTGTGTGTGTACCGCAACTATTGGGGAACATGTTATCTCACCTCTGTTTCATATCATGCTGTATATACCTTCATGCTAATTATCTGGCAATACTGAAAATCTGGTTCTATAATTCTTTCACATTTGCTTTAACTTACTGATTATGATGTCAAAAAGAAGGAAACTAAATACAAAATGAACATGAATATTCCATATTCCTTCACTGAGGTGGTATGATATTTAGATTGGGAATCTTCAAACAGCTTACACAGTGTGATGGAGAATTCTATGATGATTTTTTATTATATGAATTAGAGTTTGGGTGTCAATGTTAAACAACATTTTTGTCTTAAAGGAAGAATTTTCTTTGATTAAATGGATGACTTATGTGATTGTCTTCCATTGTAGGCTTCTTTTACTGATTATCCTTCATGCTACTTTTCAGCTAGCAAGGACAAAAAAAGGTGGGGAGAGTGTTCCACATCTATATGAGCTTGAAGGGAATGAAACGTTAGGTTCTTATTTGCAAATTCAACCTTGCTCTGATAATGTCCCTGAAATTTCAAAATGTTCAATTCAGTGGTATCGTGTATCATCTGACGGTGCCAAAAAAGAACTTATCTCAGGTATTGTTTCTGTGCGGTTTCTTTTTTTGTTGAGCATAGTCGGTTGACTCTTGATTTACGCATTTATTTACTTCTGATATCGTGTGATTGATCATTGGTCACTTCCCACAATGTGAAAAATAGTTTTGGAGATGGCATTTCTATTGTGTGTGTAGAAAATTATAAATGACATACAGGCAGCACTCAAACCTACTGAATCTGATTGTTAACTTTTTTCATCACAGATCAGTCAAACTGACTGCTTGCTTTGTGTATATACAGATGATTTTTTAAATATTTTTTTAATTCATAGCTCATGACTTGATTTTGGTGGTTATTATACATTTACATCAGCCAATCCTAACTGTCAGTGGGGCTTATTATGTAAGTTGTGCTGTTCAAGATGCATTATCTGTTCAAGATGATAGAAGACTGATTGTTATTAAATATGTCAACCAGTTAGTTCCTCTTTTTATTTTATTTTGTTAATGTTGGCTTATCATATAATACAAATTTCTTTATCTTAGGAGCAACCAAATTCATTTATGCCCCCGAACCTTTTGATGTTGGGCGCATATTGCAAGTTGATATTATTTTAGAGAGCCAGCACATCACACTTTCAACCTCTGGTCCAATAGAACCAGGTATGGTTTCAATTCTGAGTCATCCTGATTTACATCCGAAGTAATTAACAGGGCTTGCTTCTATGTATTTGTTTCTATTTCAAATATGAAGTAGTTCTATCAGTTTTAAGAAATGGAGACATGTTTTGTTGTGCGTTCAGGCCGAGCTTAATTTTCTTTTGTACTCTTATGCAGCTGCTGGTTTAGGAACCTATGTAGAGGCACTTGTGCGCAAACATGACACTGAATTCAACGTATGCTGTTCTAATCTTATTTCCTTTTCTCCCTCCTAATTATGTTATATCTTCGAGCATCAATATGAGATATTGACAAGTGATTATTTTGTATTATTGTATGACTTATGAGCATATCCTTCATCACTTTCAGAAGTCTCAGATTCTGTGACAATAACATTGTAGTTACATTTAATATTTCACAGGTGGTTGTAACTCAGATGAATGGTTCACATCATCCAACTGAATCTATTCATGTGCTTCATGTTGGAAAGATGAGAATAAAACTCTGTAAAGGAAAGGCAACAATTGCCAAAGAATACTATTCAAGTTCAATGCAGGTATTTCAAATTGTTCATGCTATCTGGCTGAAGATGATTCATTTTCATAACTTCAAAATTGTTTTTCACGTTCTATCATTCTTGTTTTAGAAAGGGTGCCATATTTTGATTGTAACAAGCAAAGCAATGTTCTAACTTCTTCCTTGCGCTGAGTTCTTTAAAATTGTTTTTTTTCCTTCTCTTGTTATCCATGATAAACTGGAATCGGTCAACCAATGTCCTTTAATCATGTTTTCTTTAGCTTTGTGGAGTTCGAGGAGGTGGAAATGCGGCAGCGCAGGCACTATTTTGGCAGCCAAAGCAAGGGCATTCTTTTATATTAGCTTTTGAATCAGAGAGAGAAAGGAATGCAGCCATCATGCTTGCAAGAAGATTTGCATTTGACTGTAATGTAAGTCTTTCTCTGAAACATAGAATTCATCTTTTCTCTTTTTAAGTCCTTTATTTTCCCCCTATTCTTGATCTCTATTGCTGAATTGCAAAATGCATGTAATTTCAGATCATGCTTGCTGGACCAGATGATAGAGCTCCTTTAGGGACATGATAAGCCTTCGTACATCTTTTTTTTTTTTTTTTCTTTCTCCACTGTAATTATATGAATTTTTCTACCTTGTATTATAGGTGTATCTTAACAGTAAAATTTGCCTTATTATATTGGTGATGATTCATGCCTTTGGGGGGGGATTGAATCATTCATATAATTTTGTTTCAACAGCACCAAGGCATTTTTTTATTTGCCTTTGTGAGACATAAGTTTTAGAGGTTAAATTATAGAATCCTTGGCTGCCATATCCAGTGTATGAGGTGCTAATTAGTTGTATTTGATAAAAAAGAAACTACTGATTGCATTTGTCTATGGACACTGGCCTCGTGGGCATGAAATATGTGAATCTTCCTCATTATGTAATATAAAAGAATCCAATGTTTATATAGCTAGTTTTACCTTATAAAAGAATCCAATGTAGTCTTCAATATCCCATATGCTATATAAAAACTGTTTTTCAGTCTAGTGTCTTGCTTTCTACGATCCCAACTTTATGAGTGCGAGGTTTATAAATAAATTAAGAATTCTCAGCAAAAACCAGAAAATAAATAAAAATTAAGAAATAAAAAATTCTCATAGTCTGGCTCCTATAATGTTACTTTTTTTTAATCGATATGTTTGGTGTAATGTTTGCAACTGTGTAATGTCAACTGGCGGTTACCAGTATTAGCTTTTCAGCATTTCTCTTAAATGAAAAGTCTTTCTTGTTTTTTATTATAATCATTTTATTTTTTTTAACCTTATATATGATAATGATTCATAACTACAGTATAAATACCATTTTTTTTAATATATAGTATTGATAGTTTGATACCATTTTATTTTAGGTGTGGAAACGGTAAGGTACAATGTACTAATTTAGTGAATACATTTTCGTTGAAATTCATTTTTCAAAGCTTTTTTTAAATCAATAAAAAAAATGCCCAAAGACAACTTACAACTGGTCACTAGTAGAATTTTCATAATTTATAAGTGAAGTTATATTTCTCCATCTTATTTTCAAATATAACATTCTCCTTTCAGTATTTATTTTTTTGAAAGAAATTTGTGTTTGCTTGTCAATTTAAAAGTTCAAAAACAATATTAATTACCTTATGTTCAATTATATTCTTATTTCAACTTTGTTCTTATACAGTACTTAACCCACTTATCATAAATGAGAGAAAAACAATAGTGAAAGTCATATTAAGAAATTAATAATACTTTTTAAGAAAATTATTAATTGCACAAATTATGAAAATAAAATTACTTTCTTTAACAAATATACCCTAATTAAAAAATTAGATATTCATTCAAGATATTACTAAATAAATAATTAATATTTTCTTAAATTTTAAAATAATAAATGTCTTTAAATTAGTTAAAATGCCTAAAATGATGTATAATGTGAGTAACAGGGAGTATCTTATTAGGACAACGCATCTGCTTGAAGAATGCCATGGAGAGGAGACAACAAGCTTCATTCAACATTTTTCGAAATTTATACGCCTGCTTTAAATACTAAAATTATAATTTTATTTTAGTAAAAAAGTTTCATTTAATTATTATGTAAATTGAAATGAGGATTTAATTATAATTCAATATAATATCACCTAAAATTTTCTTATCTTAAATAAAAGATAAAAGCAACAATGCTCATTTGTATTTATGCATAAATGGGGTAGTTATTTTTCAGCTAAAATTTGAAACGAAACGACTTAACGTCTTTTTTTTTTTTTAAAACTCAGATGATTGAATAATTTTTATTTTTTTAAAAATAATGTGGATAAAATTCTTTTTTTATTAATTTATTTTACTTTTGGAGTAAATTATACTCCATTATTTGTAGAATTGTCAAAATGAAAGTAAATTCTAAACTTGACTTAGTTTTTTTCAACAAAACATTTATCAATAAATAGTAATTTTTTATAAATATTTAATAATATTAACTCAATAATTAATTAATAAAATAAATAAAGTGTAATTTTTAATCAAATTAAGACTTTTCCTTAGCTGTGTGACAACTTAATAAAGTTGAAATTTGGATAAAAGGGAGTGGTCGGTGTCCTTTTCCCTCCTAAAATAAATAAACAATGTCGGGCACCTGTACATTCCGTGTACAGAGTGGAAAGGTCGGTAGAACCAATTGTGACCTCAATCAACGGCTACCATTCCTCGTGTCTTTGTGGCAATTTTCTGACCCTTTGTGGCAATTTTCTGACCCTTGATGCAATCTATGCCATTAATGTTATTATTATTTTTACTTTTTTTTTCCCTACAAAATCTTGATCTTTCAGCTGTTGTGTTGTGTAGTAGTGTTGTGCTGATTCCATTCACAGTGAACTGATTCTCTCTCTCTCTCTCCCTCACTTGGATCACTGATCTCATCTCAGGTACTTCTCTTTCTCATGTTTCTACTTTATTCCCTCCTTTAGGTCAATTTAACCATGTTTCATTTTTAATTTTTGTGGTGTTGATATCTTATTATCTACTCATTTGATCAAGCATTGACCTTATGATTGATTCTGTGTATCTTCCGTTGACAAAATGAAATTACTTAAAAAAAAAAAATACAAACACCCTGATGTGGAATTATAAGTTTTGATGCATTTTTTGGACCATGGTGATCTAAAGTTTGCATTTTGAATAATATGTTTGTCTCTAATTAATGCGAATGCAAGTGATCGAGAATGTTGAAATTTGAAAAGTGTTTCCTTTTGCAAATAGTGGATCAGAGAGTGAATTTGTGACTTTGTTTGACTTCGATTTGTTGTGTGGTTGGATTGGATCTTGCTCAACCTAATTGATTGTGCTAATTTGATAATTTACCACCTGCAATTTAGATATGTCTACATCTGATAAGCCAGAAGTGGTGGAAAGGGGTTCTAAGGATGAAAACCACAAAGAAGATGAGAAAGAGGATGAAAAGGGTGGATTTATTGAGAAGGTGAAGGATTTCATTCATGACATTGGCGAGAAGATTGAGGGAGCTATTGGGTTTGGGAAGCCAACTGCTGATGTTACTGGAATACACATTCCATCAATTAATCTTCACAAAGCAGATCTTGTTGTTGATGTGCTCATAAAGAACCCAAATCCTGTGCCAATCCCTCTTATTGACGTAAATTACTTGGTTGAGAGTGATGGAAGGAAACTAGTTTCGGGGATGATACCCGATGCTGGTACTATCCATGCACATGGAGAGCAAACTGTGAAAATTCCTGTTACTTTGGTTTATGATGACATCAAGCAAACTTATGATGATATTAAACCTGGAAGCATCATTCCTTATAGGGTGAAGGTTGATCTCATTTTTGATATTCCTCTCTTGGGAAGGTTCACTCTGCCTTTGGAGAAAACTGGAGAAATCCCAATACCATACAAGCCTGATATTGATCTTGAGAAGATTCATTTTGAAAGGTTTTCTTTTGAAGAGACAATTGCAACTCTTCATTTGAAATTGGAAAACAAGAATGATTTTGATCTGGGTCTCAATGCTCTTGATTATGAAGTGTGGCTTGGTGATGTTAGCATTGGAGGTGCAGAACTTGCCAAATCTGCAAAAATTGAGAAAAGTGGAATTAGTTACATTGATATTCCAATTACCTTCAGGCCTAAGGACTTTGGATCTGCACTCTGGGACATGATTAGAGGAGGGGGCACTGGTTACACCATGAAAGGAAATATTGATGTTGACACTCCCTTTGGACCCATGAAATTGCCCATCAGCAAAGAAGGTGGCACTACCCGTCTTAAGAAAAAGAAGGAAGATCGTGATTATGACGATGACGATGATGATGAGGTTTATTAACTTCTTTTATCTATTCTTGTTTTGTTTTTATGTTTTCTATGTTCTCTAGAATGTGGCTAGTCTTAATAGTTCTGAATTGGCATGCACCTAAGCATATATTTGCAAGTTAATATACATTTGCATGTGCAATCATTATCCTTTAATCGTAAATAACAAAATATCATCTTTCTGTTTTTGTGCATGCATATGTATGATTTTAGGCAACGCCATTTTTTATACTGAAAATTTCTTTTAGATAACATATTTAACTGGTCAAATTTCGATGGTACCAGCATGTAAATGTATTCTTGGTAATATAACTAGGCAGATTAATATCTTTTCTCTGCATCCGGTTATATTTGTTTGTGTCATAACTTTTGTGTATAATTTTTTTCTTTGCAGGATTGAAGAATTGTAGCAGGTTACTACTAGCTGTTATTTTTATTTACAGCATATCTTCATTAGAAAGTTAATAAAAATGGACTTTGATCTGAAGGCATTACTTTCTGAGTACTGATGGCCAATTTATGTATCTTGAGAGACAAAGTTGACATTCAAATCATGTGCAAGTATCAGTGTTTTAGTGAATATATGCTTCAGTTTGGCTTGTGCTCTTTTTCTTGAAACCTTGTTCTTGTTTGAGTGCTTGATTCATAAATGTTCATTTGCCTTGAAACTTAGTTCGTGGGGGCTTTGCTTTAAGTTGCTCCATAATAGCCATTGTCTTAATCTCTCACTTGTATTTTAAGAGAGTGCGAGACAGCAAAAAGTTTTATGATCTTTGTTTTCGTGTTTAATTTAACAGTTCTATTGAGAAGTTGGAAAAGTGTGCCTGTACCAAACAACATGAAAACACTAAAGTTTATACATATCCTGGTCCAAGTATTAAGACAAAAAATGCTTCATCCTAGTTAATCCTAAAATATTGACTACTTAGATTTCGAACATAAAGGGAAGGTTTTCTCATAGACTCAAACTATTGCTGTACCAAAGTACCAGTAATGCTCATTCAATGAGTATATATGAAATCAAGCCTCCATTTTACTTGGTTTTGCATATCCACACCATAAAATAGCGACGAGTACACAGTGATACTCATGTTTGTCGGCATTTTTATTAAAGTGGCACAAATCAAGACTGCGATGGAAGCATAAGATAATTTTTTTAATTCAATTATTAAATTATGTAATATTTTATCATAATAATTATGTGTATAAAATTTTATTGACAGCCTTACTTGAGAATTAAACATATATTATTTGAATCAACGACGTATTAGTGGTAAGTTTATCATTAGATCCTATACAAATCAGGAGGAACCACAAACAATTCGTTTAAATTAAGTATGTGTATACCATTATGAGATGACAAAGTCTTATCATTAAATATTGTCCTATCGTAATAGTTTTTTAATTAAATATTCGTCTCTCATTTAATCTTTTCTAAATTACACACACACACACACGTTTTGCGTCTAGTTATCATTGACAGGACGAATTAATAACTTGAGAAGGAATCTACAAAAATGTGACATGGAATGATTATTCAACATATTTGCTGATAAAAAAATTGAGCTACAACATGAGAATCTGTCTATATAAAGGACTATTAAAATTCTGATCAGAGTGTATATATATGTAGTCTTAATTCTCATGACTTGGGCGTTTGTTGTTGCTGCACCACTAAAATGGAAGCTTTAGTAGTGGTATCTGGGGAAGCAAGCAAATCTCCAACCACCCCTAACTCAGAAAACTCAGTCCAACTTTCAAGTGCTGCTGTCTGAGACGATTTGATCCCATTTCTTCTCCCAACAATAATAAAATCATGTAGATTTGCTATCTGTGTTAGAAAATCAGTGGTCTGAGAAGGGTCCTCAATAATAATCTTTTCATATGTTACATTCTCAACATTACCGTAAGTGCCCTTAACACTCTTCAGCACCTCATCATCAAGCATAACATCCCAATTTGTGAAACCACTGTTGCTTGCAACCAAGTGGTACACAGCCATGTTATAACCACAATCTTTGATTGTTCTCTTAGCCAAGCACAATGCTTCTCTATCATCTGAACCTCCCAAGAAAATCATGGCTATGTTCTTTGTTGGACCATGGTAACTAGAAGACCCTCTATTCACAAGAATCCCCACTGAGCATGGTGCTCTTTCAAGAACCTTATTGTTCAAAGCTCTTATGTTTTCGTCTGTTGATTCAATGGAACCATCTTCTGCCCATCTTACATGAAATGGAAGAATGATGATGGAAGCAAGTTTGTCCAATGCTAGGTAGCAAATATCATCATGCATGAAGCGTGAGGGTGATATAGCTGTGTAGGTGTTAACTGATGCAGTGCCAGCATTGTCATGTTCAAAGAGATCAAAGGTAACAATGACATCTTCTGAGAAGTTATGATGATCTGAACCAACCCTTTCTTGAAGACGATGTGCGATGAAAACGGGAGTGGATCGACCAACAAGTTCCATGAGATGCAAGACATGAACCACTAGAGGGTTGTTTGTTGTTGGACAACAAATGTCAAGGGCGTTTTTGATTGAAACTGTGTGGCTTGGTTTGTGGACACATGCAACTACTCGAAGCTCTGAGTTGGGTTTCAAGTTTAGAATGTTTCTTTTCTGATATCCTGCGTATTTCCTTGCTGGGTCGTATAAGGATTTCACACCAATGCGTGCAATGCTTCCCAACGTCAACACTGATATGGTCATCATGGCTACTGTTTGATTGCTCAGTAACTGCGGTTTATATTATGAAATAAAAGTCAAAGTTAGCCAACAAATATTTGAATGGGGTATTACCATTAAAGTTGTGGGCAAAAGTAGAAAACAAATGAGATTCTAAAGACGGCCTAAAACAAAATAGTGAGATGGTATGATCAGAATTCAACTAAAACTTTAATTCTAATGTGAATAAACTAGTATATTTTCATATTATGCATGCATGAAAGAATTGAATGGAGTATTACCATTGAATCAAATAAGAACACTTCGGTGCAAAAATCCACAACACCTTTGCAGCTCAACATGAGAGCAAGACACAAACCGTCGGTTTTGGGCATGTGGCAATAGCGGCAAATTCCAATGGTTATAAGCAGCTTAAGCAAATGCACAACAACAATTATGACTGCCACAGTTATAATCAACTTGACATCCATGGGTACAGAAATATCCACCTTCATGGCACAACTAGTCACAAAGAGTGGCAAAAGAAACCAAGTTGTAAACAACTCAAGTTGCTTAATCAACTCAGTCCCCAATGGAGGACCTTCAGGCACCAAAAGACCAACAAGTAACACCCCACCTAACACAGTTTGCTTAGCATTTAATCCAATCAACCCTGAAAAAAGGGCCATGAGAACAACCAAATAGGTGAGTGATTTCTTTACGCTTCTACCTTCAGGGGTGCTTCTCACAATCCACCTCATTGTAGGACGTGCAATGGTGATAACCATTACCAAAAAACCAACATATTTTGTGGCATTAAAAGCAGCAAGTTTTGCACCCTTGTTTTGATCATGATCGTGTGAATCAGTTCTAAGACTACTTACAATAGCAGTGCCAAAACCTGTCACAAATGAAGTGAACACATCCATCACAAGTGCTGCTGAGAGTGCTAAGCGTCCAAGTTCTGAGTTCAAGATCTCAAGATCAGATAAAAGAGAAGCTACCACTGGGAAAGAACAACCACTGTGACCTATTACTACCACGGGTAGTTTAGTTCCATCAAACTCTCCAAGGGTTCTTCTAAAAGAATCCAGGAATTTGTAGCACACGGTAAGACCAATAAAAGTTGGAATCAATAGTGAAGAAAGAGCTATTGTCCAAGCTTTCTTCCCAGTTCTTGTTATCATGCTGAAATCCATTTTCACGCCATTTAGAAACAAGAAGAATGTGTAGCCAAATATTGATACTATGCTCAATACGTCTTCACTCCCGTAAGGGAACAACATGGCTTTGAGTGGTTTCAATGCGTCTATCTTGAGAGAAGGGCCTAGAACAAAGCCAGCCTGCATGCAAATAGAGACATCAATGTTTCTCAGATGTAAATTAACTATATTACACCATAATCTTCAATTATAAATCATTTCTATGGACAAGCATTGATGTGAGTACTTATTACTGAAGTTAATTTGAATTTTATATATGTTTTTCACACATACATAAACCTAAGATGAATTTTCTATCATTTGTTTTACAATAAATACTATCCCAACTTTTTTTTTTTCTCTAACATGCGTTCACTTAATCTTTGTCCGATATAAATAAATCTTATTTAATTTGTCTTGCTTAATTTTTTATATATACACATTAAAATTTATTAATTTAATTGTTGAATTATTTAAGTTCATCAAATAAATAAAGTTTTAAAAAATTCATATAATTTTAAAATTATTTGATGTTTCAGTAATTAAATTTATTTTAAAATATAAAAAATATTTACTATAATTACATGCATATAAATGTTAGATTTATCTACATTCATATTCATTAAGATAATATAATCTAATTTAACAACTAGATATATCAAATTCGTATTCTAAAAAAATATTAAACAAAATAAATTTTAAAACTTTTTAAAAATAATTGAAATTCTAGACACATGTACGTATGCAGGGACAAGATCCAACAACATCTCTAATATCTTTTTACAATGTTCTAACACGCATTTGGTTTTTTTTCCTTGACAACATTATAACAATGCCATGCTATAAGAAAAATGTGTTAATTTTTGTGTGTAAACGTGCGTGGGGCACAACAAATACGTGTCATGTTCTTGAATGAGACTAGAAACAAAGAGAGAAGAGGGAGAAAGCATACCATTATTTGTGAAACGAAATAGGGGAACCCCAGGCGCTTAAGTACCCAATGAAAGCATTGAGTGATGGTGAAAATGGAGATAATTTGGAGCTCCAATAGTGGCAATGTCGCTCTTGAAGGTAATGCAGCATAGGCTGTATTACCCCATAGGCCATCAGATACTATCTTTGGTGGCATATCAACGCGAACATCATACATAACATATTTTCTAGCTGGGTCTGACAAGGTTTCATTGACGATTGCTGAAACGAAGATTGTTCTGTGTATGGCAGTTAAGGTATCATTATTTGTCCCCATCTCTCTGAAGAGAAATTAATTAAAGCGAATGAAATATTGAAGCGTTGAAGATATTGAAGAAATTCAGTGGCTACGTGCAATGGAATGATAATTTATGAGACCATAATACAAATGAGCAATGAACACAAGTTTTATATTGTTCATTTGGTGTAGGTTGTAATAGACTTGTTAGTTTCTTGGCAACAACCTTTGAACATTGGTTCATAACAAACCATGAAAAATGCTAGATTTTGCTTAGCTTGTCTCAGCTGTACCCAAAACAAGAAAAACAAAATTTATGTCGGCAGTTAAACTGTCATGTCATGCCTCCTAAACCACAAGTTGGTGACCGTTGATCTTAAGCATATTCTGGTTAAGATCACGAGATCGAGTCTTGTTCTTCGTTTTTTATTTTAACAATATTATCAGAGGCTATTTTTTTTTATCAATGTTCTATTTCTTTAAACAGGGCACTAAATATGGGGCAAAACAATAAATTTTAGTTGTCGTCCTTACTATGCTGTATATACTATTTTTTATAAAAAATAAAAGATAAAATCATTAGCATTAAGAAAAATAATTAAATTAGTTATTTTTTTATAAATATAAATTTTATTTTAAAAATACTTACGACATTAAATGATGTAGTTACTATCTTGTAAATATATATTTAACAATAAAAAATAAAAAATTAACAATTAATATATCTTAAATTTATTCTATATTTCTTATAATTAGAATAAAAAATACTTTATTTTGTTGCTTATAAAAAAAAATAATAAAAGGAGCATTTGTGAGCCGTGCATATTATCTAAAGATATTAGAAAAGGAATAATTATGTAAAATGAATAAGAGCTAATTGAAAAAAAAGTAAACTCTCATTTTTAAATTAGAGTATTTTTAAGAATTATTTTATAATTAAATTACATGATTTCTCTGACGTTAAGTTTCATAACTTAACTTTTATCTATATCTTCTATTTTTTAAAATACTACTATTATTAGTTGAATATATGATTAAATATACCTTCTAAAACTAAGCAATTATATTCATTGTATTCGAAATATAAGTTATAACATACATGTTTTTAATTATAAAATATAATTATGCATGTTGGCTCCATTAAAAATTAAGTATATATGAGTTAAATTTGATTGTTAATTTAAAAGTTTAAAGAGCTGTGAACTTGTTGAGTCCAATTTGTATAAACTAATTATCCACATAGGGACAGGTCGGGTTGAATAGTTCAAATTGATTACTCTAGTTGTTAAATAAAAAAAAGTATTGAATTTTAAAAAATTAAAAACTAAAATTAAGAAAACTAAAAGCTAAAACTAAAGTCTTACACAAATATACAACTTGTATACTCATTATTCCCATCGAGATAGCCGGATTGAAAAGTTCAAATTAAATACAGATTAAAAATATTGGATTAAAAAAAAAGAAACTAAAATTAAAAAAATTAAAATTAAAAACTAAAATCTCACAGAAATAGAACTAAAAACATCTTCATGACATGGAATGTTGGGAACAAATTGGCGCATAAATGGTGTGAGATATTATTGAAAATTGAAACATCGGTCAAATGCATGCTTTAATATTTTTCTTGGTCGTATGCGTGAATCCATGCATGTTTTGGAAAAATAAAAAATTGAAAGGCATTTAATTTGGGAAATTCACGAAGCACGACTCTACCTCTTAATTTCTTGTATAAAAAGCCAGCCAGCTCTATCTTATAGTAAAAAACAGATATATATCATAGCCACTAATTTGAAACCTTAAAAGCTTTATTGTGAATTTCTCAGTTGTGATCAATTTGAATCATGGATGGCAGAGCTAGTACTGGTGAAAAACCCAAACCCAAAGGGAATGATGGGAACAATTCTGAGGGAAAGGTGATGAAAGCTCCTGGTGGAGATGGATCTTACATTTCCAGGGAGGAATTTGAGAAGAACCCTCGGTTTCTTTTCTAATTTGCATGCTGAACAAAAGAACAAGAAGTAGCTTATGCCGTTTTGTTACCAATATGAATGTCATTTTCAATTTGGGTGGTATGTTTCTGTAGACTGGTCATGTAATAAGCATTAGACCTTATGTGTTATGTGTCTATTGCATGCAAGTAACATTAATATATAATAAAGCAATCTACTTAATTGATCTATGATTGTCTATTTATATTGGTTTTATCTCGTTAATTATTGTGCTGAATATTATTATTACTTGGCGATTTTAATTGTGAAGAGGGTGCAAAAGTTCTGTAACCAATGCTTTTGGAAGAGGATGTCAAATACGTGCATTGAACTTGGCTTCTGAAATGAAAATGAAACGTTTAACCTATTTATTGATGTAAACACATAATAAAATTGTAGAGCAAAAACTTTTACACTCCAATTAGCTTGCCTGCTAAAACCTTTTGGTGCAATATTTATAGGACAACTATTTTTTTAATAAAAAAATCTCGTTTGACCGAAAATTTTACTTGAAAGTTTGTTCAAGTTTCCCGTAAGGATCAATATCCCTCGAAGCATTTTACTCTCCTTGAGCCTCAGGGAAGATATTCTAGACAAAGACACTAATTAATCGGTGAAAACTGGTTTTTATTTTGGCCTATGGCAAAACCTTTTCTAAGTATGAAAAACATTAACCTTATCTACTGATTATATTTTAATACGTCTTCCTTTTTTTTTTTTACAAAAATAAATAATAAATAAATACACGTACGAGAGAGACAGTCTTGCCTCACGAACAGAACATGCCGTGATCTTTTCTTTCCTTATCTGAATAATGTTCATACTGACTTTTAAAATAAAAAAAAAGATTTCCCCTTTGCGTCGTAATCACGTGCACAAGAAATTTTTACATTACTGATACTTGTTTTAGTGCTTGTGCAAGTTAATCAATATCAATTCCTTTCAATTTATAATTTTTACCTTTTCTGTTTAGATAAAGAGGCTAATAGTACAAATTATTTGAATGGCAAGATACGGGCATGCAGATCAAAAGGTTCGTGGAATGATATGACAAGCATCATATTCAATTGTGGTCCAACTCTTACATTTTAATTGCAGATACGTTGATAGCAGCACAAACGGCACAACAAAACGTTAGCATTAAATAATATCATGGAGGAGTATTGGCAGATTTATATTCCGGTCGCTTGTTTGGTGAAAAATTGAGGTTACTTGGACGGAAAAAAATTGAACCCCGACATATATTTCAGTATTTCACTCTATGGAAATGACCCCAGGCTTCGCTCGTAGCCAACATGGAAATGAAAATCTAATCCAGGGCGCTTATTTTCACCAGCAAATGAAGATGTCATACTTTAATAATATGGTTAGCATTCAACTGATAAAATTATCAAAATCCTTGACAATGGTGATAAAAATGTCACCATGTACGAGGAATATTATGCACAGTATCCACTACAAAATTGAGTGTCAAAGTAGTATGATAAACATTATTCAAAATTACGACCAAAAAGAATTAAATGTGCTACCGGCGTTTCAAAGTTGGAAGCAAGCAATCAAATCTATCCATGCGTGATGTCACAGTGAGCTTGTATGCAGGTTGCAAGCCAGGCCTAGCCAAATCTATTATATCCTGCCGCAAACTGTTCATAATTTGATAATAATACTAATTAGTAATATTACTGATTAATAATCCCAACATTCATAATTTAATAATATCTCTTTTTCACGTGCATTACTGTAAGTGGATGTAAATATAAATCGATTAAACAGAAATAATGACTAGACATCTACAACTGAGACAGGAGTGCACTAACCACTGCCACTCTCCGGAAGCTTCTGCATGCCTCTTGACGGAATGATATAGGCGATCCAGGCTATAGAGTACCAATCCAAACATACATTGTGCATCTTTCTCCTGTAAATGACATGTAACATGACTTTTCTATCCTTGCTCTAAGGAGTGCATTTCATTCAAATTAACTCAATGCAGTTGTGAACACACCCCACCCCCCCCACATTAGTGTAGGTGAATCATTTCCCTATAGATACTGGAATTTGTTAACCTGTGCTTAATTTTTAGCAAGTTACTTCGTTACATGTATTTTAAGAAAGTCAAAATTGTAACTTGCTAATATACTCTTTAAAAGAAACAAGTTGCACATTTAGCAATCATGGCTGCTACCATGTAACTGTTCTTTAAAAGGATTATGATAGAAGCTATATCTTTGGGTGTATTTTAAAAACTGAGGGTACATTACCAAACACCTATATATATATATATAGAGAGAGAGAGAGAGAGAGTTGAAACTTTATTTCGGGAAGAACTAAATAGAATCAACATTCAGGAAAGCTTCTTACCAGCCCTTTCTCAACATAATTTTGGTACTGCATAATCCTTTTCTCAACCTCAACAAGAAGTAGCCTCCTTTGAATCCGAGCAACTCTACCTCTTCCCTCAGCTTTTGTATCCTAATTCACCAAAACAGAATACCAGATAAATTTTAACATGAAGACTTCTTGATTAATGTAAGTAGCGGATAGCCAGAATTTCTTTGAAAGAAAGAAGATAAAGAAGGCAGTACTGACACACAAGTTGACAAATCTGACCACGTGTCCAAAATTCATATAAGCCTAAACTCAGACACAGCTACCACAAGAGTTGGAGTTTTAATTTCCCAAAAACTACATAAACGTATTTTCAAATCCAAGCAAACTGACAATGGAAAACCATTGGGAATTATATCATTAAACTATAATGAGTAACCAAATTCTATGAGAACGAAAAATAGATAGCACCAGAACACTGATTAGCATCCTCTAATCATTAAGGAAGATAATGCAATTCCAAAAAATATTGAGGGCAGTGAAGTACAACATTAGTGGAAAAAGAAATAAAGGAAACTGAAGTGACCACTCTTTGATATCAGAAAACAGATTTTCCACCTTATGCAGTGACAGTCAAAATATGCAAATGGCTAGAAACAGGCTACGTAATATCTAGTACATAATCAAATATAAACAAATTCAAACAGTAACCCCATACACTAAAAGTTAGTCATGGGTGAAGGCGACAATCTTGTCCCCATATTCAGCTAATCACCTCATGGTGCAGGGTGTCACTCCAAACAAGAATCACACTCCAATTCAGAGTTGATATAAGCTTTCTTTAAGATTTAAGAACTACAGTATGACATTAGAACTTCTATCTGCTGTGAGCTCATCATTTTGTCCAAAGCAAACAAGAAAAGGGAAATTACCTGTTTGAACCAAGCACGTACTAACACGATGAGTAATAGTGAGAGAAAGAATGCCGGTAAAGCAGCTAGAATTGCAAAATTGATTTCATTTGCTCGTAGAATCTGGTTCAGCTCTAGCATTGCCCTGACCAAAAAATTATCTTGAGAAACTAAAACAATGAAATATTGAATTAACTTTTCAGATTTGGGAAACTCACGTCTCAATATCTAGCTTGAGCTTCTGAACCTGTAATAGTGAATATTTATGTTAAAACAACTTAAACAGATGTTATATTAACATATGAAATACATTACCTGAATAAGCATAGCTCGAGCCAGCTCTCCACTAAGAAGGTTCTGAATAGGATGCATGAGTTCCTTCTCATACCTGCATTAGATAATATAGAAAGAAGTGACAACCATATTTTATTAATAAAGATTCCAAATTCAATGTTTCTTGCTATTAGATAATATAGAAAGAACAAGTACATATTAAAATGATATTATTGTCCTCTTATTTGATCAAAATCCAATTTTAAATTCAGTGAAGTTTCAAATATAATCAATCAATGCAATTTGAAAATATTTTATTTGAAAACCGAGGTAAGGAATTTAGATTGTTCTACCTAGGACATTGAAAATCATCAGCGCGACTTTAAAAAATGAACCATCCATTACGTACAATTATATGCCTATAAAAGCTCACCTATTTTCTACCCATGAGATTGTGCCAGTTAAACTGGAATAACTAATCCACAATCCCCAGTCCAGAAATTCCTTAGCAAAAGACATAGTAGCATAGTTATTTAATGAAATACCGTGATAATGGATCTTCATGGAAAAAAAAGTTTACATGTCTTCATAATAAAACATCAGTGTGAGAAGAATGGCCAGAAATTATATAGAGCAGTGTCTTCACTACCCACTGCCCAGAAAGTCATTGCAATGGAGACATGTTTTAGTACTAAATATAAATATAACAACAACAATAAAACCTTATCCCATAATAATAATAATAATAATAATAATAATAATAAACTATTACCAACATATAATGGGTATAATATCAAGGAAAATGCTCACAGACAAATCCATGTATATACTTCAAATTTCAGTTTCACAATTACCTTACCATCATCTTACCAGCATAAACAGAGATTGTTTCTAAAGTGAAATATTCCAATTATAAAAAAATTTACCTATCCATTACGATCTCAAGCATTTCCTGATCTGAGGCATTCACTGGGAACTTCTGACCCTTTGTCTGCTCACTGAAAGCCAACAACATTCTGCACCCATTTTTTTTCAAAAAAAAAGTTACAAAGAATGCAATATCCAATTATCCATGCACCTACCATGGCTTTCAAAATCAGGTAAATGAACTACTGCCAAAATAAAAAAATTTGTTTTTACTGTTTTCTGTACAAAATTTTGAAAACAGAAAATATAATGAAAATAAGGTGGCATTTTTGTAATTATAAGTGAAAACAGAAAATGAAAATAGAAAGTGTTTTCTAAAACCAAATAACCCCTTAAATCTTCTTTATGTAGAATCATTTTCAACTTTCAAGCCACAGAAGAGTTCCAACACAACACAAAAAATTATAGGTGCTTAAAGTTTCACAAGCAGTTACGTGGCCTTAATCCTTCAACCATTCCTTCACGGGCTTCACACCCCACATACATAGTTCATCAACTTGCATGCATGCATATTCTACTAAGAATGAAGTATGGATATGGATGAATAAAATCATGAATATCGATAATTAAAAGCAATTTTTCATGATTCACAAAAAGCTTTTTTTTATACTAGTCTCTAATAACAACAATTAATTGTCTATTGGGATTTTGAAAGGCTGGTTGCTTAGGAATCTTCTTAAAATTAGCTCTCATTAATCACCATTTACTTGATAATTTAATTTTCAAAAACAATTTTGATATAAGAATGATATTATTTCATTTTCTTTAAAAAATAGTCCTAGGGGTTGAAAGGTCTTTCAATTGAAAAAATCAACAATTTATATTAAACAGAGCTAGAATAAGAAAATCATCATGACAATAAATTCTTAATTTTTACGGTACCTAGATTAACAATAACAACATATCTTCCAAAACAGCACACAGTTATGCTAAAAATAAATGTTCTGGGCATTGAGGTTCTATACAGCTTTACTAATCAAAAATAGAAAAAAGGAGGACAATATATTTAAGAAACAATAACCTGTGTAGTGAGTTGGAAGTCAACTGCACCTCTTCAAGGTCCATAATACCTTGATGCCTCTTCCTGAATGTCTCAAAAAGTTCATCTCTAATGGACAAAATCTAAAAATTGATTGCATCATAATATATACAAACTATGATTTGTACAAATCAGAGCACTCAACAGTATATACAATTTCAATGATTATTTTGTATTTTTATAGGGATTACTTTGAGGGATTTTATTTGGAGGCTTTATGACAATCATTGTACAATGAGTACTAGTGCGATATTAAATAGTTTGAAATTATTCTAAGGACTTCCCTTATTGCTGATGGATTCCAACTATCTACATAGTGCACCCTAGATCAGTTACTAGACAATATTAAACCTTATTTCACTCTTCAATTTGAAAAACTCAATTAGTTTGGTGCACTTAACAGATTTTATGAAGGCAATGAAGTTATGAAGATAGTAAAAACAGAAATTTGTCTATTGATCATGGAAAACTAACTTTTACAAAGACTACTTAGTTAATGCAAAATGAGGTTAAGAAAAATGAATGATGGTAGCCGCACCTTGTATCTCATATGGACAAGTTCAAGTCCTCTAACAGTATCTTCTTAGGCATTGAGGAGGGAAAAAGAAAAAAAAAGGAAAGAAGAATGAAACCCAGGTAATTGGTAAATAATGAAGAAGATATGTACCGGTTGTTCTACATGATCCTTAAAAAAGCCAACTGTTGAGTCCTTTGCTTCCTCAATCCAATTATCAAGATCAGAACTTCCCATAAATCTACTATGTCGTAAGAGCCAAATGGAGCATACTGACAGACCAACTGCACCACATGTATAGCGGATCCAATATTGAGTTACTTTCCTTGGCTTTCTATGTTTAATTACCTGAAACAATAGACAACCATAAAATTGCATCTTAAAATTTTAATAAAGTTACAAAGCAAACCAATGAACAATCAACATGAGCCAATTGACAAGTAAAAACCAATCTATATTATCAAAAGCTGATTAATTATTCAATTTCAGAACCTCCATAAATGATTAAATCCAATATTTATGTGGTGAAAGAAAGAGAAGCTCTAGTTATTGACTCCAGTCAAGACAATTTTGTCCACTTCAAAGGCATTGGGGAGGTCCCAAGGATTGGTGAGATATAGGAGAGATACACATGTACTAAGCTGCATTATAAAGTTAGGACAAACGTTGTCTAATTGTAGGATCTATTATTCTACTTCTACTCAAAAATATTTTATGGGCCTTTTGGATCACCAATCAAAGCAGGAGGGGAGCACAGTACAAAGCAACAAGAGAGAAAATTAGGAGAGCCAACTCAGCAGGATAACTGTACCCAGTGTGTAATAAATTTCTAAAAAATGAACCTAATCTTCACCTAAAAATAACTATCATTAGCATATTTGAGATAATACAGTCCCTTTCTTTCTGGCAAGCAGTGGTAAATCGTATAGGAATTCAACTTGATGTCAGATAATGAAGGCAAATCCCGAGGCAAGGAGTGATTCAGTTGGCTATTCATTTAATCATGAAGGAACTATTGCTTAGTCCCCTTCATAGTTTTTTTATGGGTTCATGAATGCTAAACAGTAAGTATCAGATTGGAAAACATTAAAAATCAATTACTGTAAACCCTAAGACAGATTAATTCGGGTACATATTTTAATTACACTCAACAATTTAAAATTAATTTTATGAGAATAAATTCTACTCAAGTATAGAACAAACAATGGGCCCTAAGGCAAATAAGCCATGCTAAATTGATGCTCACAAAAAATTAAAAAGATGTTAAATGGATAATCCCAAAAGAGTAAGCTGCTGGATGTTGAACTATTAAATTATGGAAATTGGATTAAGATTCCTTTTGATTCTTTCCCATAATACTAAAAGTTACAAAAAGTTATTTATACAATTGGAAATTATGTCCAAGTGTATTATTCCTGTCTTCAATACTAAAAAGCCATCCTTATCAGGAGACTGAAGAGCTCACTGAGCTGCATAAATTGAAGACACTAGAAGACTAAGGTCACCACAAGAGCTCTACCATACAATAAAATTCCTACAACCATATATGCATATAGAGGTTAAAATTCTGAGAGACATACCCTCCAAAAGTTAATGATATAACACAAGATAGTAGCTCTTACAAGAAAAGATATGTATGAGTCCAGCTTGTCTAAATTTTGATGAAGTGAATTGATAGCATCTCTGATTTCACAATCTGTCCACTGGGACCCATTCTGATTTATTTCTGGAAGCTTCTCAAACAACAGGGGAACAGAATAGCTCCCATCAACAGAAGAATCACTCTGAGTAAGTAGAAAAGGTCAATTATGGAAACAGTATTAAGTTGCAAATTCACTTTTCAGTTTTGCTCTGACAAACCATGAGTCACAGAGATGAGTAATATACATAAAGGAAAACAGACGGGACAAAAGGCAAAAAGGAATAGCTGCTTTATTTATGTAAACCTGACGCATAGCATGTAGATGTCCAATCGAAGCTTCTAATGTTGAAAACATATTATTAATTGTAACCAGCAAAAAGGGCAGCTTCTTCTCTGGATCTGTCATTAACTCCTCTCCAATTTTATCTACTTCCATATAAACCTGAGCATGAAATTTCAAATTTGAAGTAATATCAGTAAATTGATGGCATTCTGGCATTTCACAAGGTTAAGTTGACGAGCAATTCTTCCATATTTACAATTTTCTACAAGTGAGTTCATAGTGTACAATGCATCTGTTCACCATATGCAAATGTCTAAGTTTCCATAATCATGTGATATACCCCCAGAAGAACTTGAAACCTGTGTCTACATGTAATTTTTTTTTTTTTATTAAAACCTATGCTGACCGAACTATCCACTCAAACCTATCCTCATAATTCCTCTGAATGGCAATTAAAGAAATTCACATGAAGGCATCAAAAATGGTTCCAAAGCCAGAAAAAGAGGGGAAAAAAGTTTCCAGAAAAAAAAATATAGGCCAATTGGGTGAAGAGCTGCAGGTGCCAAAAATAATATAAGACATATTGACATAGCATTAACAACATATTCATAATCATTCCAATTTTTCTCCTTTAATATGAAGATTAATAACATCAATGTCACAAAATCATACAATAAAAAAGGATTATTAAGTAAGCTTGACAACAAGAGACAACTGAGTAAGTAATTTATATTCATTCTATTTATGAAAGACTATAACGATTTGAAACAATGAACTGAATAGAGCAAACCTGAGCCAAGAATGTAGCCAGTGAACATCTTAAGCAACTCAAAACAGCTACTCTCTCATTAATATAATCAGATGCAGATTGGCATAGATTCTGTATGGAAGAACCCTGAGCAGCACGTCCACGCAACAACTTAACTGTTTCATCAATAAAAGCCCTTGGACCCCTCTCAAACATCATGAAATATGCTTTCTTAGCATTTGACCTCTGAATTTATAAACAACCAAAATAAGCACCATAACTACACCCTGTGAACTACATACACAGATAACAATATACGTATGTATATATAAAAAAATAAATGTGAAAACAGGACCTCAGCTCTGGACTGCCAAAACTGCAGATTCTTTTGGATGCTATGCAAATTTATCAAAACATGCTGCAACAAATCCTCCAAAACAACATGCACTCTAGATTCCTCGGTCATGATCCTGCGAGAGAACGCAACTAATATTTCAGAACTCAAATATACATTCAGTTCACATTGAAATGGAAACAATGCCGAGAATAATCAAATCACAAAGAGTCATCAAACACGAATTTATTTCTTTATTTGTTTATCGTTGATTTTTGTGGAAGTGAAAAGGAAAATGAACATACATGGAAGAGTCGAGCGAATTGGAGGGAAACGGAAGAGGGAGGCATTCCCGACGCTGTGTTGATCTGAAGCGAGAAGCGAAGTTGGAGAGAAAATTTGTAGAGAAGAAGGGAGAGAGAGCACGGATTCGATTTTGGAGGTAATTGGAGTACAACTGTGAGAGGAATGTTCCGCTTTCGGAAGGTGGAACCGCCATGAGAACCAGTGCTCCAAGCTTTGCGGTGCTGTGTGTGAGCCTCGGAGGCACTGTTTGAAATGAATGAGATTAATCAATGGTTTAATATTAAAAATTAAATAATTTTTAATATTACGTAATTTTGACATATTAAGTGACCCATAAAAATTATAAAATAATAACTAATATGTAAGTATAAATTAAGTAAATATTATTCCTTTATATTTAAGAAGACTTACTAACCAATGATTTAAGAATAATAGTTAAAAAAATTAAAATAGAAACATGTAAAAATAATAATATTTACAGTGACTATGTCTTTTTACTATGATTTTAATAATTTTAAAAATATTCCTATAAACTTGAAAATATATTTATTATATAATTAATAAAAAAATAAACAGATTAACTGGAGTCATACTATTAAGCTTTTGTAACAGAGTAATTGAACAAATATTAAAATAAAGGATCATAAAATGAGCTAATTAAGAGATATAGGAGAATAAAAACCTTCACATAACTAAAAAGAAATACATGTATGATAGAATATAAAAAGAGATTTTGTAAGGTTACAAACAGTATAAGAACACAAAATGGGACATGAAAGATTTTTCTCTAAGTGTGTAAAAGTCTACATTGAGGCATTGTCTTTTTATCTTGATTTTCTAAATGTGTTTATTGAGAAATTAATCATAAAGATCAAATATTAAGAATTCACTTTCTATATGAAATGAAAGCCATGCTTCTTGTCACTGACGCTGAGATTTGAAGTAAAGAGATTTTTTATCCATGTTTATTAAGTAATATTAATAAAACAGAACTTAATAAAAGAACATTCATAATCTTCACAACAATGAACTGCTACTTTGTTAATTAAACTTTTTTTTTTTTTTTTGCATTATTCATTTAAAATAATGAATGACTATCCATTAACTATAATTTGTTAATTTTTAAGTTAATTGAAATATTTAGGGATTCAAGAAGAATGATTAGACTCTGTTGGTATCACAAAACTGGTACTTCAAATTGCGTAGGATGCATATCTATGTTCTTTTCACTTTTAAACAAACAAAACAACCCAATAAGATCATATAACGTGTAAGCAGACAACCATTTCATCAACCGCAATATGTTTGGGTTAGTAAGTACACGTTCCAATGGCATTTTCAAGTCCCACATCGCCCAACATACAAAGAAAATCAGCCTTTATAGTATTTCTGACAACCACGCAAGAACGCCGAGCTGAGTAACGCCAGCTTGTAACTTGAGTAAGGGCAATAGAATGATGGGACAGGGCTTTGCCTTGCTAGGTTGGGTTGGTGGATGCACTTTGCTGGCCTGCCCGCTCCAAGTTGAGAGATGAAGCATGGCACCTGAACGAAGGTTTAGGTGTTATGGTTCCTGGACGAGAGGGTACAGCGTGAGGCTGGTTACACAGAGCAGCGAAGACCTCTGGCTCCTGACAGTGGAGGGATAACAGGCCTCTGCATATCCAACCCACAAAGCCTGGTGAGTCTAGTCTCTTGGACCATCATTTTTTTTGCCCCTTTCTCAGATAAAAAATACATATTAAATTTTGAAACTTATTTATGAATAATATAATGGGTTTATGAAAGGAGTGGTTAGGATGTAACGTCGATGACAATTTTTGGTCTCCTTTTTCACGTTTATAAAACTTGCGTCTACAAATGCCTCAAGGAAAAAAAAAATCAAGGGGCAAGTTATCTTCTGCTCGTTGTCCCACAGTAATTGAACACAATGGGCGTTGACCATGCACTAATAAACGTAAGGAGAATATCCAGTTGGTCACACGTTTGCAATAAAAAGTTATAACACACAGAGGATCATTTCCAAAGACGCCATGGTTGACCAATCAAACCGCTCTTCCAGCAATATATAAGTCATAGAAAAGAGAGAGAAACCTACAGAAGAGAAATGGCAACACTGGGTGGCGTTAGCGATGTTCAAGTAGCTGAAAACAGCGTCGAAATCGAGAATCTTGCTCGCTTTGCTGTTGATGACCACAACAAAAAAGAGGTTTTTTTATTTATATATCCTAGTTAGTTTATTTGTAGTTCTAATAATTGGGTTTCATGGTGTGCGTATAATTATAATTGCATAATTGTCATATTTAATTGATGATATGAATACGCAGAATGCAGTTCTGGAGTTTGTGAAGGTGATTAGTGCAAAGAAGCAAGTGGTTTCTGGGACTATGTACTATATCACTTTGGAGGCAAATGATGGTGGCAAGAAAAAGGTGTATGAAACCAAGGTGTGGGAGAAGCCGTGGTTGAACTTCAAGGAGGTGCAGGAATTCAAGCTCGTTGGTGATGCTCCTTCTGAGTCCACTTCTTAGCCAGGTCTTTTTCTTTTTTATTAAATTATTCAGATTTTGTCACTTCATTTCTTAATGATAAAATAGAAAATGCTTAATTAAATGAATCACTTAATCAAGCTAATAAAAATTTAAAATATATAAAAGGCTTTTAAGTAAAAACATATTTAATCAAGCTAATAAAAATTTAAAATATATAAAAGGCTTTTAAGTAAAAACATATTTAGTGGTCAATATTATTTCTTGATTTCAGATATGATTGTCCTTCTTATCCTTAGTTTTGTTGTCTTTTGGGATTTATTAAATGTGCTTTAATTTCCATGATTTGTCAGGTTACTGAAGATTGTACGTGTGGCTTGCTTTGTTCCACTGTGAAAGTTTTAGGATATTTAAAGCCTGTTGTGTATGTATGGAATAAATGTAGCTATTTACAGCCTTGATGCTACATTCGGTGTATTGTATTTGCTATCCTATGTCATTATTAACCACTATAAATATGAACAGCACAATTACTATAAAATGTTCATTATTATTATTATTATGTAATTCACCTGTAAATAACTAGTACTTCTTTATTTCTTTTAAAGAAACCAAAATTTGAAGAAACATAAATTAAATTAAAGAAAAATGAAAATAAGAAAATTGTTAAGAAAAAAAACCCTTTTTCTTTTCTCTCTTCAACTAAAAAATAAAAAAAAATGTTATTATCTGCATTGTTTCTTCTTTGTATATATCCTTAATTAAATCTTCTGTTTTCTTGAAATCCTCGACAACAATCAAATGTTTTAAGGCTAATATGATAACCTGTGGCCTCATATATTGATTTAGTTCAATCTGTCATCATCTAAACTTACATACACCACCAGTTCACAGGTCTCTTAGCCAATATTCCAATCAATTGATATATATATATATATATATATATATATAGTGTTGGTTTTAACCACGACATGATTTAAATATCAATTAACTTCAGATTTATGTATTTTTATACTTTACATGTACACAATAGTACTCATTTTAATATCATCATTTACGTTTAAATGCTTTATTTTTGTGTTAAATTTATGTTTACAAATTTTTTAACTTGAATTAAAACACACATGCATTCATTGACTTTTAAATTTATCTTTTTTATTTATTTATTTATAAATGTTCACGCGCATTCTATCTTTTTATATATATATAAGAAGAAGACTAATTGTTTGTATATGTAAATTTTCTCAAGCCACAGGGCACTTTTGAGTTGAATATTCAAACTTCTATTCTATATTGCAAATAAAGACAACCTACATGGTCTTCTCCAATCTTAATTATTTTGAATGAATTTTTCGATATTTCTTAGTTCGGCTCTTGCTTTTCCTACATCAATTCTTTAATACAAAATTTAAACATATCAACTTTTTAAGATTACATTTTTTAAAAAAAAATAATCTTAACCTTTAAAATTAAGTTTAAACACTTAAAAGTAAATTTTTTATCAAAAAAAAAATTAATTTTTTTTACAATTTTATAATTTTAATGTAATAAATATAATTTTTTTCAATAAAATTTTACTACTTTTGAATGCTTAAACTTAACTATAAAAATTGAAATCTTAAACTTTTAGTTTCACTCACCACCTTGAAATAAAATAGATATATTAGGTATGTTTGATTTCTAAAAACATTTTTTTTTATTTTTTAATTAAAATTATCACTTTTTTTTTATTCTGTTTCCTGCTTTTAAAAATTTTACATGAAACAATGAATTTTTTTAATGTTTCTTGTATAAATATTTAAAAACAGAAAACATAATAAAAATGAAAACATTTTCTGAAACCAAAATTCTTACTTCTTAGGTTGAATACTTCCCTTTCTCTACGGATTAGTAGGGACCTCATTATGGTACTATGTTCACTGTTTCTCTGCTGCATTGATGCTCATTTACTTCTTGGTATATGATGTGTTCCCTGGTTGTTGAGCCGAGTTTAATAAAATTCATATATTTTCTGATAATAAAATACTTATAGCTAGTCTTGCTTTGAACCAATACTTGACAACTTGTTACAACTTCAATTGTCCACAAGATGCGTATGCTATTAGAAATAGACAATTAAGTAGGAAATATCATAAAATGGGTGGGGGAATAATTGATAAAATATATAACAACCACTAGAGCTCAAAGTTATGGTCAACAAGCTTAAGAGCTGGAACTTGCAATGCTTGAATTAGTGATATCTACATGCACTTCATCTCCATTAACTGGCAATTCTATCATCAAATCTAATCAGAATCTGAGCGTCTTGCTATAAGGATCACCATATACGCCAGTTAAATTTACCAGGTAAACTTTAATAGCTCATCCTCATGACTTTAGGATCACCATCTCTTTATTTCTTTAACTGATTTTGTTCTATATGTTAAAGGCTCTACCATGGTCTTCATCATTTATTTTGTACTATTTTTAATAAAAACAAAATTTTATTTTAATAAAACATTCAAATTTTAAGTCATCGTGAATTAGTAAAGTAAAATTTTAATTAAAAAATATAAATAATATTTAAAGAGTTACACCTAAGTTTTGTTTACTAATTAACCCTCTTGTTTTACCACCAGAATATGATCATCAAGCTTATGCGGCTAGGAAAGAAAGATGCAAAACCAAACAAGAAATTTTGGAGGTCGAATTCGCTTCCATTGTCTAGAGAATTTCCCTCAGTCTCAGAATATGAAGATCCCTCGGTCAAATTTTTAGATGACACCAACATTCAGATTATAATATCATCAAATGAACACATTCACAGTTTAAGCCATGAGCAAACACCGATTGAAGCTGCTTCAGCTGCTGCCTCTCCGCAAGATGAAAACAGAAGGGTGAATGAAATGACTCCAGAAGATCTGAGTAAGTTATACTTTAAACCATTTAAATCACAAAGGGTGCACTCTAGAGACCAATAAGGAGATTGTTTATTTTAGATTTTGAAAAAAAAAAATTGAAGTTGAAATATTATAGGTTAAAAAAATTGATTCATATCATATACTAATGATATTTTAAAATTGGATTTAGACAAATTAATTTTATGTTTTGGTCATAAAATTAATTTAATTTTAATGATACAGTAAATAATCTGATATAAAGAATTTTTACACATTCATGATTAAAGAAAAATTTTTATTTGCACATATTAAATTAATTATGATGATTAGTATAAAGGGCATGTTATAATGTGAAGTTTGCAAGGATCCTTGCAGGTTCTTTAAAGCGACAACTATATGTATATGCACTCCACAATATGTGGCAGCAAGCACAACCCATTTTTGGTACATTTCCTGATATGGTACGCATTCCATTGACTGCTAGTGGAGACACAGCACTTCATGTTGCAGTGAGCGCAAATAGCAATACATTTGTACAAGGTTTGGTTAACCTTATGACCCCAGAAGACCTGAGAATACCAAACTCAGATGGGAACACAGCTTTTTGCATGGCTGCAATTTCAGGCAATGGTGAAGATTTTCAAATTATGATTGAAAAGAATGAAAATCTTCCTCTGATCCCTGGACATGATGGGTTGCTTCCTGTTCACTTGGCTGCTTTAACTGGCCACCACAAAATTGTGCAATTTCTGTCCTCTCAGAATCTGCTTCACAAAATGGCTTCCAAGGATATTGAATGGTTGTTTTTTATGACCATTAGTAGCAGCATGTTTGGTAAGAGTAAAGACTAAACTACATGGTTATTCATTTTTTGAATTAATTGTCTTTGATGTACTATATATGATGTTTCACAATAACAAACAGAATTGAACCAATTGTTTGAACTGGTCACACTTAAACCAAATCAATTATACATCTATATATAATTCCAATCTCATCAGGTTTATGTAACCATAATCTGATAATCAATTTAAAATTGAAATAATTAAATTATGAGTGGTAGGTCTTTTGAAAGATTGTGATATCATCCTTAACTTGGATAAGTGTGTGTGTGTGTGTGTGAGTGTGACCCGTCTCTTTTTCAAGTCTATATATTGTGCTAACTGAGGGAGGTTACATATTGGAATTTCAAAATATATCTCTCCATAAAGTATTGAGTATCATGGAATGTACTTCATATCAACCTCAATGCATATTTTTGAAGATCAACTATCTATATTACTTTTGAATTTTTTATAGGGTTGTTTGGTTTATCAAAAAATCTATTTTATTTATGTATAATATTGTTATTATTATAATACAAATATTTGAAAAAAAAAAATATATATATATATATATATCATAAAAATAAAAAATAGAAATAGATTTTTATTTAAAATTAGACCATAAATTTCTCCCTGCTGTCATATTTAAAATTAAATTGTATAATGGCTTTTGATAAGTAACTAGAATGATATCATTAAGTTTATTTTTAGCAATATGCACTATGCAATTAGCTTTTCTTAATGATGAATGGAAATTAAAATCACATAATGAAATAATTTTTGTATTTTTATACCCACTCTATTTTGACATCCATTCCTTATCTGTATTGTTTTCTTTTTATTTCTCTTTTCTTTTTTTTTCGACTAAAGGGAAGTACTAATACAAGTTCTATAGAAATTGATCCGATCAAGATTTTAATTTCAAGTGATCTTGTCTGTTGCCCCAAGTAATTTAGGACCTTTAATAATTCATGTTATCTTTGAATTATTAATTAATTGTTGTATGAATTGCATATATTTGAACTCGTGGTTTTTCAATTAGTTGGAGAATATTAGAGTTTTACCTTGCCTTGTGCATACAATCCACCAAAACTTTTATCGCAATTTAATTTGTGCATATAACAGATGTGGCAACGAAATTGTTTGAAAAATGTCCTGGTAATTTGGCCATTGTAAGAGATGATCAAGAACACCTAACAGCTTTGCATATGCTGGCGCGAAAGCCTTCAGAAGAATTGTGTTAGTTCTTCAAGCTTTTATATTTGCATTTCGCTTTGGCTTCAATTTCCCGTTAATTTGGCCACTAAAGATCTTTCTATTTCTAATACATAATTGAACGTGCAACTTAAATATTTTATTCATTTTTGTGATTGAATGAAACCATGCCAGCAAACATAATTTAATTCCGAGTATATATACGTATGTTTACAAATAACCACTCTATGACAATGCCTTTACAACTCAACATTATTCTCGTTTTAGGTTTTATATGAGAAAATTCTAATTTTTGATTCATATATAAAAGAAAAATAAAATATTTACGAATTAATTTGTTCTAACCATTAATCAAATTTATAATTATAGAGACAACCCATAAACATTTTTTAGGTAGAGATTAAAATGTAAAACTTTATTATCACGCAGAGACAAAATTTAATAATAATAATAATAATAATGGAAGTATAGGAAATTTCAATACAACTTTTTTTAATGTTAAACATTTATTCTCTCTAAGACCAATCTGTGTATGCTTTGTTGGTAGGCATGAATGAGGGCAACGATAATAAAGAAGCTTCATCAGGAACGGGTCTTGAATTGCTTAAAAAACTATGGTCACATGTTAGACAATTGGAATACAAAAAGATTTTGGAGTTGATAACTCAACCTTCAGCACTATTGTTTGACGCAGTAAAATCAGGAAATGTTGAAGCTGTGAAATGGCTTCTTTACATGAATCGTGAACTTTTGACTATAAAGGACCCCAGTAATGGACGAAACCTATTGCACTTCACTGTTTTATATCGACAAAGTAGCATATTTTTCTTTATACTAAAAATGACGACGGTGAACCTTGTACTACGAGCAGTGGACAATGATCGTAACAACATTCTACACTTAGCTGCACATCAACAAGATGAAGCATCCTCAAGTTTGAGACCAAACATTCAAATGCAAAGGGAGCTTGTATGGTTCAAGGTGAACTTGCTTACATTTATTCAACCATTCTCTTATATGTGTGGACATGCCCTTTATTTACATCTTTATTCATTGTGTACAAAGTAGTTTTAAAATTTTATAAATTGTTAAAAAAAATTACGTCGGCCATAGAACTATATTTTTAAGTATTTAAATTTTTTTTATTAAAAAATATTTATGATTTAATTCAAATTTGTTATTTTTAAACACTTAAAATTTAAAATATTCATTCTGAAAAGTTGATTTTAACATTTAGGATTATAATCGTCATATTTATTTGTTGTTGTAAGATTATTTGAAAATTTTAACACAAAAGTTTTGAATATATATTTTAAAAAGTTAATAATGCAATTTTTAAATACATTTTTGATATATTTTATAATTGATTATTTTTTAAAAAGTCAAAACATTTATTCGTAAATTAATCAGTACTTTTTAAAATTATTTTAATTTTTTAAAAAATTGAATAAGTTAATGATATATTCAAAATAGTTCATCTTGAAAGACTAAGTTTTGCATTGACATTGATTGATTGATCCCAACCAATGCACATATATTTAAAATGGTAAAGAGGAAATGATAGAAAGAATAAGAAGAAGCTGTGAATAGATCATTGATTTCACTCATTGCAATTTAATAATTTGTTCGTGAATAAAAATCAGATGTTTATTTGGTTAACATGGAAACTACCACTCACATATGCTCTTGGTTTATATCATATATAGGAAGTGGAGAAGAGAGTTCCTCATGAATTAAGGACAATGAGGAACAACAATGGCAAGACACCAAATGATATATTTTATGATAACCACAAAAAGTTATCAAAAGAAGTTAAAGATGCAGCCAAAGGAATAGCTGACTCTGGCATGCTGGTGACAACACTTATTGCTACAGTAGCATTTGCTGCAGCTCTCACTGTTCCTGGTGACAAGACCAATGCATGGTTTATTGTCTTCATCTTAACAAATGCAGTGGCATTGTTCTCTTCTTCTGCATCTATAATCTCTTTCTTGTCAATTTTCACTACATCCAAGCTTGATTCTTGGGCTTACCTTACTTTTTATATCCATTGCCACTATGGTCCTAGCTTTTGCTGCAGCATCTTTTTTGATATTTGATCATACATCCAAGTGGGTTGCATATGTAGTGGCTTCAATGGGGATTCTTCCAATACTTTTGTTTCTTGTGCTTCAATTTAGCCTTTTCGACGGTTTAGTTGACTACTTCTTCTGGTCTAGATATTATCGCATGTCCAAAATCCAATAAATTCATGCATGCACGTGTACATGGGCGCACACATACATATAGAATTATTTGTTGGTGAAATAATCGAGGTTCTGTATGAATTCGATTGTTGTATATATATGTAATATTTGTATCATAGGAGTATTTATTGTTAATGTGTGTATTATTATTACTCTTATTTGATTAAAATTTATATATTTTCTCTTAATTGATTTGGTTAACCGGTGAAAAATAATAATAGATACTCTGAAAAAAAAAATTAAATTGAAATCCCAAGTCTAGCTTGGTTTGTCACAGGAGCTACAAAATAATAATACTGCTGCAATTACAAGCGTTGCTGATCATCATCTTGTGTGTTTCCCTTTTAGAGTGCTGAGAGATAACAATCATGATTTTATCATTGATGTTCTTTGAGAATCAAAGTCAATTTCCTAACAACACAGAATGGCTATAGCTAGTAGTGAATTCCAAAGTTTAGATATATAAGCATAAACTTGTTCCCAAAGGTTGACTTTCCTTGTCTTTATAAATCTTGGGTACCTAGCTACGAACTCCTCTTAGTTGAAGATTGTCATTCATGTTACCCAACAGTTTTATGAAAAATAAGTTGAAAATTGATAGGGTTTTGGTAGGTTGGATTAAGCTAATTAAGTTGTAAAAAGAAATTTTGCAAATCCTACTAAGCCGTGATGGGTTAAATAGACTGATCCATGGGACGCATGACTATCCATTAACTATAATTCATTTAAATGGACAGTAATTTGCCTTGTTCATGACTCTCCATGTTTACCCAAAGATCATTAAGTTGTTAGCAGACAACCATTTCATCAACTGCAATATCTTTGGGTTAGTAAGTACACATTCCAAATTCCACCTTAGATAGATGACACCACCTTGGGTCCAATGTTGGTCTTTGCATGTCCCACATCGATTAGTATACAAAAAAATCAGCCTTTATAGTATTTCTGACAAGCGTGTTAGAACGCCGAGCTGAGTAACGCCAGCTTGTAACTCGAGTGAGGGCAACAAAGTGGTGGGACATGGCTTTGGCTTACCAGGTTGGATTGGTCGTTGCACCATGCTGGCTTGCCCGCTCCAAGTTGAGAGTCGAAGCATGGCATTTGAGCGAAGGCTCGGGTTTCATGGTTCCTAGACGAGAGGGCACAGCGTGAGGCTGGTTTCACAGAGCAGCGAACACCTCTGGCTCCTGACAGTGGAGGGATCACAAGCCACTGCACCTCCATCCCACAAAGCTTGGTAAGCCTAGCCTCTTGAACCATCACTTTTTTTGCACTTTCTCTTTCAGATAATAATATTTTTTACTTATGAAGTGTTATTTTCAATTTATGCTTGCTTTGGTTTTCTAATCCTTCGCTATTACTAAACGGAACAATATGTATACTTTGACCCTGAACTAAAAAAGGTTGTGTAAGGAACATTATGTTTTATTCACTTCTTCAAGTTCTAACACTTTTTTCAGCCTTTCAAATGGCTTCATATTAAATAATATTCTGCTTAAAACTCTCAAAACATAAACACATAATAAATTTGAGATTTGTTTATTAATAATATACTATAGAAACTCTATTCTACCTAATTAAATAATATTCTGCTTAAAGTCTCCTTTTTCACGATTATAAAACGTGTCTACAAATGCCTCAAGAAAAAAAATCAAGGTGGAAGTCATCTTCGTGGTTTAAGAACAGCTACGAATTAAAAGTGTGATACGTTGTTGCTTGTTAGTTGTTTGGGACATGGAGGGTGCTATTCGTGAATATCATCACACTGTGAGATTCATAACACAGGGTCAGTTTGAGATGTTTTGTATCCAGCAGTATCAACATTGTAACTTGGATCCCATATTCATACATTGCCCTTTAAATATCCCTGTCCTAAGTGCAAAACAACAACCGGTTTCTAGCACACTATATTTTAGAGGCCATTGATGGTGCTAATAACAAGAGTATGTATGATGAGGCTACGGTTTGGAATGTACCATGGTTGAGGTCCAGAAAACTTGAGGATTTCAGACTCATTAGTGACTACTCCCCTTCTGTCCATAACGCAATGGACTAGATATTTGTTATTATTGCAAATGTGTTATTGACAATTTAATATCTCACTTAAACTCTTGTAATAAAAATTGACAAAAATAAATTTTTGTGTTCATTTAAATTATCAATTACTATCCATTTTGTTAAGTTAATTGGGATCTTAAGGGACCAAATTGACAAAGCCGAAAGCACAGGTACAAATTGCTAGCATGTTTGTTGAATAAGTTGTTAACCCCTTAACCCTCCCCTTTACAAAATTGAACCAATTATCCTCTAAATCATCCATTTAAAATGGAATATAAATCCACCTTGTTAATCCATTCCAACCTACCATCCCTTCATCATTAGTTTGGGACATGGACCTGAAGACACTGATTTAACTCCAATAGTATCACAAACAGCTACCTCAGATTCGAATACGCGGGATGTTTTACCAAAAGTTGTAAGCAGCAAACCAATGCTTCAAGTCATCACACAGCCATACAACATGGAGACACAAGTTAGGTAGGATCAAGTATTGGAACAGATATATCCATTATTTGTCTTACAAGTTCCACATCGACTAGTATACAAAGAAAACCATTCTTTATAAGGCCTCTGACAAGCATGTCAGAATGCCGAGCTGAGTAACACCAGCTTGTGACTCGAGTGAGGGCTTTAATGTGATGGGACACGGCTTTGGCTTGCTGGGCTGGGATGTTGGCGGCACCATGCTGGCCTGCCCGCTCCAAGCTGAGAGTTGAATCATGGAAACTGAGCGAAGGCCCAGGTTTCATGATTCCTGGACATGAGGGCACAGCGTGAGGCTGGTTTCACAGAGCAGCGATCACCTCTGGCTCCTGGCAGTGGATGGATTACAGGCCGCTGCACCTTCACCCCACTAAGCCTGGTGAGCCTTGCTCCTTGAACCATCACTTTTTTTTTTTTTTCTTTCACATCTTTAGTTTCATGTCTCTCTTTCAAGTTGTCTGCTAAATGCCACCAAGTTGAAATTGAACTTCTTTTGATCAATTCAATCATCACCATTTGCGAGATTGCAAGCTGAATTGCATCACTACAGACAGACTCTCCTCTTAATTTGAGGACAAAGAAAACAGCAAGCACTAAAATTTGTCCAAAAGTTTCTCTTAAATTTGTATACTCCTAATAATGCATTCATTTTGTGAACATAGTTGGACACTAAATAACTTTGTCCCATCTTAGTAGACAACACCCACTGTGAAAGATTCATTTTTAGTAATAGCACTACAAGTTCTGTCTATGCTCGGCTGGGTTGGTGGGTGCACAATGGGACCTATGCGAAGGCTAATGTCTCATGGGTCCTAAACCGGAGGGCACCACGTGAGGCTGGCTTCACAGAGCAGCGAACACCCCCGGCTCCTGACAGTGGAGGGATTACAGGCTGCTGCACTTTTTTGGTTGGCAAAATGCAAATTACGTATCAATTCACTTACTTTTTGCCTCGTATATAGTAAAAACTATTTGCGTGCTTTAGAAATTTTACGAATGTCCACTTAAATAAAGTTCAAGATAAGAAACAAGTTAAAAGTTTTATATACAATTTTCAATTGCAAGCTTTCTTTGTTCTTTTTCGATATGTTTGTGGTTTGGTACGCGGGGAATAATTATGACACAGACTTTTAAGTTGCAGCATGTTTGGTTGAGACGTGTGTTTATGGCATATATGACGCGCCAAATACACTTACATCACAACACAAATCAAAGCTAACAATTTAACCAAAATCAAATTTGATAAATTTAAAGATCTGGCAAAAGTGAACAACTGTGATTAATGAGTGAACAAAATCATAACTAAGGAAATACTAAGGAGGCATCCCGGTAAAAATTTGAGCCAAAATCTGAATATAAGTGCCTACCATAGGCAATGCTTGCATGAGATTAGAATTTCTCAAATTACAATACCAGGCTGTCTCTAAATGGAACAATATATATCTCCATTTTTAGCCTAAACTAAGGTAGTAAGTAGACTATGCAATGCACTATCCCTCCTAATCTTCCTAACCACTAAGGATCTGTTTAACACTACTCCTAAAAAATCTGCTCTAATTCTTCATCAGAACTTTCTAATGAATACATGCCATAATTAAACAATGCAGGTTCATCTACATTTCTTCATCGTAGTCCTCTTCGTCTTCATCAATCCTATTTAGGTTGGCTAGTTGCATGGGATCAATGGCCATTTTTTCCACATCAGACAAGGACCATCCCAGGTATTCCTCATGCTTCTCTTCTGACATGGACTTAGCAGGTGAACTAGTTCGCACAGAAGTTGATACAGCTATTGAATCCATGTTCTCATCTGGGTCCATATTTAAGTCAAAATTTCGAACAGACACTTCGGCCGGTTTGTTAACTGGAAAGTTCTGCTTAACTTCTTCAGGTTCCAACACATTTTCCATGCTTTCATTGCTTTGAGTGTGCCTGTCATTTTGCTTCAAAATGTCAGGATCTTCTTCACATTTGACATGTGAAATCATCTCGTGATCAACTGTTCTACTTCCTCGGCCACGACCCCTGCCTCGGCCCCTTCCCCTTCCTCTTCCACTTCCACCGTTATGTCCATGCTCTGGCTGTGCAAATCATGGAAAAGTAAAAACAAAGTTTCATCATTTGGATAATTTTAATATGAAGCAGCTGCCAGATTCTACAGGGTTTGCTCAATTACAACAGTAGTTTTCACCAAAAGCTTTGAAAAGTAGATAGTTTTGGTTCTTTGCAAACATGATAAAAAGGTGTGCAGTGTGCATAGACCAGAGATAAACACTCATTTAATGACAAAAATAAAAATTCAAGATAACTACCAATTCAAGTAATTGAATAAAGTTAATATATTACCATCCTATTTCTCTTGGGCTCCTCGTCACTGTCATTATCATCATCTTCAGCAACTTTCCTAATATAAAATAAACAAAATTCAGCATACAGAAATCTTTTTCCAATTTACAATAGTATTAACCAAAAGCCAAGGAACAAACCTCCTCTTAGTGACAGCATGATCATCACCAGTGGCAACAGAACCACCTAAATCGGGAACCTTGCTGACAATATCTTTTAGAAAATCAAATACATTAAAAGTCTGCACACACTGTTTTCTGCAAAAGGCAATGATACAAGTAATTCAACCTTTTAGAAACCAGAAAGAGGTGGTAAACACTAGAACAAACAGCACATGTTCCAAAAGCAATCATGTTTGTGAACATAATAAATAGAAAGAAGAGGGGAATTCAATGTTATACATCATGGAATATTAAATCCATAGAAGTATGGATAACCACCTTCTACAGCCTTGACAATAAACACAAAATTGAGCCCATAAACTAATTAGAAATTTCACTCACAAATGAAAAGCGTTCACGGTCTTTGCTCCCCTCCTCAAAGTTATCTCATACGTTCGATCACACAAATCTTGCAGAAATAGCTCTAGTGCTTTGGCTGCAATACATAAACACAAATTATCATCAATCAAAGATACCTCATTACAAATTCCCAAAAGCCCAAAAGAAAATTTGAGGAAAAAAGGAAAAACTAGAATATGTGCGCAAGACTACTTACAAACTAGAAGAGGCACAGCCATTGCAATCTTTCCTACATCCTCATCAGCTTGCATAATTTTCTTAATCCTAGCCTGTCAATAATCAATTCAATTAGATTACACAATCATTACTAAAATTTCTACATTTGAACAATGTAACGTATATACAACAGGGTCAAGACCTATGTGAGACAACAAGGTGGGCCACAGAAGATCCTGGTGTCCTATTTCACACATGAAAACAGGATTTAGATTTAAATGATCTGTCAGTAGACATGCTTTATAATAGTTGAAAACATTTTATGTTTGTTGTTGATGTTTCTGGATTCTATTCAATCATGTGATATACACAATCCTGCAGAATTATAGAATGCAAAAGCTTGAAAGCAGAAGGGTAAATAACCAAGAGAATTAACAATATCTAAAACTAAATTTTCCCCAATCCATTAAATTATGCCACACACAATTCCTCTGCAGAATAGTTTAACAACATATTCATTAACAAATCCAACAATTCATGGCAAAATATAATCGTAACAGACAATCCCAAATCCCCTAGGGACAATCGAAAACAGTTTACAGATTGAAACATGCATAAAATAAATTCCAAAACCAAGAGAAACCCATATTCCATGTGACTCAGAAACATCAATTACCCAAGGAAAACAAAACAAACCTAATGATACCCCAAAAAATAAAAATATAGCAAACACCCATAACTCAAAATAAATAAAATGCAAAACAATATTTTCTAGAGAAAAAAAGAAGGATAAGGGGGAACTTACTGCAGGGAAACGAGTATCTAGTTTCTTCCTCATGTTGTGAAGAAAGAAACAACAAAAAGGAAAAGGGTTGGAGAAGGACGCAAAACCCCACCTTGTTTTTATAAAGGGAAAAACAAAACAAAGATTAACGTTGAAGAAGACGAAAAAACAAAGTGGGCAATTTTTATTTTATTTTATTGGTTTTGTTGTGTTTTGTGTTTGGAGTGTTTCCCCTTCCCACGAAGCGCTAACATAGGAGGCTCCTACGGTACACAGCAGAGTTTGTTTTTCCAAACTTGTCATCTTCACCATTCACCATTCACCATTTACCACTCCTTTTCACTCCAAATTCCTTCCATTTCCGTAGCTAACATATCTTCTTCCTTCTATCTGTTCTTTCTTCTCACTGCATATTTTCATTTTCCTTTAAATTTAAATTTTATATTTATCTTTTCCCTTGTAATTCTATCACATTCACTTTTGCTACATCACAACACTTCAAAATAAGTAAGCTTCTTGTGATCCCAGTGCATTATTAAATTAAAATCAATTTTTTAAATTCGTTATATTTTCTATATAAAAAATAAATCTTTTATTATATTAAAAATGTAGGGTTTTTAAAATTAAGAAATTAAATGTTTGAAACAAAAAAATTCATGTGATATTATTTTAAAAAAATTTAAATACTCTTATTCAAGAATAACAACTCAAATTTAATATTTACAGGTATATTTTGTATCTCACATCTCGGTTTGCCAAATAAATTTTATATTAGATTTTAAATTTTTTTTGAAAGTGATAATATTTTTAATTAGATTATCTTTTTGTCTTGTAATATTTGGTTTTATCTTTATTTAAATTAAAAAATACCCTTCCATTGTATTAAAATTTTGCTAGCCTATTTATACGTTACACATCGAAAATTAAATTTATAGTACTTTTTATATCAAGCTTCTTCTGTTATAAAATATCAAACTATAATTAAAATCAAAATAATCTTCAATAATTTTTTATAATTGCTATTTTTTTAATAAGACATACTCCTTTACATTAAAAAATTAGTGCTTGTATTTTATAAGATAAAAATAGATTTTAGTCATATTTTTTTGGACTTTTTACTTCACTGTAAAAGTTTTTTTAATTACTTTTTTTTAGAAAATTTATTTATTTATGATTGTTTATTTATTTATACTAATAATATACTTATAAATTTTTGCTCTTGAACATAAAATTATTTATAAATTTATTATCTCTCAAATAATACTATATCATTAATTTTAAAGTAAATTTTTTCTACCTACGTAAAAATTAACTCATCGTCTAAAGTATGAGTGTGCAATTTTATTTTTATTATTTTATATTTGTTACATACAATTATTTAAATTTTATTAGTAGGTTGAGAGAAACCTATTAATTTTTTTTATTATATTAGCATATTTTTTATATCTAACTTAATCCAATCAAACTAAAAAAAACTTATATCTAATTTAAATTTTAAATCTTTTATTTTATCTGAATTTAAACTGGTTTATTTAATATAACCTATTTCAATCATTTATTAGAGAATCCAAATCCCTGTTAATAACTTAATTAATAAAACACTGCACCTTTGCTTTACATGATATTTGTGAAAAAAAAATTATAGAAACAAAATAGATACTCCAATTTCTACTAAATTAATACTTTAAAATGTCCAAAAGCTGAAGGGAATCGATAAGACATAGTAAAAGATATAAAGTAAAATAAAAAATAATAAAAAATTATTTGAATTTAAAAAGGAGACTAAGGAATAAATTGGAAGTAGAAAAAACAAAGAAAAACTTATTAATATGATTGGAGAAAAAATTGAATTTTCCAAGAAACATGTTAAAGAATGTCTTTTATATTACCTGTCTTGACTACAATACTAAAGATAACATTGTTTGTATTTAATTACATTAATTATTTAATGGAAAGTTATGTTCGAATCTTATTCTATGCAAATTCTCATGGTGGGATAATAATCATAAATCACAAGTCTTATGTATTTAAGATTTATTTTATTTTTGTTATTGTATTTAAAAACCTTTTATAATTTCCAATATTAAATGAAAATATAAAAATTGACATTAATATAATTATATATGCTAGTGGTCTTTAAGATTGGAAAAATTAAAAAATAAAAGATGACATCATTACAATTGTATATATCATTATTATCCTCTGATAATAGAATTTGTTTTATTTTTTTTCCGTTTTATTTCTAACCTCTTTCTTCTTTGAAAATAAATAAATAAATCATATGGTTGTTTTTTTGTTTTCTCATTTTCAGATCTCTGTTTCTTCAAAACCCTAATTCTGCCAAATTCAGTTTGAGCCTCGAAAAACCTATCTCTCTCTCTCTCTCTTTCTCTCTCTAACGCATTCTGCCATTCAACAGCGATCCTTCCATCATCTTCAACGTTTCTATCTCCGAAACTGAAGGTTGGTTCTTCTTCTTCATCTTCTTCTCATCCCTATCTTTTTTCAATTTTTCTCTCTATTAATCTCAAACAGCAACTATGATCTTCTGTTGCCACGTTGTTGGTGGTGTCCGTGGGAGATAAACGGCGCGTTTGGTTTTGGATTTTGTGCAATCGCGGAATTCAGTGATTCCAATTCTGCATTTCTCTTTCGTGGGATTTTGGTAATTTCGGGTCTGTTTGGATTGAAGTGTAATTATAATGGATCCTTTAGAGGGAATCGTGTGAGACTCGTGTTAGTCCTTGTTGGTTTTATATTGATTGAGGTTTTTTAATATTGAATTTGATGTGTGTGATGATTATAGGTTTTTTCTATTGAGTGCTCGTTGGGAATATGCTTGTTTTCGCCAGAAAGTGGAATATTGTGTTGTTTGAATGTACATATCAATGGGGAATTGTGGTATCATTGTTGGTTCTGGGAATTTGAACTTCTGTTAAGGATGAGATGATGACTGATACATGTGCAAATTTGGTTTCAGTTAGACTACGAGCTTTGGCGTCTCTGTCTATCTTTAGAAGACCATTTTTTTTTTTGGGTTTTATTGCTTTGATTAATGTAGAAGTAGAATGGTGGGAGACTGGAGAACTTAGAATTGTAGTATCTGGTCATGCAGTTGATTGTCTAAAGATGTGAGTGTGATTGAATTGTTGAATGTGTGTGAAAATTGATACTTCTGCTATCAGTTTTATCTTTTCAATAATTGTGTAGAAAACTATCAATTAGTGATGTTCATCCTTCTGGTAAATTCAATCAAAACCTTTTCAATTCTGATGCTATGCTATGCCCGTGTGTTTCTAGTGAGGGATCTACTTTTTTGTTGTCAGATGGGTTATGTGTAGTTGTATTAAATTTCTATTGCTACACACGTAAATGAAGTTAGACATCATTGGTAAGTAAAAGAAGGTCCTGTCTCATAAAGTTGTTCCTTTTTTTAAAATCTGTTGAAGTGTAGAAAGACAGGACCTCCTTCCCTTCTCTCTTCACATCTTCCTAAAAGTTTTTGCTTAAAACTTCTTTAAAGGGGAAAGATAAACCATTTTATTTTGTGTAACTATTTTAACACGCTCATCTTCTTGGCTAGTTTACTTTCTTTTTGCTTGTTTGTTTGTTTGTTTTTCCCCTTAGTAGGGGGTTATATATTACTTTCTTTTATTCTCATTGCCTTTACTACAAGTTTCCTCCAACTTGTAAGTGGTTGTTTGTTTGCCAAAGGATCCATAAATACAAGAAGGTCTGATGTGAACAGTATTTTTTATTTATATTTTTTGGCAGTGACAAGAGTATTGTTTGGTCAATTGGTTTTGTCTTTTATTTGTTGATCCATGTAATACTCGGTTGATTTGGTAAAGAGAAATGTACTATAACTTATTTTCTTTAAATGTGAACAGAGCCGTTGCCTTCTAAGGACATGTCTCCAGGATCCCGATCTAAGTCTAAAGACAAAAAGGCTACCAAGGAAGCTCAAAAGGCTTCTGCAAAGTCTACAGGATCTGGTAATGCAGTAGCTGGTATTCCAGCCAGTGCATACAATCCATTATTGGGAACATTTCACACCCTAGACGTGTCACCAACACCTACCTCCCCAATACATTCTAATGGTCGTTTTCAGAACATAGATGAGACAGACGAACAATCTGGCAACTCAGTAGTAGCTGGTGTTGAGTATGATTCTGTTTCTAATAATGATAGTTGGTCTGGTGAGTCCGAAGACCATAAAGAGAAAACTTCTAATCTTCCTGTTAGACCAGAATCAGTACCAGGAGCTGATAATGACAAGCGAGAGAAAATCCGTCAGAAGAATGAGAGAAAACATCAACGGCAGAAGGAAAGACGAGCACAAGAGTTGCATGAGCGTTGTAGTGGTTATCTTATGTCAAGGAAACTTGAGGCACTTGCTCAACAGCTTGTTGCAATGGGATTTTCTCATGAACGGGCAACGATGGCATTGATATTGAATGAAGGTAGGGTGGAGGAATCAGTAGCATGGCTGTTTGAAGGTGGTGAAGAAGCAGATGGTCACCAGGATACAGACGTAGGTAGGGGCAATTTGAAAATTGACATATCAGAAGAGCTTGCTCGGGTTGCAGACATGGAAATTAGGTATGGTTGCTCAAAACAGGAGGTTGAAAGAGCGATTGTTACCTGTGAGGGTGATCTTGATAAGGCTGCAGAGACCTTGAGAGAGCTGAAGCATGATCCACCAAAGCCAGAGGAAACTGATGATCCTCCTATCATTAACAATGGCAAGCAGCCTGGAGTTGCAAGTCAGAGCTCAAGGCCACAAACAAAACCTATTCCTTCACCAAATCCATCCAAAAAAGATGAAAAGGAATTTAACTATACAAAGGCTGCAATCACGATTGGAGTATCTTCAGAATCCAGCAATAGAAATATGCAACCTCTAAAGAGAATCCAACCGAAGTCTGAATGGGCAAAGCCCCAACAGACTACTATCCTAGCTGACAAAAGGTGGCCAAGTGCAGGATCTAATCCTTCTGTTTCTTATTCATTGGCGTCACCATTGCAAGTAACGCCACCACCAACAAAGTCTGAAGCACAATATATGGCAGTTGCGGGTGATTTTAAGAACCTTAAACCTGGAGCCAGGGAACCATTAATCATGATGCAGCGGCCTCAAACTGTAAATGCAAAGCAGCTTCCAGCCACAAGCATGAGTTCATCACCTCCCGGAATAGGTGCTAGTTGGTATCCAACTAACAGTGGTGAAGTTGGGAGATCTAATGGCTTTTTATCTCATGCTCCTAGCACTAGAAGTCTCAGTCCAAACTATCTCAGTTCTAATCAAATTTACCACCAACTTCAGTATCAACCTCAACAACATTTTGTCGCAGGAAGCAGCAATTCTGCAGATTCCCAAGCAACGAGAGGGAATAGCATTTGGAATAGAACTGGTGCAACTCCAATGCTTGCTGCTGCCTCTTCTCTGGGACTCTTTTCTGGACTAGGATCGGCAGCCACATCAGGGGCAGCTTCTCCAGTTGACTGGAGCACTGGTGGTTCAATGCAGTTCGATTACAACAACATAGACTGGTCCTTGGATAGAAGTTTATCTTCACCAAGGTCAAATGCTTTATTGCTAGGCCTTTCACCATTTTCAAGGAGTAGCGCTCAGATGTATGACTCAAATGCTTCAGGAGTTGCTGCTCAACCATCAATGAGATCAGTGCCCTCAAATGGGAGCATTGTTCCCATGCATGGATTGCAAGATGGTGGAGTAGCCTCTGCTGAAACATCTGCTGCTGGTTCTCGGGAGTGGAGTTCTCCATTTGAAGGAAAAGATCTTTTTAGTTTACCGAGACAGTTTGTTTCTTCTCCTTCTCTGTAGAATCCGAGAGGAGAAAATTGAATAAATAAAATGAAAGAAAGACCCATAAATGTGTGTGGTTTGATGTTGGTTCTTATGATTCTACAGTTGATGATTGTTGATGGTAAGCATTCAAGTGGGAGGAACAAGCATCCACATGAATTACGCGTCACATGCAAATTAAACATTCAATTCAAACCCTCCACTAATCCACATTTTTTACCCGCAATATCTAAACAAGCTCGGATAATTTGAGTAATGCTGCAGCAACTGAAGTATCAGAACACGAAGTTATTACAAACTATGGAGAGCGATTGGATAGCCAACATGTGATGTAAAATCCAATGGCTCAGTAATGATTTTATAGGAGGTCTTTTGGTGGCTAATTTTGAGGCTGCAGCAGTGTTATAATTTGAATACGAGTATATATGGTGACAATGAACAATCGATTAATCTATAGCTTAGGGAGATATCAAAATAATTATAAGTGAATAATAATTAAAGCGTAAAATTTAAGGAACGGATGATTAATTTTTATAAGATTAATCATGTACAGCAACTGCATTGGTAGCTGCTGCTTTCATGTCTAATACAATCGTTGCCAGTTACTTGGGTGCTCGTTGCGTTATTCAGAGTCCACTGTGGCACGATTTTTCAGATTAAATCAACGGGTGAAATTGCTTTGGCATTGATTGCACTGTACATTCGACGTTCTTTCAACATAAGAATGGATAAGCATGATTTCGAATTATAACAAAACTCAGCTTCTCTCAACTTAACGAACAGACATTAAATAGTTTGTTTTCCAGACCAAAAGAAACGTTTGTTATGAATTGAGATGGATTCATTTAAAACTTTTTCAATGGTGATTATTTAATGCTTTTAACTCTCCAATTTGTGTTACTGAGGTAAAAGGGTTCAATGTTGGTCGAGTACAATGGTCCTTGTTCACAGTTGTGACACTTACATTGTGCTTGATTCGAGAGAAGGATACAAACAGACAGGGAGGAGTGAGATTTAGCAATTTATACGGTCATAATTTTCTCAATCTTGCCATTTTATTTCTTCCATTTTCACTCACATCAAGTGCCCCACTATATTAGTATATAGTCTTTTTATTTAATGATTGTCTCACACTGAGGGAGGGGTGAATAATCCGAATCATTCAAAAAAGGTTCAAGTAATATCTAGTAACCGAGTGCATGTATCATTAACCATATCCTAATGTTGTAAGCACCAACAAGGAGAATTAAAGCCTTTAAAAAGTTTAATCCCTATCTACTTTTAGTTTCCATTCATTTGCCTAGTTTTACTGCCAAAATATTTTGGCTTTGGTATCATGGTAAAAGTTATACCCCAATACGGATGTTAGAATTGGTGGTAGAGAGATCAAACATACAATCACAACCCAAAATGAAGAAGAAAATTACAATAACAACAATAAATAAACATATAAATGTAACATGATATTTTGGTTTTCTTTATGCACTTGCAGCTAGTGTTGACTTCCAATGACAACTACTTAAGTGCAGTCCAAGTTGGCCACATCATAGTTAACTCTAATTTGTTTGCTAGGTGGAGAAGTACACTCCATGAATATTCCACTCAAATTCTTATCTTTTTTTATTTAAATTCCCCATTATTATGTAGAGATTGTGAACTGTCCATTTTGGCTCCAATAATATTCCATAGCCAAAAGTGTTGCAGATATCCGATATGATAAAAGTTAGTGGTTTGATAGGGCCTGTCCAACCTTACAGAGCTAGTGGAACTCAATTCTGATATCCTTCCTATGTTAAGTCTGCCTCAGCTTCATTGTACAACAATATGAGAGTAGACAAATCTGACACTTGAAATTAACATAATTAACTGGTGATCTTAGATTATCCACTTTATTTAATGCCTAACTAGATTGTATCTTGTTAGATCTTCAGGAAAAATAAGTATACAAAAACATGTAAGCATCTGCTTGCCATTGATGCAAACAACAATACATAGAGATTCATCTAAGCTCTTTAAAATTATGTGAGAAATCAAAATCAAGGTAGGATTTAGCTGTACTCACATTAATTCATCTGATTTAATATTACTATTATATAAAGTTTCAGGTTGATACTAAAATTAATTAAAATGCTCAATCAAAATTAAAAAGAAATAATAAGATCCAACAACGTTGCAACTAAATCAACATTAACTGTGCAACTGTAATTATTAATTAATGGGATTAAAAAATGTTGCTAATATTTGTTTTTTTTATAATTTCATTTCATTCAATTTAATAATGTACACGCAAGGCATGGGTCACTTGCTGTGTTGGAATAGAATTTGAAAATGTTTAAATGAGTAAAAAAAATGTTACATATATGTTCACTCAGAGCATGAAGCTTTTCTTTTATTATTTAATTTATGAAAGTAAGACATTGAAGTTGATGGAATACAATTGGAGCGGTCACCGTTTATATCATAATCTTTTGTGAATTAATTTGATATTAACATGAAAATGAAATGACAACGCACATCAGAGACTCTTTTATCATCTTAAGTTCTATGTTCTTCCCCAATTGTCAATAAGAAAATTATAAAACCAATAACTTTACAACTTAAATTAGTAAAGATCCAACCTTTAAAAACGTCTAATAATGATGTGAAAAATTTAATCCTTTACCTGGCTACTCATCAGTTTAATTTATTTATAACTTCATAAATCTAACTTGGTAAAAAGTTTGGAAAAAAAAAGGTAAAAAATTATTCTATAACTTGTAAGTAATCCTTTACCCTGCATTTTCTTTTTATTACTCTTCATCCAAAAGAAAACTACTTTCTAGCGGGGCAAAGGGACAACAATACCCCAGGAATGAGACATCAAATTGCAACAATAGCCAGTAGCATAAAAGAAATTCTCTGATTAGTTTCCAAAATGCGACCCTTGTTGTTTGTTTGTATTTTTTGTGACAGGTATACAAGTAATGAGTAATGCAATGCAACCTTCGGTGCCAGTTAATGATGCAACTTGTGACTCCTTGGCATAGTAATTAATGCATGCATGCCAATAGGGTCCCACTTTTTGTTTTTCTGTATATGACAAAATCACAAAAGCAAGATCATCAGAAATTGGTCCCCACTATGTTATATGTTTTATTTTTTCCTTGTTGGGCCTTATCATTTATCTATGATTATTCGTGATACAAGCAGCCACACATTCAGAAGACTATCTGACTCTAGGCTACATTTCCGGTGTTCCATACATTGACTAATCCTGGTGTTGCATAGCAAATTAAATTACATGAAAGCATATATGTCGGTTAAGTCACATTCTCACGACAATAGGATGTCTAAGGAAATTGTATAAACTGTATGGCAGAATTCCTACAGATTCCCATAGTTTTGGCTATAACTCAAACCAAGTTCTCAAAAAGCTAAGTTTTTTTGGCCAGCTCAACCAAATAATTTCCTAAAGGCTTCCATTGCATGACCTCACTAGCTAATGATTTTTCACAGAAGCATGCCACCAAACCAAAAGAGACAATTTGCTTGGCAACATTCTCAAAAGTGTGCACTCTATAAGCTTGACAATGCAGTTATCTCATGAAGCTACCTTAATCTGTTAGCTGATCAATTTACAGAAGACTTCCATGGTTAAAAAGTTGGATCTAACAAACCAATACCCTAATTCTAGCATTTTGTGCTTGCTGCCATGTGAAGCTCCCGAGGCCTAAAGAACCAGACTAACTAACTAAGCAGCAAGAAACAATAAAATTGAATAATGACAGGTGAAAGAGGAAAGTTTCAAAGGGATTCAACTTGCCAAGCAATTGCATGTACAAAGATTTCAAGAAACTTCTATCTACCATCTTCCTTACATGAGATTAAGTTCAAACTACAATCTTAACAAACTCTTTCTTTCTCATTTTAAATTACAAGCATTATTAGACAGCAAATTGTACTTATCCAGGAGAAGAAATTAAACTTTTAGTAATCAAAGGGCCATCCACTATAACTTGTTCCATTATTCTGGTCAGGAGTGGTTGAAGAGCTGCTTCCCCCTGTCTCAGCATAATGATTATTGTTTGAACTAGAAGAGCGGAACGGCCACAAAAATGACAGTCGATTTCTCCTTCCGTGGTTCTGATGGCTATTCTCCTGGCCCCTGGAGCTACCATCGTTACTGTTGCTGTTGGAATTCCTTCCTCCCCAACTTCGGCCACTGCGGGAACTAACATGTCCATGAGGTGGCAGCTCAACACGGCAAACAGGACATGAGTTATGCTGAACCAACCAAGGAACAATACAATCAGAATGGTAAATATGGTTGCATGGCATCTCTCTGGCTTCAGAACCTAGTTCAAATTTTTCTTTACAAACTGGACAGTGTGAATCCGAGCGAAGATGTGCCTGTGTGATCTTAATAGTTGGCATTGCATCGATTGAAGATCGTGCAGCTGGTGGTGGACCACGGCGGTCATTCATGGTAAGTTGCTCAATAAGTTCTTCCAGTCCAGGACCCATAAAATATTCACCAAAATCAACACGCCTAGGACCACCTCTCGGGCTGCCATTTGACATGGTGAATCCAGGAACTTGACCATGAAATATTAAATAAGGACCAGAACTAAAGACACCCCAACTCTGTTCAGGAACTGGTAAAGAACCAGACCTTCCTCTAACATCAAAGTTTGGGTGTCTTCCAGCCATTCTATGCCTCATGAAGTTGTCAACAGCATCTATAAGCCCAAATCTCTGATCAGAACCTCTCTGCCCCACAAAAGCATGAATAGCATCGAAAAAATCAGGCATTTGATGAAACTCTCCTGACTGTGATGAAAAGGTATGGTGGGGTGCAATTCCTTGCAGCTCATTAAGTTCTTGAACAAATCCTCCATCACAGTAAGGGCAAACAACATCTCTCCCTTCAAGCACAATTGGCTGTCTGCATGCATAACACCAGTGTGTTGCTCCACTTGACATCTTTCTCTTTAACAAGACTTTTAAATTGTAAAATCTGCACCAAAATTCAACTTTCCTTCCATGTCAAATATAAATAATTAAACAATAATTATTTAAAAGAATAGTTACAGAGTTGAAATCAATAAATGAAAAAAACCCTTGACATTCAATATCCCAATTGGCTATGCTAGCATTTATATGTATATCCTAAACATTAATAACTTAGTAACACAGAGGAACAGGTTATCTCCAATTAAATTTAAACCACCAAAGGGAGCAAAATAAGATCTGCTTTTGTTTTAACCAGAGCTTCAATCATGCCATCAATTCAGAAAGTTTGAAGATGATTATTTGAACAATCATAAAATGATTTTGTTTTTCAAACAAGGGATGCCAAAACAAGAAATGTAAGGGTTTTTTCATTTCCTGTAACAAGGTAAACAAAGGCTTGGTTGGGTTGCTGGCAAATGACAGCAGCATATTCGTGTCAAGAAACTAACTTCCCATTTAAAAAGGAAGATATAGATCAATTGTGTCAAATATGGCAATATATAATATATAAAAGCACATTAAACTATCATAGTACTTAAATTCTGACCAAGGCCAAATCAGAATTCAGGAATCGGGTCCAACAGTTACAATAGGGGGAAAAGCTCTAAATATTCATCATAATAGACAAATTGAAATGAAAACATTTTCCCCCAAAAAGATTAAAACAAATTATCAAAGGTGAATAGGGGAGTAACAAAATTCATGCACGATGCAAAGAGCACTTATCATGAATCGTAACCTCAGAGACAGTAACAGTAGAGAGAAAGCAAAACAAAGCCCCAACTGAAAATTAAGAAGAAAACATAGCACCTGTCATTAAAGCACAATTTTTTTTCAAATGGGGTTTCAATCAATCAATACCGATTTACTCCAAGGACCAGATTAACCTCAAAATCATACATAATAAACCGCAGAAAAAGGGGGGTACTCAACAGAGAAAAGAAAAATTGTAGCACAAGGCTGAAAAGGTTCAGGATTCATCAGAGTGAACTTACCAAAAGAGAAAAAGCAAGAACTCAGAGCTTAGTACCGTGAGATTCTGAGCCTCAGAGAGAGAGAGAGAGAGAGAGAGAGAGAGAGAGAGAGAAAGAACGAGAAGACCTTTTCTGTTTCTGAGGTTTGTCTCACTGAGGAAAAAGTCCTGTGATATTTACCCCACTTCACCATTATGACCCTTTCTTATTTTACATAATTAAATAATTTCATTTTTCAAATGTGTCTAAAAAATATAATAATAAATAATATTTTTAAAATTATAATATTAAATATTACAAGTATATTGAATTTTTATAATTTTTAATAAATTTCATTATATATAAATTTATGCTGTATATTCTAAAACAAATATTCAAAATATCATAAAAATTTAAAGTAAACTTTATAGTAAAAAGTGTATTTATTATCATTATAAAATATTTATGTAAATGTTTTACGACTTTTTAGTTAATAAATTAAAAGATACGTAGCATTGTTTAAAGGTTAAAATTATCGATAGTTTTCTTCTTCAAAAACAATTTATTTATTTATTTATTCAAATTTCATTATCTCACGTAACTTTTTCTTCTTTATCCTTTCTTTTTTCGTAGTCTCTTAAAATTGCTTGTAATACGAGTCCATACGGATTAAAAAATATTATATTAATTATGGTAATTTTTTATGCTTGTTTGTAAGCGTTTAATTTTCATGTTGACCCAAAACTTGTAATAAATAAAATTTATTTAATAGTGGTATTTATTGTTACTTTTAAGTATTTATTATTATTATTATTTATATTTAGATAAATTTTATCTAAAATATTTTTCTATAGATTATAATTATATTAATGATAGAAGAATTTTAAATAAAAAAATACTGAAATATAAATCCCAGTAAGCATATGAAAGTGATACTTCCTTGCTTAATACATATCTCTTAACTGTTAACACAACTCAAGTATAGAATTGAAAATATTTTAATTAAAATTAGAATTTCATTTTGTCAATCAATGTAAAAGGCATTAATACTAAAACTCAACATATTAGTATTAAGAATCTAAACACGTTATCAAAATAAAAACTTAACTTTAATTAAACAATAACACCAATTATATTTACAGTAATCAACTTTATTTTTTTTCTTTATATTTTTGACGTGGTTCTAGATACCTTCTCTATATTTTGAAAACAGGATTGACTGCCTAGGGAATTAGTTGATGGATTGGAATAACTTTGAGAAACGAATTTTCTGAGAATCAGATAAACAAGTCATGAATCATTGAAATTAGTGAAAATGAATGTTTATCGATTTATAAAAAACCTAATTTTGCTGTTAAATTACTTTGTAAAAATAAGAAACAATATAATGTGGTTATTTTATTAATATTTTATAACTGAGAATTATCACTTTTATATAAAAGTACAAAGCAAATATTTAAATACATTTAATATAACATTGACTTTTAAAATACTAACAACAGTTTTTAAATGTTATATTCTTGGGTAATTTTTATGTTAATTTCATTGATAAACATGAAATATCATTTAATAATAAATAATGTTAAACCTAAATATTTACTATCAAATATGTTCAAAAATTAATTTTAAAATTTGTCTTGCCATGTAAGAGAGACAGATCATAGATCATAGGTAGCCTAGCTTCTACCCAATAAATAAGAGAGAAAAAAAAATAAATAAATATATATATATATATATATATATATATGAAAATGCTTATAATTGCATTTGTACCCTAAATTGTTTAGGCATCCATACCAACTTTATGATACACATAATAAATACATATAATTTGATCAATATAATGCACTTTTGATTTGGACATTTGTTTGACTAACGCAACTAAAGCAATTTTCAATTACCATTTTTTTTTCTAATGTTGATAATAAGCTTATATGATCTCTAAAAAATCAATTAGGTCTATACTCTCCATGTGTGTCACAGTGTACATTCCTACCTACTCATATGACCCTACATTACCCTAATCTATCAACAAAATGAAAGTTTTAGGTCGTTTATTAATAGTTGAGGCAATTTCATATTTACATTTTCAAATATTAAAATTTCAATTAAATACTAAAGTTAATAGAGATCCAAACAGAAAAACTTGAAGGAAATTGCATTTGATGGAAAAACTAAAGAAAAGCCAGCAATTAAAACTTTTCAGTTAAATAGAATATTATTACTAAAGATAAAAAATAAAACTGATGTTTGATATTTTTAGAATTATACATAAATACGATTCAAAAGAAGCAAATCATATTTTATGTAACATGGCATTGTAGAAATTGCGAGGGTGTCAGCAAAATTGGCATTGTGGAATGCACTAATACGACAGCATATTCTTGGTAGCTCACGAGAACGACCATGTACCTATAAATAGCTTTAAAATTGCTTCACATAAAATATAAAAAATGATAAACCAATGCATTTAAAAAACCTAAAAGATTTTTTTTTTTAATTAAAATGTGAAATGGTAACCCACTTTCTTTATATTTTCTAATGGACTTTTTACGTAATTTTCAATAAAAAACTTTATTTTATTGATATATTAACTAGGGCCTTATAATTAGTATTACCATAAAGCACAACCAAACTCACAAAGAGTACACATTCAATGAAATTAGAGGTTTTGAGAAACTTCTCATAAATTAAATGGAAGAAGCACATCGTTCAGTTATGTTAATCTCACAGACAATAATAATACAAGAATAACATTGGAAGTTACACCATAACATGAATACTTAATATATCCATATCTCTTTTACTTCTCACAATTCTTGCAACAAAATCACTACCATTGAGACAGACCAAACATGAACGATGAAAGAGGGTTCAGAGAATAACAGACTTATCAGCCGCTTCAAAATGGCTAAACTCAAAAGTTCAAAAAGAAAACTTAAATTTTGTTGAATGCAACAATGTCACAGCTTTGGATATACTCATTGCATGGCTCAACTGTGAGATGTTCCTCAATGAGAGAGTCCACAGATACAAGGTCATCAACAATGGTCATCATGATCTGCAACTTCTTGATCCCGTATCCCACTGGAGCCAGTTTTGCTGTATCAATTGGAACAAACCATTTAAGAAATATCGTAATTTTTTTCAATAGAAGGTAAATGCATCAAACATGCATGAAAAAAATTGATGAAAATTTTAACATACATGCTCCCCACAATAAGCCGGGCATCTCAACGCTACGAACAGCCTCTTCCAGCTTCTTCATGTCAGTCTCATCGTCCCAAGGCTTAACATCAAGCAGAACCGAAGATTTGCCACCTATAAAATGTCAAATCAAACAGTTTCAGCAGGAAAGCAAGACATGAAGAGAAGAAAATAGTTTCTATGAGTACATGACAAGTCATCATAAACTTCAACTTGTTTTTCTACCATATTGTATATTTCTGGGAAATGCTTCATGAACACAACAAATTAAAGATTCAGATAAAGCTTACTTTCTTTCTTCTTGGTGGACTTCTTAGCAGCCTCCCTTTCCTCCGCTGCCTTCTTATCCTCCTCGGTCTCATCACCAAAGAGATCAAGATCATCGTCATCTTCAGCTTCAGCTGAAGCAACCTGACAAATTCAAATAAATCCAATGATCATATTATTTGTAGTAATCAAGTTATTTGTCGTAGTTTGTTAAGTGGCTTCAGTACAACTACAAATCTTACATTTTGAAATGAGTGTTTAATTATCTATAAAAAGTGAAAAGTCTATATTCTACATTTTTATAATTTGAAACAACTTTAGTAACTATATTGAGTGAAAAGTAAAATACAGTATTATGCAACCACTCTAAAATGTTCACATTGCCTTCAATGAAGCTATCATATTCTTAGCTAATAACTACCTCATCCAGTAACTATATAATAAACATACGAATATGGTCACAAAACCAACTCTGTTCTTTCTAAAACTGAATATCAAAGTTATTCATTCCAGGGGTTTACACAACTGGGCATACCCCATTTGATTTCAAACTCAAATTCACGTTCTAAAACAACATTTGCTCTGTCTTCTCTTCAAAAAGCAAATCTAAGGTTTCTACATAATTTTTAAGCAACTTTTCTCTTCTAGTCAGAGTGATAGTTATAAATTTAGCATGTCACAGTCAGAACATCGAACGGAAAACATAAGAGGTATGATAAGCAAGAAAAACATAAAAAAAAAAAAAAGAGAGCTTGAGATAGAGAAAACTGGCAGAAAGTTTTCTTGTAATTGCATGATTTAGTTAAGTAAACATCTTAACTATTTGCAAGTGTGAATATCACACAAACATTACCATGGAGTGTCATATATTGCTAACTCAGATTTAATTCCATCTTTATTATATCTACAACTTTTCTATCATATACAAACAGTTCTAAAGCTAATGTTTATGGACATTAATTACTATTAAAAAAAACATATAGTGTATCACTTCTACATTTTCAATATAACAAGTGATTTTTTTTAAAAGAAAAAAGGAAAAAAAAATGACACGAGGAAACATATTATAAAATTAAAAAAAAAACAAATGCATACCGCTTTGGCAGGTGCAGCTTCAGCTGGAGCAGCTTTGCCACTGAATTTTACCCCTTGAGCATTCCCCGGGAAGCTATTTTTATCAAGAAAAAAATCAAAATTAGAAAATAAAATAAAATAAAAAACAAAACACAGATCATTGAGAGGAAAAAACAAACCTTTTAGCAAGATGGGAAGAGACAACATCGTACCACTTGGCAGCATTGAGAAAAGAGTCACCTGGCTTTCCCACAACAAATGCATACACTTTGATATCATCCTTTGTCAATTGATCCCTGAATTGAAAATACCCACATGCAGATTCAATCACCCAAATCTCAGAAACAGTAAAAAATGATTTTTTATTTTTTTATTTTGTTTATTCATTTTGTTTATTCATTTTGAGGATGAAAGAATTAAGAGGCTACCCAGAAATATAAGTCTTCCCAGAGAGGAATTGATCGAGGGATTTGAGGCCCTCTTCGGTGTGTAGATTTGAGAAGGTGATAGCCATTTGAGTGTTTGAGACGAAGAACGGTGATGCTGCAGAGTGAAGAGTGAGAGAAAAATAGGGTTCAGCTCAATACTCAAAAATTGATATTTATATGATGCAGAGGCACAAACCCTAGATCAGTCCCCACCTCTGAAAAATTCTGTCACACTTTCAGAAAAAGAATTTTCTTATGTTAAAATTCAGAGTAATTGATGCAGTTAATTTCTCTTTTTCTTTTTTCCTTCAATGATATTATTTTTAAATTTCATTTCTTTTCCAAATAATATATTATCATGAGTTTATTACTATTTTGTTATGAATGTGACTTGCAAAACTGAGGAAAAGTGAATGATTTGATTATTTTGACTTTTTTCTTCGCTGTGAATTTTTATAATTATAGTCCTTGTATTGTTATTGTTATTTAAATTATAATAATCAAGGTTTTCCATCATTTTTTTTAATTTAAAATTATTTAAATCCTTATTTTAAAAAATTATAAATGGAATCGTTTAAATTATTTTAAATGTTTTTAATCAAATATTATTACTCAAAATCTCATTTTTTAAAATAAATTATTATAATTTCGTTTGTCTTTTTAAACCCTAACATTGTATTTTATTAATTTTTTACAATCTATCAATTAAAAATATTATTAATATATTTTTTAAGTGATTATTATAAAATTCATGATTCATAATCATATGAAAATTAATGATTGAAAGATTATATAATTATTTTCGTATTATCAATATTTTAATTAAATGAAAAAATTACATCTAAATTTTTAAAAATTGTTTATATCTAAAATCTATTATAGTTCTTAATTAAATCATACCTTTTTGTTTTAAGTTTATTTTTTTTATATTTATTGTAAATTTATTTTAATTTTATGATATTATGAGTTGCATAAAAAATCAGACAATTTATGAATGACTTATATTATTTTAATTGTTTCGAAATATAAATTTGTGACTGTGAGCTATTCGTTTTGAGATAATGTAAATGTAAATAAGTAATGCCTCTATTCGAGAGCTTAAGTTTAAGAAGAAAGAATTAATTGAATTTTAGAAACTAAAAGATTCATACACCAAAATATTAAGTTAATTTAGGAATTTGTCATATCAATTCCTTGATTAAATCTTAGTCTAGTCAGAATTCTAAGGAAAATAAGAAGAAATGAGATTCCTAATATATTTATCATCACATATTTATTTTTTAATTTATTTATTTTGGTACTTTTTTTATTTATTTTTCATGCTTTGTTTTTTTATTTTTCTTCACTTGTTTTCCTTTGGAATTCTTTAAATTAATTTGTTGCATTGGATTAGTACTAGCCAATTATTGGTTATCAATAATATGGGAATTTTCGTTTTCACTTTAATTTCTTTAATTAGAGTTTTGATTGATTTGGCCTCTTCTTTTTATTAAATAGCTCAATGTCATTTTAAGATTTAGAATAAGATATTTTGTATTTTCTTTAGAAAATCATTTCCTCTTTCTTCCTAATCCTAGAGATAAGCTAATTTGTTATACTAAATATTTTTATTATAGTTTTTCTAATATTGCTATTTGTTGGGTACGTTATGGTAACATATCCATCACAATTTTGTTTTACTTTCACAAGCTTTTCATGTACCATGTCACAGCTCTAAGGGAAAAATATTGAAAGAGAATAATTATATATACAAGTTTCATCAGCAATTCGCCGCTTCAATACATAACGTGGCACACTTTGAATCCATGTCTTCCATTGTTTAGCCATAGCTTTGCTCACAAAGGGAATATGAAGCTCACGAGGCCTAAGGCCAGCTTAGTAAATTCGTTACTTAAACCAAGAAAATGATTCGGTTTCATCGAAAGTTTAATAAAATATCTTGTCCAGCTTCTGTGGGAATCATAGAGGAATAATGATATGAGCTTAGATTTTGCCAAAACATAAAAAATCCAACCAAGCCGTTGAGACCAATCATGAATCATCAATTTTAAGGGGTTGTTACTTAGGTACCTGATAAGCTCAAGAAATGCTGTTTTGGAAGATTTTGTTCACACATTGACAAATTTTGTACACACATTGTCTTCAACACCTAGTCTCTTGTAGCTAAACTCATACTTTATTAAGCTGCAAGAGTCTTGGTTCTTTAGTACTTATCCTGTACACAAAATTTCCTTGAACCATTTGTGTGATAAAAAATTGGAATTCCTCAATAAGGTAGTGAAGTCTTTGCCATCGTTGGCATGGAGGGCCAGAGTGTAGTTGTGATCCATGATGCATCTAGAGAACTCAATTTAAGAGTTTTTGAATGGACTCTACATGGCTTGTTACTTATGGCAGGAGATATGCTCACACTAATTGTAGTCCTGCACGAGGTCATCACTCCTAGTATGTAATCCTCCTTGGCAAACTTTGTTCACAATATGCATGTTAATTTCGCAAATCAATCCATTTTTTTATTTCCCTTTACATCATTTTTCTTGTAGTGGGATACAAAAGCAGTGTTGACAGCAGGTTAATGTCTGGGGCAAACCAGAAGATTGTTGAGGCACAAGCTGCAAGGAAGAAGGAAGAGTATATGAATAATGTGGAACTTGCTCAGATTTTTAAAGTATATAAATCAAAAAAGGTCATAAATACTATTTAATAAAACTTTTCTCTATTTTTGTTTTCCTTTTGAACTTCACTAATCACTAGTTTATGTGATCATTAGGAAGCATCAAGTATGACTTGCAAGTTGATAAATACTTGACTGAATAAGCTAGACATGGAGAATCAAATATCAAATGTTGTTGCAGCAGTCAAACAAATTATCTTGCATATTATTAACTACTAAATATTGTAGGGTCTAAAAGGGATTATTAGACAAGAAGTTTCTTTACTTTAGTCTCCAAATCTAACCTTATATTTTAGTATTCCTATCCCTTACACTTGTTTTTTGGGTACTAACTTCACAACTGACTTCGTTGGATTTGATACTAGAAGATATTAGTTAAAAGTGAGTGGGGACGAGAGAGATTTCACTAAATATACTATTTCTACTCCAAAATCTAAATGCAAATCAATCATGTGGAGTAGGTGTGCCACATATATTGATGATATTTTCTGTGTGGTTGGAGGGGGTTATAATCAAAAGCATACTGAGTAATTTGATACAAAATAGTTGCGGCCACCAAGTATTAAGGTAACAGTGCTCTAAGGGATATTTAGTGCATTCCAAATGATAATAAGTGTAAAATTCTTTCACAAAATTCGAAGGAAATATAGAGTTGTTAAATCATATTCTTCAATATTAAAAAAATGTGCATATTATTATAAAAAAGTTCTTGATTGTTCTCCAGTTGCTACTTTCATGTCTCCTTTGGGTGTCAACTATGCTAAAGGAAGGCAGGGAAAGTAATAGGTTGCAGCTAAAACCTTTGACAATCTCTCAACAGAACAAGTTCTCACATGAGTATACACATTTTGCAAATAGTAAGTCATTATTTTGTTTGTGAACTTATATGACGTGTAAGCAAATGATAAAGTGAAACAATATTCAAACTAAGAGCAGGAGAAGAAGACAATATGCAGTTATCCTTAATTCTATATTCTTATCATTGCATAAAGAATATTAACTAATACAACTCATTCAGGTACTCAACAATTTTACAATCTTGATAAAAACCAGGAACAAACTATACTTGAGTTGCCTACCAGGCAAAATCATGAGTTTCACATATTTAAGATTCAATTTCTTTACCTAAATACAAAAGAACCCCTTCAGTCCTAGCATGATCATAAATCATTACACTGTTGACATATTATGGTTATGACTTAAAATTCTTTAATAGAAATTACAGGGTTGACAATATCATCCTCAAATAACACTTGATAAATCGCAGAAGTTGATGCTGTTCTTTTATTTATTCCTTTATACATATATCCTACTCCAACCACACATCTGTTTCATTCAAGACAGATCATCATAAAAGAACTAGAGAAGAAAACCATAAACCTGTCACATGCTTCACTCACTATTTTAGCATTTTATGAAACATTGCACATCATATTTTCAGGTTGAATTTAAGATAGAAATGGCTATAGGATCATCACTAAAGGCAGTTGCAATGAAATCAGCCACAAAGTTAAAGGCAACTTGGCTCATACTAGACAGGTCAGATGAAATTAAACTGATAATCTGAATTCTCTCTCTATTTTCGTAGATGGACTACCAAAATATTGATGCCAATTATACACTTCATGCAAGGATGACATAGTTCTTTTGAACCCCTTCATCTGAAGGCTATTCAAGTATAAACATATTATCTAACAAAATCCATTAACTACGGTCTATGGGTCATAATGTCTAAACAAGTCATGTCTATTGATTAACTCTTAGATTTGGGTGTTACTTATAAATCAACTACCTTCTACAACTGCAACTATTCTGTTTTTAACAAACTAAATCACAACATAATTATCATAAATTTTTTTATATGTGTGTATATCTAAGCCGTACTCCTAGATAATGACTCAGGCTACCCACACTCGCAAGTTAGGCCTAAACAATACAACTGCTTAGTTGAAGTACACATTGAACACACGGAGAAAATAGAATGATAGATTACATATGAATCAGTATTTTGTTGGTGAAGTTAAAGTTGGATGTTTACGTTTGGTTAAGGGTATTCTACATGAGTATGTCATATAATCGAGTTATATAAAATTTCAAAATTATATATTGGTCGAACTCAAATCTATATTAATTCATACATGACGTGCAACATTCTCAAATTGGGAGCTTGTAATAACTTCGGGATGTTAGTGTATGATTAGAAATATGCTTGTTATCAGAAGTAATGAAATAAGATAACAAATTATTTAATTGCATCAAGTGTGAAATCCAAACTCATTTTATTGAGTGAATTAACTCACTACAACCTCATCTTAATGTAAGATGCATCTGGGTGGTCACAGGAAAATGAAAAATGATGAGGAGTATTTCCTCCGGAAGCTTTCTTGTGGTATATTAAGAATAAGGCGTTTCAATAAAATTGTACGTTTAAGAGGACCATTAAAACTTCCCCAAGAAACAAGACCAGGTAGCACCCATGAAACATACACTGACAGTATACCACTACCAGACACTTCAACTGAACCTGATCTTGATCATTCCAGCATTGAGATTTCCCCTACATGTAAGTACTTGAACACATTTTTTTATTTCATCTAATATAATATAAGCTTCTAATTTTGATAAACTTCAATATTTTTAGCTGTTTTCATTTATCAATTTTCCATTCACAACCCATTGAAAGAAATTGAAAGAATGATATTCTAAGGGTACCCAATATCATGTGGGTTGGCATTAGCATGGCTTTGTTTCTTTGCATGTTTCTCCTCCATAAGCATCCAAAATAGTTAAAAGTAAAAGTACTAACAATCTAATGATAGTTCATGGAAAAGATTATCCTATGAAACTGGAACAAGCACTGAGACAAGAAAGCCTCCATGATGAAGCAGAGTGCTCAACTCCTAATCAACTGAGCACAGGAGAAAAAGACATTAGAAACAAGCAATTGGAATGTCAAGGAAAAAGTGACCAGCAGTGGAAGGATGAAGAACTGATAGAAAGCAGGAACCATGTGAAAGAAAGGGACCAAAAACTGAAACAGAAAGAGGAAAATAGAGACATGACTTGTGTTGGAAGTAACATGCAAACAACACATGAAAGCTTAAGCACTGAGGAATATCAGAGAAGTGAAAGTTGCTCATCTCTTGGAGGAGCTAAAAACTATTACCTTGGAGGGGCTGAAGAATACACACTGTGTAAACAGTTTTTTGGTTTGAGTAATTTTCATTTGAGGGATTGATTTTGTACTTGTATTGTGCATTACTTACACATCACTTTTTGTCACAATCTATCCTCTCTAGTTACCTCCATAATATGATGGTATTATAGCCATTATAGACTGCTATCTTCCTCAATTCTCATAGAGTAACAATAATGCTAAATGATTTTTGGTTTGTATTGCACAAAATGATAAGTAATATTGGATTTGAACCAAATCAATATTCTCTAACAGCAATAATTAATTTATTAATTAGCACCTAGTATTCTTGAAATCTGCACATTTAAACTTTTTAGTGCACATGCAACCTCTACTTGTTGAAATTTTGTTACTAACTTAGTTCAACAAAATGGATAGAGCAATTAGCAGCTAAAGAAGAATTGTTGCATCAGCTTGCAATTACAACTCAAGTAAAAAATTGAAGGACGAATTAGAAAAACACATTACAATAAGTTCCACAAGGGACACCTTAATCAACCAAAAACTTCGAGGAACAACAAAGCATAGCAACTTTGTATGTCTTCACGTGTTACACACATTCATCCACCTTTGGTATTTCCAACCAAAATAAATTTATGAAAACGTGTTTCCAAAATAATCATCAGCAAACTAGTTAGAACATGTCAAAATTCTATACCACTTTCAAAATTTAGTAGTATTTGGTATATAATTTTTTTTTTATAAGCAAAATATATATTATGAGAGAGAGTTTAAAGAAAATTTAAAATTCATATACACAGATAAAAAAAATTAACACTTACTTAGAAAAATAAAAAAACAAAACTTTGGTATATAATTTGAATGAATAAAAAATAATTTAACTGTTTATTATAATTTGTTTTATCTTATAAAACATGTAATATGTTTCCTTAAAAAAAAATTATAATTTTATATCAATTAATTTATTCAATATATTATATAATATGAAAAACTTATACTTGATTAATGCTAATTTGACCTCAATTCAATATAATTAAACAATTAAACTGTAAACCATCAATTTTATCACTTCAATTAATAGTTTGGTTTAAAAAATATTCCAAAGACTTTACATAAAAGTTTAAAGAGAAGAGGAAGTAAAGAGTTTGAGAAAAAGGAGGAAAATAAAAGGAAAGAATAAAAAATGTTAAAAGAAAAACTATTCAGTTTAAAAATTTAATAACACAACTTTACTAAAAATTTTGGAAATTTTATAAAAATTCTTCCCCAAATTTAAAAATTATCATGAAATAAATATTTTTCTTCCATTCTTTCACTTTTTCTAAATTTAACTTTCAAATAAAATGTATACATTTAATGGATGGCGTCAGGGTAAAGAGTAAGGAATGATACTGGTAGCCTCAACACTGTGGGCTTTTTCGTATTATTATTTGATTAAATTATTAATGTAAGACTAATTTCTCACAAAAGTAATATTTTAACAAAAGACCATATTTGTGTTAAGTGTTTAATATTTTTTATAGATATTAAATTTTATTTATAAATTTTATATAAATTTAAAATTAATTTATTTTGTACTAAAAATTTTAAATAAATATAATATATTTTTTAAATATAAATATGAATGTATATATTTATAAATATTTAATTTATTTTAAATTTAGTACATAACTAACTACATGATTTCAGGATGAAATTTGTCAATCACAGCTTGCAATCTTTTTATTGAAGACCCTTTTATTTTTATTTTCACCATCAACTTTAATTTTTCATAGCACATTCTTTAATATAAAATCTATATTTAATAATCATTAAAAACAGTTATTTAATAGTTAAACCGTATTTAAAAATGATTAAATTTATGTTACTTCAGTAGTTGAGAGGGTTTGATACTCTCTTATACGTATAATAATCTTAATTATTAATTTTATACAAATAAATAATAAAATTAGTGATTTAGTTATATAAAACATTAATATTTTCTGATCTTTAAAATATTAAAAAAATTACCACTACCAAGTCAAAACACCTTTGAAAATTGAAATATCAAGTCCAACGACAGAGGGACAGGAAAAATCTTGGCATACAAGATAGGACATATATCTAAGTACATCACTGGCAAAATCTTTAAACAATTATCTAATTGACAACATTTATCAAAATTATAATTTTCTTTTCTTCTTCATTTGAAAATTTTAACCTCCTCGTTGATGAAGTATAAAAGAAAAAACAAACTCCGCTGTATATAAGATGGGACATCTCTAGGTAAAATCATCACTGGTTTTTGTTACTCTCTCGGCTGTAGTCTTTGATCAAGTATTGAAGTGTTCTTCTGCAAATACATCGTCGTCTCCAGGGCACAAGATTATTGAAGAAGATCAAGAATTACACTGCCATACCCACGTCGTCAAGATTCAGGTGACAACACTTACGTCTCATTATATGTATAACCCAACTTTTTCCCAAACAATGATACTTTCTTTTCTTGACAAAATTTCAATTTTGCATTCATCTCTTTAATATTATACTGTAATTAATTTTGCATGATCATGCGTAACTCATCTCACTTTTTACTACTCATCCAATTAATACCTAAAATATTTGTTAATCAATCTTTATGTATTATTTGAGATTATATTTTAACTTTTTGAATGAAAGTTTTTCATGAGTTTTCTCATATGGGAGCGCTTCTTAATCATAGTAAGTATTTTTCTACTTCAAATATTTAAATTTTTATGATAATTTTAATTTTTAATAATTTATTTTTTAATCAACCTCAATAAATAATATGAGGGTAATAGTGTTTGCTCCTCTGGTACAATACTTTCTTATCTTATTTTCTTCCGTGTACATTCACTTCAACTCTCATTATTTAGTGCATATATTCTATTTTTATACCCTCTATCACTGCACTCATTTTACACTGTTTACGTTAATTTGTTAGCATCCATTATCAGTAATTTTAAAGTTAACATTACTCTCTTTTTAGGTTGTCTTTTCTTTCAAGTATCGAGATGGGTTTTGATGAACAAAATAAACCGCATGAAGAATCACATGAGGTATATATTAACTCTATATTCTGTCATAAAACTCTTTCTCTAGTTGTTACTTAATTTTTATTATTCTTTTTTCCTTGAAAGGCATCTCAGAAATCTGTGGCGACAGCAAGCGAGTGTGAATTTTGTGTCCAGAACTGTAACTCTGACACAACATCAACTGACCACAAAATATCCCACCTTCAAGCTCAAGGGAAAAATTTGGTCACAGAGCTTAATCCAATGTCTAAAGACAAATTTATGTGTTTTATTTGCAAGAAGGATTTTCCATCAAGGAAATCCTTGTGTGGGCATATGAGAACCCATCCTGACAGAAATTGGAGGGGTGTTCACCCTCCTATACCTTCTCTTCCTGCTCATAGCCACGATTCTAGCTCCAACTTAACGATGGAAAAGAACGAAAATCATTATTATTCCAATGCAATTGCTACACCAAAGAAAGAAGAACCTGTTGATCTATTAAAACATTTGCGAATGCTACCAGGATGGCAATTTGGGAAAAGAAGGAAGAAACGTGTTTATAGGAAAGAGGAAATTACAGCTGCTCAAATACTGGTGGATATCAGTCATGACACATGGCCACATGGTGTGCATCTCAAATCAGTACTTCAAATGGGGCATTTTGGAAATAATATGAAAGGAGCATCGAATGATATGAACACTAGAGATGAGGCTGGTACTGGTGGAGTAAAAGATTTAGTTCGTGACTTTGGTGAAATGAAGATGTCCAAGGAAAATAACAACGAGAATAGAAGAAAGTTGACAGTGAAATTGAAGAATCCATATTCAAGAGTTAAAGATGAGGCAGGAGATGGCTACAAATGTGATATTTGCTGTAGGTATTATCCAACGATCCTAGACTTTGTAGAAGACAGATTAAGCCACGCTAAAGAGAGGAATCTTAAGCGTAAGTCTTCAGATGGCGCAAGAGAAGCAGATCAATCAAGCAAAAAAGTTCATGGCTTTGATCTGAAAGAGTTGCCCGAGGATACGTAAGAGGAAGCATATTTGTTTTTGAAATCACCAATTTTTGAAGGGGAGGGTTATGGTGTAGTAGCAATATGTTTTTTCAACTGTTTAGTAGTTTCTATATTTTAGTTTGTTATATAAGTTTCATTGTTAAAACATTAATTACATGTTGCTGTTTTATTTGAATTAATATAAATATAAATGTATGTTTGTTTTTTATTCATTTTTTCACAATTTTATATTTTTTTCTTCTTCATTTTTTATTTTTAACAAAATGATATAAACCTTGTCTTTTTATGAATAGGTAAGAGTGGATATTGTTTAATCAAATTTTTTTTAAGTTGCTTTTTTTTTGTCTTTAATTAATAAAAAAAACTATGATCTTTGAACTATTAAAATGAAAGCTTTGAATATTTGAAAAATTGTTGAAAAGAATTACAAAATTTTTTTGTCGTTACATAATTCTACCATGGTCAAGATAAAATGTTAATATGAAAAAAAGTTGAAAGGCAAAAATAAAATAATGTCTTTTTACTATTATTTCAACAATAATCTTTAGGATCATGACTTTCAAAACAATAAAAATAATTTAGAATTATCTAAAGAAAAAATATGCAAGAGAGATGAAAGGATTTAAGATATGCAAGTGCTTAATTTGATAAAATGATTTGGACTCCTAAATACGATAAAGTCTAAGACAATTAAAATATATTAAAACATGTTGTAGTATAGCTAATAAGATAAGATTATTAGGTGTTGAGCTTTCTAATTCTAGAATTGTAGAAAAAACTCTTGTAATAATGTCTAAAATCACACTAATGTAATTCTCAATACCTTAAAAGCACATAAGCAAATGCATGTGATGAAATTAGAAGGTGTTGTCAAAGAAATCTTACATGTTATACATCATAAAGATGCAAAATTTAACAAGAAGAAATATTATTTCTTATGTCATCATCATGTGAAAAAATATATTGTTGATAAGAGGAAGAGGATCATTTGTTTATAATTTACTTGCTTCTCAAACTTTAAATAAAATGAAAGTCAACTAACTGACAATAGTTACACTAATCAAATTATTAACAACAAAAAACTCTTTAGAATCTTATATGGACTAATGTCACCAAATTTAAAATAAGTAATAATGATCCTATTTTAGTAAAAAAAAAATAAGACAATTACAATAACAACTTATTTAGACACAAAATTAATTCATGTTATTTTTTGTTTCTTGAAATTAACTAAAATTTGTTAAACATTAACTAATTGATTGAAAAAGAATTTAAAGTTATTTTTAAGACATTGTTTAATTAAATATGAAGTTGGTCAAAATATTTTTAAAATAAAAATAAAAATAAAAATTTTACTTTAAATCTATTATAAGAAAAGTAAATAACTTTTCATGTAAAAAAATTATCTGAATAATTTATCTTAATATATTTAAGTATTGAAAGTAGGTTTTTTTATTTTACACGTGTAAGTAAAAAACGTCTTAAAGTTACAAATATAATAATTAGATATTTCAAAAATACTTGCAACTTAGACATCAATTTTAAAAGGAGTGAAACATTTAAATTGATCAATTTTTTAAATAGTGACTTAATTAATGATGGTAAAAAATTTTTATGACCAATTACTTTGAATCAAATTCTAATTAAATATTGAAGGAAAAACAGTATTCTTATTGACAATCAATTTACTTTCTATTAGGAAATTTAAAACATAGAAAACATAATTTGCAATTTGCAATCAAGAAAAAGTTTGCAACTACTTTTATTGTTTTAGGTTATTAGTTAAGTATACAGTGAATAAATAGTTTCTATATTTTAAGAATAATATAGTTTGCTAAATTTTAGCTACACAATTAGTTTCTATTTTTATTTGAAAAATTTTATAAATATACCATTAATTAAGATGAGTTTAATGCATGGCATTTTTACAGGTTGAAATTTTAAAATGAAATAGACACTAGTTAACTGTATGCAAAATTTAATAACCAATGATGGTATTTGAAAATATTGGTTCAGGGCAAAGCTATTTATGATCTATCACCAGTAAAACAAACAATAAAATATTAAATTAATTTTAAAAAATTAATTTTTACTCGATTTCCCACTGCATAACAAGAGGACATGGATTGTAAGATAGACTCTTAAACAAATTTTGTCAATTTAGAAAGCGTATGACTTCTCTGATTAATTAGCATTCTTTTAATTCTCCCTATAATTCTCCTAATTAACAACGTAACATCAACAATCTTGATTGCATAGTAAAATTTTGATGACTTAAGTATATAATTAAGATACAATAATTTATCAACATTTTGATTGACATGGGTTAAATATCAAAATTTAACAATTAAATTCAAAATAAAGTTACAATAATGTTAAAATTTAGATAATCTAAAACATAATTATATCTTTAAATTGGAAGTCCATGAAAATTTAAAATTTTAGACAATTTAAAATTGAAAAATGAAAATTAACTATAAAATCGGTAGTGTAGTTTGAATTTAAAATTTGTTACTAAATTAAAAATTTCAAATATTTAAAACTAAAACATGATTTCAATTTTTAATATTTTCAAAACTTAAAGAGGACTCAAGTATATTTTTTACTCGCCTTTACATTTTGTTCAAAAAATATTTTTTTTAAATTTTTCAATCAAGTTATTTCACAATTTGAAAGATAGTAAATAGTTTTATTTTTAAATAAAAATAAAAACATAAGATATAATATAATAATATTATGAAACAATACAGAATGGTAAATAAACCCAATGTATTAAAAATAAGAGTACATTACAAAATTGTAAAACAAATTATCATAAAAAAAAAATTGTAAAACAAATTTAAGACCGAAAGGTAACTAATGTAATATCTTTATACCAGTTGAGTTGTATATGAAAATTTAAAAATCAAATCCAACATAGCAAAAAAAAATTCAAAATTCAAAATTTTAAAATTAAATTAAATTAAAACAGAATTATATCTTTAGATTGAAAGTCTATGGAGATTTAAAATTTAAATTGAATCTAAAACTGAATAGTCAAAGTTACTACAGAATCGGTTGTGTAGTTTAATTTAAAATTTGACACAAATTTTAAAATTAAAATTGTCAAAAACTTAAAACTAAATCTGATAATTATACTCAAATATATTTGTGACTCGCCTTTACTTTTGTTCAAAAGATAACAATTTTATTTTTTATTTTTCAACTAAATCATTTGACATTTTAAAACATAGTAAATAGTTTAATTTTTAAATAAAATATAAAAACATAAGATATAAAATAATAATATTATGAAACAATAAACAAAATGGTAAATAAACCCAATGCATTAAAAACCAAGAGTGCATTAAAAATTGTAAAACAAATTAATGTCTCTATACCAATGCAATGCATATAATAAGAAGAAAGAAAGAAAAGATACTGCTAAAAATAATCTTAAGAACCCCAGTCTTAATTCCTATTGACATAGGGTTGGACAATTGAGAATAAAGTATCTTCAATCTTCTGATAATCCTCTAACCAATTGATCTGAGGTAAAGCATCTTCATTGCCTGGATTTGGTTCCTTTTGTGCCTCACTGGGATCCGTGGAACAGTGATGTGAATTACCTTCCAAATTAGTTGGTGGGTAAGACATGGATTCCAATTGTGGATTATGCTCTTCCACCAAAAAATCCAACGTTGATGGGAATGGAGGCATCTCAAAGATGGGGAGAGAGGGACTTAAACATGCATTCCCCTCCGACGTGTAATCAACCCCGGACTGACTTCTGTAGCTTGTCCTTAGACTGTGAACAATTAATAAAGTATATACATATTTATGGAACTTAAGTGTTTTAATTCTTCTCATTAGGGTGGATACATAATGCATGAGAAAACAAGATGAAAATTATATTTAAAGACAAGGTGGAGTAATTTGCTTACTTATCAATTAATCGTCGTGGTGGTGCAACAGCAGTGATCACACAAGTACTGTCCAAACAATTGTACAGCTCATGTGAATCTTGATGAAGCTGCTCCGGGGGATGCATAATGGGATTATATGAACCTTGTTCTACAAAAATTGGTGGTATCTGAAGCTGGTTTTGACTGAGACTGTATGAGTCGAATATCAATTCGGGCACACTAATGGATGTATCTATTTGTGAGTCATTATTTTGCTGTGTAGAGTCCTTTAGTCTACTTCCTTGGTTGGCAGTGTTCAACGTTGCTGGTTTTATGTCATCAGGGTATAGTGGTAACCCAGCTCTTCTCCTCTTCTTTAATCTTGTGTTCCAAAAGTTCTTTATCTCATTGTCTGTGCGCCCAGGCAACTACTCACAACAACAAATTATATGATATTTCAAGAACACAAACTCTATAATATCATAATATAAGTAGATAAAGAGAGGAGAGAATGCGAACCTCTTGTGCCATTTTAGCCCATTTGTTTCCCATTGTGGCATGAAGCTCCACGATTTTACGTTGTTCTTCTGGAGAAAATGATCCCTTTCTCAAATCTGGTCTCAAATGATTTGACCATCTTAGACGACAACTTTTTCCACAACGAGCAAGTCCCGTACGTCTTTGAACTTCATTCCAATTTCCCACTCCATGCTGTGTCACGTATGCTGCTAATATTTCATCTTCTTGCGCCGTCCATGGCCCTTTCTTTAATATTTCATTCTCTATTGATGCATCTTCCCCCTTTGATGATGAAGATGACATACTTTAAAATGTGACAGCAAAAGTAAACAAATTTCAAGTCAGCGAAGAAATCAAGAACTGTGAATAAAAAGTTATAAAACTAAGAAATCAAGATTCGCATCCCACTCTACTTTGTAAAGCTGAAGCAGAAAGTGAAACAATGCAAGAGTATGGAGAACCGGGTGATGAATTCTGTTGAGATTCGCTTGAGGGTTTTTGATGAGTTCTTTTCTAAGAAGATTCACTTTTTATAGTGCTTAAAAATTGTCAAATTCAAATATACAGATAAATAAAAAATATTGATTTTTGTGTGTACATTAATAACATATATTGCATTTGAAAAATCTTAATTAATTTTCTCATTTGTACCATGCTTTGTAGCACCTTAATTTTAAACTTAAAATTTTAAATAATTAAAGAAAACTTAAGTTGACATTAATGTGTTAATTTAATACATGGAAAATCTTTCAAATATTTATTGAGCTCTTAACAATTACGATAATAATATATTTACAGTAAACTCATTAAATTTATAACTTGTATTTAACTCCCAACATACTCATGTTAGTAAAAAAAGTTTATCTATACTTTTCTTTAATGAGTTTTAACATCATAAGATACTCTCAATTATATAACTTTAAGATACTTAAATTCTTTAAGAAGTTTCAGAATATAATTTTTAGTGACTGACATGAGCAGTATTACTGTATAATGAAAAAAATTATCATAAATAAATAAATTATTTGTTTAGAGATTTTTACTAAATAATTTAGAAAAATATATATTAAAAAAAGCCTCAAGTTTAGATAGAGAACCAGCAAAAGAGTTCTACTTGCCGTAAATATTTAACTTTTACAATATGTTCTTTATTTGACCCACGAATGTAAGAGTATGGAGAACTGGTTGGCGAAAAAGAAGATGCAATCCCTTCAAGTTTGACTAGTTTTTTTTTTTCTAAAAAGATTCCCTTTTTATAAAACATTTTTGTGTTCAAGAGAAAATTTTAAAATAAAACTTGATATTATTAAATTAAAATAAAAGGTTTAAATAACCAAAGTGATAAAGTGTTATATACTTTATTAGAAAAAAAATGTTATATACTTTTTTTATTATTTCATGTCATGTGTTTCTAAAATTAATCCATCTCTTTGAGTATTGTTTTTATAAATTTTTGACTCTCAGGATAATTACACCTATGACCTACCTTCTAATTTTTTTTTTATTAATAAACTTTTTGGAAATAGATATTATTAAATTAAAAATGTATTTTTTATTAATAATAAATGTTTTTTTATTAAATAAGACTAAATTAAAAAGAAAATATTATTAAAATTAAGGGGAAATTTTTAAAAAAATTATAAACTAAAATTGAATTCAAGATTTTTTGGGTGATGTATCAAAATTTAAAATTTAAAATTTAATTAATCTAGATCAGAAACAAGTTTTTAATCGAAAGTGTATCAAGATTTAAAATTTAAATTCAACGGCCAAGATTAACTAAAAATTTGAAAGTGCAATTTGAATTTAAATTTGATACTAAAATTTTAAAATTAAAAAGTGAAAAATTTTTAAACTAAAAATTTTTGGACTAAAATTTTAATTTTAAATAATTTTAAGGTTCAGTTGAATAAAAATTTACAGTAAAAAATTTATTTAAAAAATGAATAAAATAATTTTCTCTTTATTGTTAAAAAAATTAAACGAGAAAGCTTCTAAACACATACAGAAATATATTTAAATTTAAAATAATCATATGATATATTTTTAATTAAATATTTAAAATTTTATTTTAATATAATGATGTCGATACAATACATGAGAAAATTACTAATAAAGATAAATTATTTTACTAAACGTAATTTACTTCTATATTTTTTTCTCTATTTTAAAAGTGTTAATTTAATCATTTTAAATATAATATATAAATTTAAAAACAAAAAAATACATAATATCTAAATTCAAATTAACTTGCTTAACAAGGAAATCTTATCTACTTTATGCATGTATGCTGCTCTATAACTGCCGTATATCAATTTCTTATTTTTCTAATGTGGTTTTTCAATTATCTTTTATTTTTTCAACGTTCTTGAATTTCATTAAATTAGATAAACAGTGACTCCCATATGACACTTAAAATATTTATGGATTAATAGTCTTAATTAGTTTATATCAAATATATGATTAAGGGTGATTATAATATTACTTTTCTTCTTTTAATTATTTGTGGCTTCTCTCGCTTTGTAGCATCAACCTTAATATAATCAAATGTCTGGCCTTAAAAACATAAATTTCATGTCATCGTGAGCATAATTGAAGTTCCAAAATTGTGATTCAAATGATGAAATCTGAAACACAACACTAATTGTTTCATACATATTTTTTCATCCATCAAAATATGAAAAGCAATATCCGCATTTGCACCCTTTAAGATGAAAACAGCCTTGAAAACAAGTAGCCATGGCAGCCCTGAACAGTATCCAGCAGAGGCATAGTTTGGCAAGCTTCCTCGACTGCATGATTCTTCCATTTTTCTAATATAACTTCAGCAATAGGAGCAATCTGATGCTGCAACAATGCTGCACCAAGGGGTCCTATCAGATTTAGCCTTGTAGCAGCAGAAATCACATCTCTCATTGTGATGAACATGTAAGCTCTTTGAGAACTTGTACTATCAAATCCAAGTGCTCCACATACAAGTCCAAAGACAGGAGCATGATGAAAATACACAGTCCCTAACCCCAGAGAAGCATCTCTCATGGTTTTGAGGGAGGGACTCTCAGAAAACACAGCTGAAGCCACCCTCATTAATGCAGATCCTTGCGACATTGACGCCTTTCGACCAACTTCATTAGTTAGGGTGGCATCCAATATTTTGTCAAGCTTATGCCAGGTTTCCAAATTAGGCACCATGGAAGCTGAGAACACAAAAGGAAGGAGTAGGCTTCCTGTATTCTCCAAGACATGGATAACAAATGTCTTAAGGTCATTGGAATCAGATACTAAGTGGGACTGAACTGCAGATTCAAGGCCAAAGGAATGAGCAAATCCACCAGTAGGTAGAAGGGAATCAAGCAACTGCCACTGACTCCACTGTAAAATTGAGTCTGCAAAGCCAAGTCTGTTGTGCCCTTCATTTATTTGCATTGTAAATGATATTACTCCAGTGTTGACCAAGACTGTCAGGTTACTACAAGTGTCCAGAGGAATAAACCAGCTTTATGGATTCAATCTTGTAAAGCAATCTAAAATACTTTCATTGATCTTTTGAAAATGAACAATATATGTATGGGATAAACCTTTTAAGAAAATCAACATGACCAAATTTGAAATCCCAAAACAGTCTTTGATCCTATCATAAGTCATAACCACATGCTATAAGCTTGTAGAAAATAGTTGCTATGCATCAGTAAACTTCTACTGATGATAACTTACAGCAGATCTAGTATGGCATGAATCTTGCCAAGAGAAAAAATTAAGAGTGTGCCTTGGTCACAAAATACTTTCTTATTTCAAAAAGTATATCAATTATCAATTATCAACTCTCAAGTGAACCATGAGCAACCCAAAAAATTTCCAAGCTAAACATTCTAAAGCTGAGCATGGAGAAAGGTTTAATTCTAGATAATCAAAAACCCAGAAGAACCCAAAAATATCCATTAAGTACTCCATTCATCATAGAAAAATGGATTTAATACACAGGCCTTGGACTTTAATCAACAAAACGTGAAGATCAAAATACTAAAATGTGACAAGCACTTTGTTTGCTCAGCATGACATCGAACAAACACAACAATCAGCAGCTATGTTCGGAGGTTGACTTAAATGGTTGGAACTTCCTAAATGTTGAAGAAGCATAGTTCCATTTTTAGTTATTTAATTGTTAAAAAAGTTAAAAACCAAGATATGAGAAATTAAAAGTAGTATTAAATAAGGAGTAAGGTTAGACAACATCCTTAGTAAGAAATGGATTCAGATATTAGATATTAACACCCTAAGGTTAGCACTAAGTACCAAGTAAGATAATACTAACAATAGAATTAAATATGGACTAATGTTAGACATCACTCAAAACTCTCTTGAAAGTTGAAAGCAAGGAAAAAGTATTTTAAAACTAAATTAGTTACTCAGGTTACATCATACCAACCTGCATGTTAAAATAAAATTGCACTGGGATGAATCTATTAATCAAAAATTTCCATACTGTGATTGAGACTAATCATTCAGCAATTACAAGTAAAGCTGCTGTACCATGCCATTTTCTAATACCTAATACCTTTACCCGAGAAAAAAACTAAGTCTTGTTTTCTTGGGATTGATCATTGCCCATGTTCATGAATTGGAAGCCCATGATATACCTATACTCTCCAGTCCCAAGACAGCGGGAGCAGTAACTAAGACCGCTTCCACCACAAACCCTACACCATTTTGGCCATTCACCTTTTGGGAGCATTTCCAAATGAACCTGGTTTGTCCTTCCTTTTCCACTACACTGGTGGCAAGCAACTCTTCCACTCCCCTCACAAATTACGCATGGCGGATCTGGTTTCTTTCTTCTTTTCTTCTGAACATTCGACTCTGTCCTCACAACCCAAGATGGCTTTGTGAGTGAGAGATGAGGCAATGACTTGGGAGACCGAGACGGGGGCAAACCATTATAGCTCGTGGCCTCCAACCGGACCATCATGGATAAACTCAGTGTCCCAAAACTCATCTAGACCAGCAGAACTCCAGGGTCTACTCCTCTTTCACCAATGGAATCTGAAACAATATAGGTACTTACTTCACTGACTGTAGACTTCCAACAAATATTTGCTTACATAGTGATCAATAATTCCTGAACATGATTGGGACTGTGGCCTGTAGGGTACTATGACATGAATTTTGGGCACAATGGCCACATCTTCCCATAATACACTTGATGTTCCCATTGCTCTTAGTAACTCACCAAAACTGGAACATCATCATCCAATATCCATGACCAAACATGGAAACCCAAATAACTCACTTCCTAATAGCAGAGAAAACAATCACGGTGTATCGATGAAAATCAATTTTAAGGGACCAGAACAAAGACCGCTTAAATTTACAAAATTTAAACTTCAACAACAATAATAATAAAGAGAACAAAAAATGTTCATATGGTTGTTTAGGCGGCATTTAGAAGAGCTTATTACTTATAGAAAACTTATGAAAATAAGTTATAACTTTCATAAGCTATTTTCAATAAGTTTTTGTAGCATAACTTTTCACAATCAAATTTTTAAGTTTATTCGAAGAAATTTTATGGTAAAATTTATATGATAAGCCCTTCATGACAAAAATAAGTTTATAAAACAGATACTTAAGAAGCTATTTTCCCAGATCCACCCATAATCAAAGACTGCGAAGAAGAACAAGGAAATGAAACTCCACGAGAAGCATAAACACGAGTTAGCTACAAAACCCACGAAGGAATTCGGGTACAGAGTGGAAAAAACAAAAACTTCAGAGAAGAAAGCGGAAAAGAAGCATCAGGGTATGTGAAGTTTACCAGGTGATGTGACGTTGAGGAACTAGAGAAAGGGGTCTCTATGCGATGCCTCTTATCTTCCTTTCGCTGCCAACACATTCAAGAGAGGATTGTGCTTTCATTAAAGCATTTTCAGAAGACAACAAAACATTTTCAATTTAAAAATGTGCCTGAAATATTTTATAACATGATTGAATAAGTTTTTTATAAAAAAAAATTAGAAAACATAAACATGATTTTTATTAAAATTTAAAGAAAATGATTACTAAAAAAATTATAAAGATACATTATAAAAGTATATTTTTTATTACCAAAAGAAGATATTTTTTAAAAATTTAAACACCCAATATAAGACAAGTTAAATAATTTTAAAACCACAAACCAAATTTTATATGATTTATATAATGAACATTTTTTTAATAAAAATACATTACTTAAGTTACATAAATCAATCATAAGAAGTAATGGTTATAAAATAATTTTACACGTTATGTATAATTAAATTGTAAAATTAAAACTGAAAATATGTATAATGCATATTTCAAAACAAATAATGTCATATTATATAAAAATGAGTCATCTAAGTTCAATAGTTTATTATAAGTAAATTTTAATTTTAATTTTTGAAATTATATAAGTTAGGTATTTTGTTCCATAAAAATTTAAAAATATTTACTAGCCTTAATTTAAAAAAGAAAAAAGAAGAAGATATTTTATGAATTTTCAAACCAACAAAAAGTATAAAAATTCAAGAAATAAATGTTCAATCTTATAATTTCGATTCCCGAAGATTAATTCAAGAATATAATAAATTTATAATTATTTTGTAATATGGAAGCAGATTAGAGTAATAGAGTCCAAACCTAAACACTGAGCATGACACTTGAAAATTTGAAGCATCCCTAAACATCCTCAGCTCAGCTCAGCTCCTCAAACTTTTGATTGATGGAGTGAGAGAAGAAGCTTAGCTTCAACTTCGCATTTATAGGATCATATTCATAAACCCTTAACCACTGAGAGAAGTGCATGTAGCTAGGTTCATTTGACTTCACCCTAATGCAAAATTGAAAAACAAAAACCACTCCAAAACCCCAATAACTATACACAAACACTTAGAAGGCAACACGACAATGGGAAAAAGCGCGAGAGTTTGAAGATCAACTCATCAAATCGACAATGCTATCACTCAAACATGTAACTAAACACAGATTCAGATCCAAATCCCTTTTCTCTTCGATTCCAAACACTTACCCTTGCACGTCACTTTCAGCATCGTCGTCGTCGTCGTCGTCATCGTCATGTCCACCTTCAACCTCAAATTACTTCCTCGGCACCCGAAACGACGTCGCTGCCTCGTTCAAAACCTGGTTCCGAACCCGTCACCGAAGCAAAGACCCACTCCTCCCTCGTATCTACCAAATCCTATCTTCCGACACCGACGACTTCTCCGCCGCACTCTCCGCCCTCTCTCTTCCCCTTTGCGAACCCTTCGTCCTCCAAGTCCTCCGGCACGGCGGCGCCCATGGCGACATCCTCTCCTGCCTCAAGTTCTTCGACTGGGCCGGACGCCAACCGGGTTACCACCACACACGCGCCACATTCGTCGCTATCTTCCGCATTCTCTCGCGCGCCAACCTCAGGCCTCTTATTCTCGACTTCCTTCACTCCTTCAGAAAGCGCATCTTCGCCCACCGTGTTCGCTTCGACGACACGCTCGTCGTTGGCTACTCCATTGCTGGGAAACCCGAGGTTGCGCTCCACCTGTTTGGTAGAATGCGCTTTCATGGTTTGGACTTGGATTGTTTTGCTTACCATGTTCTGTTGAATGCCCTTGTTGAAAAGAATTATTGTAATGCGTTTGATTCGATTGTTAAGCAGATTCGCATGAAGGGTTATGAGAATCATGCCACCAATGTGATTGTTGTTAAGTGTTTGTGTAGGCAGGGTAGGTTAGAGGAGGCTGAGGCTTTTCTTAATGAGTTGATGTGTCGCGGGGTGGAGTTGCAGGGGCTGGAGGTGAGTTATCTTGTTGGGTCATTGTGTGAGAGTAATAGGTTTGAGCGTGCAATTGAGTTGGTTAGGCAGTTTGGGATGTCTGGGTTGGTTCCCTTGGAGCATGTGTATGGGATGTGGATAAAGGGTCTTGTTAAAGGTGGGAGAGTGGACGAGGCATTGGAGTTTTTTATGAAAAAGAAAGGGTCTGAAGGGTATATTCTGGGCACCATTCGGTATAATGTTTTGATTTGGAGGCTTTTGAGAGAGAATCGGCTACGCCAAGTGTATGATTTGTTGATGGATATGAATGAGAGTTGCATTCCGCCTGATGTGGTTACCATGAATGCTGTCTTGTGCTTCTTTTGCAAAGTAGGGATGGTGGATGTTGCGCTCGAGCTGTATAATTCGAGGTCTCAGTATGGGATGTCCCTCAGTCACATGGCTTACAAGTATTTGATTCTTACTTTGTGTTGGGATGGGAGCACTAGGGAAGCGTACAGTGTTTTGAGGAACTCTGTTGATCAGGGTTATTTTCCTGATAAGCAAACCTTTGCTACGCTTGCCAATGCTTTGTGTCAAGAGTGCATGGTAGACGAGATGAAGGAGTTGCTCTGTCTTGCCTGGGGGCGGAATTTTATGCCTACGGCTACCATATATGACAAGTTCATATTGGCTCTGTGCCGGGCTGGAAGAGTAGAAGATGGTTATTTGATACAAGGGGAAATTAACAATATTGCTACCAGTGTGTCCTATGTTAAGATGGCTATGGGTTTTATTAAGTTAAATAGGGGAGATATTGCTGCTCGTATTCTTGTTGAAATGAAAGGCAAGGGTCATAAGCTGAAATCTTCTTTATGTAGAGCTGTAATTGGTTGTTTACTTGAAATGGATAATCCAAGAGCACAAGTTTTCAATTTACTGGAGATGCTGACTCAAAGTGAACCTCGTCATGAGATTTACCACTTTTTCATTGACGGAGTTGGGCATGCTATGAAGGCTGAGTTGGCTAGGGAAGTGTTTGAATTGATGCAAAGGAATGGCATTGAACCCAATTTGTCTTCTCATATTTTAATGCTTAAAAGTTATATGAAAAGTGGAAGAATTTCTGATGCTCTGAATTATTTTAATAATCTCCAGAGCCAAGGTATTGTGGGTAAAAAGTTATATAACTCCTTGATTGTTGGTCTCTGTAAGTCCAATAGACCAGGTGTTGCACTTGGGTTATTGTTCGACATGTTAAGAGCTGGATTGAATCCAAGCGTGGAATGCTATGAGGATATTGTGCAGAAGTTTTGCTCATTGAAAAGATATCATGAAGCATTACATCTTGTTTATCTATATGAGAAAATTGGACGTCAAATAACTTCTTTTATCGGCAACGTACTTCTTTTTCATTCTTTTATATCACCGCAATTTTATGATATATATGTTCATAACAGAGGACTGAGGCACGGGGAATTTTCTGGTAATTCAACATTTAGTTTGGTAATTGGTGCTTTTTCTGGTCGTCTCAGAGTAAGCCATAGTATTGAGGACTTGGAAAAATTAATAGCAACATGCTTTCGACTGGACATTTACACCTACAATCTATTGCTGAGAAAAGCAACCATCAGTGATATGGACCAAGCTCGTGAGTTGTTTGATCGGATATGTCAAAAGGGTTATGAGCCTAATTGTTGGACATATGATATCATGGTACATGGTTTCACAAAACAAGGGAGGAAAGATGAGGCTAAGCAGTGGGTTGAAGAAATGTTCCGTAAAGGATTTTATCATAGAAAGTAATAGAATTCATCCAAGGATATTCAGTCAATGTGAAATCAATACGTTAAAGATGCAAAATGGTTCACACAATTTTGGTAAGGATCTTATGATTTTTATGTTCATTAGAAAAATGGGTTACATTGGATGCATTGTTTTTAGTTTTTTCCATTTAATTGTTAATCTTGGGCAATCCCCCCCGCCCCCCTTTCTGTTGTGGAAGCACTGGGAAATAAAATGTTTCCACCTTGTATTATTTATCACACTAGATTGACATAAGCTTTGATATTTGACATAGGTTTTTACACATTATTTTATTTTCCATACTGTATTTTAAAAAAGTAGAAGCATTGCTTCTTATCCTCTCTGTGCTAGTTGCCATCACACAGAATAAAAAATAGAATCAGATTATTCACAAATGATGCATTTTAAATCTCAATAAAGTTGTTTTTGTGTCAATGATTATTGAATCATTGATTGTAGCTTGCCTACATGATTGTCTACACAAAGAGATTTGAATGTGATTGCAGAGAAAGAGATGAAACTTCTGACATGTGATTGTTGTTCTCAGTTATTTTATATATGTACATGTGACACTGAATTTTGCTATTTCTTGTGAAGTTTTTTGAACCGGTCACTAGTTGAGTTGTTTGCCAAGAAATCAATTGATGGCCTCTCTCTTCTATATTTCCAGTCATCTGCCATGATCTAACATCCTATGTTTTATGCACTTATTTCTGTATTCTTTCAGCAAGTTGAGATTGCTTGAGTCCTAGAGAAATGGACTGCTGATCTCATTAAGGGTTCGTTGGTTTTCATGCTAATACCATATTGGCCATTGGCATTAGTCATTGCATAAAAAGTTACAGTTAACTGAATGAATTAAAAGGGATTTGCTTCATACATCTACCTTACAATTTTCCCTATGAGCTATCATCCATGCATCGTTCTTGTAAGCATAATCTCTAGCGGTTTATTTTCTTTTGGCAATATTTCTTTTTTCTTCTAATCAATTGGTGCTTCTGCGTTGGTTTCTTTGATGGATAGTGTGCGTGACTCCTTCCTTGTTTAGAACTTAAATTTGACGTTATCATTTTGTGTTACTTCCATTGACATTTGATCAATGTCATCCTTAGTTTCATTTTCCATTATATGATTTATGTCAAATTCCTTCAAAATCAGATGCCAAATTCGTTGATCCCGGGCTTTTTATTATTATTGAGTATTGACATACTTTTTAGTTTCAACCTAGGAATAATTAGGATAGCCCAGCTATCTGTTTTCTGCAGGGCATGATATACATACGATGGTATTCCTTTCCCTCGAATCAGATGTTTTCTGGCCCTACTAATCCCTCCTTTTGTCACTTAGTTCTAAAAATTGTAACCCGTGTTTGATACTTGGTGGGATTTGCATAGCAGTAGTACTTCATGGTGAGGTGTATACTCGTTACTGCTAACTGAATCTAATTGAAAGCTGAAATGGAAAACTAGTCCTGTAGAAAGAAACAGAGAAAAGAGGATTTTATAACAAAAGAAAAAACAAGGAGAGGAAGAAGACAAATAAAGAACTTGTGGAGTGAAGCGAGCCATTGCCTGAAGAGAGGTCTCAAGAGAACTCAAGCGCCCGATTAATAGGATAAGTTTTTTTTCCGATAAGTGTCAATATGGACAGAATGAAACCCACTAAGCATGGGCTAACGTGGACAGTGCAACATCTTAAAATTTAAATTGTACCATTGAGTTTAAGGAGTTGCGTCTTTTCTAACATTAGTGTCTTATATGGCAACAATTCCTGGTTCGGAATGTCTCTGCATCATAGATTTGAGGTATTGATGAAGTCATTTATGTTGTTTGGATGATGTGAAAATGAAGGATAGTAAAAGAAAGCTGATAGGTAACTAGGTATTTTATTACAGAAAATATGGATAAACCCCAGTTAGAGATCAGAATCACAGGTTCATCACTCTCAAACTCTAAGAAAACAGAAAATAAAATATTAATATAAACATGTTTAGTTTTTAATTTTTGGCAGGATAGTTTGCGCAATTGCTTTAGATTAATAGAGAATCACGGAAATGTATTCTACACCCTATGGTCAAATTTAGTGACCATTTGGAAAATAACTTATGATTTTATAAGTTCTTTTTACCTTATTTAAATAAGTTTTTCAGTATCATTATTAAAATAAATTTTTTCAGTTTATTTAATAAATTTTATTATTAAATTTGTCTTAAACTCATATAATAAGAATTTAGTGAATAAGTATTTAATTTATTTAATCAAATGCACGTCAAGGTTCAGAACTTTCTTTCATTTTCCCCATTTTAGGAGATAATATAAATTTCTTCAATATACCGCCTTTCAGTTTGTTTCGATGTACGTTCTAGACAGATATTAATATTCAACGACTGCCAATAATTTCATTATCGGAAGTTCAAAAAAATATGTATTTACAGCTAAATTAATTTATCCATAACTGTTGTCTTTTACTTGTCTTTTGTTTAATTGGAATAATGAGGTCAAATGGGGGAAAAGGGCATTTGATCTTCGTGTTAATTTTGTTCTACTTTGTTTTATTGTGGGTAAAACAATGACTATTTTAATTTTATATAAAATCACAATTTTTTAGAAAAATTAAAGGTTTTTAATTACATAAAAAAACTATTAAGTAAATAAAAATTAAATAAATAAGGAAGAAATAATAATTGAGGACATAGTGGGAAGTTGAAAAAGAAAATATTAATTACATTCTTCTTAAATTGATGAAAAAAAATAGAGGGAGTAAATGACAATTGAGTCAGAGTTGGAATAAGTTCTACTCTTCATTATACCGAGGTTTTTTTTTTTTGGAAAAATAAGTAAATGTGATAGGATATTCATTTTATTTTATCTTACTTGTTGTGCTTATTTAATTAATAGGATATGATAAATTTATCTTATAGATGTATTTATTTTTACTATAAATTTCATCATGTCAAAATTTTTGGTTAAAAATAAATAAAATAAAATAAAATAAACAATATATTTATCGCGTGTTCGGTGAATATTGTTAATCGCTACAAGAGGTAGCTTATGAGTCCAAATGCAATTAGTGTATTGTTTTGACATGTATCAAGATGTAACCTAAGATAAGAAATTATTATACTTTTATCCTATTATGTTTTTGTTCATTTTTTAAAATAATATAAAAACTTTAAAATGATATTTTTAGTAAGAAAAATTATTATAATAAAAAATATTTTTTATTAAATTAGATTTTTTATGATTATTATAAATAATTTTATATATACGCCTTTTCATTTTCTTTCATTTATTTAAACAAGTTAAAACAAAATTTTTCATTTCTTTTTAAAAATTTTATCTATTCAAATAATATATATTCTTATTATTTTTATTCTATATTTCATCTTTTATTCAAACAGTGTTAGGGTACTCCACTTGCTTAGGTGGTTTACCAATCCACCACACAAGAATATATACCTATATATATAAATATAATCTTTAGTTAGTTTACAAATCTAATGTAATGTTTTCTGAAATTTCGAAATAAGTTCTTTCTACATAGATATGTGGACTGAGTATTGACACGACTTCATTTTATTTGATAAAGATTTGTTATTTTCTTCCACGAAATGATCAAACACTAGCCCATAGCAATAGCAAAGGATTCCATCAAAGTCAATCAACATGGAACTCAAACATGAATCACCTGAGTCAGAAATACCCTCATCCATCACAACCTAACCTCATCACAACCAAGGTTTTACTCTCTCACATGCAAGCCATTCCACCTTCTCCACAAACCCTCAAGATCATTATACACCAAAAAGACTCTACCACTTCCTGCATTCATGATTTTGGTGCCTTAAAATTTTCAAATTGGGTATTAATCAAATATCATATGTTATGAGGCGTTTATTTGAAAGTAGGATCAAGACATAATTAGTAAAAGGTGCAATTAATTTGACCAAGGATTAGATTGAGTGCGTATGATCAGAAATCTCTATAGGTCCACTTTGTCATTTCTTTAGTTTTCTGGCACTGGTACATGTCCACTTCATGATTATTAAACACAAATTAAAAATGCAATTAACTTGGAGAATCCATTCCCAAAACTAATGAGGTAAAAAATATGTGTCCTATTAGGTGAAATTCATTCTTGCATTGAGCCTTACTACTTTGAGAAAAGTATATATAGTTTATAAATAGATACTTTCAACTTTTAATTTGTCATAATTAATTCTTAAACTTTAGTTATTGTATCCATAGACCAGGTCACCCCCACTAAGATGATGTTAAGTTATTAGTGGAAAAAAAAATCATCATCATATATTCAAATTCAATTCAACCATTTTTTTAAAAAAAAGATTACAGTTATTTTTTCCATTAAAATAATTTTTGAATTAATTAACAACAAATTTAGAAAAGAAGGAAAGGCAAGAAAAATTGCAACAGAATAAAAAGACTAAAGGAAGAATTGTTCGCAAAGTATAAAAGTATGAAATTTTGAATGAATGAATGATTTGGATAGGTAAAATAAGTTATTATCTAAGTTTCATATCCACCAACTTTTATGCTGTAAGAAAGGCAACGATAACACATACTTCTTTAAATGTATTAGAAATTTGATAATTGTGTATAAGAAGATTTGCAATTTTGTTGCAAAATAATAAAATTATATTGAGAATTTGTGTATCTAATTAAAAAGTGATTAAATCTAATAAACATAACCCTTCATCTTAAAATTATTATAAAAGTTATCGATTCTTAATATAATATTTTCTATAAATAATTCAAATGCATATTAATAATATCTTCATATATGCCCAAAGCATAAGTAGAAGCAAAATGTGTTGATTGTAAATGGTTTGTATATTTCTCAGACTAAGTGCAGCAGACGAGTCCACGTATGCTTAATTAGAATTAGAATAGAATGTACTCATTTGGGTTTTGTGATGACCATTCATTTTCTATAGTTTATGTCTTTCAATTGTGTGATTATATGTATGGCACGTAGAAATGAAATAGGGTTCTAAACAATATAACAAAAACAAAGTCTTCATGCCATTCAATCATCGTTGCTTTATTAATGTCAATTGATGGAATAGTTAATGAGATCATCCAAATTAAACCTTACAAAAGTCCAAATTCAATTTAATTATATATCGTACGGATAATAGTCACCACCACACTTGAGCACATTTTTATTGCATTTTATTTTTGCATTCAAATTTATATTTATTGCATTTGGGGTAAAGGAATATTATAGTTTGGATAGAGTTAAAATAAATATAGTCCACAATCTAAATTTTCTTAATATTGCTGTGTATTCCTTCTTTTTTTCCTTTGATAATGTAATTTGAGTATTTCAACAAACACCCTTTATTATTTTTTTAATTAAACAAATTAACTATCTTTTTTGTTCCTAAAAAATGTAAATATACAAATATATTAAACTTTTTTGTCTAAAATTTTTAATATTAAAAAACTATATTAAATTTTAACTAATTTGATTCAAATAAAGTAAACCATTTAAAATGGGATAATTTTTTTTTCTAACACCTATTATAAAATTTTAAGTGTAGATGAATCATTACATAATGCAAGTTGACGTCAAATTCAAATTAAGACAAAGATAAAAGCCATAATAGTTGACTATTTTCCATTGTTTCCCACTTAATGTTGACAAATAAATGCCCAATCATATTCTTCGTTTCCTTTCGATTGGTTCCTTTTAACTTTCTTTTTTTTCTGATCGCTCACTGTTGTTGAAACAATTATAGCAAGTAGTGATCGATGAAAAAGATAAGCATAGCAAAAAGAACAATTATTTTGGGTAACTCTTTATTTTGTTATAGCATAACTATACAATAAATATGTATAATTAGAGAGATAAGAAAATAGTAGAAAAAAAGTAATATAATAAAGAGATAAAAAATTATTATAATAAAAAATTTATTGTAAAAATATTACATCTCACTAATTAATTAATATTGGATTCATCAAAGAATGACAACCGACCACACAGACTAGTTCTAATTTGAAGAACTTTTACACAATGGGAAGGGTTAAAACCATAAGACCAAGTCCAGCAAAGCTTCTACTACTATTAATGGTGAATGTGTTCCATCAAAAGTCTTTCAAGTTCACAATAGTCATCAATACTCACTAGTAATAAAGTGGATATCAACAATATATAGATATGTATGTCTTCAAATCATGGCACTTTTGATAATTGTTAGAATATGTGGGAGACCTTTGCAAATGTGGCTTGATTAGCATTGAGATAATCTATCAGTGTTCAATTCAATATAGAATTTCTTTTATCCATTGACTTGCACACATATATAAGATATCGTCAACTAGTATTTTTAAAGTATTGATTAGGAACTAATAAATAATTTTAATTAAAAGTATATTAAAATTCAATAAAAGTGTATTAATAATACTTTTAATTTTAAATTTTTATTTTTCATTTCTTAATTAACATCTTTAAAGTACTTATTAACATTTAACTTACATACATTAGTTTAATAATTTTGTTAACATTAATCTTTAAGAGTAATTTTAAATAAACAAATACAATTTTTTATTGAAAATAGGTAAAGTACTGTCAAAATATTTAAATGAAAACTTTTAATTTATTAAATCACCCTTTCAAGCTTACGTTCATCAAATTTTTTTAATAAAACATGCCTCATTTCTAATTAAGTAAAAGATTGATATTTTGAAAATAGAAACAGGTGTGAAAGATAAGAACATAATTGAACTTGTCAAAGCATAGATTTAAAAATGGAACCTAAAACACATGGTTAAGAAACTTAAACCCCACCCACCTAACTAAATCAATACACATTGATTCCATTGTCTTGCATTAAGTGACTGGCATGTGGACAATATTGTTGCAAATACTAAGAATATTGATTGAAAAATCAGTAGAAAGTGCAATCTGAGCACTATCAGAAACAAAGCTGCATAGAGTTAGAGCTTAGGTAGTTGCAATAGTGGAGAAGTGACTAGGTCACGGGTTTTTGTAATGATAATGGCCTCACGGCATACCAAAGTGTTGCACATTTAAATATTATATATTTATCAAGCGAAAGAAGAGAGGATACAGAAAATTACTTTTAATCTTATAATAATAATAATAATAATAAGAGAGTAAGTTCATTTTATAAAAATCATAAATATATATATATATATAATAAATAAATCTACAGTAATCTTGTAATTGAAAAGATTTATCACTTTTTTTTACACGTAAAATAATTATAACCGTTAATTTTATATTGATAGATAATAAAATGATAAATAATAAAATAAACAGTTTAGTTAAAAAAATGTTAATTTCTTCTTATTTTTAAGATATTAAAAGAATTGCAATCATTAATAAAAAAAAGTATAAAATTCTTTTTTAAATTTATGGGTATTACAATAAATATTTATAATATATTTTTTTAAAAATCGGTCCAAAAATGCATAAATTGAGAAGAAAATTATGATTGGACTTGCAAAAAAAACTTGAAGATCAATGGACTGTTTGTTTTCCCTACTTAAAAAGAGTTTTCAATTTTAAAAATTTAAAATCTTCAAAATTTGTTTATTAATTTAAATTTTAAAAATTATTTTTAAAAATAAGTTTTTATTTTCAATTTTTAAAACTAAAATACAGAATAGCTTTTAAGGTGTTTTTATATTTAAATTTTGATTTTTTTTCTAAAATTTACAAGATGCAGAAAACTTATTTCTCATTAATGGCATTCTTGAAAATAAATAAATTAAATAAAAAATGTAAATGGAGTAGATTAGAGTTTCAAAGTATTCTCACATCTCCCTGCACTTTACCAACAATCTTTTAGCATCCTCATGTTTTCTTGTCTTGCACCACCAACTTTACGATTTTGTTTTAATAATTTTTTAATTTAATATTTTTTTAAATATAAAAAATATTAAAATTAATATCAAATATATTATATTTACTTAATTTAAAATACTAAATAAAAAAGTAAATAAAATCAAACGCATTTTCTTTTTTTTAGTTTTTAAAAATAAATTTATTAAACAAATTTTCTTATTTTTTCATCTTAAAAACAGTTTTAAAAATTAAATTATCAAACAAATTTAATTTTTAAAAACAGTTTTATAAAATTATTTTAAAATGTAAGTTTTAAAAACTGAAAAGCAAAATTAAATCAAACAAGTCCCCAAGATTCCCTTATTGGAGAAGTGTAATCAATAAGCTTAATCGAAAATCTTTTCCAAAGAATGGGGAAAGAGAAATCTAAACTCAGTGAAAACGATATTTTGATATTCCCACATTGGTATTTATGTGTCATACCCTTGAATCAATCCTTTATTGGTTGATGATCACCAAATATCAAATTTCAACTTCACATTCGAATACATAATTGCAAAATGGGTAGCCATAGATTAATCAACTAATTAGATACTCATATGGTTCACCAATTGCTTTCTACAATTTATTCTATATATGCTGGTGCCCCATGCGCCGCCCCCATTAGGACCACCTTAAAAAATACAACAATTAAAGTATATTATAAATTCCATCTCACAAGTTTAATTATGATTAATTAAGTAGTAATCAAGCACTATTCTTTAATTTCCTCAAAATGTCTCATGTGAATTAAGTCCCATGATTATATTATTGTTGTTTAGAACTCATTTCCCGGTGTGAGGTGTTCATCTGTTAAAGCCAATGAGATTGTAAGTCAGGTTAAATCTAATTAAGTCCTGAATGACAACAAAAAGAGGATTTTTAATTTCAATTATTCTCATGTTTAAGATTACTGTTTCCGATCCCCAGAAATTGAACTAACCATCATTGACTACCGATCTCACTTTACTTTTTGTGTTCTGATATTCATTTTGTTATATTACTGGGTTAATTAGGGTTGTCTAGTCTTTATTTTTTTTATTTTAATTATAAAATTATCATCTAATTTTTATTCTAGTTTTTAAAGATTTATGTGAGATATAAAAAAAATTACTGTTTCTTGTATAAATTTTTCAAAATAAAAAGCAGAATAAAAATAACGTCACAGTTTAGCTTAAATTAGCCAAAACAAACACTCCCACTTTTCATAATTTTCTCTTTGATCTCCTAAACTTTTACTCTGAGTATGTACACTGCTAGTTAGATCATAGAAGTTTAGCTTTAACAACAAAGAACTGTGATCAAATTAACAACTAGGAGTAAAACAAAAAAATAGTCATTCCCATAGAAAGTAGTGGCTCTTATGTTTTTTACATAAACATTCAAAGCGTGTTTGATGAAAAGTTAAAATGTAAAATATTCACGTCCAACCTAACATTACTGTGAATAGTCGAAGGGCTCCAAATACAAAAATAAACGCTTGCTTGGCCTCATGTAAATTCCAATAATAACTTAGACCAAAATAAAAGTTGCCACCAAAAGCTTAAAGCCATACTGTTACAACATCTCTCTATTTTGCAAGACAGGAACCTGGCCATATATTTTAATGCTAACAAAAAAACAATTCTTGTTCTTATTTTATGCATATATATACACTGTAATTAAAGAAGATGAGAGAAATAAAATGGGAAAAAAGGGTATGAAAGGGGTGGGGAACTTCATAATATTTATATGATTATATCTCCAATCCAAACATATGTACACCTGTTTATGAACAATGGCAAGATGAGGGAAAAAAACCATTGACTAACACCAAAAGTAGGTGATTACTATGGCTGATCCATTCAATCACCTAGTGTATTATATATGATCCAATTCCAAACTGTAAACAAAAGAAAAGGGAAAATTGAGGGCAAGAGATGGAGCTATGTGTGTTGTCCTTAGAAAGCAAGAGCAACAATTGGTATTCACATTTTCTACATCAAAATTGCATATCTCATGCTGTCACTTACCATAAGATGGTTCATTTCAGACATCTGTGAAAATTCACCACTCACCCAAACCCCATCTGACCCATTAACCTGAGGATGAGAAACACACGAGAGTATTGACATGGGAGCTTGAAGAATGCTACACACAAGACCCCAACCATGTTGTCTTCTTCCCCTTTCATGTCCAAATAGCTCAACTGCGTTTCCAGCTTCAAACATGCTCTCATCTGCCACCTTTGAACTCTTTCTTGTGTTGTTAAGGTTTCTTGTCACTGCTGCTAGAATACGCCACATCTTCAACCACCACCTTTGCCTTTGCTAGCTAGAAACTTAGATTAGAGTGTTATATATATATATATATATATATATGGAATAAGACACAATATGGGGGACTCTGAACTCTGCAGAGAAAACAAAGGGTTGTTGGAAGGGCCAACTCTTTGTACAATGCTTTTTAACAATGGTATTTTGGTGGTGGTGTTACCTAGTGCTTGTGCTAGTCACAAAAAGTTATGAAGCATGTTTATTTTCACTTTTAAATGTTTATTATTGTTGCTTTATATTTAATTTTTATTTAAAATATTTTATATATAAATATATTAATAGTAAAGTTATTTTTTAAGAATCACTTAAATAAAAATGACAATAAAGTAAAAATAAATAGTCCTAAAATTTTGTTGGTGCATTTAGTTTTAAATTAAAGAGGGCGACTACATGTAACAACATTTTCTCTTCCTATTAATCAAAGTGGGGTCTATTATCCCCAACTTGCCGACAAAGCTGTGACCAATTGCACAAAAAGTCTTTTATCTATCAAATTCTGGGTTTACTTTTGCTGAGTTGTTCTTGTACATCAGTTACATGTAACATGGTTTTCCCAAAATACAAGAAGGAATTTTTGAGGTATAGCTTTTCACTTTACAGTTCATTTATTTGGCTACAATTTGAAGGGACCCTTACACACATGAAGCTGTGGACAGAAGGTTTAGCAGCAAAGAATCATAACCGTCTATGATTGATCTTTATACTGATAGACGTCGGTTTTTTATTAGAAATCAGAATAATGCAAAGTTTTTGGGTTCCCTACAAATCGAGAGTCAATATAGCAGTACCAAACTGTGATGCAGACCCATGTGGTGGTTTGTCAATGAGCACTGTTCCTCCACTAAGAAACCCTTATCATCAACTTGTAAGGAAAATCAATATGTAGATAGAAATGCACACATGATTAAGTTTTATCAAAAAACAATGATTAAGGAGAAAAATATGCACTTGGGATTATCATTATGCAAAACAATCAGTATATAATATAATGCGTTCTTAGTTATCTAGTATTTGACCCATGTAAAAGCCTCAACTACCAATGCTATGCAAGCGATTTGACTTTTTGACAAGAAGTAACTAGTAGTGTCCCAAAGAGTTTTATTATTTAAACATTTTTTAAAAAACTAAACCATCATTATTTGTGTAGAGAAAATCCAATTATTGATATCGTTTTTCATAATTTTTTTCCCAACCTATATTCTTAGTTGGATTTTTTGAAAATAAATGTGTAGTAGCATGATTCACGATCATATCCAACAAGTCAACCCATGATCATCTTAAGGATAATGCATGACTATGCTCAAAACGGCCATCCAGCTAAAGCTGACTGCACCAACCTTCCTTTTATGCTTAGTAATCTAATCCATCACTGTTCTCTATCTTTCTCTCATACCTCACTTTCATTCCTCACAAAACTTATTCCATTGACTTAATTTGCCATCAGAGTCTTCATGTCCAAGACCTTTAATTCCTTCATCATAGATTGACCTTGTTTGCAAAGTTTGTACACTGAGAAAATTCTCAAAGATAAAAATAAAAAATAGTTTAAAAATAAATAAATATGTTTTATAAGTTAGAATTAACTTTTTTTTTTTTAACAAGTTCTCTCGTTTAACTTTAAAGAAATGAGTTATTTCTAATTTACGAGAAAAAATTTATTTTTTATACTAAATTTTTATTCTTTAAAAATTTCATCTAAATTGGCCTAATCGACTTGCATTTGAAGCAAATTGGTGTCTATTTTGAACTACAAACTTAGAATTGACGTAAAGAGATGCACGCATACATTATTTTTATCTTGGGCAAATCTAATATGTAATTCATATAAGTTGTAAAAAATTATTTTAGAAAAAAATTATATTTTTCTATAATGCTATATTATTTTATTACTTCAAGTAATTCAATCTACTCTTTTTTTAATCCAACTATTCTAAAAATAAATAAATGAACCTCACAACTTATCCCACGCAATATATATTTATTATTCATCTTTATTTTTCAATTGTTTTGAGATAAAATGAAATTGTGAAATTCACTACGTGTGAAGATCGAGCAACAAAAGCTTCCACCACCAACAGCAATAGGTGTAAGATGTTCATGATGGGTTCTCCATTGATCTATTACTACTATTTGAGTTGCTTTTTCAATTTCTCTTCAGAGAGAGCAACCACCAACTGGCTTGTCCTTAGTACTTTAAAAGTAGCTGCTGCTAATTGTATCTTAACTAATTACACTATTAGATAACTTATTAGAAATTCAAATCTGAATAATAACTTCTTATATAAGAAAGAGTTGTTTATAAGAAGAAATGGCTTCACATTGACAATTATAGAACTGAGATGAGTTATAAGATGGAAGTTGTTTTCTATAGATTTATGCTGTTAAATTAAGGATCGTTAAGTAAAAATGAATGATTTAGAAATTAAGAAAAGGTAAGAATCATTATCATATATTAAAAAAATCAACATATGCAATTGTAATTAAATATGTACACAGATAAGATAAATTATTGTGATTGAATTACAAATTCCGTAGAAGATGAAACTACTGTACTTATTTATCCTAGGAACTACTGTGAATATGGTCCCAAACTTTCCCTACCCATCACACAAATTAAGCACTTTCTATCAACAATTATTTTCGTAGCAACAGAAATCACAAACAGTTTGAAATGAACCCTCATAAATATGTTTTCATTCATCAACTTTTAATTGGTTACATTGCAACCTTGGAAGTTTTATACATGTATAATTTAATTAATCTGAAGTTTTCCTAGTGGGTTTACTTTTGTCCTTTTTTATACTTTCGTGTAAAGTTTCACTTATAGTATGTTTAACGAAAAGACAACTTGATATTAAGTGGCCAAAATGAATTTGTTTGGAAACAAGAGCTATATTAGTTTTATGCATCATAAAAACAACTACTTTTTTATTAAAATGCATTTTGCATGTTAATTTCATCTTCACCGACCAACTATATCACCATAACTTAAGGAAACATCCATCGTAGTTCTGTGGCTAAGAAAGTGAAATGACTTTAGCATGGCCATGAAATAGAATATTCAACATTTATCTACATTATCTTCATCCTTGTGCTGGGCCATGCCTTGTTTATGGGATCGCCCACTTGATCCATAGTGCCACTACTACATCACTATTATTTTAGTTTTTTAACATTTTTTTTGTAAGTTTAACTTTTAAACTCAAGAATAGAGAGAACAATGATAGGATTCCTCCCATTATCTTTATATGCAAATTAGATTAGTGGGATCATTACCTTAAAACAAAGGATAACTTTTAAGTTCAATTTCTTAAATACTTTTTATATTGTTTTTTAATTAGAATTAGAATTTCATTTTAATAAAACATTTAAAATTACAATACACTACTAGAGTATGATTTTAATTTAAAAATTAAACTAAAAAAATTTAATGAACTATATTTATGTTCTTTAAAAAATGGGATAAAGTCAACCAATTTTTCTTTAGGGAGGAACGTTCCTCTCCCCCACCTTCCACACACAAAAGAAAAAGTGTAGTCTTTATATTTTGACTGTTTCATTCTTTATATTTTGGCAACATTTTTTCTTTAATTAATTACAGAAAAATTTAAAAAACTATGTCAAAGGACTATTTAAATGGTTTTTTCTTTTTGTAAAAATACTTTATTCAATATCTATATCATTGTAAAGGATACTGTTTCAGAATTCAGTAAATAAATCAAACTTTGGCATCCTTTTTTTTTTCAAAACTCTATAATGGACATTTTATCTTTATACTTTTTATATTAATCTTGGGATTGATAATGATTAACGTTAAGTGCTTGTGTCTTTCAATGAGCCTGAAAATTAAAAGGAAAATATTGTTATCGGGCCAACTCAAAATCAATGGGCTTTCAAGTTAGGCCCATTTGTCGACATCTGTTTAATGCAACTCGGCATGATTTCTTGGCCCTAATTTCATAGTGAGCCCAAAAGTTATCAATAGCTGAAAAAAAATTAAACTAGTCCTTGCAATGATAGCTCTCTCATTTTTTTTCAAGATGACTTAAAAAATAGTTTTTTTATATCATTTTTTTGGATTATGTGTTGTCTTTAAAAAATTTAAAGTTTTAATAATTTATCAGTTTGGTATGAATATATCTTATGGTGACTCCGCACAAGATACCATCATTCGGTAATACTTTAAAAGAGTTTATAAGGAATTTAACTTTTTATAAATTATTTTTATTTATTTAATTAATTTTTAGTATAATTTATTATAATAAGCTTTTTATTTTAAAAAATATTTATAGTTAATTTTATGACTGTATGTAAAAACTTACTACATAAATGTTTAATTAATTATATATTTTAAAAATACTGTGCATTTATTGAATGCTTAAAAAAATATGTACCATAAATAAAACAAATACACATTAAAAATATAGAACACTTTGTCGTATTATTTTATTTTAATGTATATTTTTTAAAAATATATTAAAATATTATAAATGTTTAAAATTTGGCACTAATAAATTGCTTATCTAACCATAAAAGATATATAATTTTTTTTAAAAATATTTTTAGTTTATTTATTTAATAATTGATATAATTTATAAAAATTCTTTTTTTACAAAAAAAATATTTTTTGATGATAAATGCATAAATTATTAATTTAATACTTACATTATATGATATTAAAAAGGTTATTAAGAAAATAAAAATTACTATGTTTTTTAAAAATATTTTCATACTTATTTTCTTATTTTTATGAAATAAACATTAAATGAAAACGTATATATTTATTATCTTATTAAAATTGTTTAATAATTTTCCATTTAATACTTAAGAAAATTCATAAAAATAAAAAATAATTTGTTCATAAAAAAATTAAGAAAGCTCAATTTATAAACATAAAAGTAAAAAATAAAATTACAATTATTCTAAATAGCTTCCCCAAAGGGTATTATTAATGATAGTCAAAGTTATGAGTAAAAGTACAAAAAAACAATAAAATCGACTCATAATGACTATCAAATATCCTGAATCGTTAAATGGTGAAGCAGAGTTTATGTCCCAAAAAGTTATTCAACATTCAATTCAAACTCATACATATCTCATCTAAGTTTCAGTGTTTTATTTTAAAATCAATTAATGATTATAAATATACTTTTTTTAAAGTAGAATTTTCACTTTAAAATAATCCAATATCATATTTTGTTGTCGTTGTGTTCGTGTTTTTCTATTTTGTGGGAGATTTTCCGGTAAAATTCGCGCGCGAGAAACCCTAAGGGAAACACTGATTCATTGGATTAGGGAACAATGGCTATTGCAACCCCGGGGCAACTCAACGTGACTGAATCACCCTGTTGGGGATCCAGAAGTGTTGATTGCTTCGAGAAGTTGGAGCAAATTGGCGAGGGTACATATGGGTTAGTTTCAATTTTTCTACTGTTTATTCTTTACGTTATCAAAATTCAATTTTTTTTGGGGTGTTTTGTCTTGTTCGGAGGTGGAAGATGAAATTTTATGAAGTCAATGGTAAATGTGTTTGTCTTCTTTATTTGTACTATGCAACACTCTATTTGGATTATTGTAACGTTGAACTTGAAAAGAGCTTGAACATGAGAATTTTAGAATTCTTGATTCATTTGCATGTAGGTATTATCAATCACAAAATTTCAATGAGTCAAGTAATCATCTTAGTTATTTATTGTTGGAGTGCTTTGAGGTTTAGTTACCATTTATCACTTTCTTTTTAAAAAGTTGTTTATTGGCTCTTTCTGGTTTATTTGGCTGCTTCACTTGTGCATTTTCCTGTCCGCCTTTCCCTTCTCCTTTTTTTGGGATTATGGAGCAGTACGTTTTACCACATTGGTGTCTTCTTTGGATATAGTTCCCAATTCTATCATATCTTTAGCATGTCATCTAGTTTTAGCTTTCTTCATATCAAGTTTTTTTTTTTTTTTTTTTCTTATGTTCCTTAAACTTTTGTTTTCACTTCCCAATCAGAGGGAAAAATATTGTTTCCAATTCATTGCTGATATTGTCTGAAGTGAACTGATTTATATATGTTAATGCTTGCAGTCAAGTATACATGGCTAAAGAGATCAAAACCGGGGAAATTGTTGCTCTGAAGAAAATAAGAATGGATAATGAGAGAGAGGGGGTAATCTTTGAATAGTTCTTGATTTATTATATCATGGATGCATAACATATTTTATTTGTACTTTTGCTTCATTTGTAAACTTTATTGATCTGTCTTCTACATTTACAAACTTTTCATTGTGCATGCTATTCAGTGACCTAGAAGTTACAGTTACTATCTGTTACTACTTCTGTATTATGAATTTCTTCCCTGAACTGTATTGTAATTTTTTTTTATTGCAGTTTCCTATAACTGCTATACGAGAAATCAAAATTTTAAAGAAACTACACCATGAAAATGTGATCAAGCTGAAAGAAATTGTGACTTCTCCAGGTACACCTTATCAAGATCTAGATGTGCTTTGTTATCAAAATGATTTAGGATTCAAAACTGTGTTTTATTTTTATATAACATTTTGTGTTTCTTCTTTCAGGCCCTGAGAAAGATGAACAAGGGAGGCCAGGCAAGTCATTCATTCTCATGTTATTAGCCAATTGCTGGACTGGCACATAATGTGCTTCATAGTTCTATCTGTGTAAATAATTCCATCAACTGTCTTTTGGATTCACTTAGTTCCCTACTAAACCTAATTCATTGCGGATTGCAGATGGTAACAAATATAAAGGTGGCATCTACATGGTCTTTGAATACATGGACCATGATTTGACCGGTCTTGCTGATCGACCTGGGATGAGATTTACAGTTCCCCAAATTAAGGTGTTATGATTAATACTGATCACTACTTTGTATATCAATTGTTATTCCTTGTATCGTTGTCTGAATTGTGTTTCCTTTCTTAGTGTTACATGAGACAGCTTTTGACAGGGCTACATTATTGTCATGTAAATCAAGTACTTCATCGAGATATCAAAGGTTTGTATCTTAAAAAGGTTATGTTTTTAGATCAGAATGTTCAATCTAAAACTCCCATTTGATGTATTTCATTCTGCTGCAGGCTCTAATCTTCTTATAGACAATGAAGGAAATCTTAAACTTGCAGATTTTGGATTGGCACGATCATTTTCTAATGACCAAAATGCCAATCTTACAAATCGGGTCATTACATTATGGTACAGGTAATTGATGTCAATTTGGTCATGGGAGTTCAATGTGCAAGGGGGAAGGGGATTGTGAGACTGGCCAGTGCACGTATTGAGTTTATTGTTAATTGTTATATATTTAGACCGCCTGAGTTGCTGCTAGGGACAACAAAGTATGGACCAGCAGTAGATATGTGGTCTGTCGGGTGCATTTTTGCTGAGCTTCTTCATGGGAAGCCTATCTTTCCTGGAAAAGATGAGGTTAGTGATATTATTTATTTGATTGTTGAGTGAAATTAGAGCTAGTGGCAAGTGATTGATGTCATTTTGTTGATTGGCTAGTTATGGTCTTATCATGTATTATTATCTGCACAGCTAAGAGTTAATGGCTGGAAGAAGAGATTCTTTATATTACTTTCTGGCTCTTGATTCATTCTCTAGATACTTGCTGTCATATTTCTTCACTGAATATTTTAAACACATCTGTGCCTAGTTGCCACCAGCATAAAATAACTATGTTTTCATTGAAGTGCCTTTACATTTGTTGCTTTCTTGGGGTGCCAAGACATTTAATTTTTTTTTTTACTTGAAAAAATAATTTCATTCAGAAGAAAAATGACGTTTATGTATTTTCAATATATGCATTTTACTGAAAGTTAATTTTATACTTTAATCATCAGGAAAAAATGGATTGCTAATAACAACGTTTGGTCAGATTGCTGGATCTAACGTGCTCAATACTTTTCAGAATTTAGTCATTACATTCATTCCAGATCTTGCTTTCAATACATATGGCCTATACTGTAAATCCTCATGGTAATAATTTTTTGCACAGCTTAAATGTAATACATGTTTTGCTTGTGACTATTGTAGCCTGAACAATTAAATAAAATATTTGAGCTGTGTGGAGCTCCAGATGAGGTCAATTGGCCTGGGGTTTCTAAAACACCTTGGTATAATCAATTTAAGCCAACAAGGCCAATGAAAAGACGTCTGAGGGAAGTTTTCAGGCAGTAAGTATTAAAGCATTAAAGCATGAATATCAGAAGGCATATATATCTTTTCTAAAATTTACAGACAAAGTTAGCATGTAGTTCATTTTCTAGAGTTTCATATTTATCTAAATAGCTTGTTTCCCTATAACTTAACAGTTTTGATCGTAATGCTCTGGAATTGTTGGAGAGGATGTTGACACTTGATCCAGCTCAGGTATATTTTCTTCACTGATGGGTCTGATTTATTAATTGTTAAATGATCTTGAATTGCTATTTGAAGTGCTTCAGCCTTCAAATACATGTTATTCCAGTTTTATCTTATACCACTCGATCTGTTTTAATTTGACGTGATTGAGTGTATCTACATTGGTATGCTTCTGTTTTCCTTTGTGAGAAACTTATGTAAGGTGATAAAAAGCATTGATGGCCCAGTGCTAGTTGAGATGAATTTTGTAAAGTAAATGTCTTTGAGCTGTCATTTATAATATGAAGTCGTGTGTTGTTTATCTGAAATTTTATTGTTCATCACTAGGCCGTAAACTTTTATGATAATTAATTTTGTTCATTATTTGTTTAATATTTGTTTGTTATGATTTTCCATAGAGAATTACTGCAAAAGATGCCCTTGATGCTGAGTATTTCTGGACAGATCCATTACCATGTGATCCCAAGAGGTAAGACCTTCCATGTACTATAATTTTTATTTTAAAAATATATTTTTCCATGTAAGTCAAAATATTGCTTTTCCATGAAAGTATGTGATCTTAATAGCATTAAATGTATGTCCCATTCTTCCCTTTCCCCTTAACCTTTGTTTTTGTTTCTATTTAACTAACCATTTCTGGTCAATATTTTTTCAACTCACTACCTCTCTTTTATATGGCTCAGTTTACCCAAGTATGAGTCATCCCATGAATTTCAGACAAAGAAAAAGCGCCAACAACAACGGCAAAATGAAGAAATGGCTAAGCGTCAGAAAATTTCTCACCCACAGCCGCACACTCGTCTTCCCCCCATTCAGCAAACTGGCCAACACGCCCAAATGCGGTCAGGACCTAACCAACAAATTCATGGCTCTCAGCCCCAAGTTGCGGGAGGACCCTCTCATCATTATGGGAAGCCTCGAGGTCCATCTGGTGGTCCAGGAAGATATCCCCCCAATGGGAACCCCGGCGGAGGATACAATCACCCAAATCGTGGAGGTCAAGGAGGTGGTGGCTATGGAAGTGGACCTTATCCTCCTCAAGGGCATGGAGCACCTTATGGGTCTAGTAGTATGCCTGGTGGTGGTCCTCGTGGGGGTGGTGGCAGTTATGGAGTTGGAGCTCCAAATTATCCCCAACAAGGTGGTCCATATGGGGGGTCAGCTGCTGGTCGCGGCTCAAACATGATGGGTGGAAACCGCAATCAACAACAGTATGGTTGGCAGCAGTAAATACACTTTCTTATAATGATCAGTATTAGTACTACGATTTGGCGAAGCTCTGATAAATTTGAGAAAGATCAGACTATTAATGGATCAAGTTGTTGAGAAGATATGAGATGTGACCTCTATGGTTTGTAGACTATTATTGAGATACAAAGTATTTTCTCACTACTTGAGGTGTCTGGAATCCTTTGTGATGCATGCACAACAGGTTATGTTTAGTGCTCCCCATCATAGAGGCACCACAAAAGAGGAGTTTACCTCCGATTTTGTAGATTCTTTTTTTCCTCTGCAGTATTTATGAATGGTTGCTGCACGCTTCAAAATTTGTAACAAGCTACTCTTCTTACCGATATCCTTTTCGGGATACTACCTAGTACAAAGTTTTGTTTTCTCAGGTTTTTCGCGATAGTACATGCTGCTTTGTAACTTAATTATTGTTCCCATTGTGATGTGGCTGTGGGCCAAATTTTAACTTTTTCTTGTGGTTAAGCTAGCAAGTGAAGAAAGAAGGAATGTGAGAGAGTTCGTTGCTAAAGAAAAATGTAATTAGTCCTACAGCAATCATTAAAGCTCCTACTAATTTTTGTGTTATTCTTCCAAATCACGAGAGAAAACATGAGATTCATTCCCAAAGCATGAGGGAGGGGGGGGGGGGTGAGGCAAAAACTACAATCGTTTATATCTTTAGTCGGGTGTTAAAATTATCCTTTTCTCATAGTTAGCTAAACACACGACTAATTCATAGTGCTTTTTAATATCCTAAAAGCTATGATATGTGCTATCAAAATTTATTGCGGGTAAATAATGTGAATTTAAAGTTTACGTAGTTTTTGTGTGTGTGAGAAATCGCATTTTTTTTTAAGTCAAGTTTGTGTAGGTGATAATATTTGAATTAAAAATTTTCGGGAATCAGAAAAACCTAGAAGATGAAAAAAAAATAGATGGCTTAAGTAATCATTCTTTTTACGAGATATGGTATTCACTTTGACAAATGTTTTGGAAGGATAATACTAGCAAGAGTTATGTAACATTAAAAAATGAAGTGATTCTGCGTGGATAAATTATATGCATATAAATGCCTAGAAAACTTTGTCCCAAGCTTGGTAATTCTTTCCAATAGTTACCCAGAAAACTTTGCCCCAAGCTTAGATGAAAATCATTCACTTGGCCTCAAAATTGGAAGAACAGAGCCCTTGTTGGAATGCATAAGCATTAGTCCACATAGAGAAAGACAGCTCATGGTTACTTAGTATTTCCAACTGACTTTTGGCAATGACTAGAATGCTTTGTTGTATGATTCTCAGTTCCAGATTTTGGAGTCCTTGGGAATGAATTTGTGGAATTTAATGTTTCCAATGCAGCTAGAACATTTACCATGGTTGGTCTATATTTAGGATCAGTATTCAGACATTGAAGTACAAGTGCTGCAGCAGCTTGTGCTCCTTTCTTGGAGTATTGACCACCCAACCTTGTATCCATGATTCTCAAAATTCTTCTGCTATCACTCAGGAATGGCCTTGCCCAATCCACCAGTGTTTCTTCTGAAAATCCAGGTCTCTCTTCTTCAACTACACGCCTTCCTGTTAGTAACTCTAACAACACAACTCCAAAGCTGTATACATCACTCCTTGGTGTCAAATGACCTGTTTGTATAGTAAAAAATACAACTTATTATAAGGAGGAAAAGATAGACTCGTCAAAATTTAGATATCATGGACATAATAATACCATAGCAAATGGAACTCTAATGAGCACTTGAATGACATATGCATGGTGTCAAGAACTGAACTGATTTGTTTTCTGTTTTTATGATATGTTATTACATATGTATAGGTCAATTTGATTACATTTTGATGATACATAATTCGAAATTACTAGGTCTCTCATACCAACCCATTACTGTAGTGAACAAGTATGCATTCAAATTGGTGTCCAAAAATTATAAGAAAATTTTAGAACAAAAAATGTCTCGAAGTGTTCATTAATAGTAGTAGAACAGTGCATAAGTGCATGTTCCTGTGTTCTCTGGTACTGTCCACCTCAACACCCCAAAGTTAAGAAACTACTAACACTGATAAAGATAAAGGAAAATGGAAAGGCAAATCTACCTGTAGCTACGTACTCTGGTGCAGCATAACCATGAGTTCCAATAACTCTGGTTGAAACATGAGTGTTATCTCCGGTAGGACCATCTCTTGCCAAGCCAAAATCCGATAGCTTTGCATTGAAATCCTACATAAATTTTAGTGCTTCTTTCAGAATACAGCTTTGCATGTAAAACACAACAAATGTTGTTTTCTTCATAGATCCACAAGCCAAATTTTCTGTGTTACTTATATACCGAGTCAAGTAGGATGTTGGAAGCCTTTAAATCGCGATAGATAACATTGGCATCAAGAGAATGTAGAAATGTTAATCCTCTTGCAACAGAAACAGCAATATTGATCCGTGTAATCCAGGGAACAGGTTGAACACCTTCTGCAGAAATATAGAACCAAATTTAAGGTATTATGAACAAAAAGAACCTATAGCATAGTTCATAAACAGTAAGTTGCAGCACATTAGTACTTAGCGGATAATTTGAGATGAACATGTTGAAGAGTGAATCTACTACTTACTTCTGAATAAATGATTTTCCAAACTTCCTTTCTGCATAAACTCATAAACTAGAAGCCTGTTTTTACCATCTGAACAGTAACCAATAAGTTTCACCAGATTTTCATGGTGAAGCTGGCCTAGATAATTGACTTCCGCCTGCAACAAAAGTGGAAAAAAAAACATCAACACTTCAATCAAGACCAACCAATTAGAAAACAATTTGATTTAAGAGTTTGTGTTGGACATACCAGCCATTCCTTGTGGCCTTGAAAGCTTTCTGGCTTAAGTTTCTTAATGGCTACTACAATTCCAGTTCCTGGTCTTGTGGGAGCATAGGTGTTCTCATCTATCCATCCTTTGTAGACAAAACCAAACCCTCCTTCTCCAACTAAATTTTCATACCTGAAGTTCTTAGTGGCCTCCTTTAGATCATAGAAGGTGAAGGACTTAAGGTTATTGGAGATGGGTTTGTCAACATTTGATGCTGAAGTTTCCAAATGAGCTTTTCGTTCAGGAGAATTTGATTTCTGCTTTGTGTTGCTTTGAGACTTTGTACTTCCTGAGAGCATATAAAATGCAAGTTAAATAAGCTATTAGAATTAGAATACACTATCACTTGTAACATCTAGAAGTTTATTACTAACCATGAGATGCAAAAAAACAGGGTGCAAATAAGTATAGTATCTTATCTATACGCAGCAATAGTATGGTTTCTTTCAGCATGATTAATGATAATTCATTTCTATGCAGAGAATAAATCAACTCTCTAACCCTGACCCAAATAAATGCAAAGATGAGGCTTTTCAATGTTTTTACGATTACGGGATTCGAGTTAAAGACGTATGCCTTTATATACATGTCATTTGATTTGCCTATTCGTAACATGAATTGAAACTGACACGAGACTTGAAAGACCATCAAATAAATTTTCATCAAGTGTGGTTTTTGTCAATCTCACTAGGAATCTTAGAGCATATATGCAGTGTGATTTTACACATCAAATTTGACATGCATAAGCAAACATAAACAACATGATTTTCACTCTTCGTTTTCATTTCTCTCAAAGAAGCCTTATTTTGAATACTGATCATGCATTTTATTATTTATACTAACTGAACCCATCTAATATCTAAGTTTGGTCCCAATAGAACTTGAATATAATTTGGTTAAGAATAAAGTAAGATATCCACGGGCAATGAGATGAGTTTTACTGTTGTGTGTGTGTGTTGGGGTGGGGGATTTGCTCAAAATAAAGGCAAGAACAAGAACAAATAACCATAGGCCATTAAAGTTCCAAACTTTAAAAACACAACCTGAATGATTTTTGCTCAACAAATTTCAGTTATGAACTTAGAAAAAAGGAAAGGGGGAAACATCTAGCACATTTGGAGCACCAATGCCTTAATATTGAAAAGAAAGAGAAATTAGCCAAAAGAAAATGCATCTTATTTCAATCTATTCCACCTACTGCATCTAAGAAAAAAATGCAAAATTATTCATCATTGTTTAGAACCTGAATCAGCGCAAAGAAGCCTCAGAATCTCCATTTTTTCAGACCAAATACTAACATGATACTGAAGGTTTGTTTGTATTTAAGTGGACCAAAAGACAAAATTTCATTTAATCCAAGAAAGCCAAGGACATGAGCTGATGATGAGAACAATAAACAAATAAGAAAACAAAAGAAAAAGTTCATTCAAGAATGGCAAGTCCAATAATATTTCATGCTACAGCCTATGAACTATTGTTTTACCCTTTAGAAAACATCGCCTTCTTCCTCTCTCCGTGGAATCCAGAGACAAAATAACAAAAAAAAAAAAATGGAAGCACCATCCACCATAACAGACACTAATTAAAATCTAGACAACAGCATCAACCTAGTGGCATAAGACATAACCAATGCAAAAACATCAAAGCTTAGAGAACAAAAACAAACAAGGATATAAACACACATAAGATCAAGATTAAACTAACCAAAAAAACTTGTGGAAGACACGTGAGCAACTGGTTTTCTGCAGGAGTTCCCCATGATGAAAGTTTATGTTTTTTCTTTTCTCAGGCCAGAACAACACTCATGAAGGAAAAACACAAAATGATGAAAAGGGTGTGAATGAAAGTTGAAGAAGTCTCAAAATTGGAAGTATTTGTGTGTAAAGGATGAAGAAAATGTCCACGGCATGGCCTTAGATAGAGAAGTGAAGCAAAGGGTAGCTGAGGAAACAGCATAGTCAATGAAACGGAAGCTGCCACCTGATGAACCAATATAAACGCACAAAGTGTTTGTTATTTTTCAGTTTGACTCTTCAAAGATTGGAGTAAGGGATAAGCACCCCAAAACAGGCTCTGGATTCTACCAACTTTTATTAAGTATAGGTAAGATTGTGACTCCATGTCCATGCACATGACCACTTCCTCTGTGTCAATTACTAACGTTGGACGTGGAAAGTAGGAAACTATACTACAATGTTTACCAATATCACACTTAATTTCCATCTGCCCAACAAACTTGTATGTCAAAGCACTATTATTATTGTTGAAAACTTCAAAGATTTAAATTGTTGTCTTTGATTAAACAATTTTGGAAAAAAAAAATGTTTATATACTAAAGACATGGTTATTTCTTGTATTGCTAGTTTGAAATAGGTCGTTTAATTTTATTTTTTTTAGTATCTTAAAATAAAAAGTAATATTAAGTCAATAAATACTACATTATTTTCATATTCTATTGAGTTTCTTTTGGTAAGTTTTGTCATGTATTGTTGTAGTAAATATTTTTTATTTTAAATTATTTAATAAATTTAATTATGTAACATGACGGTGGAGATCAATGAGTGTGATAATCTCTCTCTCTGTTTATTTTATTTTACTTTTGTTGGGTTTGATGTCTCTTGTTTCGTTGACCGCAACATATAAGGGTCTACGATGACGCGTTCTCATGATAAGAGAAAGAATAGGGAAAAGGAATTAAACACATGTCAAGCTTTGTTTCCCTTTGAAAAATCAAGAGTCAAAGTGCCATTAAAACCATATCCAATATAGTTGTGTAAATCCAACCAAAAAAATTGAAAATAAAAGTTTAGTAAAATTCAAGTTGCGAGCTTAGATTTCAGAATTTTCTTATGCTAATGTAAGTATTAAATTCTGATACTTAATTTAAGCTTTTTATTTAATTTATATATAATTAAATTTTAAAAAAATTGATTGGAATTGCACTTTTAATAATCTCTACTCTCAGACCCTTTAACGATTCAAAGGGTAACTTAGCATACACATTCTTTTCAACGTATCATGAAATTAATATGACAGACAACTACAAACTAACATGCTATATACAAATGCAAATTGAACGTGAAATTAATATTATGACAAACGTTAATAAACACGATACAACGACCCTCGATCCTCTTCATTTTCAAAAGAAGAAAAAAATTAATGACATTTCAATTGTAGGGTCAAGTGTATACAATATTGTAATCCACTAAAATATATAGCTTTTATGGACTCAGAACTTTTAAGTTTAAATTTTAGAGTGAACTTGAATGAGATATTTTAAATGGGTAGTTTACTTTTTAATTTTTTTTTAATTATGTGAGTTAAATTTTATTGTTTGAATATTTAATTTTAAAGAATTTTAGTGAAAATTTTTAATAGATTAAAGATAAATAATTTTAAATTTTAATAAAAGAGTGAAAATTTTTAATTACTTTTTCATTTATTATGCGTTCATTTAGATTTTTATTTAGTTATAGATAATTTAATAATTTAAATTTTATATTTTTAATTAATTTTATCAAATATAGTGATGATTTTATTTATTATTTTAAGAATGTAAGTAATATAATTACTTTATCCAAATAAACATATTTGAAATGAAAAAAAAATAATTATTTTATCAAAACAAAATATTTTAAATTTTTTAATTATCCCGTCGAAACATAGCCTTAAAAAAATGTAACTGTGCTAAAATTTTGAACACAGATGGTATTGAAAGAAAATAAAAAAATATAATTAATTGAACATGAAGCATTGAGTCAACAACAGCACTTGAAATATTGGAATCCAGAAACTAAATAAAGATCAATTACTAATAAGGAAACAGTGAAATGATAATGATCAATACATGAATGTGTTTTACCAAATAGTCAACTGACTAGTGCTTGACTTTGACCTACCTCTTTGAAGGAACTTTGTATTCAATTACTCACACCTACCCTTTACAAGGACCTTGAATACATGTATAACGTCATTCCATGCATAATACACAAAAGCTATTTATAAAAGTGATTATGAAAATGCTAATGAGGGTTGTTTCAATCGACCAAAAGCTCTTTGGTTTATTATATAATGTTGTTTTCAAGTGAGAAAGATGAGGATAATGGGTTCCTTTTAGTTTTAGCAAATCAAAACATGTAATTGCTTAGTCTTTTTATCAATGCATCATGAAATTAATATAAGGAAAAAACCACTCAATTTCTTTAGATTTTATCATTTTTTATACATCCTAAGTATAATTTTAACTAAGAACAAATGTTTCAATCGACATTGTTGATTACGACAAGCCGAACGGGTCCCCCCGAGGGAAAAAAAAACAGGGTCCAGATCCAAAAGTAGTTCAGTGGTCCAAAATTTTTGTATTTAGTAAATTTTCTTTTTATTTTTAAACAATAATTACAATAGTTAATAAATATTTATGTGAAAAATTAAAATTTTGAATTATTTATAATTTACCTAATTAATTATTTAAAAAGACATTTAACTAAGTGAAAAATAATTAATCAATTTATAGATAAATTATAATAACTTTTTTAAAATTTAAATATGTTACATTATTGTAAGTATAAAATTTTTTATACTGAATCTAAATCTTTCATTTAATTTATATATAATAAATTGTAATTTATTATTTTATGGATAATTAAATGTAAGTTAAATGAGTATAAATAATGTTTTAAAATAAATTAATTAAAATCATATAATTTTTTTAGAAATTAAGTTTCTAAGAGGCGTACGGAATGTTGGATCTGGTGATGTATTTAGGTACGTCTCTATATCATTTTTAAAAGTAATAACATATTTTAACAAATTTTTATTTATTTATTAACCTCAAATGTATGTGTCGTATTTTCTTATTTTACGTTTACATGAAGACAATGATATTTGGATAAAAATTTCATTTAAAGAGTTTTCAAAAGGAAATTAATTTAATCTTATTTGAAGGGTTTTACAGGTAAGGTTACATGTGAAGGAGGCAACCTATGAAAGTCTAATGCACGTGCCACGTGGAACACAGACCATACTCAATGATTTCGAACATCAAATGTCTGTGGATTTGCCTTTCTGCAAACGTTGTTGATTCAGCTCTTTTTTGGCAAGAATGGTATTTCAAGGCCACACACACAACATCTACATTGTACTATGAAAACATAACACAGATTTGTTAGACACAGATGATTGTTAAACGTTGTATCTATTATGATTCTTTTTTGGTCACATTCTGAAGCAGAGAGAGAGAGAGAGAGAGGGGTTACTTCATTTTCTTTCTGATTATAACTTCAAACAAACATCTACCACAGATTAAATGTTGGGTCATCACCTCAATTATTTCAAAATTTCCAGGTACAATGACCTGGGGTTACGTACTTATGTTAGGTACATATCTCAATTAGTGCGGTTGTAAGCGAGAATCACTGATAAGCCCATAAGAGTATCTGATAGACCCATGTTTGTGTTTAGTTCAATACTTACAACATCAAACTTCATCTCATTTGAACCAAAAATATAGTTAATTAATATATTTTCTAATAATTTCTTCCAATATTTTTTTTGAATTTTCCTTTACTCTTTTTTACTAAACTAAAGATGTCATTCTCAAAAGTTCAATCATTAAAAATAAAAAATTGTTATGAATCGTGCTAAGATAAATTATATAAAAAAGATATATTAATAATATCAATAGATTAAAAAATGTTTTGAATTTATTTAAATATATAATACTTTACGTACAAGCATTTAAGAATTTGGATTTCATAAGCCGTGAGCAAATTTGGTTTTGACTCTGACTAGTTCTAATTTCGGAGCCAAATTTGGATACATTCCACTCTTACTCTCGATTTTATGATTTTTTTTCTTTATTCAACCCAAGATCTCTTATTTGTAAAAATTAAATATTTATGAATATAGTCAATAATTACGCATTAAAAAAACATCATAACTCATTTATTTTTAACGTATTTCATCTTAAATCTGGTATTTTACTATGCATTGACTTAGATTTTCATTGGTTTTACCTTCAGATTTATCAACTCACTTGTTTTATTGGTGTTGACTGTAATAAAAGAAAATGAATTATGCTTATTAATTATTTGAATAAGTACAGTGTGATTTCTGTGATTACATAAAAATATAATTATGTTTTTAATGGTATTTTAGATGAGAGAGAAGTCTTAAATTTTATTATTCTGAAGTCCTGAAAATAGTTATCATTTGTTAGTAAAAAAAAATTTATTTTGTTAGCTGATTGATATTTAAACCCATGAAATTGTGTCTATTTTAGCTTTGTATAAATATATTTTTAGTTTTTATTTTCTTAAATAAGTAATTTTTTTCTGTGTATATAGATTTTGAGTTCCTCTTAAACTATCTTTAATAATATTTATTGTGCCTATAAAAAAAATTAAAGCAAACCCACTTCTAGGAATCTCAAACGAGGTAGATCTTAACATACTATTAAACTAATCATATCTATATATGTTACCATTATAAGCTTAATTAAATAATGATTAAAAAAAAATATTTGATAAATGCTCAAGTAGCAAACGCTTACGTTCCCCGTCCTTGATTAGTATATACAAAAATAATGAAAACAAATCTATCATATATTTTTTAATTAAATCAAAGGGGTTATGATATGACAGTAACATGAGCAATCACAACAGTTGCATGGGTTCAATAGTCTTCGTTGTGATTGTTTTTGTTGAATCACAAAAGATATTTTTCTGTATTATTAAAAATAATTTTGCATGTGAAATAAATTGTCATAAAAAGTCTCTGTCAAAATACATTTTAATTATTCTCTATCAGTATTCAACTAAATATTATTTGCATTGATAAATTTGGAGTATTTTTTTAAGTGCTATTTGCATCAATATGTAATAGCTATTTTAAATTATCTTTCAGAGTATAGTTTTAAAAAGACAGAAATATATATATATATATATATATATAATATTTAAAATAAAACAATAAGTTAATATTCTAATTCTTATTTATTTTATAAATATTATACATTTTTAACTTGGAAATAAAAAAAATTATCCTTGGGAAAAAGAGAAGAGAAAAAAAGAAAATGTAAGTGTTTTATATGAATAACAAAGCTTAAATACAATATTATATATATATATATATATATAGTCAATATAAATTAAATTGTTTCTAATTGAGTACACTCAAACTAATTATCTAATGTTTGTGCATCAGCATAGTTAAGAACATATAAAATGTTTTTTTTAAAATATAAAAGCCATCTAATATTTATTTAATTAATTTAATTATTCTTTTAGTTTTTATATTTAAATACGTACAATTTTGATTTTCTAAATTTAATTATTTGTTTTTAGTTGTCATAATTTGTTAAATATTTAAATTAAATCTCTCATCTAGCCATTTATACAATAATTAATAAAAATTAAAATTAAATCACCACATGACATTTGGTATGATGGAAAATAAATCAATCTAGTTAGAGTTTATCTTAAACAGGTTTAATTTTTTTTATAAAAAATTAAAACTTAAGTTGTAATATATTTGTCATTTATTTTTCTTTGAAAGGGAACAAAACCAAAACTATTATTTTTAAAATAAATATAAAATGTTACTTTAAAATACACACATATATATTACGAGGCATGTCGTTGTCTTTCTCTATATATGTCTCCGATCATTGTCAAGCTATTAAATTACTATTTTAGGTAGTGCCTAACTTCAAATTTTCTCCTCTTTAAAAAGAAAATGATTAATGTTCTAGTTTTTTTTTTAAAAAAATTTAATTATTTATATTTATTTTTTAATTTTTGAAATTAAATCTCTTATCTTAAAGTTTTATGTAATAATTGACGAAAATTTTTATATGTTTGATTTTTTTATTAAATGTCTTTATTTAAATATTTTATATATTTTTAATTATTTATATAAAATAATTATATCTCATGTTTCTATTATATTTTTATTAATAATTTAATAAAATTTTAAGTAAAAAATTTAATTAATTGTAAGTAACTATAATCAAATAAATTAAAACATAGAGATCTAAAGTATAATTAAAATAAAAGTTAAGTGAAATGATTTTAGATGATAATGTAAACTAACTCAAACAGGAAAATGATTATGGAGGTTTTAAACTAACAAATTTATTAAATAATTTTAACATTATTTTTTAAAATATTACTTTTAACTTTAATCTTAAAAGTAAAATTCAAGAAAAATAAACTAAACCAAATGCTATCCAACTATCAAAATAGAAACAAATTTGCAATTAATCTATTTTTCTATTCAATTCAGTTTGTCACTTGAAGATTTGTATATTTGTATTGATTGATCTGTTAAAGTTATTTTAGTTTTTTTTTCTTTGCTTTTTCTATTTATTTATCAACCTGTGTTTTAAACGAAGTAAAATTATTTCATTCATATGTGCTTTGATTGGCTAAGTAAAATGATGATAATATATATCTATCAAAACTCATTTTAGGAAGTGAATTAATATTTTAATATAAAAGGTATAAATTAATATATTAATATAACTTTAATATATTAATAATATATATTATTATAAATAACATACAATTTTTTAACTTAAAATTAAAAAATTTATCGTCCTGATTAAAATTAATAATAGATTTAGTAATACTAGTTTTAATTTAAAATATTTGAAAATAATAACTTTTATATAAAAAATATACACCACATTTGAATTTCTATGTAATAAATATTTTTTAAAATAAAAAATATACTGTTTTGAGTGTTTAAAATCAATCATGATGACTGAAGTTAGTATATTATTTTAAAGAGTTCTCACAAAAAACTGTTAAAAGTAAATAATTATTTTTAAAATTTAACTAAACTAAATATGCAATTAAATTAAAAAAAACTAAAACCAAAATATTAAGATTAGAAGGGACATTAAACCTTGTACCAAAACAAATGACTGTGCATGAATTCAGCTTTACTGTTTCTTCAAGTTGAAATGAATGGAGAAGAGATATACACAGTAACATTGTGATGACAGCAATTACAGGGGACCAGACCAGAAATATTCTCTGGATTCCACACATATTATTATAATATTATTAATATTATTATTAGACATACATTCCATGAAAACAGATAAGTATTGATAGTAACTGTTGAAGCTGTTCATATGAGAATAAATTGCAGAAAATGCAAAATTACAGACCGATGAGGTTTGTCTGATTGCATAGCATTCGTTGGTAGTTGTCTGAAAAATCTCTTACCCTTTGGCCATAATCAAAAGCCAAAGCACTGTAGAAAGGGTTCACCATCCTCAAGCTAACATTCCCTTTCTTCCACTGCTCAAATTCAGACATTCTTATCTTCATAGATTTCATTGAAGTATTTCTCTCCCTTTCCCTCTCTCTCTCTCTCTCCAGCTTCCTTCTACTTATTTCTCTGTTCACTTTCCCGTTTTTATTTTTTGTTTTATTTTTTTTTTATTTTCATGTCTATCCTCTTCTCGTATGAGACTCAAAGTCTTGTTTATATAACATACTACCTTGTGCAGCTTTTGTGGTACTTGAAATTTGAAAACTTGATCTACTTTTGCTTTGTAATTTTATTATCAGCACCCCTTTGGGTCATATATTGGTTACCTCAGTTGTCTTTCTGTTCATTTTTCCAAAATTGTTGTAAAGTTGGTTTTTTTTTTTTTTTTATTTATTTCTGGTCCCTTCATTCTTTTTCAAGTCTTTTCATTCTTTTCCAAAATGAATTTCTGGGACTTTTTTTGCACAAAAAGCAAGAACTGACTGGATTCTCCATTTGTGTTACTGTGTCTCTAAGTAAGATTTGAAGTTTGTTGTTTTCTTTTTGGTAGGTGGATCCTAAGTTCATGAGTTCCCCTTTTTCTCCAACTAATTTGTTTTGTTGTTGAATAATAATTCAATCAGGTGACGATTTTTTATTCTTTAATGTTGTAAAATTGATTATTTTAGTAACTCATCATTATTTTTTAACTGAGGACCTTCAATTTTGTTTTTTGAACATTGATGATTTTCTCACAAATCTTGTCTCCAAAGTTAGTGATTTCATAGAGGTATGCTGTGTTAATTTTCCTGTTTGTTTCATATTCAAGCTCACTTCTGGTTGTGGGTTTATCATTTACTTGAAGACAGACTTGAGGTTATTTCTCATCTCAACAATTGCTGTGTTTTCTCTGCAACTTAAAATCCAGCATCAAGTGGTTTTAAATTTCTCCAGGATCTCTCTAGTGTACTGCATTACTGGTTGAAAGTGAGATCTCTAGGGATTTTATTGTACTTGTGCCATGATTGATTAAATAGTGACATTTAATCCTGAAATTGATGACAGTCTCCTATTTTGCATATTTGGCGTGAACTTGTTTTCCTTAAATTCATACATCACAATTCAGTACACAAGATTTGAATCAAGCTTGTTTTTATTTCATCATTTCATTTGTGGATGAAATTTAGTTAGGAACTGAATTCTAAAATGCATTTCAGGTAGGCTTCATAAGTGAACAGAAGTTCACTTCTTCGCAAAGTTTAACAGGCCTAGAGAATGAGTCAGCCTAAAATTAAGCGCAGAGTGGGTAAATATGAGGTAGGAAGGACCATTGGTGAGGGAACTTTTGCAAAGGTGAAATTTGCAAGGAACTCTGAGACAGGGGAGAATGTGGCTCTCAAAATTCTTGACAAAGAGAAGGTGCTCAAGCACAAGATGGCTGAACAGGTTGAAAGCCTCAGTAGTTTGACTTCATTCTATTACTTCACTTAATTATTAGAAATCGTACAATTTTTGTGACATAATTGCTTCCTCACATTTTCCAAAAACCTTTCAAGTTGTTGACAAAATCTAGCTTGTGCTGAATTTATTTTTTAGTGGGAGGTTATAGACTTCAGATGCATCTTATTATTTTTATTTGTAGTTGCTTTAGACCCTCGCATGATGAAGTCAAGTTTTTTAGATGTTTTTTATGTGTTTTTTACAGATCAGGCGGGAAGTAGCAACTATGAAGTTGATCAAGCATCCACATGTTGTTCGACTGTTTGAGGTCTCTCTCTCTCTCTCTGGAACACTCACATGCAATGTTTTGTCTTTCTCTCTTATTTAACATTCATTTTGTCTTTATTTTATTCTTGCTTGAAGTTTTGCTCTTCTCAAAGCAGCAAATGGTAATGATTGAGTTAGTGCTTACCATTCCAGCAAGTGCTCAAAGTATCTTGGTTAATAATTAAAGATTGGTTCTAAAAAAATTAAAAATATATTCGTTGGAAGTTCCAAATACGTTGAATACTTGAATCATCGTACTATTCACATATTCACTGACAGTACTTGTAAAATAGTCAGGAAACTGCTTCCTTTTATCCAAGGCTAAAGATATAAGATCCCAGTAATAATTGAACAGGCCTTATTCAATTCTTGTAATGACAAATCAGTACTCAATTTAGAAAGAATGATCTTGATCAATGCAGTGAAGGACCTATAATGTATTACTTTGGACTACCTTGCCGAGAATCCTGTTGCTACTGGCCCTGAGACATTCTTCTATCATGAATTGCCCATGTAATAACATTTTTTATACATGAAAAAAAGAATAGGGGGTGAGAATAAATACATTTTTTTTAATATTTCATTACTCTCACCACTTGCTCTGTCTTATAATTAATTTTCTGATGGTGCTGTCTTGTATGCTTATAATCTAGCATTATGCAATAGTACAGAATATCTAACTATGAAGAAATTAATTTTTTAGGAAGTAAATCTGCAAATAGAAATCAAATTAATTCTCAATACAGTTTACTTTGTTTCCAAATTCTATTTCTAATATTACAACATTTTTGTTAGCAGGTCATGGGAAGCAAGACCAAAATATATATTGTTTTGGAGTATGTGACTGGGGGGGAGCTCTTTGACAAAATTGTGAGTAAATCAATCTTCTTGGATTCCTTTCATTTTCAATTGGTTCTAGAACCTCCAAAGAAAAATGGAAGAAAGGATGACTCACTTAACCATATTTGTAGTCAACCAATCCTGCTTAGCTTATGATACTAGACTAGTGTCCTTCACTCATCATTATCAATTTATTATCATTATTTGTTGGTATTGTTTATAGATAGGGTTGATTTGGATATTAGTTCATACATTCCATCTTTATTATGTGTAAAAAAAAAATGTTGTTTATGTTCTGAAGGGATTTTTGTTGTGAAGGTAAACCATGGACGGATGAGTGAAAATGAAGCACGTAGATATTTCCAGCAGCTTATAAATGCTGTTGATTATTGCCATAGCAGGGGTGTCTACCACAGAGACCTGAAGGTAAACCTCCATTGCCTTACAAACACACACACATGCAGACGCCAGAATCTTATTTCTTTTAATTTTGATATAATAAGTCCTAATCTCTAACGTGTCATAACTTTCCACAAACCTTGTGCAGCCAGAAAATTTGCTACTAGACAATTATGGTAACCTTAAAGTATCGGATTTTGGGTTGAGTGCACTCTCTCAGCAAGTTAGGGTAATCATGATTCATTGCCTTCTGAATTTTACTTTTCTTTTTTGTTTATCATTGTTCATTAAATTTATCTTGCTTTTTAAAGTAAAACTATGACCAAATAGATGTTGTTATAGAAGAACAAGCAATAATTAGAAAGTAAGAAGACGTGTGAGAAAGGTTGGGAAAATATGATTGTCTTTTTCAGGTGATGTAAAATATACGAGAACAGTAAGATTTTGGAAAGAATACCAAACACAAGAAGATACAATAGCATCCAACCTTTTAATAGGTGATTGATTTTGACCTAGACATGGTTTGATTTGTTTTAATAATTTAGGGATGGATTCAAGAGGTTATGCCAATGGAAAGTTTAAGATTTGGAATATGACATTATTAAAGTTGGAATAAGCAAGTGTTGACAGCAATACAGCATCCAAAATTATATTAAATCATTCATACATCATCTATATACGTGTATTTAGTTAATGTACATGCAAATGAATAGGAAAACTAAATAATTCACATTGGTAAAAAAAAATGGCTACAATTTTATAGGTGTGTAAAATGTAGACTTGAAATTTTTTAATTTAACAAGACAAGAAGATGTGGCTACCCAGCACCATTGTAATTTATATGCCAAAATTAGAGTTAGTTTTCCTCAAATGAAAACTAAGCTATATCTGTTAAAGACATTGCTCTCTTTATTCCCAACTTATCAATGGTTATAAATTTGAACATTTTCTTATAATGTTAATGAATACTTGACAAAGTTTCCATGCATCCTAAGATTGATTTGGATCTTATAAAATGGTTGTCTCCACAGGATGACGGACTTCTCCATACTACATGTGGAACTCCAAACTATGTTGCTCCAGAGGTGCAGACAAATGTTATGCTACTTTCTTGTAAATTGTATACCAAAACTCTTACATTCATAGTCACTCTTCTAACTGTATACTCTTGTTACATAGGTTCTTAACGATAGAGGCTATGATGGGGCAACTGCAGACTTGTGGTCATGTGGAGTGATTCTCTTTGTATTGGTTGCAGGTTACTTGCCTTTTGATGACCCAAATCTTATGAACCTGTATAAAAAAGTGAGCACTGCTTGAAGCCTTGAACTTTGTTGCACATTTTTAGTCTTTGTTGCACATTTTTAGTCCCTGTTTATTTATCCACAGATCTCCGCTGCTGAATTTACTTGCCCCCCATGGCTTTCTTTCAGTGCCAGGAAATTGATAAGTCGAATCTTGGATCCTGATCCCACGACTGTAAGAAACAACATTTGATTATCTGTGTGTGTGTGCTTTTATCATGTAATTGCATGTTTGTTCTGAAAGTGGAAGGGTCAATTTACTTGTAACAAGTTATGACTACCTACACTTCCTTGGTGGCTTCCAATGATCACTAAGGGCTAAGTTTGGCCTGATATCATGTGCATCAGCTTGATTTCGTTCATGATTATGAAAACACGATAATGGATTATTTAGAATCACAATTAGCTAGTCCCGGATTTCGCCAAAAGAAAAGTTAAAAAGAAAAGAGCACTGATCATCAATCTACGTAGTTATCTTTATTTTTCTGTACTACTTAAATTTTGGTCTGCATTTCTGATTTATCATAACCGAATGGCAGCGTATTACTATACCTGAGATTTTGGATGATGAATGGTTTAAGAAAGATTATAAGCCTCCAGTTTTTGAGGAGAATGGGGAAACCAACCTTGATGATGTGGAGGCCGTCTTTAAAGATTCTGAAGTATGTTGTCGATTCTTAGATATGATTTTGTTATTGTTTTCCAAAGTTCTGGACTATTGTCTCATAAAGGATTTTTCCCTTGTATTCAGGAGCACCATGTAACAGAGAAGAAAGAAGAGCATCCAACAGCCATGAATGCATTTGAGTTAATTTCCATGTCCAAAGGGCTGAACCTCGAAAATTTGTTCGATATAGAGCAGGTTCACAACATCACATGATAAGATGCTTTCTAAATTATTTTGTTATTGCGATAAAATGTAGTGAAATCTTGCAAGCTACATTCATTTTGACCTGAAAGCTTTTTTTGGTTAGATAAAAACTAGTTATCTATGTTGAAACTTATACTTAATTTGGATTTGGATAGCACTTTTCTCTGAAGTCCAATTAGTGCAGATCATGAGATACCTTGCTGAAGTTACTGTGTTTGCTTTCTGCATGTGCCATTGACCACAGGGATTTAAAAGGGAAACAAGGTTCACATCAAAATCCCCTGCAGATGAGATAATCAACAAGATTGAGGAAGCTGCAAAACCTCTTGGCTTTGATGTGCAGAAGAAAAATTACAAGGTAACCTTACTTGTGCAACTTACTATGAGCTTCTACTCAACTAGCTACCGTTATATTAAATGGTATTTTGTAAAATTAATAAACCATCATCTGCAGATGAGGCTTGCCAATGTGAAAGCTGGAAGGAAGGGAAACCTTAATGTTGCCACAGAGGTATATGATCTTCATTTTTGTTATTTGGTGATGTGTGACACTTTGTCACATTATTGTACTGAAATTTGAAAGTACTCATTATAAACAGATATTTCAAGTGGCACCTTCTCTTCACATGGTTGAGGTACGAAAAGCAAAAGGCGATACATTGGAATTCCATAAGGTGTTCTTCTGTCCCCTTCTTTACTTAATTACTTTAAGTTGTCTTTGCTTGCTACACTTCAAAAATCTGTTCTATTGTCAAAGTTCTGCTCAAGCTAATAGTTTTCCCGGGAAGAATACATCAGTAGTTGCATAACTAAATATTTGAATAAGAAAAATAAAATTAGATCAAGTTTCTTATATCCTTGCCATCAGGTTCTTAAATTAAACAATGGCAAATGATTTTGTTTTCCAATGGTAAATAGCCTCCTTTAAAATATGTTGCTGAATGAGGAAAAAGTATCAAACATATCATTGTTTGACTCGAGAACTTTATGACAAAGATATAAGAAACTACCTGAGTTTTGTCCTTTGAATAGCTCTTTTGTAAAAGGGATTTAGAACAAGAGAGGATCTAATAACCAATCATGGTGGGTCCCTTGCATGAATTTTAATTCTCCTATTGTTAAAAATTGTGTCTTTTTTCACTTCAATATGATCAGATCATATCCTGTTATTGAACAACATGAAAGGATCCAAGTTTATCAATAACGAGTTTGAACAGTCGACACTTGTTTTTACTTTTGAATCTAATTGAAATTGTTTGCTTCACCTCTGCAGTTCTACAAAAAACTTTCAACATGCTTGGAGGATGTTGTTTGGAAAACAGAAGATGATATGCAAGAAGAAACAAAGTGATATTTGATATCATTGTTATCAAGTGTAATTTTCTCGGTGTCTCACGTTCTACTATTTTCCAATTTCTTCATTCGTTATTTCCCCTCGTAAATTTGTTTGGACATTGCATATTTACTCATATGTTGCGTACCATGCTATTATTTTTGGAAAGCATGCAGAGTTTATGTAAGAAGTTTTACTCGTATACAGTTCAAGTTATGTTCATCAAACAAAAAATGTAAGAAATTTTGTACATTGTATATAGCTATTTTAATGTTCCTTTTGCTAGTAATATCTTTTGCATTTGCTGCTACTTTGATTTCTATCCAGCAATAAGGTAAGCTCATTAGAGCAACTGAAAAAAATAAAATTAAAAGGAAAGAGGCTATGTGAAGAAAATGATACTAGGTGCATTTGTATAATAACTTAATTAAGTACTTATTAAAAAAACACTTGTAAAATATCTACTCAAAAAAATCACACAATATAAAATATTAGCATATGTTTAATTTAATTTATTTTAAATAAATAATTGTGTTATTATTTTTTAAAAATTAAAAATACATAGTTGTTTTATTTATTTGGTCAACACTCCTACCTTAGTTGGTAATAATGGGCCAATCTAGTTGTTTCATTTTGATTTTTGGTCCACCAGTCTTGTTGTTTCTTTAAGTTCATAATAAAACCACGTGTTTTAAATTTTAATAAAATTGACTTTTAGTGAGCCCAAATACCTTGGGCTAAAAATCAGTTTGGGCCATGCTGAATTTTGTCATTCAAATCAAATAAATAATTTAGAAAAAAATATGCTAACAAAAAAAATCAAATTAATTATGATCTTTTTCCTTTTTTCACGATTCTTTCCTATTTCGAACTTTTAATTTTGAAAAATAAAAAATAAAATGAAGGGTATAGTTAGAAAAAATACAAAAAGTAATAACCAATAACTTGGATTACTTCACTTGTCCTGGTCGAGTTGCAATTATCTAAGAAGCACTTTTTTTTCTTCTTTATTTGGGTTTATTACATTCTGAGTGAGAATCTCTTTTTCCTTTTTCTTTTTTGACAGCACATTTATCTTTTTTAAAAGTATTAAGATGTCATGTCATAAAGAGAAAAAACAAACAAATATACAAATAATTTTTATTATTGTCTTATGAATTGCAAAATTGGAAACGAAAATGACACGTTTTGAACGGTATTCGTATTCCAATCAAATTCTTTTATGATCGTTGTTTGGTGTAGACTTCATGAAAAACTCGTCATAGTCACACTATAATTCTATAAACGAGAATAACGCCATTGATGTTAATGGTGAGCCATACATTAGAGAAATTGTCATCATTAATTACCAAATTAATATTTGAAAAATAAAATAATTACATAACATATTGAGCGATTAATTAACAAAATAAGATACTAATTCTTTTAATAAAAAATATTTATAATGCATTATTTGGCACTTTTTTTTAAACATTCTTTACTATTAATTAAAATAGATTTTTTTTTATTTAATAAAGTGCTATAAAGAGTGTTCCTAACAATTTTGTTTCCTTGCTTACTTTTTAAAGTATAACAATACCTTTCCGCGTTTAACCAAATTCTTGCATTGTATATAAGAATTTCTGAAACCTGAAAATTTAAAAGCTTTTGTCTTGTTCGGTGTTTTGGGTGATTGATGCTGCATAGGTTTCTGTAGCTTCCATTAACACTAGTATGTCTCTTTACGTTGTTCTTTCATTCTTTGCTTCATGATGACATTAGAAGTGTCATTGCTCTTCAAATTAACTTGTCTTCACAGACCAACATTACTCATAATTTTTCACCATCATGAGAATTTGTCGGGTATTTCAATCTCTCTGAAAAATTTTCATCCTATAATAAACTCTACATGCCTGTTAGGTACAAAATGATAGCTTTAGGTGCTAAATATCGTATTGGAGCACTTTGTGTGTTACCCAGAATTTTGTTTTCTCTTTTCTGCATTGATGCTGTTCTCAAATTGATACCTTTTTCCATTTCTTCACATTATAGAAAGGTGAAGTTCAAGGTTTTGGTTAGGTATTGTTTTTTAATCCTAGGCTGAAATTATATAACTATTTTTTGGGACATGGTCTATTGGATTCTTTTTGCGTACCTCACTCAATGGAATGCCCATTTCTAACCAAGATGATTTTTCTCATGTAATTAGAACCGTTGGAATTTGTTTATGTGATTGTGGATTGTGTTTTTGTTCATTTTAATCCATTTTTGTCATCTAGTTATGCATTAGTGGCTGGTTATATTTACAATGATTTTGATTCTAGTTCAATTGGGTGGTTGCTGCAGCGTAGAGCCTTTTCTTGTGTGTGGATTATAGAACTTCAGAGGTAGGAGGTTGTTTAGAAGATGGTTGGGAACCCTGCACTCAATGTTTCATCATTGCCAGCTTCTTTTTCTTCATGTGTGATTACCCATCCAGGAAATTCCTTAAGTTGCTCTCCTCTTCCAATAAGACATCGAACACAAATTAACAAGATAAGAGCTGCATCTACTGATGCAGGTCAAGGTCATGGCCAATGGTCATCTACTTCAGAAGCAAAGAATCCACTTGCAGTTGTATTAGATGTTTCTTGTGCTGTTTGGAGGCAAACATTGCGTCCATTAAGTGATTTTGGGTTAGGTCATAGGAGCATCTGGGAAGGTGGGGTTGGATTGTTTTTAGTATCTGGCACTGTCCTATTTGTACTTACTTTGGCTTGGTTGAGGGACTTCCAAATAAGATCTAAATTTCGGAAGTACACAGCAGTGTTTGAGTTTGCTCAAGCTTGTGGTATAAGCACTGGAACACCTGTGAGAATCAGAGGGGTCACTGTTGGCAGGGTCCTACATTTGAATCCTTCCTTGAGAAGTATTGAGGCGGTTGTTGAGGTGTCTTTCAATTTCCACAATCTGATCACTCTAATATCACATTTTTAAAATCTTGCTTTGGCTTGACATGCATTGTTTTAGTTGTTGAATTGTGTTAAACCATCAGTTTTGAATTTGCAGGTTGATGATGATAAAACAATTATACCGCGGAATTCATTCATTGAGGTTAACCAGTCAGGTCTTCTTATGGAAACAAAAATTGACATCACTCCTCATGATCCTATTCCAATGCCTTCAGTTGGCCCTCTTGACCAAGACTGTACTAAAGAAGGTCTTATTGTGTGTGATAGAGAAAAGATCAAGGGCTACCAAGGAATAAGTTTGGATACATTGGTTGCGATTTTCACCCGCCTTGGGCGTGATATGGAGGAAATTGGTGTCATCAATAGCTTTTCGTTGGCTGAACGAGTTTTTTCTATTATTGAAGAAGCAAAACCACTTCTTATACAGGTGTGTAATTTTCTTATACCAGTGTGCTTGACTGATGGAAATAAATTCACTTGAACACACGTTGAATCGAACCGTTTTCTTGCCAATAGAAAAATAGATCAATGCATGATGATGCATGGAGTATTAGTTTCTTCCATAGGGCTCCTGCTCCAACTTTTAATATGTTAAAGCTAAAACCAGATTGTTCATTAATGTCTAAGAAATAAGAATTATCTGTTTTAAAGAGTCGGCGTGGGAATTGAACCTATTAAATGGCTTTCCTTCGTTCTGCATAGATGTTGAATGCATGCTCATGCGCTGTATTTTCACTTTGATGTAGTGATGCCTCAGATCAAAGCCATGGCTGAAGATATTCAACCTTTGTTGGCTGATGTCTGTGGTAGTGGCCTGTTGAAGGAAGTTGAGAATTTAACCCGAAACCTTACCCAAGCTTCTGATGATTTGAGGTTAATTGTCTAATCTTCTATGGCCCATGCCTATCATTAATTTGAGGTTAATTGAGGTTAACTTACTTGAAGTATGACAACTAACAAAAATCACCTTTGTGTATGCAGAAGGGCACATTCCTCCATTATGACCCCTGAGAACGCTGAATTGATTCAGAAGTCCATATACACACTTATTTTTACCTTGAAGAACTTTGAGGTTTGACCCTAATTTGGGAAATGACTAAATTGAATTATTATGAATAACATCTCCCCATGTTATTTGATTTTTGGCTGTATCACTGCAGAATATTAGCACTGATATTCTGGGTTTTACTGGTGATGAGACTACAAAAAGTAATTTGAAATTACTTATCAAGAATCTGAGCAGGTTGTTGTGAAGTAAAAGTTAAAGTGACGTAGAATATAACAGATATGAATATTAGGTACAATCTGTTTTGGTTGCTTCTATAGTAGCACTATATATGTTTCTTCATGCATTCTGTTGTGATGAAAATTCTTTCCTTGTCTTAATGAGTGCAGGCGTGTTATTGACTGGTGGAACTGATTGCTATGTTGATGAACTTGTTCTTTTACTGTTAGTTATCTGCTTATACGTGTAGCATAGACTAGTTTTAACGACTGTCTCATGTCACTCCAGGACCTCGGAAAGAATGAAGTTACAGGTGACAGGATTATATAGCATTCAAAGTGTTTCTAATTGGTGAGGTTTTCAGTTGTGCACAACCACTTAGCAGTCTAGAAATTGACGAACATAAGTATAGAGCAGTGTAATATTAAGAGTTTCCGGATACAGAATATTTGTTGAATGTCGAGGTTTCTATTTTTTTTTTTTTCTTTTGTCAATTGGCAAATGAAAACAACCATTGTGGTAGCAAACAATATTATTGATGTGTCCTGGTTGGTTCATCTTTTAAGTTAATTTGCATAGTCATCTGTATGACTTTTATTCATGCATCTGATCTGAGTAAATGTCTTTTGCCTATGTGTATTACAAATCAGGCTTATATACTATATATACGGACGTAAAATCTTCATCCTAAAGTCAAGCATTCCGCTATAGTCCAGTTGGCAGATCCTCCACTGTTAACAAATACTTGGACACAACCAAAAAATATCTTTGGACATTGTCATCGATAATTATATTTCCACTTTTTTCTTTAAACAACTTTACACAAATTGCAATTATCGGAGCTGAAGCTCTAGTCCACTTGCATGTCAGGGCTCCTGCTACAAATTTAAATGAGACTGCAATAACAAAAGTACTCTTTATCCAAAATCACACGCCATTTAATCAGTGCCCAAACTTTCCATAACAAGATTTACAATTGAATTGAAAACCTCTCAATCGACATTCATATGCTGCTTTGCCTTCAACCCTGTCACTTTCTGGATTTAGACTTAAAAATATTTGCCTTGTAGTATCTAAGTTCCTGAATGCTTTCTCTAATATCATCCATTGCTCTGTGTCTGTTTGCTTTTGAAGGCGCTTTCTTCTGATCTACACAGATGATAACCTTTTATATTTAAAAACAAAAAACAAATATATCCATTGTTTCTTATCTCTTGGAATTGTTTAATTGGTCAGCATGTGTTATAACGATTGGTGGCAAAGACTGGTCACAAGTAAGAAAAATAAACATTAATTCTGATCCAAGCAAACCCAAAAGCGAAAGGGGTAGCTGGTGATTGGTGAGATTCCAAGCTTAAAAGTTAAAACATCAAAAGAAATAACAGAGAAATATCAACAAGCATCTGCTTTAGTTACCTTGCCAAGTTTCTAAACATCTTTATGCTATTACAGCATCACAGGTCTCAAATCAACAACGGCAGCATGAAATGCGCATTAATTGTTCATTAGTTGAATTTTGTTGGGGTGAAGGGTAGTAGGTCCATACTCTTACGTAAGTTGTAAAACCATCATTTTTTAATTTTTTTTTTTTTGGCAGTTTTTTGGATTTGCACTTTCTCAACTTCTATCCTTTACCCTTAATAGTGTTGAAGGGAAGGTCAGAAATACACACAAGATGGGAAGAGTCAAGTGAAGACCTCTGATCTATGTGGAACTAAAGTTCCCCTACTAATATATGCCTTGGAGAAGGTGGAAGGAAACAATCAGAATCAGAATTTTGCCACAAAAGGGCAACCGACGGAAGAAATTCTTGTTTATTTTTGTTTGGGAGGGCCATATTAATCCACAAATCACAATCACTTGAGATTGGGAACTTTTGGATAGGAACTAAGTGTTTTATGATTTTATCGTATTACTTGCCAGTTCAATCAAATTGAACTGAACAAAAATTCAAGAATAGCAAAAAGACCAGAAGAATCATGCTCACAACAGATCCAGTTAACAATGCAGATCCAATAAAATTCCATGAATAGGTAACGGAATTGTCCAACAATCTCAGGCACAAACAATTGTTATTTTGTCACCTTTTTTTCTTGGTGGTGGTAGGAGAGGGGGGCGGGGGGTTGTGGGGATGAGATTAGGGGATAAAAAGTAGTTGATAGTTCACAACAAATATTTACTTCAATATGGTTCGATGCACTAACATCAAGGAATTTTCATTATGCGTGTGTGTGTGTATGTTAATTGTATAATTTCTCACCCTTAGGATACCAGCGAATGCAAAGAGCTTTAACACTACTAACATCCACAAGCACATGAGAGAAGAGACTCGCTAATTCTGGCATGTATTTCTGCAAAAATTGATCTAGTTAAGACAGGCAACATAACATTTCAAAAAGGAACAATAGGATGTATAGATGTTGCAAATAAAAAATGGCAATACATGCTTTCAATAAGGCTTGATCAGTATATGCATAACGGAAAAGTTGGAGTGGTTCTCAATTTTAGAGATTCTAAACATTCAGATGACAGAAATTTTCATGCAGTGTTTTGACCTGATCTTTTACCAGATGCCCAACTTCATGAATGCTATGATGTATTCAGTTGACCAACATAATTACCATGACATAGCAAGCATGAAATATAAGCTATTCTCACTCACACAGGAATGTAATATTGTAATATGATGCGATTAAAATTTTTTAAATTTGATGATGTGACCAATAATTTTCAGCAGAGATTATCAACAAAAGAATCAAGACTTCAACAATAAAACTGGCACTATAAATACAAATAACATTATGGTTATTAGAATTTAGAAATTAACAACACTTAGCAAAGTCACTATCTATTATGGCAGAACCAATACCTTCAGAAATTGTAAATCCACATATATTGAATTTCCAGCCAAGAGAGGTGTGTATGAACCAACATATTTTTTAACAAATTCAATAACCTGCAATTTTGCAAGATTTTAAAGATTTGCATCATAAAAAGAAAATAATGAATCAAACAAAGGGAAAGAGATTCAATTAGTCCCTTCCAGCGAAGAACGAAATAAGTATTTTAGTTCATTACAGGTCAAGTGGCAATATACAGGGGAAAAATATCAATTTAAAGACACTTTCAATGCAACAAACAAGAGTGGCATGGGTAAAGGCATCCAAGCCATACTCCTATATGATTGGAACTGATATCACTAGCGTGGTGAAGGAGTAGGATATTAAATGCCAGCTAATTTTGTCTACAATCACTTATTACATCTTGTAACTAAGTTTAGCCTAAATAGGTCCTTAAAAGATAAAATTTCTGGGACCACACATCCTTACATGGATAACAGAACACAAGAATGTACTACATCTATCATCAGTCTCAAAACAGTAGCATTTTGCTGATTACAGTATAGCCTCAGACCTACTTACATAAATCATATAAATTACTTAAATGACCACCAGATCACAAACTGGTTAATTAAAAGTAAAAATGCATCTATTTCAAAAAAATCATGCCAGTATCATGAATCCTTAGAGAAAAGATAACAACTTTTTGTGGTAGGGCAAGAAAAACTTCTCAGCTGCCAAAAAGTTTCCTAACATAGACTATGCCCCTCCCAATTTTTTTATGGACTTTAAGAATGATATGAGAATTCAATCTCCTTCTGTACACTAAGATTCTGCAATCCCTATTAGACAAGTTAACTACTTCATCTGTCTTATAATATGAAAACGATAACAATTTTTTAAGTTCACTAGTATTACACAAAAAATATCTTAAATAAAAGTAATATAAAAATGGTGATATATTTAATTTTTAAAAAATGGTGATAAATACTTGACTATTTTAAGAATTTTAGAGTTGAAGAAAAAAAAATATACAAATAAATATGGTAAAAAATAAAGAACTAATATATGAAAATCCAGCACAAATTTAATATGCTAGCTGATAGAAAGTATGTTCCAATGAAACGAGAGCTTGCCACATGGTATAATTACTACAAACCTGTTTTTCAGCTTCTTTTTCAATAATTGTACTTTGGAGCACCTTTTTTGTTAACCCTAAATTCATTGAAAATCATTAGTCAATGCCATTTAAAATCCAATTCAACAGAAAAAGGAAAAAAGGAAGTAAATAATGTTAAAGAAAAACAACCAAGCAACAACACATGAACAAAGCTGTATCAAATTTCTTCATATTCTATAATATATTAAATTATTTCTCTGTTTTGAAGGATATCTTACAGGCTTACACTATCCATGGCCATCTCTCTAATAAAACATTTTTCCCCTCTAGAAAAATAAGGTATCAAAATATAGCATTTACCACTCACCACTAGCAGCATGATGAGTCTGACACCAATCTCCCATTCTGTCAAGGCACTCCTTAGTTTGATGGATGACCAAATCAGGACCCTAAAATAGCAAATACTTTCTTTCATACATACTCTAGTGTGATCATGCATACTGGATTAGCTCTTTACTTGAAATAGATATGCAAAATTTAAGCAAAAGTAATCAACATTTCATCTTTTCCTAAGAAAGAGTAAAAGAAAAAGTTAGAATCATTCCCAACTGCATATTGTATACTTTACATGGCAAAATGAAAAGTCAACAAGGCACCCAAAAAATGTTGATGTATCTATTAAACACAATAGAAAAAGGAAATGTCCAAAAACAAAAAAAGATAAGGAAAGCTGAGGATCATTAATGCGTCAAAATCTATTCATACATGTTAAATTCAGCTTATTTTGGAGAAATATTTTTGTTTTTGGTAGCTCCTTGAGAGAGTGCTTTTGAAAAGAAAATGATTATTTCCCTTAAAAAGAACTACGCAAAACATGTGTTTAATATGATATACAGAAAAAAGGAAAATCAATAATACAAAATGGGAGTAAAAAACTATTTCACTTAAATAACTTCCAGCTTACAAGTATCTAAATGTCAGGCAAGTTAGTTTATTGTTTGAGATTTTTCCCCACAGAAAAACAGAGAAGACAGAGAGGGCGGGAATAGGAATGATATTAGCTAGATACAGGAGATTGTAGATTCAAGAATCTCATTCAAAATATGGTGAAGCATCATGTAACATAAAAATCAACAAGCACACACTTTAAACATCAAATCAAATACCTCCACTGTTTTGGTTAAATTTCCATCGGTAATTATACAAGCAATCTCCAGTATTCTGTCCACTTCAACATTTAAACCTGCACACACACACACAGAGATTTAACACTCAAAATAAAAATAATAAAATTTAGCAGACACTAAACATTCATATACTGTTCAAGAACAGACGATAACACAATTTGAAACAAAAGCAAATGCTATATAAATAGAACAGAGAGGAACCACTAATCTAGAAAAGATAAGTTTTTCAATAAAATGATCTCAGAAGTATAGAATTATTTAACAATAAATAAGTCACCTTAGGAGCGCATATCTTTCCAAGATATAAAGTTATCAAATTGCTAGGAAGAAGGATAACTTGACTTACTCTAATTCTACTTTAGATGTAGAGCCATGTAAAAGGAAAACATCTGTACTAATCTAACAAAGTTATTTACCAAGACGGGTGCCATATCATACAATGTACGAGCTTTAATACTGATTAATTTATAAGTTTGTGAACAATACAAACCAAACACAGAAAAAGGTAAAATGAAAAATATTTACATAAATAAAAACAAGTAAAACACTCTAAATAGCCCATTTGACAAGCTTACCGGTCATCTCCAAGTCAATCCAAACAAGAGGTAACTTGTATTCACATGAAGGAGTCACCAGATTTTGTAGATCTTGTTTCTCATTTTTGACTGGTAAAGTGTCAGTGTTGCCATTAACTCTCTTATTACTGCTACTACCTGCACCAAGAATGTATGTAGAAGCTGCTTGTACACTCACATGGTAATTAACATAACACTCCCACTAGCAAGCATTCATCCAGGAAATTTAAACTAGTCAATGCAAATAAAAATGAAGAGCAAAAGCTGACTACAGAAGATAACACCATGAAATAATACGAAATTGTAAGACAAATATTGCTAAAGAAAAGTAAATGCATCAATACAATTGGCTTAGCCTCAGTCAACCAGGAAGAGGCTACCCAAGCATAGATGTTCATGCATAGACCAATAATTTCCCAGAAACTTAAATCAGATTCACTAAAACCTGGTAAAAGCAGCTCATTCTCTCCTTCCTGTTTCTCCACTATGATTCTTGAACACTTATTACCAAATCAGACTGTTAAGCAATAATTATTCAATCAACACTTGAATGACTCTCCAACTGACAATTTTTCACCTATTGATCAGAGATCAGGATCATGCATACCTTCATTCCCTAAACACAAGTCACGACCTCATTCAATTGAACACATCTAATAATCACACAATAACCAACCCTTAAGCCAATAACACAACATAACTCAACCCAGTTGTTTCCCCAAGGGCAATCTCATATCTAATGTCCACTGTCCTCCGAAGTAAACCAAAAGTAAAATGGAATTACTTTAAGCATTGAAGCAGTGCAATGATACTGAAGAACCAAGTTGCAAGATTTCAAGCACGCTTTAAAAAAAATCACAAAATAAAAATTAATTAATTAAATTCCATAAATTCGTCAGCAACAATAATTAACAGAGCTCACCGGATTCTTCCGGAAAAACCCACATCACCAACAATAACAACTGTGAAACCCTAACTCAAATTTCAGTAACTAGGCGCGAAAATTAAAAAAATAAAAAAGGCGTAAACTGAAAGGAAGAAGGAAAAGGGAAAGGGTACCAGCAATGGTGGGAAGGTGGGTGTCATCAGCGTCAAGTTCTAACACTGAAAACGAATTTGCAAGTTGCTCCATTTTTCTGCTTTGTTCCCTTCTTTCTCTTCAAACACTTCGATTTTGGCGCTGTTTTAGCACTCGCAGCTTAAGCTTTGCAACTGCAATCATACACGACACTATGCAAACTCCATGGGTTGCGGTTGTGGGCTCAGCATACCAGTCTTGGGCCTTTTCGGGTTTGGATATAACCCGAAAATTACACCCAATTATTTTTATTAATTACGATAATTAGATTGGTTGTTGGGCCCAAATGTGCAAAGTCTCACTTTTTAATACTCTTAATAATTAATTAAAATTTATTAAAAATATAAAAATAAATATTAAATTTAAAATTAAAAATGCATAATCTTTTAATTTTTAATAATTTTTATTTAAGAATTAAAAATGTACTTAAAAATATATATTCCATAACGTGCTCTTAAAGATAAATGAGGTTAGTCATATTCTATGAGCACAGATAGTATTTTGGTAAATAATTTAAATGTAATAGCAGTTTAGTCAACTGAAAAGGAAATTATTCCATTTAAATTTAATAATTTTGTCCTTATTTTAGCCACTCACATAAAGATGAAGTATGACAATTGGCTTGCATTTATTTTTCAATGATGTAATAATGCACAATCGAGTTATGTAAAACCTTAAACGAATAGTATCAACTTTATACTCTGTTATCATGTACCCATTTAAATAATATAAAAACATTTATTAAATCTTATTTCTTAAAAAAACCATATTAAACACTTTTTAAAACTTAAAAAAAAATTGGAAAAGAAGAAAAACTAAGAGAAAATATTTTGTTTTATTTCGTTTCCTTTTTTAACATATATAGATATAGATGCTTACTACTAAATTCTCGTGACAAATGTATCACATTTAATGCTATTATTGTTAGTACCACAAAATATAATTATTACCTCGTTAGAGAATACATGAGTTGTAGTGTAACGTGAGATGGTTTGATTTAATTAAGGAATTAAAATCCACAAAAAGAAAGAGAGAATGAGAGAAAAAAGAGAAGCCCTTGGCATTTGGGTGAAAGTAACTGTAAGAGTATATAAATAGCATTAATGGTTGTCTTTATTTTTTCCACATATCCCACAGAAGATAGAGAGAGAGAGAGAGAGAGTTTCATCCTTCAAACCATCGATTTCATCTTCTTTTGAACAACTCCAATGGCCGATCAACTCACCGACGAACAGATCTCAGAGTTCAAGGAAGCCTTCAGCCTCTTCGACAAGGATGGCGATGGTCTCATTTCTCAGATCCCTTTTTTTTTTTTTTTTTCCTCTATCTCTTTCTCTTTCTTAGATCTCTGATTTTTATGTTTCTACATCAATTTTGTTCCCTCCCCCTTCCACCCTTTTGGATAAGTTTTGCCAAAATTGAAGCCTTTTTCTCTTTGGGTTCACTGCTAGGGTTCATTTGTTTTTTGGGTGTGTGGTCTGGATTTGCATATTCGCTGAAATTTATTGTTTTTCCTTTTTTGCCCTTTTGCTAATGTCGCATGTCATTCTCCTTGTTCTCTGATATTGGGTGTAACTTGAGATTTGGTTTCTTGGTGTTTGATTTCTCTATCAGAATTGCTTGTGTGGATGTGAAATATTGATTTGGATTTGGATTTGGATTTGGATTTGACCCCTTTATGTTTTGGTTAGTGCATTTGCCTTTTTTTTTTTCTTTCTATTTCTGGGAATGAAATAGCAAAATTACATGCTACGTTTTTTTTTTTTATTAGAAAGTGTGATTTATGATTGGTTGACCAGTGATTTATTGATTAGCATTGCTGAGTGTTATGTGGGTTGTTATAATGAATGAAAAGGATTTTTGTTTTTACATTGTACTGCATTTGCGACTTTTGTATGCTTATAATAATGAATTTATTGATTTATGAAATCGTATAAAAAGGAGAGAGTTAACCTGGAATATTATGTTTACCACTCTCCGTGTGCACATTCATGTGTTTTTGAAACTTTTGCTTTGAATTTAAGAAGAAAATCAAAATTTTAGATCTAAGTATGTGTTCTTCTTCCAAATTGATTCTTAAATTAGGACATGCTGCTGTTCCTTGTTTGGCTGAATCTCTTGTTTGTGTTTTACTTTTAAAAATGCTGCAGGCTGTATTACTACCAAGGAACTTGGGACCGTAATGCGGTCACTTGGGCAGAACCCAACTGAGGCTGAGCTGCAGGACATGATAAATGAGGTTGATGCTGATGGGAATGGTACCATTGATTTCCCAGAATTTCTCAATCTCATGGCCCGCAAGATGAAAGATACTGATTCTGAGGAGGAGCTTAAGGAAGCTTTCCGCGTGTTTGACAAGGATCAGAATGGTTTCATCTCTGCAGCTGAGCTGCGCCATGTCATGACTAATCTCGGTGAGAAGCTGACCGACGAAGAGGTTGACGAGATGATTCGCGAGGCTGATGTTGATGGTGATGGGCAGATCAACTATGAGGAGTTTGTCAAAGTCATGATGGCCAAGTGAGGACCAATCAACCATAACCAAAAATTTGAAAAGCACATGAACAGAAAAGGGACAGGGCAGATAAGTTTTGATGAGAATTCTATTTTCATTAGGACATCATTTTCATTTGGGGTCATTAGTTTTTGTTGGTCGGGTTTGTTTGCTTTATTATTGGTATTTGCTCATTAGTATTCTACTTGTTTGCTCTGTCCCTTGTTTTACTAGTTTGGATTAGTTGTGTCTCACCATGCATTTGTACTTCACTTTTCATCTTTTTTGGGTTACTATTTATGAACATGGAACAATTGGTTGCAATTTGTGCTTTTTACATGTGGATCACTAATACTGTTAATACCATCCTATGCTACATGATTGTTTCTGTGATGATTTTGCATTCCTCGGCCTCAGTCTGATGATGATGGAAAAAACTAGTCCTCGTTAGTGAACAATTCATGTGAATTCCATCATCTTGATTGCTCGCCCCTTTTCTTTCTCCTAGTGTGAAGTTAACAACATAGCAACGATCAAGATCAAGAGTATTATATTGGTTTAATTAATCTGGAGGTCCCTGGATTATTTGAGAATTTTTAAATAAGTTTTTATCTTTTAAAAGTTTGTAAATGGATTACAGAAGTTTCCAAGCACTTCTAATTGAGTCTCTGACCACATTTCTGCTAAGTACAAGGACTAAATTAACTTTTTTCAAACAATTTAAGTACTTATGGAATAATTAAATTAATGACTTAGTCCCTGAATAATTTAATTTTTTTTCAAAAATAAATTCTTGTACTTAACAAAATCCTAACGGAGGGAGGGACTCAATAATGATTTTAAAATTTAGGGAGTAAATAATACATTTATGAAGTACATAGATTTACAAAAAAAATTCAAGTAGTTTAGGGACCTGTAGAATAATTTAACCTATTATCATACTTTGTCAACACCTTTGTACTAAAAAATGAATTTTCTAATTAAAGGAATGTGCAGATCATATGCCAATTTGTTTTATGATTTCCATTTTGGCAACTAGGATAATATACTTTAAAACTATACATAAAATGCAAGCATCAAAGCGATACTCAAAGTGATGCACGTTGCATGAATGTAGCTTTCTATTTCTAGGTCTATAACCTCCCAAAAATTACTGGAAACAACTGGTAACTAATTTCCCAAAATGATTTAAAAGGCATATTGTCTTTCTCAATAATTTGTAATATGTATTTTAAAGCAAACTGAAAAATGTAAACACACCCAACAAGGGTGTTTAATTATTATGAGTAGCAACTATGTTATATTACTATTATTATAAGATAATGGCTCATCATATTATTTATTGTTATATTAAATTCATCAGAAATTGATGGCGCGCAGTCCACCATGAGCACGAAAGATTTTCCCTTACTGATGCCACGAGATTAATTTCTTTCAGAATGAAGCATTCTGTTAGCAGAAGCAGATCCAATCCCAAATCCAAATCCAAATCCAAAACCACTAAAAGCCGGATCAGATGCTGCTTTTGAATGAAGATTCCAAACATTGCAAAGGGTTGTTGTTGATCACAAAGGGAATCCATGGTGGAGGCTGGATCTTCCTCTTTTCCTCCTTTACCTGTATATTCGGTTGCTAAAATTTGTCCCAACCATCTATTTTTTATATTACTCAATCGATGGTTAAAGAAGTTTGAAATTTTCCCACATACTTATTTATAATATATAAAATTTGGAGCTAAAATGTGGTGTTGACATTTAATTGCGATATTTATTTTTTTATACCACAACATTTTAAAGTGTGATGGGGTCATTTTTTGTTTTCACACACCAAATTGGTTTTCTTTGATTTTTTTTTAAAAAATAAAATATTAATGCATCTTCTAAATATATCAAGTATATTTACTTACACCTTGAAGGTTTGATGGATGGTCTATTATGTAAAAAGAACTAGTCTTGTACCGGCCACAAGAGATACTTTTGTTCTATTTTGAGTTATAATTTAGGGAGTTGCTCCTATTTCTTTTTGCATTTCTGCCCATAAAAATACAAACATCTTGAATTATTAATAGTAGGCAACAATATATGGTACCAACCCATACTTACTGTACGGCCCACCATCTTCAATTCTACGCTCCCTTTGGACCATTGCATGTCATGCTTTAGCATTAGAATGGTTAACTTTGTTATTTCACAACCTGGCTTTAATTTTGTTCCGTTTGGTGAGTCTGTTCTATATCTTGGTGACTCTGTTCTTTAGGCATGCGTTGCAACAGTTAGATACTACCATAGTTAGGAGAAGAGAAAGAGAGAAGAAAAAAATAATAATAAAATGGATGGAATCATGGTGATTTTGAAACGCGTAAGGAAGCAATACAATAGGTGGATAGCATTTCAATACCATATAAACATCTCTAGAGGTGCATGAGGGTAAATGTAATAAATTTAATTATGAAATTTGTTACAATAAACTAAAATTGATTTATTTTTATAGACTTTACCAAAAAAAATTAGTAAAATAAATTTGAAAAAGTTATGACATTGCATTTAGTACGTTGGAATACTTTATTAAAAACATATTTTGGTTGTGTACACGTGGCAGTCAGAACCAGCAAGTAGAGATTGCATTTGCGCATGCTTCACCCTCTAAACGTTAACTTGTACTCCTAGTCTTCGCATGTACTAGTAATAACATCTCTCAGCCAAATATATATATATATATATATATATATATACATATATTCTCGGAGGATAGTGTCAAGGTTGACTCCTCCAGATTTAGATAACATCACCAGCCTAATACAGCAACTATATTTGGATTAGAGGTAAGTACAAAGAATAAAGGAGTAAATTATCTAAACTATTGTCTGAGTTTTCTTTTAATGGACGAAGCATTCTAAAAAGTTTTTTTTTTTTTTTTTTTTTGCTTTTGAGGGGAAGTCTGAGGAGTTTAATTAAAAGAATAAGAATAAAAATACTGTTCAATATTCTAATAGGATTTACATTTTTGAAAAATAAGGCTTTAAACATCAAATATAAATAAAAATTTTAAATTTATTGGTAGGGAGGGTGAATACCGAAGCAAAATCTAAAAAGTAATGTTAAAAAAGAGAATGTGTTAGCATCCTCTGCTTTAATATTAATTCACATACAAGATTAAGAAAATTTCCTTATTCTTAACTTTCCTTTCCCTCCGTTCCCCGCGCAAATTCCTATCATGATGATTCTATTTCATTATATCCATTATTAATATTCTAATACAACCTTAAAAATTAACATTCTTCTTTTAAGAACATCTCAATTGTTACTTCTATGATTATGTCCGGTAAGAGTAAGGAGAAATTTTAGGAGTAAATTTTCGAAAAATGATACGTTTGGTTTCCATTTTTTTTAAGGGGAAATTTTATGCAAGTATTATATCCTTCTTTTGAGCACAAGTATCATCCCACTCCACAGTGGTGTAAATTTTCTTCCACCGTTCTTTTTTCTACGTTTCTCACCAATTGGTCTCGTTTATCCACTCCTCTTTGTTGCTACGACTTTGCAAAAACCCGACTACCATTGCTATAGCATCGATACTGAACACAAGTTTTCCGCCGTCATCTCTGTAGTCTATTTCTAATGCGCCACTGCTCCATTCAAGTACTGCTACAGCCCCAGACGCAACAAAATCTCTATTTCATACTTCATTAGTTGGCCCCAAAAAAAGTAACAGGAACTTCACTCCGAGTTTATTATTAGAAAAATCAAACAGAAATTAAGTTGACAGTTTATGGCACGTTTGGTTCAACAAGATTTTAGAGAAATAATCACTTATCTTTCAAAAAATTTCTTTAAAGAAATAACTATTTCTCCAAATTAAGAAATTAAGTTAAACCAAAAACATGCACAATCTAACCTAGTACCAAACACAAAAGGGAGAGAAAAATGAATCGTAGGATGTACACGGCAAACGAGTTTCTGCAGATCACATGCACTAAACTAAACCAATGTTTCAGCTACTACTTTCGCCGGCGTACAATAATCTGATTATAATCCAAAAACCATAATTGTGACCAGTACCACTACCACCACGTCCCCAATACCAACGTAATTTTTAAGGCAACCTATTGATATTTCAATAATTCTAGAAGTAAAAGAAACAACAGAAAGTTATTGAAAAGCAAAAAGTTTGATGTATCAAAACGAAACAGAAGCCGAGTTACTCTTAAGCATATCTATTGACACAAGACCTTCACATACCCTGTTGGGGGAGTATTATTTAAACTTCTCATTTTTACAGACTGAAGCTACCAAAAAAAAGAAAAAAGAAAGAAAAGGATTATATAATTGACAAGCGTCACATATTTACCTCTTCAGTGGTTTGTAAAGGACAACTGTCACATATTTGGACTGGAACCTGTGAGTCAGTCCCAGGGCAACAACAGATTTGGAAGCCAAGTTTTTCTCTATGAAGACGTGATTTAGCACAACATGTTGTGGCTTTGAAGAGGAACTTGTGTCAGAGTTCTCCATACCTAGGACAGTAAGATGCAACTGTGAAGGAACAGCCATTGGCTCTTTTGCAAAGTCTTCCTCAGCCGGAAATGCTTGGCCATAACTGGATTCGGGGGAGGGTGGGGCCTCAAACTCAGTCACACCTTCAGGGTTTTCTGGCACATAATCCTGCAGAACACAAGAACATTCAGATCATTAAATGGAAGACAAATCATTTTCACTTAAATGCAGATGATACTTCCTCATAATCAACCAATCCAGAGAAGTCAGGATGGGATAAACAGGATAAGAAAATATAACTTTATTTCATAATCAATTGGATTTGCTTTTCGTACTGATAGTCAACCTCCAATTCATGGAAAGCAAAATCATGGAAGAACTTGAAAGTTTTTCTTATTCCAATTTTATCACTGTTAAGTGTTGCTATTTCATTCATGCCAGTCCCTAAAAGCACAAAAACCCATGAAAACTGGCTTTCCAAAGGCAAACTTTAAGTGTTTCCTCTGTCTGTTTTCATCCATTATCTCCACGTATGACATGCGGACATGATGAAAGAAGTATGGTGCATCACTCTTTCCACAGACACTACCAACAAAAAAGACCTAAAAGGTGGGAGGGGGATAACAAAAGAACTTTGGCATCAGTTTTATGTCAAGTTCATCTTAAAACAACCGAACTGAAGCAATCACCCAAACACCAAAAGGAGAAAAAACTTCATTACAGACACCCGTAGATAGGGGGTGAATTTCGTGATGAAAGATGTTCAAAAAATAACAAGACATCTTCATAAAGATAAAGAAACCAGAAGGAAGATGCATACATTAACATCAAGAAGATTGCAGACATGCCCCATCTCATCGGCTACACAAGGAAGATCTGGAATATATCTCTCTTCACCATCAACAATGAACCTGTAATGATATATGCCTGATGGAAGGACTAAAAGAATTGAGTGATCCTTGCCAGCTCGTTGCAATGCCTTCCTGCAAGTAATTAAAACTTAATGGTACTAACCCACTAGATAATATTTGCAGTTATTTTTCATGTCAAATACAATGAAGCTATTATTATTGACAAAGGAGTCATTAAATCTCACTTAGAAGTCCAGTTATCCCAAGATCCCTCCACAGCCACATTGTTACCACCAAAGTTCCATGTAATCATCACGGGGATCGCATGCTCAGGAGGTTGATTAACAATACTATGAGATTCATTCTGCCACATTTGATTGAGAAAAGGAGGGCCATTGCCTCTCTGTAATGGAGCTAGTGGAACCTGAAAAATACAAAGAAATCATATATTTATTTAGTAGTACTAAGTTGCCACTGATGAGGCCTACATATTTTGTTCTTAGCACCTACAAAAGTCCAAACCTGAAAGAAATTGAATCTTAAAAGAGAGGATATATATACAAAGGTAGTCAAAAGTTGATCCTCCAAACTTACATTAAATTTGGTTTATTATCACTAAGATCCCAAAAGGTAACTCCAAAACACATTTTGTCCACCCCATCTAGTTGCAGACCCAGAAAAACAAAAAAAACAGAGATCAGAGAGAGAACAAATATGCAATGGTTGGTTGAATCACAAAAGGAATAAGGAGAGAATTCTCCTTGCAATGGTTTCCCCTTTTACAACTGAACCACTGCTCATTTCCCAAAACTAAGAAATTGGAATCCATGCCTCTCCTGCCCCACTCCTACTATTTAAGTTAATACCCTGCCATTGACAACTTTAATCAAACCAGAAACTAGTTCGATTACTGTTCTCACCAAGGTAGTTAAATTGAAATTCAAATTGTGAATTGTAATACCTGTTTGTTTAATAGTGAAAATCGAATTGGATTTTGAATCTTATAATTTAAAACATAAATATAAGAACACTGTAACATTAAAAACATCAAAACATCTATATATTAACATTTTGAAGTCAAATAATATATAGCTAACAATGTCCTCTAGAACTAAATCAAGGTTCTCTTCTAACATTTTTCTTGCTACCACAAGATAGAAAACAGCAAACAGCAAGCATAGAGAAGGAAAGAGAGTTAGCAAAAAGAAGAGGAGAAGCCAAATAAAAAATAAGAACTGTGGTACTGGAAAGGGGACCACCAGAAATATTGAATAAGGAGTGGGAAGTTGAGAGAAGAACCACAATAATACACTAAGAGACAATAATGCAATAGGGAATAGCATGAAACAATGTGTGTGGAGAAAGAGGAAAGCACGGGAAAGAGAAAACAAGATTTTCTTTCAATATTAAAGAGTAGTTTGATCGGCAAAGGTAGTATTAGGTAAAAATCGGTATTTTTGCAAAAAAATAAAATAAAATTTTACTAAACCGGGTCACGCCAACCCGACGACCCAGTTCACACTTAAATCATGCGCCACCGGGGAGAATTGCAGTTCAGCATCGATTCTTACAATTACTGCAATTTGAAAAACGATTCTAGATGTAAAACAATTCTTCCCACAATTTGTATCCCTACGTCACAGATTTGTATCTAATCTGTAGTTTTGTATCACATTTCGTGTGATACTAACTACCGTGGTTCTAACTGTTTTGCCTCATTCTTTTGTTTTGGGTCCCATTATCTATGCATATGGAATTGTTAAATTAGGAAATTTCTATGAATACCTTCCAGACTAAATCAGATACTGAATAGTTACTCTGCATCAGTTAGCCAATGCAAGGCCTTTCAATAGCAGATTATGGACTTTTACAGACACAAGTACTCAGTTACATTTGCATATCATATTATCATATTCCTTGAAATCATAAATTTAAGTTGAAATCCTATAATCCTCATCAAAATTTTCCTCTATGATTTCAAAGTTTAACTATTGCATTTTCTTTAACTTTCCATTCTTTTATGATTTCAAATTCATGACTTCAAAAGTTTAACTTAACTATTGCATTTTCTTTGGGATTTCAAAACTTCCCAGGCAAATTTATGATTTAAAAAGTTTTTTTATTATTAATGCACATCTATGTCACTAGCCATATATATGACCTTGGAAATAGTTGTAACATATCTACAAATAACAATAACAGAGTAACTAAATAGAAATTGTCTCTAATTTTTCTGCATTTAAGTGAAAATATAACCAACTTTCATTAGTATTGTTTTGCAAGTGCAAAGAACTATGTTGCAAAAGTGTCATCAATCACTCTAGATTCTGCCCGGTTAATATGGCACAAGATATTTTATTAAACCGAACTGGTTTGAGAGGGTAATCATCTTGTTTCCAGATTTGTGAGTAGTTAAAGTAAATAGTGATCACATTAATTGAATTGAATCATGTGGAAGTAAATGAATTTAAATGTCATGATTTGGGCCTAACCAAGGTTGTTTGAAGGTGCAAAATGAAGTGAAAAGGGAAAATTTATGAGGGGCACTACTCCTTCAAGATCGAAACTGTTTTCAAAAACAATTCCCACCATGGACGATAGAAAGTCAATTTCTAAATATTGACAGGTTCTTTTTTACTGACTAGAAAATGATTTTCTGCTGACCATAGTCCCATAAACCTGAAAATATGCAATTTTTTTCACAAGATTTTACTCTACTTAACATAGGGAGCAAGATTCTTCAACTGTAAGACAAACTAATGCATACACATGAGAAAATCCAGTAAAAACCAGCCAATATAATAACGGTAAAAATAGATTTTCAGATATCCATGGTAAATTAAATTACGCACATTCATTCACCTTAAAAGAATTGTAGGACTGCTAAGGGATGACAACTTTCAAAAAAAATACTAAGCCAACAAATCAGATTCTGAAACATTGGAATCGAAAATACAAAATTATCTAAAGCATTAAAACCAAAATTCAGAGAGTCCACAAAAAGTGAATGTACAGTAAGTCATACAAAGCAAACCATAGTACCACATCTTGTCTTTTAAGTTTTTCTGAATCTATCAACTCTACACAATAGGGAGAGAGAGAGAGAGAGAGAGAGAGAGAGAGAGAGAGAGAGAGAAGATGACTGCAGCATTAAGCCTTTCTTCTCCAGTTTCTCCGCAAATTAATGACCAAAAAAAAAAAAGAACATTCACAACATTGATAGATATAAAAGCAACTATAGACAAATATTTACCAAATCCGTAGGATCAGAGGGAATAACAGTACAGAAAAAATGCGGACATATATTGTATATCATATTTATAATCTTGTGTAGAATTTTTTTAAGGTACTCCACAACTGCTATTAAAATATAACTGCACATAATCTCCTTGTCGTACGTAGTTATGTGCATAATTTTTTGAAGCTACATCCTGGTGCATTCATCACAATATCCAAAATTATTGCGTCAGTGTTGGTAGATCATGCAGTCATAATCCAATACTTCACGTGCTGATTCTCAAATGGAGAAGTGTCGTGTAAAGTAAGCAATTAAACAAGGACGCGTCACAAAATTTGACATGCAAGACACATATCTTATCTCATTGACATTCAAAAAAGCCAAATTTCGCTCGCTCATTCCAGTGGATGTTATTGCTTGCAGTTTCCAATTGCCAAATCAGACAAAATAAATTGGTTCAGCATGGTAGACTAGAATTATGGATGCTTATTTCCAAATGGTGTGCAATCCTAGCAAGCAATTGTCAGTTACAACTTACAACTATCCACAATGTGCAGACATGGCTCCTGAGTTTAACCAGAAAAAAATCATGTAAGCCAACTTAAACTTAGACGAAGCCATGTGTAGCAGTCATGCAAAATGTGAAGTTCTGACTCCCATAAGTCCAGTAAAATTATTCAACTCTCGCTAGACAAAAATGAGATTACACCATTGTGGGGAATCTGCAAAATGGCGCCATAACTCTCCTAAACAGACAGAAGTAAGTAACCAATTCGGAAAGGTCCAAGCAGTTTAATTCAAAGCAGTAATCCCGTAGATCATCGCCATTAACAAGTTTTCGACATACAACCAATACGCACTCACTCAAAACCATCCACTTCCCGTTGGTCATTGTCATGCTTATTCAATCTGAATCACATTCATCGACTATATATGATCCATGCACGAAAGAACAAATCCATTCATCCATCAATATCATAATTCGCAGATCCGTTCAATTCAACATCCTCAACAAAACAAAAGCAAAAACTATTTGGTTCCAACTTCGAAGCTTTGATGGTGCAAAGATAAACTCGGTAATAATCTATAGTTTCAACACTTTACGCACTGGTCCCTAATCTCTCGCTACTTGTCTCGCATACACCAGGCATTCGTTAGCATTAAACTCACCAACCAATCACAGAGAACACGGAGGAGCAAAATCGACGAATCACCTAGTTGACCAACCAAAATCGAAATCCCACCCTAGCTAATCAAGTTCAATTCAACAGTAACGAACATAAACACACGCACGCACCAAAACGCAGAAAAGGAAGTGAAAAAAATAGGTTGTTGTGGAGAGAACCTGAGGACCGAAGAGGATCGGCGATCGGGAGCGGCGAGGACTCTGCGGCGGGCTATTGGCCATTGAATCGGAGGAGAAGGCCCGAACCGGAGGCCGAGAATCCGGCGCGTGAGTTCCACGGACAGTGGATTCAGCGGCGGAGAGATCTCCACCGCCGGCAATAGCTCCGTCTTCTCTGCCGTTAGCGTTTCCCATACGATAGGTTATTTGCAGAAAGGAACGACGGAGCGGGAAGAGAAAACGGTGCGCAGTAGCGTTGTCGTTTTCCGATAGCAATGCAATGCAATGCAAGCGAGGAATAAACGACAGCGCTGATGAACGAGAATTGAGATAGCAAGTGAGTGTTTAGGGAAGAAGAAAGAAAAAAAGAAAAACCGTATCGTTGTTATTTGTTCTTATCAACTTCTTCTGTCTGAGTCTGATCTGACGCTGTGTCTTGTTTCGATTTAGAGCGAAAATTAAAAATTAAGGGGAAAAAAGACAAAAATATTAAGAAATAAATAAATAAATAATAACCCAAAAAGATAAACCTTTTCTTTTCTTTCTTTTTTTCCTTTCCTAGTCGCGTTTTTCTTCCACGCTCTCTTTTCAACGCAACTCACGCTTATCTTCATGCTAATTTTTTATTCGTGCAACTATTTTTCTTAAGGAAATATTTTAATTCTTGTTGTCATTTTTTTAATACTCTTCTATCAATTTACTGTGATTAATTAATTATATAAATTGTTGAAGAGAGCTAAATATTTCTACAGTGGTTAAGCAGCATTATGTTATTCTTCTTAGAATTTGAGCCATTCATGGTTGGTAACTAGTTGCCATTATCAAATGTTAAAATCGCAAATGGGGAATTTGCTAATGAATGATTTTAGTTGAAGTGCTGTTTTTTAAACAATTTTTAAAATGGTTAGCTGACAAAATGTCAGATTTGCGTGGAGAAATAGCTGACATCATGAATATTAAATCATAGATCGAGGATTTGTTCTAGCAAATATGTACATTCAGCATCTCTGTGGTCTATGGTGGGAATACTAAAATGCAACGTGCTACTCTTATTCCTATACCGAGGTAACTTGACATATTTAAATTCCATTCTACTTTTCTTTTTGGGTTGAAAATTTGATATTCTTTTATATCTTGTCTGTCTTATCATACCCTATACAAGACACAGAAATATTTATATTCAAATAGTTAATAACATAATCAAACAATATTAAATTCCCTCAAAATCGAAATTACGTGTTAAACTAAAATGATTACTATTCATTTAATTTCTTCCTTTGTTATTTATTTTCTTGAATAGATATTCTCTTTCTTCCACTTTAATTCCTTGTCTTCCCCATCTTCCAAAGTCCAAATTAAGGACATGAGGATGAAGAGCGTGTGCAATGGCCCTTCAAGATAATTCCAAATCGATCACTATCACATACTGGGCCATTAAAGTTCTGCAACGAGACACCCTTGTCCTAAAATTGACTCCTTACCAAAAAGGCTTCATTAAATACACTCATGCCCTATGGAAAAGTTTCTATATGAATTATGAATTCCAATCACAGGCACCAGATTCAGCGGTATGAAGACACATTTTTTAGACCTTTTAACTCGTTTTGTCTGCATCTCCAAAGGATAGGAAGGAACCCAAGCATAAGTGTGTATGATCAGGAAAAACAGGAACAGTAAAAAAGACAAAGTGTTTATTGTTTTAAATGCTCAATTCATTGTTTTTTATTTGACACCGACCTCTCCTTTATATTAAATTTATACATTTACCTTTTTATAAATACATTTTCATATAAAATAATAATTCAAGTTGAACCTTATATGAATCAGTTCGCTTTATAAACTTATATTAAAGAAATAATAATCCAACACATTACACTCATGAATATTACATTTAATTAACTTTTATAATATTTTACTTTAAAAATTAACATATCAAATTCAATAAATTAAAAATACATATTAATCACATTAACAGTTTAGAATCAAATATTAGTTGTGTTGAAAAAAGTTCATATAAAATGAATTGTTAATTTTAAATATTACAAATAATGAGTTTTTCTGATAAACTTGCCTCTGTACTCATACAACTAAATACGTATACATAAGAAAGACAAAATTTCATGAAATAATATTCTCTCCATATAGCATACATTGACTACTTTTTTGAGATTTAGCTTATTTAAGATTAATTATCAATAAACTGATTAAAATATTTATAAATATGAATATTTTAAATTAACTATGAATAAGATCTTACATTTTATTTTACAATTATATAAAACACTTATACTTAAAAAGGTGAGATAAAAAAGAGGAGGACAAGTAAAAGTGCTAAACTAAATATCAATGATATATTTATAATTATTAATTTTTTATATTTGTAAATTTTAGCTAATGAATAAGAATATATTAAAAATAATTTTACAATATATGCTAAGAAACTCCTGGGGGCATTGAAGCCACATGTACATGAAGCTACAAAAATAGATTTGAGCAGCATATACTCTTAATGGTACAATGATACTGTACAGGTTTCTATGAAGATGTTCAATTGGTGGACAGCCACCACCATTCCCAATATCAGCAGTTCACTAATTGGCCTCTAACCTGCGTTTGGACCATTAGCAGTAAGTGATTATCATATTTTATAATTTAATATAATAAGTATATATTTGTAAAAAAGTTATTAGTTTAAAATATTTAAATCAGCTCTTGAAAATTGAGGTTAACAGAATTCATAAATTATTTTTCGATGTTGACGTAAAATTTTATGTAGTAAAAAAATGAAAAGAAAAGTGTAAAGTCGATATCTGGCTGAATTTTAAAATAATGGTAAAAATATATTTAATGCATTGATTAAAAATACAAAAATTACATTTAAAAAAACGTACGTCAATTAACTTTTTTTAAAAGTTAATTAATGACGTTGATATTTTTTGGTTCAAGGGCAAAAAATGGAGAAGCGCAGCGGTGAGTGCGTGTATTCAGAGGAGGCAGCGTGTTGAGGGCAGAGAAGTGCCGTACGTGGCAAAAAGGAGACACGTGTAAGGGGTCCTCTCGTTTCGTTTTGCCCAAAGTGCTATTATTGTCACGTGACGTCCAAGTGATTTGGATAAGGTTAAGATTCTCCCTCACTCATGTGCCTAGTCCTCCTAGTGTTAGAATGTAATTTTTTAGTTATTAAATAAAATTTACAAAAGTATTAAAAATTTATTAAATTTAATATTAAAAACAATAAAAGGGTTGGACACAAAGCCCTAAAAATTTCTATCCGTTAAAAATTTTGAAAGTATTAATAAATTTAAATACCTTAAAAAAAGTTAAATTTAAAATCACTTTAATTTAGGTTTAAATAAACCATTAAAGTTAAACTTGTCTTCTTCGGCCTATTGGCTATTCTTTATCTTCTTACTCGGTTTCCAGGGCCTTCTCTCGTGCATTTGGAGTATCCCTTTTGTGTCAGACTTATGTCTGTTAAACCATCCATAATAAAAAAAAGTAGATGCTATATCTTTTCATTGAAGAAAGATCTCTCATATTAAAATAAATTTAAAATTTTTTACATTCAATTTTTTATTTAACTTATACTTAATTAATAATAAAATATAACTCTTTAAATTTAAATTAAATAAAAAATTTAAATCAAGTTAAATTTTTTTATAATATATTTATTGCAGCCTCTTATTATTATTTTTCATAATAACAGCAGAACGCTACTTCGGTGACAAAATTACTCTTTAAAGTCCAAGGCATCCTTCTAGTTCAATAGGAGATAACACTTTTTTAATAACTGCATTATATATACTAACTAGCAAGTATTTCGTATATTATACGAATATTTTTTATTTTGTTAAATAAGAAAAAACTACGAAACAAAATATATATATATATATATATATATATATATATATATATATATATGTAAGCAAGGTTTAAGAAAAAATAATATTAAAAGTAATAAGAGTTAAGATTTGAAATCTTAAAATTTTAACAGAAAAGAAATTGAGTTTAAAATTTTAACTTGCTAGTTATAATAATCATTGAACGGATCACATGCAAATTACTAATAAAGCCCAGACGGAAAACGATAATTTTGGTTGGGCAGAGATCGGCCCGGCCCGGCCCAACAAGTACACTCATAAGTGAGAACCGGGTACTAACAGTGAAAATCGCTTTCTTCTTTTTCTCTTCAGACGAACGACCCTAATTCCTCTAAATTTATCTCTCCGCAAACCCTAACCCTACCGTCTCACTGCCATGGCGAAGAAACGAAAGCTTCGATCCTCCGACCCCGAGCCCACCAAACCCATCGAACCACAGCAACAAGAGGACCAAGAGGCAGTGGAACTCGACGATCAACCTAACCCTCAACAACTACAAGAAGACCAGGACAACAACAACATGGCCGTCGACGAAGACCACGCTCCGCTGCAGGAACAACAACAACCACAACCACAACCACAACCACAAATCGAAGAGCCCAACGCCGAAGAAGAAGAAGAAGAAGCACACGAAGAAGAAGATCAGGAGCCAGAACACGAAACCCTAGAAGATCAACAAGAGCAGGAACAGCAAGACGCGGAAGGTCCCAACCACGAAGCGAACGGTGCCGAAGAAGGAAACAACAACAACGAAGAAGAAGACCTTAGTCTCGAAGACGAGCCCGTTGAGAAGCTTCTGGAACCCTTCACGAAGGAGCAATTGCACTCTCTCGTCAAGCAAGCCGCTGAGAAGTATCCAGATTTCGTTGACAATGTTCGCCAGTTGGCTGATGTGGACCCCGCTCACCGGAAAATCTTCGTCCACGGTCTCGGATGGGATGCCACCGCCGAAACCCTAACTGCGGTATTCGGAAAATACGGCGAAATTGAAGATTGCAAGGCGGTTACCGACAAGGTCTCGGGGAAATCCAAGGGCTATGCCTTCATTTTGTTCAAGCACAGGGAGGGTGCTCGCAAGGCGCTTAAGAATCCTCAGAAGAAGATTGGAAATCGTACGACTTCCTGTCAATTGGCCTCCGCTGGACCCGTTCCAGCGCCGCCACCCAATGCTCCGGTGGTTTCTGAGTACACTCAGAGGAAGATATTTGTGAGCAATGTGAGTGCGGAGATTGATCCACAGAAATTGCTCGATTTCTTTAAGCAGTTTGGAGAGGTGGAGGATGGTCCGCTGGGTCTTGATAAGCAGACTGGGAAGCCTAAGGGTTTTGCGCTGTTTGTGTATAAATCTGTGGAGAGTGCTAAGAAGGCTTTGGAAGAGCCACACAAGAATTTTGAGGGACACACGTTGTATTGTCAGAAAGCTGTTGATGGGCCTAAGGGAAATAAGGGGTATCATCAGTATCATCAACAACAGCATCAGCACCATTCTCATCATCATCATCAGCCTCATTATCACTCAAGGAAGGATAAAAACAAGTATTCCTCTGGTGGTGGACCATCGCATGGAGGTGGTCACCTTATGGCGCCCTCCGCCCCTGCTGTTGGGGGTTTCAACCCCGGTGTTCCGGCGCAGGGGTTGAATCCAGCTCTTGGACAGGCATTAACTGCATTGCTTACAAATCAAGGAGCTGGGTTGGGGCTTGGGAACCTGCTTGGAGGTCTTGGCGGTGCACCGGTTAACCAGGCTGGGCCACCTGCTCCGTATGGGAATCAGCCTGCTATGGGCTATGGGAATCAACCAGGGATGCAACCGGGGTACCAGAATCCTCAAATGGGGCAGAGCAGTGGTGTCAGACCTCACCCCGGTGCTGGTGCTCCTTACATGGGTCATTAGGTAAGTGGCTGGTATAGTTTTGCTATTTCTTAATCTATGTGATGCTGAATCTATGCAATGTTGTGAAATTTGAACTAAAGTTCACCGTGGGAAAGAAGGAAGTGCATGATATGGGGGTAGTAATGTATTCTGGATGAATATTAAAAATCCTTAACCGAAGGAATCAGCCTTGTTCTATCAGGCTTCTTTTATTCTTGGATAAGTAGAATTGACATGCCAGTTATGTCTAGTTGCATTTGAATTAATTGATATCTGCTTTCGAATGGATGTGAACTGTGTTATGGTGCTCCTATCCGTAATTTTATTTTGTTTGGCAGTTATTACGTGGTTAATGAGCATGGGTAAAGTTACTTGTTACCATCCAGTTTGATAATCTAGTTCTCCCTTATGTTACCTTCTTTAGCTGTTTCATTGTATTAGGACTGCATACTCACCTTTTGTCCACTGTTAAATGGTCATAAATTATTTGGCAATTAGCACTGAATAATTTTTCTTATATTGTGATAAGAGAAGGAACATATACTTCACAACTGTTCTCTTTCATAGCTCCATTGGTCCCTTCTTATCAAGCTTCTGGATCCATTCATCTTTTTGTGAGAGCATTCTGCAACTTGCATTTAACTCTGTTATCATCTGATGCATATTTATCATTTCTCCCGCATAAGCAATTGCCATGATCGTAATCTGAATTTAAAAGTTATAACTCCTGAAAAATATATTTTGCAGTACCAGAGGTATGGCCTTTTAAGATCTCATTTTTATTTGTGTTTTTTTCCAGAGATAATTGGTTTTTGAAATTAGTTTTTTTACTCTATGTATTCACTGTGCAGATACCCTCATAGATGCATCAATCTTTTTGTTTTGGACTCAGCTGATTCTTCTGAAGTACCAGGCACTATTCAAATGCATCTTTTTAATTTGTAATTTTAGTTACTATTTTATTACTAAAGAACCAGATTCTGAAACCTGTATTTTTCTCTTCATCTTAGTAGAATTTCCCCCTGACATGTTTTAAAAATCTTGTTGTACCTCATATTCCTTTATGGAATTTTGAGGATTGAATGAATTTTGGGGCAGAGAAAACTTTGTTACAATAATTTTTAAGTGTGTTGCGGACTTCTTTTTTTCCCTGAACTTCCTATTCTGTTTCATTATTGTTGTCTAGCTTCGTAAAGCATGACGGGCTCATCTGTAAGTTATTTGTTTTATTTGTGTCTGGCATTCAGCCATGATTTGTGAGGACTATTAACCATCTTTTTCAGAAGTATACTGTTATCCAAAAATGGCAATATCCCATGGGAATTTGGGGGCACTGCAGTAGTCATTTTTTATGCTCATGGGTTTTGATTATTATTGAGATTACTTACATATGAGTTCCTGTGAAATTTGAATGCCACTTATTACTTCGGATCCTTTTACCAAAGACCAATTCTCTTTTCATTGATTTTTTTTTTTGGGGGGGTGGGGATTGAAAATGAATATAATATGATATAGTGGACCAACATTAAACAAGGTTTTTCTTAAGGCTTGTCTTTCTACCATTCTACCAACACTTTTTCTTCATCTATCTAATTTTTCTATAGTCAAATGTCTTGTTCCTGAAAACCAATATTCTTTCCCATCCTCGATATGGGAATGAATAGTTGTTGAAATGAATCTATATCCTCCAGACTCCCATCATCTTTTTACTCCCCTCTCAAAATGACCCCTCAGTTCTTTGGGTGTACATTAGCATGTTTTCCTACTTTCTACTTGTAATTTCTTGTTTTCTTGTTATTAGGGGAGAAATTTTCAGTATAACTTTGTTTGGCAACTGATCTAGACATGCCACACCACATTTTTTTTGCTTGAGGGGCTGGATTGCCAGACACATAGGTCCTTGCCACTAAACAAATGCTAGAATCTATTCATAACATTGTCATCTGCATTCATTGATGGAGCTTGGATCATTCCATTCACTTCGAAGGCAAGAAATGGTCACACTTGGTGGGTGGGTTGCTCTCACTATATTCAAGTGTACCCTGGTCTGGAGTGAATGTCAGAGAGAGAAGATCAGATGGGTGCGGTGGTGTTATCATCTCTGCAGTTCTCCATGGGTATGTCTTTTCTTATGCCTATAGATTGTCTGGGAAAGTTAAGTTTGGAACCTTTTGACTAACAGAAGCTTTAAATTGATTTCTGAAGATATTCTTCTAGTATTACCAAGTTGGGCTTCTGGATTTCGCATAGGATTTCAAACAATGTTTTTTTGACGTATCAATCATCTTGGAGAAGACCCAACTTGATGTTGCTTTGTCTTTAATGAAAGCTAATATCTGGTAGAGCTGCGAAAATAATTTTCTAAAAAAACTTAACTCCAAAACAAGTTGCTTTGCTAAAATGTATACAAAACTTATCGTACTTGTTTTTTTTTTTTTAATTCAAAGTTGGAGCGTATATGAAAGCAATACCGGACTGGATTAAGTTTTGATATTACCTTATTTTATTTGCGTGAGACTAAATTCATAATTTCTCACAAGGACAATATTTTTGGATGCTGCTTAACGTTCTCGGTGTTATAATGAAGAGGATATTTGTGATATGGATCACACAGCTTGAGAATGCAGTAGGCACACGCTTGAACTGCACGTGGATCTCAATCTCAAAGGTATTATTGGCTTATGCAGACGTGGTACTGAAGAAGGCTTACTGATAAGGAGAAATATTAATTTGTGTTACACTTTGTTAGAGCTGCAGTTATTTGGGGAGGTTGATCTTATACATGATTTTGAAGTTTTTAGGTTTCTTCTAACACTTCTGACCTGCTAAATGAAAGATTTGTCGAGGGTGCTATACAACTCTTCATATTAAATTAGTCAAAGCCTATAGTCATTCTCTTTACACATGGAGATAGATGGCTTTAAGATAGTTGCTCAAATTCTTGGCTGAGCCTCATTATTCCACGTTCCGAAGTTGTTTATATTGTTGAACAACTAGCCCTTTATATTTTTTTTCTTTTGGTGTGGTTTACCAAGAACAATTAGCCCTTTATATAGGTATTGAATGTAGTAACGGGGTTCTTATTTCTATGGCGCCGTATAAAATAATTTTCGTAGTGTCAATGAATTTATAACATTTGGGTCCACGTTTAAATAAGTGTGCGTACACGTTTAAGTGAGAATGAATTCAAGATTACGAAATTTTTTAAAACCCGCCAACATTGTTTGAGTATACGTGGAGCCATTGTCAGTTATGGTTATACATTACGTGAACAACCACGATTGCAGTGGATAGTTTGAAGTTGTTTAAGTGTTTCATTTGTTCTGGCCCAATTTCTTTAGTTCTAAGTAACAAAATTAACATTCATTATACGAGCATGACCAAAATAAAAAAAACAATCCGAGCTTGCTGCCAGCAAGTTTGTAGATTAAACAAAATAGTTTTTTACAATAATGTATTGCAGAGAAATAACGGAGTATTTTTTTTTCCCTATGGCAACATGTATACTTGATTAGCAATTTTTGCCTGGGTCCACTGGGGCACTATATCGAATAAAAGAATCTAATATTATTGGAGAATTCAAATATTGTGACCCGAACTTCATATTTCTAACATTATCATTATTGCATGGAATGAATCCTTTGCTGTGCTTATTTTCCAATGGCCCGCGTCGATACATATGGCCTAACCTGAAAGATCAATCAAAAGGAGTGAAGCTGTTTGTTTCTTAGTTCTACCAATGAAGTTAATAAAATCAACGATCTTATGTTACAATGTTAGGGGGATACTAGACCAAAAGGTTGTCGCAAGAGAGATTGAAATAAATTACTAATTTTTAAAAATATATATAAAAACACATGCAATATAACAGTGATGCCACGTGTCATAAAATAGTCAAAATATAAGACACTATTATATTAAATAATGAAATAATAATTATAATTTGAAATTTGATTAATAACAATAATTTCAGGAAAATTGGATCTATTTTTGCACTTGTTCATTTTTTCACCACACTGAACTTTCCTTTATAATATTTTAAAATGCTCCTAACATCAATTTAAATCACTAAACAGAAAATAAAAATAAAAATAAAAATATATTTTTTAAAATCAAATAGTCATTAAATTCTTTATTTTCTTTTCAGATTCTATAATTCTTTTTTTACTTTTTATCTATAGTTCCTTGTTCTTTCTCCCCACTATTTCAAGCATCATTGTTATTTTAAAGCATTTTCTTTGAGCATATATTTAAGCATTGATACTCTATGCATGTCCACTGTATAGAATTTATTATAAGAAACTTAAATTATTGTTAAAAATGACGTCTTTGTCGGTTTATATAAACCTGTCAGCGCACCATACTTCTTTAGAGATAAGTTTTTGAAATTAACATTTTATTTTACCCTTTTTATAAATTAAATTTCAAAATTTTAAATATTTTTTCATAAATATATTTTTGAATTTAGAATTTAACCCTTTTGAAAATATGTTTATAAAATTAAATTAATTTTTAAATTTAAGTTTTTAAGCCTTTGAAATTTAATTGTCAGAATTATTAACTATTTTTGAAAATAAGTTTTCAAAATTAGGATTTTACATTTCTAGAAATAAGTATTTTAAATAAAGATTTTACACTTTTAAAAATAAATTTTCAAAATTAGTTTTTCATAGCTCCAAAAATAAAATTTTAAATTTATTAACTATATTTAAAAATAACACTTCCAAAATAAATCATCTTTATACATGTTTCCATAAATTAAGTTTCTGGAAGCCAATTTTAAATGTATTCTTAGAATTTTAGTTTTATGCTCAATTTAAAAGTAAAAAGTAAAAAATATTTTTATTGTCATAAAAGGTATTTAAAAAAATTATAAAAAATTGAAAAAAGTGTTAAAAGAAATAAAAAAATTCCAAAAATCAATCCTCAATATTTAAACTAGGATGACGATTCACTTATGGTTTTCATCAAACAAACTAACCCGTATAATTTTAACTATTTTATATTTAGCAAGTTTATTTTAGTCACGATTAATTGGTATACGTCTGGAACTTGTCAAAACATATCTACTTAGTTTTTTTAATTAAAATGTTTTAACAAAATATATTTTTATACGTATTTTTAAATATATTTTTTCAAAATAAGAAAATGTATGTTAATAACTACAAGTATCAACATACGTTCATTTATTTTTTAATTAAATTTTTTTAGTAAAATATATCTTAAATATATGTTAAAAAAATTTATAACTTATTAATATATTTCTTTTTAAAAAGTAAATAACTACATATTAGTAAATACTAATAAGTAAGTATTTAACACATTTCCTTAAATATATTGTTTATTTAACCTTATATCATAAAATCTAATTAAGTACCTTTGATTAACATGGATTTTCAGTATATTATGTATTTCTCTACATTAAATATCGTATAATTTTATATTATTTTTACTGTGTTTAAATAATATTATTTAACTTTTATCAATCCCAACTGGATTCAGTTTGAAATTTGAAATTTAAATATGAATACACTACAAACTATAGATAAAAAAATTGATAAGTCATGATTCAAATTATATATTTTATTTAAATTTTAAATTAAGTTTTAAAATGTTCATACTACACTAGATAAACTACAAATTTACAACAAATGTGTTTTTGTTTTAACACTAATACACATTTGGGTACACCAAAATAAAGTTACTACAATAAAAATAAATAAAATTCCAAAACCTATTATGTACTGTGAACAAAGAAAAATCTGTAGACTTAGAATAAAATTAAGATTAATAGGCATCCAGTGTTTATCAGTTTGCAAAGTATCATAACTGGTGTAATTCCAACAAAAAGAAATATTTCAAATTTCAAAAGAATATAAATCTTTTTAATGATTGAAACAAACATACTCGACTAATTATTTTTCTGTTTTCTGTTTTTAAAAATATTTTTATTGTTTTAAAAGTTAAAAAAGAAACTTATTTATTATTTGGTACAAATCTATAAGTTAAGATATATAACTGAAAATTATTTTAGGATTGGTGAAATTGAGTTCGATTTATCGTATGGTTTGGTAAACACCATTATCTTTAATGCCGATTATCTTTGTTTGTTTAAAAAGATTGTCGAATGCTAATAATAGGGTTTAAACGTTGATACGGGCACTTTTGGCTGCTTCCAAATAGACTTCCACTAATAGAGTAATAGTCCCAAAGAAACAACGAATAGGAAAGCATGGAATGAGTTGAATGATGCGTGTGATTGATAAGGGCACTCCATATATAAGCAAACTCTAACTCTAAAACCTTGTCACACAACCTTTTTCGTCAGTTACCGTCGCACTTTGTTGGCGTCTGTTAACAATTGCTATTTGCTACTGTCTCAAAACACACTCACAAAACAAACCCATTCCATCACCTCACTGTCCAAACCCTAATCCCATCCTATGCTGCTACACTGACCCAACTCTTTCCTTCATTCAAACTTCACAAAAAGAACCCTTTTTTTGCACACCCGCATGAAAATTTTCTGTTGTTCAGCTCTGGGTTATTGTGCTCAATATCATTGATTCAACTGGCAAGTAAAGTTTCGATTTTTTGCAGTATCTGCACATTTTTGGTTAATATCTGGGTATTAAAGGTTTGTGGTTTTTACCAAGTAAGGTTTAGAGGGTGAAATCTAGGGAGTTGTGTAGGTTGGTGAGAGAAAAAGCAGTTATGGTGACTGCTGAGAATGAGATTGGTGAGGATCAGAAGGAGGTTAGTGCTCCCAAGTCTCCATGGAAGACCCCAACTGTTGATGGGAATGGAGGTGATGTATCTGTGATGATGGGCACTGAGTCTTGGCCAGCTCTCTCTGATGCTCAAAGACCAAAGTGTCTTGAGACTGTTGCTGCAACAAAACCCGAGGATGCTCCAGTTTCTGTGGCAAGTGCTGCTGAGATTGCTCCAAGGCCTCCATCTATGCAGGTTTGTATGTTATTTTTTGTGTAGCACTGTGATTGTGATATGGAAGATGCAATGTAAAGGTTAGTGAAAATGCGTTATGTTTTTTGAGTGAATACTTATATTTTTTTATTGCCCTTATATTGTAACTGAATTTGCTTGTATAAGACAGACATCTGTGTCTTGTTCTGATTGTCAGATTTATGCACAAATATTGCAAGCACTATAATTGTGATTATTGATTGACATTGGATGGTATGTAAATAAGGAGTAAAATAGCGTTGTGTTCCCAAGGTTTATCAAGTAACGTAGGTGCCTATTGTTTTTTCCCCATTAATGTGTCCGCTGTTGTAATTGAAATAAAATTTGTATGCTACAAGATTTGTATCTTTGGTATTGACTATATTATTCTTGTTTGTATTGTGTGTGGGTTTGTTGTTTGACAGAAGTCCAATGGTTCTGGAAACCTTAACCCAATGCACAAGGTGCCATCATCACGCCATCAAAAGCCAGGTGGCAAGCGCAACTCAGGTGGTGCTCCTCCTTTTCCCGTTCCAATGCCTTATCATCACCCATCAATTCCTCCATTTTTTCCTGCTATGGTGCCTCCACCCCACCTTGCTGTTCCTGGGTATATTTTCCCTGCTGGTCCAGGACCTTTTCCGAGTGTAGAAAACCCTTTAGTGAAGCCTGTATCTCAGGCACCAGGACAAGCTTTTGCTCCACCTGCTCATGCTGTTGATGCCAAAAATGTTCAATCTTCGGTGCAAGGGGATCCAAATGCCTATATTGCTAACTTTTCTAATGGAAGACCAAATATTCAGGAACAAGGGGACCATCTAAATCATGCTTGGCATCATCAAAGACCGTTTCCTTCCAGAGCAAACATTTCTATGCAGCAGGGTTTGGGCCCAAGGCCTTTCATAAGACCTCCATTTTATGGTCCCCCTCCTGGGTACATGGTTGGTCCAAGCTTCCCAGGTAAAATTTGTATTCACACTCCTCTATTAAGGCACATGGTTGTGCAATTACACACACACGCACACACACACACACACACACATCCTTTTGTGCCTAGCCACTTGTGCTGTTGCATATTTCTCAACTTGAATGCCATGGGAGGATTTTCCTCTGTGGTTCTTTTTATCCTTTAATTTCTCTATCAGCTAGTTCTGCAATTCATTGTTTATCTTATGGATAGGTCCTGCACCTGTATGGTGTGTCCCCATGCCGCCTCCTGGCTCCATTAGAGGACCCCATCCTCGGCACTTTGTTCCATATCCGGTCAACCCTGCACCTCAGCCACTGCCTCCAGAAACTCTATCTTTGAGGACTAGCATTGTTAAACAGATAGACTATTATTTTAGGTGAGTAATTTAATTGTTGATTATGGCTTCTATATTTTTTTTTATGTTGATCTATTAGCTATAATTAAATATGTCATATTTATCTGATGTCACAAAAATGGTTCTTGGTTTTTCTTCTCATCTTACTTATGCCTATCTCTATTATGAAATTGATGTTTCCGTTGATGTCAAAATATCATTATTTTGTTTATTTTTGGTTAAGAAACATTATAATATTGGACTCAGACATAACCTGTGTCTTCTAGATTAGGATGACTGTCTTTGATGGAATTGTCCAAGGATTATTGCCAGATGGTGAAGCAGAACTAATTTATAATGTTTGGTCTTTGGATTGTTAAAGCTACAATAATGAGCTAATGAACACTTGAAATTATTAGGAATTCCTGTAATCATATCCATTCACTGTGAGAATAAACTAACGCATTTCATATGATAAAGACAATTCATATGACAAACTGCTAACTTTAGCGCTTTCTTTTGGCAGTGATGGAAATCTGCAGAATGACCATTACCTCATTTCGTTGATGGATGACCAAGGATGGGTTCCCATATCCTCGGTCGCTGATTTTAAAAGGGTATGTCCAAAGCACATTTTGCCTCCCAGATTTGTTTTACAGATATTTGCTGTCTGCTAGTGCGTTCTGCAATCCATTTTAATCCCAGTTTCTAACTTGCCTTGTATAATTTGGGTTATCTTGTAGGTCAAGAGGATGAGCACAGACATACCTTTCATCCTTGATGCACTTCAGAGCTCTAATGCTGTGGAAGTGCAGGTTATATTCACAATGGTTATTTTACTTTTCTAGGTTTGCTTTTTCACTGCCTGTCTTGACACTAGACAGGCCTAAGCTTCTGGAATCTAGTTCATTGCTTTAACTACTTTTGCTTCAAAGCTGAATTTTTTTTATGGTACTGGTTTTATTTTTGTTTTGTTTATCTCTGATATTAATTTTTGGAATTGGTAATTTCAAATGTTTATGTCATGAGTAGTACTTAGATATTAAAAAAAAAAAACTATTTTTGAAGTTATGGGATGCAATTGGATGTTTGTCAGCAGTTTGAAATTCAAAATCTTTTTAAGTTGTTGATGTAGTTTTTGTTCTTTCCTCAATATAGAATTTTTTTGGTCCGCATAGACCTTGATTTTTTTCTGCTAATCATTCATATCCTCTTGACAATTTTTTTTTAAAAACATTCTTGTCAAGAAATCTATTAAAATTAAATTCCATAGTGTTTTGTATTACAATGAATTAACAACAATCTGAAATTATTCAGTCTCTATGTATGTATGTATAGTTTACTGAACGGGTGCACAAGCCTCCTACCTCCTAGTGGTGGGGTCTAGGGTGAATGTATGTCCACAGCCTTACCCTAACAAGTGGCAAGGCTGATTCCAGGATTTGAACATGTGACCTCTATGTCACAACGCAATGGACCTTGCTGTTATCTGTACCAGTGCCAAGTCTCATGCTCTAATAGAGCAAAAGGAATTCAGTTTTGAAATATTCTCTATATTATGTTTCCTTATTAACTATTAAGTATAAAATAATTCTCATAGGTTTGAAACATTTGTTGTTACATCTGTACTATAGGTGTGTTGAAGTTATGACATGAGTTGTGGAGTTGAAAACAGTTATCATTCTTAGCTAATACACCTCAGAAGTTAGAACTTGTTATTTTCATATGTAGATACTATATTTATATAAATATCATACTTAATGGTTAATGCTTTTGGGCCCAACTATAGGTTACCACTTTATGAAGTGCATGAGAAGTTGGAGATATGTTACCAACCTGTTAATTCTTTTAAGTGTTGCTTCGTTTTCTTATTGATTCCCTCACTTGTAACTCGTTTAATTTTTATAGGGTGACAAGATAAGGAAACGTAATAATTGGTCAAAATGGATTCGAGTACCCTCAGGAAATTCAGGATCATCAACGGCAGAGATTCAACAAAGCCAACATGTAGAGGGTGCTGCCAATTCTCTTGAAAATAGTGATGCTGTTGGAGATAAGACAAAAAAGACTTCTGAAGCAAATCTTAATGATGGTGATCATAATTCAATTTTGGCAGAACATAATCAGTCAAATAAGGATACGTTACAAGTTTCACATAACAGCCAAGAACTAAATAATGAGAGCAAGCATTCCAGTGATAAGTCACATACAGTAACTGGTGAAAGCATCAAATTTTGTGATCTTGACACAACAGATAATAATTTAAGCTGCCACTCACAAGAAACTGAGCCCAAAATATTTGATAATTATGAGATTGGAAACACGGATGTATTGACTGATCTGGATATCCGAGACCTCTCCAATGATTTTGGCAGTACTTTTATGCTTGATGAAGAGATCGAGCTTGAGCATAAGATTGATCTTTCTTGTAATAGAAGGTATTACATAGTTTTTTTTCCTTGATATGTTTTATCCTTTTTTATTCAAACTTTTTCTGTGCAATGCATATATCCATGTCATTATAAGAGGTTCATCTGGGATATGCCTAACAAGAAGTCTCTGTTTAAGCCAGTGCTTGAAGTGGATTTCTGGTTCATAGAAGTATTAGTTGCTTTACACTGAAGGGGATGGAACTTTTATGCAGTTGTGTTTTACTTGTAGATCCGACACCTTGCTTGTGTTTCTTAATTTCCGTAGCATTTTCTTTGTAGTTAATGATAGACAAATCTCAATTTTTCAGTAACATGAGGTTTATATATTCCTTTTTTTTCTCCTTTTATTAAAACAATGTTGACATCTTTAAACAATGTTGACATCTTCTGTTTGAGATGAGTACTTCTGTTCTTTATTTTTGGTATCCCATATAGAAATGATTTAAGGTTTGTTTTCATGCCACTGTCAATAAACATGTGTTTGTTTTATTTAAATATTTTTCTGATGGAAGTTGTTGCCTTGAAGAATTGATGACGAAGATGATGAGATGGCTGTCATTGAACAGGATGTTCAGAGACTTGTAATTGTTACCCAGGTATTGCTTTTGATGATCTAATACAGACTAAGTACATATGTTTAATTTTGCCTCAAAAGTGGCTTATCGTTCAAATTAGGTTTTGATTTTACTATGCCAGATTACACAAACTGAAATACTGATGAAAATTAAAATAAATTGAGGGTCCTTTGATGTCTATACATAGGCTGGAACTACATAATTATAAAGCTCTATACTATGTTATTATAACTACACGGCAATGTAATGTCTATTTTTTTGTTTACATGAAAACTGATTTAGCCATAATATGTAGAATATTAATTGCATTGAATTGAACTTATTATTTTCTATTTTAATGTACAGAATAGTGATCCTAAACAAGGATCTAGAAGTGGTGGTAAAGAATCAAAATCCATTTCCAATGAACTTGCTTCTACGATAAACGATGGGCTTTACTTCTATGAGCAGGTTAAGTCACCATCTTTTAATAAATGTTTAGTAATTTATTTTTTCAAATTATTGGCTGCTTTATTTATTTTGTAGTTGCTTACCTAATTTTATAAACAGGAACTGAAGCATAGGCGGTCTAATCGTAGAAAGAATAATTGTGATAATAGAGATAGGAACATGAAATCTTCAAGCCATACTTTAGGAGTATCAAATATAAAGGCAGGCGAGAATATCAATGGAAGCTGTGTTGAAGAGTCTGGAGGCAATAATTCTCGAAGGAAACAGAAAGTCTTTCACAAGCAGCAATCTTCCCTTAAGCAGCGGTTTTTCTCAAGCAATTTTAGAAACCATGGAACTGGTCGTAACTCTCATGGAATCATATCTGAAAGCCCGCCTAGTAATTCAGTTGGATTTTTCTTCGCTTCTACACCTCCTGAAAATTATAGGTCAGGTCAAAGTGATTGTTCTGCATGCTATTGATATTAGTTTGACTCTTCTCCCCCCCAAGAATATCAAGTAACTATTCAATTAAAAATAATATAATCATTGTTTCAGAGCGCATGAGATCAGTCAGATGACATGTTCATTTTATTTGACAACTGAAAAGCTATTTCCTATAACTATCTTAATTTTGCAGTCTCAAGCCTTCCAAATTGAGTAGTTCACCACATGGGTATCTTTCTGGTAGTCCACCTGTGGGTTCAATGCCGAAGTCTTTCCCACCGTTTCAGCATCCAAGTCACCAACTTCTAGAAGAAAATGGTTTCAAACAACAGAAGTAAGTGACAGTGCTTATTGTTTACTTGCATGAACAGTAGTAGGATATAGCTATATGGAGTATGTTGGATCTTCAAAATTGCTCATGTTATTGTTCTTTTCAGGTACTTGAAGTATCATAAACGATGCCTGAATGATAGAAAGAAACTTGGAATTGGTTGCAGTGAGGTGAACTTCGTTTCTTAACTTTGTATGAAAACAATATTCGTAATGATTGAATGCTGAACCAAATAAAATTTTGTTCTCTCCACATTGGTGTAAACAGATTGAACTCATTCTCTCAATACAAATGCTTCTTTCTGCTCCCATTACTTTTATTGTGCACAGAATGTTTAATCTATTGTCTTTCTTTTCTATTACATAATTGTATGAACTTTCTCCTAAATTACTGTGTATGAATATACTATAATAGGACTTGTATGAAAATTGTGGAATAGTTACCCCACTTAGTATTATCAATATTCAATATCGATTTCCAGCATTCCACTTTCTATTTTAAACTTAAAACCATTATTATCCAAACTTTTCACATCCAAATGAGCTGGAATGCAGTACTGTTATCTTCATTAGCTTAATTTTGTTCATTCTGCGTACATATTTTGTATATAATTTTTTTTCATATTATTTTCAAATTTCTTATTTATTTTTTCTCAATATTCTTTTTAAATCACACACTTATCCTGATAGTTATCCCCCCTCTTGTATGTCTATGCAGGAAATGAATACATTATACAGGTTCTGGTCCTATTTTCTTCGAGACATGTTTGTCCCTTCTATGTATAATGAATTTAAGAAATTAGCGAAGGAAGATGCTGCTGCTAATTATAATTATGGTATAGAGTGCCTTTTCAGATTCTACAGGTATCTATTTCAAATTTTACGTTTCTTATTTGCTTGAGAAGCTAGAAGTATCATTTAAATTTCATCTTCTGGTCCACTTTGTTGAGGAAAATTATATAGGGTGGTTTCAAGTCTTAATATTCATCTATATTGTTTATTCAGAGAAATTGATTAAATTGCTTTTTGGCTATCTATTATTTTCATTAGCAGACACTGGTACCTAGTTCTTCTGATTTTTTAATAATTTTTTGTTCAGTTATGGTTTGGAGAAGGAATTTAGTGATGATTTATACAAGGATTTTGAACATCTTACTCTGGATTTCTACCAGAAAGGCAATCTGTATGGCCTGGAAAAATATTGGTAAAACCTATTTACTCAGCTTTTTATTTTTTTACTGCACGTTTTCTGTTTTGTATTGTGAAGAAAGTAATTGCATTGATTGGCTGAAGCATTAGCTAAGTTGTGTTCTAGATTATAAAAAATTGTTTGACCATTTTATTGAACTGAAATTTATCATTTTATTTATTCATGAGGGTATATTTATGGAACAGTGTGAACGGTTCTAAATGTTAAAAATGTACATGACACTAGATTAACATTGCTTAGCTAATTCAAAATCGATCATCATATTGTAAATATATGCTAGTTTCCCTGTACCAATGTTAGCCTGTTATTTTAGTACATGGTATTTCTATATTTTTGGGGGAGGGGTTCAGAAAAATTCAGTCTTCCTCACATTTGTTAGATTATGTTAGAAGATATAGAGAAATAATTGTAGTTTCTCGTTTTGTATTGGCTCTTTCTTCACACTATCATCACTCTTGGGACTTATGCTTTGTTCATATGTATGACATTGACAGGGCATTTCACCACTATCGCAAGGTGCGTGACCATAAAGAACCTTTGACTAAACACCCTGAACTGGAGAGGTTGCTCCGAGAAGAATATAGAAGTTTGGAGGATTTTCGTGCCAAAGAAAAGAATGTAGTGAAAGAGGACATGAACTAGGTTGAGTGATGTGCTCAAACAGTAAATACATAATGGCAGAGAGTTTTGATGGGATCACAATTTTGATGAGAACTCTAACAACATAACATGAGTTGGAATAGCGGCATGCATTTTGGTTTGAATGGAAAAAGAGGAAGATTGTTTGTTTGTTCTATATTTGGTTGAATTGATTTATGCCTCTGCAAGAGGATTGCTGATTGCCAAGCACTTCAAGTTTCTTTGATGGATCATTCTATATGGTATACCATTGCATCCTTTCTTTGGTGGTTCTTGTAGACTTAAGGAGGCACCTTTTCTTGTCTCCAAATGTTGTACATAAGATGATAGACTAGAAGTTGTGAACATTACAGCATAAGAAAAAGAGGTTCTTGTTTTATTTTGGTGGGGGGTGAAAAAGAGGGGGAAAGGGTTGTACTTATATCTTGCCAAATTTGAACAATAAGAGTGAGATTCTTCTTACTGTAATTTGGCGTGCTCATTTAATTTATTTGTTACACTTTCTGTCTCACCAAATTGGTATACTTTGAAAAAGGAAAAAGGCTTCTTTTTGGCAATTAAAGTGGGAGCTTTGTTTTTGGATGAATATTTTTGGGAGAGTATCTTCAATTTGTCTCTGAATGTGTGGTGTGTCATTCATTAAAGTTTTTGAAGATAAAACGCCTTCAATTTAGTCCTTGAATATTAAAGTTAGTCTTTGAATGTGTGGCTTCTTGTTTTAGTTTCTAAATGATGATGAGTTTTTCAATTTGATCTTTTTAAAAAATATATTAAATTAGTCTTAAATGTTTGGTCTATCATTCATTTTAATGAAATGATAAATATAATGTGACTTAACGTGTTTATTTAAGTGAGGATGAATTCTATTTTGTAGATATAAAATTTAGTTAGTGTAATTTTAAAGATTGAAGCTCTTCTTTTTTTTTTTTCAAAAAAACAATTATTTTATTATGATCATGATTATTTTTTAATATAGCATATAATTCTAACTTATAGTTTTTAATATAACATGTTTTATAAAATCTTGTCCATTTTTTTAAGGACTATGATAAAAAAAATTTATTATAAATTTATTATAAAAACTATTTTCTTTAAATAGTTATATAATATGATCTCTTATGCTGAGCGCATGAAGCATGTTTACTTAATATGTTCTAAAATATATCTCAAACCTAATTTGATCATTGAGTTATGGTCAATTTAAAATTATAAATAAAATAATAAACTTTTTAGATGGTTCTAGATCATCTTTATTTATTAGTATTTTGTTATGATTTATGATATTTAAATAATAGTAACTTATAATTTATTAAAGTGATAAGTTCATTAAATATTTTAATAAAATCATAAATTGTTCTAATTTTTAAGTAAAATATATAGCTTAACTTCCTGTTTTATATTTTTACGAGTGTCTTTAATTTTTAAAAATTATAAAACATTGTGTTTTTATAAAACATTGTTATCTTTAGTTAGTAATTCTTCTCAATTATTCAAGAAACAAAGTACATGTTACATGTATGCTCTTGCTAAAAAGGGAATAAATATTTTAGAAAATAAGAGTATGATTAAGAATAATAAACAAGTTTAGTGAGGCTTTTAGAAAATTATTAAATATTGTGTTTTTATAAAATATTTTGTCTAAATACAATTTTAATCTCTAATTTACACTAATTTTAGTTTTGATGTCTATATTTAAAAAAAAATAATTTAGGTCTTTATAATCACTTTTTATTTTAATCCTCGCTATTAGCAATATAGCAAAACGCGTCTTGTAAGGTACAAATCATTTAGATGAGTGTCAAGTACGCTGAAAGGACCAAAACCTAAACTCATAAAATTATAAGGATCAAATACCAAAATTTGGAAATATTGGTACTAAAACTAAAATCAAAGCAAAATCATAGGGAGTAAAACTGTGCTTAAAACCAATTTTTTTATGCTAACATAATATTTTACTATAATAATCAACGTTTATGATAAAATATTTTTTAAATAAAGTTATTTTTTTTCTTATCATTATTAATGTTTTTAAATAATAATAATGTAATTTAGTTATTATTATAAAATTTTCATACTTCATAGAACTTGTTAAATAACTTTCTTTATTTTAGGGGATTTCTATTTTGAGAAATTAAAAAAATAATAATAATATTATAATATTTAATAGTACACATATAATATAATTATATTTTACTTAATATATTGCTAAGCTTGTACTGTATTTTTGTAATTATTGTATTTATGCATTAAATTAAATGTTTGTAACTGAATAATACGGATTGATATAATTACTATGCCTAATTTGATTGATGCAATTCAGTCAAAAGAATATTGCAAATTCAAATTCGAATTGAGCTATATTCAAACACAGTGACAATTCATTAAAATATGGAAATGTTTTGATTTATTCTAAAAATGTGACAATGCTATGTCTCACAACCAGGTGGGCATCCTTTCTTTCCATCCTCTACATGCTTTGATCGATTTTGAAAACGCGTGCGTGTGTGTGTATATAATCTCACATTGATCCTCAGGGTCTTATTGTTACACATAAAGTTAATAGAGGCTTTGGAAAAAAAATGGAGATTTTGAGCTTCGAAAAAATGGTGTTGGTGATGATGATTACGATGATGATGTTGGGAAACAGGGTAAAATGTGAGGAGCACTACGTTGGAGGGAGCAAGTCTAGTTGGGCACCCAATGTTAATTTTTCAGAATGGTCAAGTCATGAGCACTTCTATTTGGGCGATTGGCTATGTAAGATTTCCATAACACTTAATTTCTTGATTTTTCATATCCCTAATTAGGGGGTTAGAGAGAGGATTTTTCTTTCAACTTTAGTTCATGATTTTACCCCCTAAAAATTTTACCTTTTTCATACTTTTTTAAAAAAAAATTTATCCAATGTTTTTTCTATTGAGCTACTTGTTTCTAAATTTTTTTAATTCATGATGTGAATTGTCACAAGTGAGTATAGATTCTTCACGAGTGAGTATGAATTCTTCGCATGAAAGAGAAAGAAAGATAATTTTTTATTGTTATTTTTTAAATTTTAAAATATTAATAAGAAATAAATACTTGATTGATGAATACAATAATTTTGACTGCAGAGAATCTAGATTCACACGACACATGAAAAATTATACACTTTTTTTTACGAATGGTTGAATATAAATAATGTATTGTATCTATAATTACTACTCTGAAAATTTAAGATAAAGAATTAGAAAAATATAACAATGTATTTCTTTTATATATTTTAATGCACAAAAATGTAGCAATTTATGTAACATTACTTCTTAAACTTAATGCTGTGATTTGCCCTGTGCTCTCTTTTTTACAAGTACAACTTTTGGGTGAGGAATGGGGAGGGGGGAGGAAAGAACCACAACCCACAACTGAATAGAACCTATATTTTTGTTCATTAATTTACTTTCTCTTTTCACTATGATTCACTGATGTTTTTATGCTTGCTAGACTTTGGATATGATAAGCACATGTACAATGTACTAGAGGTGAACAAGACTAGTTATGAGAACTGCAAAGACACAGAATTTATTAAGAACATAACAAGGGGTGGAGGAAGAGATGTGTTTCAATTGACAGAGGCGAAGACCTATTACTTCTTAAGTGGAGGAGGTTATTGTTGGCAGGGTATGAAAGTTGCTATAAATGTTACTGAAGATGTTGCACCTGTTCGAGAACCTGTTCCATCAAAAAGATGTTCTGCTTCATATGCTTCTGGAATTCAGGTCCAAGCACTTGTGCTGCTCATCTCAGTCTTCGTGTGGATTATCTTATTAAAAAACAACAGCTACTAGAAATGGCAGACCACAAGTAGATTTACCATAGTATTAACTTTATTTGTTGGGTTTTGGTTTACTTTGTGTAATGGTTAGCTCAACTGGGGAATTTAAGGTATCTTTTAATCATGGATGATTTGCGTTTACTATTGTTTTTAGTAGTTTTGAATGTCAATCATTATTACTTACGAAAAAGTGAGAAAAAAAGGGAAGGAGTTTAGTTGTGGTACATAATTAATTCTAATGTTTTGTTTTAGCAAATCAAGTTTGAATCATGTTCGTTATTAAAAAGTTACCAACAAAACAAATTTTCCATCAGTTTTACTACAATTAGCTGCTCTGAAAGTGGATTAAAATTAATCCTATATTGGGAAGAACAAGAGGATCGATTAGTGAACATATTTTTGCTTTCAAGCCAAGCAGTTGTCAATATAATATAGAGAAACCAAACTGACAGAAAGCTAACAATAAAATCTAATTTGTTAAAATAAAAGTCTCCTCCAAAATCGTTAATTTTTTATTCGGAGCACTATTCAAAGAAGTGAGCTTTTGTGAAACATGACAAAAACATATACTGAACTATCAATCATTTTTAATCAATGCCATCAGAATAACAGAGAGAACAAAATCTTTTCTTCTGTCTGCTGTTTATCTTTTTGTTCAGAGCAGGGGATCACAAATTGGAACTATCAATAATTATAAGTCTCCATTAAAACATAAAATAACAAACATATTACCAGTACGTCTAACATTGCCTTTGAAAAGGCATTCATGATTAACAGCTAGAACAGTGAATATCTTTTATTGCTCCACATGTTGCCCCTGTTCTACATTCAAGGTTGGTAACAAAGCCACAGCCTCACCCTCAATAACAAGAAGTTCATCATTTTTGAAGCACCTTGTCTTAAACTTTGCGCTGAATAACGTTGAGGAACTCATTCAGAAACAAAATGACTCCTTATTTCATAAAGAATGTACAATAATAATATCAGGACTTACAGATATCGATTTTTATTTACTCTCAGATTAGTTGTTTGCACTTCACCAATAACCTGATCTCCAATATAGACCGGGAACTTAAAATTCAAGCTTTGAGATACATACACAGCTCCTGGCTGCAATTATCAACAGTGTTAGAAAAGTGAAGGGGCCACGGAAGAAAAGGAAGAACTTCAAGAAAATTATCACAACGAAATGGAATGAATGACCTCATATTATTGTCAAATTCACGTCATTTATTAATCACTTCAAAATTCAGTCGTTTATTCAAGTTGACTAAATCTAATGCCTAGTAATGATCATGCAAACAATAGAACCCAGGTTGATATTTAAATTGACAACACATAAATCTTTTATCTATGCATTCATATTTTCATGCCTTCCATAAAAGTAGTAAAATTTAAGCTTATTTACATGTATCGTACACTTTCTACTTCTTATGAGTCATGAAACATTTGAATCCATGCAACAGGTGAAAGCCCCTTTGTTCCCTTTAAAAGGTGTCTAATTCTCAACTCGACTGCAAGGATGTTATTGGGGCCAGGGAGATTAGGATCCCAGAATGAACTTTGATACCCAAAGATGTTGACTGTTGGAAAAGTTTCACTCTCATAAAGCACAAATAAATTGACTCTTGCATATAAATATGTATGTTATAAAAGTATAAATTTGTTCAATAAAAAACGGTGATTTACATCCCTCTGTAGGACTGTATTTAGAAGTAGTAAGTTTTTATTAAAAAAATATTTATTAGACTTTTATATTTTTAATGTAATAATTACTTACATTTCAAATAAAATTTTATTACTTTCATATGCTTAAAATTAGTTTTTAAGGTTTTATGTTAACAAAATCGGGAAAAAAAAGTCTCCAATTTTATTTCCAATTCCTGTTAGCTATTAAAATTAGAGGATGGTTGTGTGAAAATAGTGTATCATATAGTTTAAACTCTTTAGGCGTGGGACTAATCCCGGGTTGGTATATAGGACCGTGCACAGGCCATGAAACAGATCTGTTTCATCTTCATCTCATTCTTGCAATCTGTTTATTAATTTATTCTCTCTAAATTGGTTTATTGAGATGAGATTGTTGACTATCTATTTCCATGATATATAAATCAAAATTTTAGCAGAGGGTTAGTATGAAACTTACAAAATGTGATGAGATGATATGAGGAAAGAGAGAGGCAACGAGCATCCCATGCACCAGTGGACCTTCAAATCCAACATTTTTGGCAGCACCAGAATCAGTATGCAAAGGATTAGAATCCTGACTCACCTTGGAGTATTGAAGAACATCTTCCTCAGTAAAAAGCCTAGCTTTTCTCAAAACATCCCCAGGTTTAAGTACCTGAGGGGTTGCAGACGAAAAACACCTTAGCCACAGTGACTTGAGTTTGGTAGAATGTAAACTCCTAATGAGCATTATTGTAAGGATTCAATTCAACAACTGAAAATCAAGCAAAGTGAAGCTTAATATTCCCACATCTGAAGACCAACTAAAATTTTTAGAACTGAACAAAACAACAAAAGAAAAATATATCAACTAATTGTAAATTAAGCCCCCCATTTTCATTTGTTTGAAGTAGCAACTAAAGTTTTAAACTTTAAACACACTGGCAGGTTTCAAAATCAAAGGTAATTTAAAGTGCAGTATGCATAATGCACCATCACTAAACACAGAACAAGAAGCAATTCCCTTTGCTTTTCTTTTTTTTTTTGCAACATTTTAACAAACAGATAATGTGCATGGCAATACTTGAAGACATGTCACAACCATTCATGCAATATGAATCGAATTCCATCGATAAGAGAAGTGAAAATTGAAATATATGGTCCTTATTGCCTTTTTTCTAGAGTTTGGAGCTCAATGGTAAATGTTTCACCTCAACAAAGACGAGAGACATGTAAAGGACCTTTTTCTTGATTGTTTGGGCTTATTTCTTGGGAATGATGTATATAAGCTGTTTTACATGATTGTACAAATATAATTGTATTATTTGTGTGACGTGATAGGCAAAAATAAATTTGTCTATATCACGCATTTTACTTTGATATGCTAACTAATATAGTGTACGAGAAAAATTGAATTATATTATTGTAATAAAAAAAGGCCCATCAAAATAAAACAAATATAGCTTTTGATTTTTCACAAGTCGAGATCATTTTGCGCCATTGTTTTTAAATGAAATATAATTTCGGGCCAAGCTGCAATGAATATATTGATCTTCATGAGATTAGCCAAGGGGCTTAAAAATGGAAAAATTAAGAGGATAAAATATATAGTTTATAAACTTTGTATTTTGAAACTCAAAGCAGTAATGAAATCCTGTACTTCAGTAAAATTGTTGTGGTGATGGAGTGATGATAATAAATAATAACAACGTTTAAGAATAAACTTTTGAGTCCTTTACTTTTCAGTATATTCTTGGAACATGTACATTCAGAAAAAGATTAAAAAAACATGAATGATAAAAATAATTTTATACGAAATCAAATGTGATATATTACTTTTTAGTTGTTCAAACATGAAATAACAAAACTCGTGTGATAATTAAGAAGGAGAAAGTGATGATATCATGTTCTATCAACTAAAAGAATTCTACATTTGGACCCAGATCCTTTACTTAATATTTTCTTCTAGTGATAGTGAAATAATTTAAAAAAATACATAAAAGAAAAATAAAATCACTAGATTGCAATTTCATCTTGTTTCTACTTGATTTGAAGTCCCTCAACTATTGCATTCAGCATAAAAAATCATGGTAAAAGTTTTATACTAGTGTCTAATTTAAAATCCACAAAACAAACTTCTCAAAGTACATGCCACACCTAAATTTGTAAGAGGTAATTAGCAACATATCCAGGTAGCAGATTATCTTGAAATCCTCAATTTTTTCATCAAGCAACACAGCATGTAGAAGTAAAAGGTTTTTTGTTATGACTACGCCGGTGGCCAACTTCTGACCCAATCTGTCAGAGTTGCAACATTTCCATCAACATCTTCAATAGTATCACTCGTCATTGCAACCACTATGTCTTCTGGATAACTTTCTTTAGCCTCCTGAAGCAAAACTTGAAATATTTCACATTCAATATTGTTGGAAATCTTTGAATCTTTATACCCTCTGTTACATATAAGGAGAAATAAGTTAATGATGAAACCGATAATAGAATCACTTAGAAGAACATCAGAAACAATTGCTTTCATACCTCCTGCTCAAACGGTCATACAAAATGGTGTTATCAGTTTGAAGTACCACCACATAATCAAACCATCTCTCAGGAAAGAAATCACAGCCATGATAGTCCACAATGTTTCCCTCCTCTTTTATAACATCCTCAAGTTCATCACAGACCTACAAAATCTCATACAAGATATATTCATAAAAGCTATATATATATATATATATATATATATATGATGCACAGGATAACAAGATATGTATAAACCGTGAAGATAACATCTAGTGTTTTATGTAAATCAACAATACAACAAATCCAGGTAGCAGCTCAACATCACCCTGATGGACAAGATATTGGTTCATAATACTAAGTCAAAAAGGGAGTTACATTTTCTTGTAGCAACTAAAAGGTCACAGAAATCATAAATTACAATTAAATGTATATACCCAAAAGTATAAACAGACATCAAAGCCCACAAAGAAAATTCAGAATACCAATCAGTTTCAATGTCTTTTTAATACAGCAGTACCATTAAAAAAAGTTCACCATTAGTACATAATATTATGGTAAAATTTTCGTAAGTCATTATCAATAAGAATGAAAGTAAATGAAGGGCTGACAGTGGTTGCGAAAGAATAAAGGATTAGCGAATAAATGGCATGGACTCATTGCCTAGGTGGCAGAGGATATATACAGCATAGATCCTGAAACACTTTTTTTTTTTCAGTAAGCTACTTTCACCAACAAGAACTTTTTCCATTCCCTTCAACACCAATCTTTTGATTACTAATCTCTATAAGATATTAAATATTGAATCATTGATCCAAGAACACCACAATAATAAATATCAATAAAGGGAACCATGACTGCAGTCTCCAATTATATGCACAACATATCTACCACCTCAACTTTTAAAATGATCATCATCATTTATTTATGGTCCTCATTGAATCTATTATCTACCGCTAGGAAGTATGGATATGACATGGGACACTAATACAAACAGACTCGATTACACATCAAATTTTGGAAATCATGGGACAAAACACAGCTATAATGCAACACATAAAATTAATCTAAAATTAACATAAAAATTTTCAATCACAACAGAGAATCTATCTTTAAAAAAAGTATGAGTCATTATAGACATTAAATTGCTAAATTTATTAGTATAAAAATTTAAAAATCAAATTAAAAAATTTAAAAAATGCATCTAAAAGTAGTTGAAATGCTACGCAGTGTCTTGACATGAATATAAATTTAACACGGTTACAACATAACACGACTATCATTTAGAAGTATCTGTACTTCACAGACCTACTATCTACACATTCTCAAAACAAAATAAATTCAGAAGAACGCCACCAAATAACAATATGACTTACTAAAAAGAATGATCTCAAGTATATAAATTGGTGGCTTACCAAGTCTTCATTAAGAACATAACAGTCAAGTTCATCATCCCAACCATCATGCAAGTTCTTCTCTTTGACCAATTCTCCGACATTGATATGACGGAGCAGGGTGGCTTCTGCCAGAGCAGTTGCCAAGGTTGTCTTTCCTGTCCCAGGTGTCCCAGTTACCAGAATGTTTGGTTTCTTCCTCTTTCCACTCTCTTGCACCATCCCTACAACATCAGGTAACAAACACCCACTTTCAATTCTAATCAGTGAACATTAATAACACTAACAACATTCAAATCTCAAAGGAAAAGGGTAGATTTTCAGTTTTCACTTGACCTAACAACAGTAACCCAATATATATGTAATTATATAAAACCCTTCCTCAAAAAAATAAATAAAATCACCTCCTACATGGTTGTAGCTATTTAGAAGAAGAAACAAAATTAGTGTAAAAAAAGATAGAAGCAAAGAATTAAAAAAAAAAAAAAAAAAAGAACGCACTTGGCTGGGTTGAGTTTTCTTTCTTATCGCTCTTAGAAACAGAAAGATGCAAGTGAATAAGAAAAAAGAATTACCTTTTAAATTTTTACAAATTAAATTTCCTTTCAAATATATTTATTCACTTATTTTTTAAAAGTTTAGTACTCTCAATTGATACACATTAATATATAATCCATAAAGCCTTTTAGCTATTCTATTGTTCATGTCATTAAACTATCTTTATTAGAGGTGTTATCAACGGATTCAATTTAATATATATTGAAAAATCGAATTAAAAACTGAATTTATCAAAAATTAAATAAACTAAAAATTGAAAAAATATTTTGTTATTAAATTAGATTGAATTTTGGATGACATTTTAAAAATTAATCCAATCTAATTCAAATCAAATTTATATGAATATATATAATTTTATTTATAAAATTAACATTTAAATCCTACTTTTAAGCCTATAAAATTATAATATTTAACTATTTTTTATTATTTTATTTTAAAATTTATACCATAGTATTAATTTTCAGAGATATATTTTACTAATTTATGATTATATAAGTATATTTTTTAGAATAGATAATATATTTTTTAAACTGCCCCTAACTGACGAGTGTAATTTCTGACAAATGTTTCAAAAATACCCCTTTGCTTAATTGGTGCAGTTAAATTTTAAAAATTACTTTACAACATAAATTTTTAAAACAAAAAGTACAGTCATTATGCTTCATGCGTTCGAAAATAAATTAATATCGTGTAAAATAATCCTATCTAATTAATCAAGACACCTTTAAATAGTTCTATATTTTATATACAACAAATACATATGAATTTTCCCATTTAATATTAACTCAATAAAAAAATTATTAAAATATACAAGACAAGATACAACAAAACTATGAACATATTGACAAAATATTACGCACATATGAATTCTTCCTCTTTCTTGAAAATAGAATGAATTCTCTTCCCTTTGCTCCTAAGTTTAACATTTTGTTTCGCAAGTCTTTTATGCGAGAATTTGTAGTATTTTATTTTTACAGCATTACAATATCACCTTTTTTAAGAGGTGTTTGACCCCTAGATTTTGCTCCAAAAGAGGTGTTTACCACGTAAACGTAGCGCGTCATATAAAAAGCTTATAGGAACTATAATTTCGTGTAACCAACAAAATCCTGAACCAGTTCACCACTCTAGGATTCCGAATCAACCAACCAAATATTCACATTAACCACATCAAACATTAACAAGAAAGTATAAACGTATAAAAGCCAGAGACAAAACATGCTTCCCAATCATCAAAATAGTTAAAAAAGACTGAAACACATGTAAAGACTAGTGCAAAATGATTTTTACATGTGTAGTCTGTTCCACCAAACCTGCGGCGAACCTGGTTTAAGGCTACTGGCTTCAACTTCAACTTCAACTAGAAACTAGTTTCCCTACATCGATATACGATTATGAACAACGTTGTACTAGATGGCAACTCATAGGCCTCAACAAAAGAACATTGAGTTGCAGACCTTCTCCTGCAACTTAGGTAACTGAGGAACAGGAGGAGCACCAGGAGCAGTCAACCCACCATGACTGGAAGATGTCTCCGATTTTTCCTCAAATTTCATAAACTGTCCCATCTGAGTTGCAGCCAAGTGAGCATAGCAAATTGGGGCAACTGCAAAAGATTGGGTTTATTACAAATGAGAACCTATAAATCTATAAACAAGAAGATAAACATAATATTATGCAATAAAACACGTGCAAGAACTCTTACCTACAGAAATGGCAGTGGTGCTCCTCTGATACCTATTGTCATATAACAACAATGTAGGTTAAGATATCGAGCACGATAAGGCGGAAACAATATTCTAAAGCAGAAAAATAGACTCAACTTCCACTTACACATATGATAAGGAATGGACAAGTTCCTGTAGATCATCAGGAGAAAAACCAATCTCATCCAACAGAACGTGATAGTGTGTAGGCCTGCTTGTACCCTGAGCAGTAAATTGAAAAAAAAAAAAACAAGTGAAGTCAAATGTTAGTGCAAGTACTGACATAAAACTACACATTATGACAGAAGACAGGACTGCCTTCTATAAATGCACATCACTTAATTCCGGACATTCATTTGTCACGAGGAAGAATAGAGGTCACTTCAGGTGGGTAAAAATCATAAATAACTTCCAAGTTCTACACAAAGCCAAATTTAAAATCACAAAATAAAAGACGAAATAATATAGGCTTGTAAAAGCACATTCATGGACATTAGATCGGCAGTAGGGACAAAACAGCAATCATGGACATACAAAATTTGAAAACCAAAACCATATGAACATAACCACAAAAAAAAAAAACGGCAGAAACTCACTATCATTCCAGCATGTGCACATAGGTAGAAATCATAATTTCGAGGATGGCAAATTTTATTATCGATTACAGTTCCTGCAAAATCAAAAAGGTAAACAGAAGATAAAACATTAAATAAAATAATAGAATATTGTTAAACTATAAAACAAAGAGCATACCGGGAGGAACGTTTTCAGGAGATCCAGGCTGGAAGAATTTGGTATGATGGTTCTTTTGAGCAACAATTACCAAAAACTTGGGATGCCAATTTTCATCAAGATATTTACAGGCCTAATATTTAAAAAGGTCAAGATTAACCTTAAAAACTAAACTATTTAATATTTAAAACATAGATGATAAGCTTAAGCACCTCAATAATTTGATTAAGTTCAATGTTTAGGACTTGGTTGAACTGTGACTCACTAACACCATCCCTACATTCCAAAAAGAAAAATCAATGTTCAGTACTGAGATATGAGTAAATAATCCAAGGTGACAAAATATTATAAACAAAAAAAAATCAATTCAGTAGAAAAATATAAAAATAACAATCACAACAACAGAAGGAACTTCTCATGTAATTACAGTATGTAACTGAACGCATTGTAAAAGAGATTCATATAAAAATCATAAATAGTTCATGGAAAATAATTTGTGAAAGAATATTAACCTGAATATGATTATATTTTCCGGTTTTCTATTTCCAGAACTTGAATAGAAATCAATCAGAAGTTCCCTGCAGGTGTGAACAAGATCAATCAACTCTGTCCACATTACCATAAAAGTACAGACCATCAACCAACAACATTTCACACTAGCTATTATCAGATAGCAAAAAAAACTTCAAAGCAAGTAGTTCTGTAGCAATGCAAAGCCCAGAAGAGAGGCACGCACTAATTAAAACACAAAAAATACATTGTTCCTATGAGAAAGTCCTCCAAAGATTTAGGATTTCATTGGTCCAACAAATTTAAACCTAATGTGTGAATGCCATGCACTTAGTTGCCAAATATGCATATTTCACACAATCAAATAAAATTTGCCGTCCAAAACAATTGGTAAACTATGTAATCCTAGGTATTTTTGGAGGACCAACTAGGTAAATGGCACATAGTTAGGATCTCATTGGTCCAACAAATTTAAACCTAATGTGTGAATGCCATGTACTTAGTTGCCAAATATGCATATTTCACACAATCAAATAAAATTTGCCGTCCAAAACAATTGGTAAACTATGTAATCCTAGGTATTTTTGAAGGACCAACTAGGTAAATGGCACATAGTCATCAACCTTATTATTCCTTCATCCTCCTTCTCTGACACTTTCTTGAACAAATTATCAATCATTTCAACCTTAGGAGACTGGGTACGGACACATGCCCTGTACTTTGATATTAGAGGCCATTCCCTAGAGCTGACCACCTGCATATTTAAGCATTATGCGTACAAGCAAATCGTCAAAAATACATTTCAATTACTTGAAAAACAAGACTGAAACAAAAAGAGAGATCAATCTGAAACAAAGGTCTTAATAAAAAATACAGAAGACCACATATAATTTACCGCTGCAATTGAAGGAATATCTGATTGCCCAGGAGAGCCATGGGATACATCCATACCAAGAATTAGGGTGGGAGTTTTGGAAACAACAGGAATGGAAGGAGAAAGTTCAACACCTAACAATGAATTCAGGCCACCAAGCTACAAGAAGATAAAGATTTTCAACAAGTACAATAACAAATGTCCTAACAAAACTACACAAATGAGAATGACAGTGTCAAAAAAATTACCAGGAAACCAAGTCCATAAAACACATACCTTTGCATTGATCTTCAGCAGTACATTAGTTAAATATTGGTCATTGACCCTTGTAGGGGCTATGCACTGAGTAACAATTCCAAATTCAGCAAGATTCTTTTTCTTCCACGGACCTTAGCATGTACAATCAATTTTCAGTAATAGAGAATTGCATATGAAATATAGTACATAAAAGTTGGAAATATATCAAGTAACTCACCATAAAGATCAGAATTTTTCCGTTCAGGAAGCAGACAAAGAAGAAATTGGGGCGCCCCAGGAAGTTTAGACTGAATGTATTCAAACATCTTCTCCACTCTAACCAATGGTGGGGCACGCCTAAACTGACCACTCTCTTCAAATATGTCAAAAGGTTGTTCTATCATCTGTCAAAAGTAAATATAACAGATAGAGTCAGTAATATTTTATGCTTCAGAGTCCATAACAATTTATGCAACTTACAATTCCTTTCATATTGCCACATTTAATCAGATCACGCACAAGTCCTCGAGCATCACAGCGAGCAGAAAAGTTAACCACAGCCCATCTTTCTATCTTGGTTGGCTTCACTATTTTCTGGAGAAACAATTATTAAGTCAGGAAAATTCAAATCAATCTTTTCATGAACCATGTAAATATGCAGTGAGGAGTTGAATTATGCACCTTGTTATTAAAATTCCATCTCCCATTCCTTGGATTGAAATCTTCCCCGTTGCCAAACTTCAACTGCAGATGGAAATCTAATAATCAGTTTTCAATCCCATCACAGAACACAACATAGATAATTAGTGAACAAGATCCCTTCAACAACAAAGAAAAATATTCTCAATTAAGTTGATCACATTTCTCAAAAATTCAAATTGAACTTGATCATAGAACAGAATGGATATTGATATTTCTAAATATATTAAAATATGATATTACTATTCACCAAAAAGTTGCAATGCTATTCACCAAAAAACATTTGAAGTTACATCTGTGAGCACAGCATTACTGATAAGGGGAAGAGAAACATTTGTTTACAATATTTACCAAGTTTTACTCTTCAAATCTTTATAGAAGGTGGGTAGTAAAAATGAATAGTCACTTTCATGATCATAATGAATAAAATATTTACCCTTGGAGCTTGCAAAACACGACCCTCAACTTCAGTAAACCCAGAGTTTATAGAAATTCCACAATTACGCAGCATGGGTTCAGATCCATAATTGCTACTTCTAAGAGCCTGTAATAACAAAATTACAGAAGCGATTTCATATTAGCCAGACAATTATTTGGGAAACACATAATTCAAAATTTGGGAAAGGGACTTACCTCAGACAAGACCTTCATTCTCTCCTGTGGCTTCTGCCTGGACTTCTCCACCAATGAAGCCCTTTGAAGGGTAGATAATGATTTTGTATAACGTTGCAGGGATACCAAAGAGCAAAGCTAGGCATGACATTAAAGCAGAACAAAAAAGTTGATAAGCTGTAAAAATAAACCTGAAAGTTTTCTGACTTTCAGTACTTAACAGAAAAGAAAAACAACCTAATCTACCTCAAGGGGGAAATAAGTTGGACGTTTAGGCTTCCCAACATTGATACAGGGAAGATCAGCTGAATAGCGAAGATCTATCTTACGATGATTAACAAAATAATCATAGACTGTCACTTCCTCGGGAGCGTCGCCACCATCCGTTCCACCTTTGCTCTTCAGTGTAAACCTACAATTACCCACCTTCTGGTTTTCATTAAAAAAACTAATAAATGATGCAAAAACTAACTCAATACTGAGCAGTCAGATTATAGAAAGTTAATTATCAACAAATACAGGACAATAAAATACGTTTGTTCTTTGCAGGGGAGTTCGCTGAGCCCAGTAATTTTGTACTCTTGATTGGATGGGCTTGTTTTAATCCTCAGATTTTTCAGGGTCCTCTTGGCCTGTTAATGAAAATTAATAAAACATGAGAATGTAGTAATAAACAGTCAGTTAAACACTATAACCAAATATTCAAAGAATTTGCTTACCTTCACCCAGTCAAGAGAATAGGGATCCCTCACATTTTGATTGGAAATCAGGAAGTCCACCACAGGCCCAGGTTGAATTATCATGGTGGTTGAGACATCTAAACAAAATGGAAGACATAAGAAATTAAGACCAGATTATGAAGAAAATAATGTAGTGTGCAGAGCACCAGCAAATCAAACCTATGTTCAGAGACAAGCCACTCTGTGTAGTTCTAAAACTAGAATGAAATCCTCTACAGCCAAGCACTCCTCCTCCTACGTCAGTAAAATTCCTAGGATCATTGTGGAAGAATGATTGACGCACAAGCAAGCAGCCTCTGCAACAAATATCATAACATAGTTACATCACTGACAATGCTTTTTACTATTACATAACACAGACATCATAACCAAAAATTGTAAGGAGAAACAGAATATCTGTAATTCACGCACTGCTTAGCAGCATGTTGCCTTAAAATAATATCCAACACTCTTATGGCTTCTTGAAAATGCTCCGACTCCTGCCCACGTAGAGCATTGGCAATTGCCTGCAATGGAATTTTGGAAGCAAAGCTAATCTCAACTTTGAATGTCTTAGATCGATAAGGCCGTCGTATCCTTTTCCTATCATTCTCATTTGGACTTCCATGACCATCAGGGCTGCAGTTTCCGTTATTTCTACATATACAAGAAAAATAAAAGTTAATTTGCATAAACAACAATAGGCAAACAAAGTTGAAGAATTAAAAACCACTCTCATTCAAACCTGTTAGAAGTAACATCTTCCAGAACAACTGTAAATTCAAGTTTGTTGCGTGCAAGGGAGCCAATGGTAAACAAAGTCTTTTCACCGTCGTAAGCAAAATCCTTCCCATTCAACTCAGAATCATAAGTTTCTTGCACCCTATCTATCACTTTCCTCCCTACACCCTTTCCTTCCACAGGTCGCCCATCTTCATAAGAAACGGCTACCTGTACAAATATAAAATAAAAAAATGTAAAGCTTCAGAAAATGATTGCTGGTAAACAGAGACACAGTGGTTATAAAATTAAGGGCATACACTATACTGATAAAAGTGGCCATCATTGTTTGCAACATTGACTTTGAAGTGATTGGTGAGAAGTTGTATCTTCATCCCCCTTGTCCCAAGACCACGCCTTGCTATTGGAAGCCTGGAAATCTTTTTCTTAATTTGCTCCAGTTCAGCTTTGATGGGTACACCATCTGATGAGACTGGAGGTGGTGGGGGCAAAGCATCCTGGTCTTCTTTTCCATTTGGCCCATGCGAATCCATGTCTGTAAAATTTAAGTAGTCAATTAAGTACAAGCATCGTTATGCCACCAAATCTCAACTTAAAAACACTGTCAGCTAATTCAGAAAAATAATTACAATAGACTGTAAACATTAGCAGTTCTCAGATAACCAAAGAACCTCCCGAACAAAAAACCTTCGTAATAATTTTGAAAACAAGTAAATCTTTCATGCTGTCTGCATGCAACTCTAAGGATGTACATGATAAAGATAGCATCATTGTAAAAGGTCTTTTCATTCAAAGGATCTCCACAAAATCCAAATATATAAACAATGTACGACAAAACAGGAAATTAAACAAGGAACAAAAAAGGAAGAAAATATCTATTTTACAAATGAAAATAAAGAAAAGTTAACATCAATTTAAGTGTGGTAAAAATAACAGCTAATATAGGGTAAAATCGCAACTCAAAAACAGAAAGTTATGAAACAAAACAAGCAAATTGCTAAATTTATTTTGTACAAATAAACCTACTAATAAAAAAAACATGCAATGCACGCAAAATAGCTAAGACACCAATGCGGCAAGTAACATCGCCAAGGGAAATTTATAAAAATATTTATACACAAATAAAATCGAAAAGAAAAGCTACTCTGGTACCACAATCAGGATCCTTGATGAAAATGTCTGGTTTCAAAATAAAAGGACACAAAAATGGCTAGTGTGGGAGCCGATTAGGACCATCGTTACTCCAAATACAGCTTACGCTTTTAAAAAATCAACAGAACAAAATTTAGAAGAAATGAGAGTAAACTCCAAATACTAAGAAATTCAGAGCAAAAAGTCAACAAAGCACAACGAAGGCATTTTTTATTCAAAACAATCACTCAAAAACAAAAAAGGATGAATCTCAACCACATGCAGCGCCAGGAACAACACAAAAATCCAGAAAACTACAACGACAAAAACAAGGTAGCAGCATTCTTAAAACAGAAAACCCTAAAATAATCAAAAAACAAAGAGAAGGAGAAAAATCAAACTCTAGGAACAAAATTAGAGAAAGAAACATAAGAAAATGGCCAATGCAGCATTCGATCATGAGAGAGACCATTAACGTGTCAAAAACAAGCACACACAAAAATCAAAAAACACTTCAAAAAAAAAGAAAACGCACAAAAATCATTAGACAAGTGATAATGAAATAAGAAGAAGAGCATGCACTTAGCTCACCAAACAAAAAGTGACAGAAACACACAGCAAGCACTAAAGAGAACCCTAATAGAGTTTGAAAGAAGAAAATTGAAGCAAGTGATTTAGAGGGACACTCTCTTACTCGCTCTTTTAAAAGCGGGAGAGAGTGAGTCACCTGTTTCTCTTCCTCTGGTAACCGAACCAAAAGCTTATGTACTCTGCAGTGCGGTTGCTACGGTCCCTACAGTTATCCTCTCTCCATCGTTCGATGATGTGTGGTGCTGATGTGGAGAGGTGAGATTTGATCACTGTTCTAAGTGCTATTCGTGACGACGGTTTTGGATTCGGTTCAAAAAGTGGGCCATCTTGTGACTACGTTTGCATTGGTGGACCCGATTTTACTCAGCTTACGACTATTTTTTATTAAAAAATATAATTTGGAAACCTTGATTCTCTTAAAATATTAACTATTGATTAATATTCGCAATCATGTCAAGATAGTGGATAATGCTCCTGAAAATAAGATATTTTCTTTTTGATATTCTTCATGTTTTTTATTTATTTTTTAAACAATTTCTCTCTCATTAGATTATTTCTTCATTGATATTAGATTATTTGTTGGATTTGATATTTGTTTCAATATTTTTTTATTTTAAAAAATATGGAAACAATATCACTAAGAAAAAATAAATAATCTTATAGTGATTTTTCTTTTTATTATGCCAATATGGTCAGATTATTATAATTTTTTAAAATAAATAATTATGTTAAGTATTTAAAATTAATACATTGATATATTTTATAAATCTAAAAATTATATTTATTGATAAAACCAGATATTTCAGCATCCATTATATCAAAACTAAATAAGTAAACAAGAAAATATTTTAAAATAAATATATAAAAAATGAAGTTAAAATTGTAATAATTTTAAAATCCATAGAAAAATATTTTTAAATTTATATAATATGTCAAAATATAAAATTTAAATCAAATTTAATTTAAAATCATGAAAATTTATTTAAAAAGTTCAAACAAAAATATGTGATGTAAGAAGAGTATCACGTTTAAAAATATATTATAATATTTATAAATCTAAAAATATTATTAATGAAACCAAATACTTCAGCATCTATTATATGAAAAATAAATAAATAAACAAGATAATATTTTTAAATAAGTATATCAGAAATGGAATTAAGATTATAATAATTTTAAAATCCAGAGAAAATATTATTTTTCATTTTATGTTATATGAAAATAATATGATATTTAATAGTGTAAATATAATTTATCAATTATCAACAAAAGTAATGAACTTTATCTAAAATAAATATAATATGTTTGTTGGTTGGACAGGTTTTGTATAGATTCTTTAACGAATTATTTTGTTTTTTAAACTAATTATAAATGATTATTGTACGTATATATATAAGCATATATTTTTTTATAAAAATTATTTTTTACCTGCATTTTCATTATTTTAATTTAAAAATAATTTTTTAAATTTGTAGTGTATAATTTTTTATATATTAAGTATAATTTCAAATTTATAAATAAATCTATTTTTAATAATTATTTTATCTCTTGTAAAGACAAACGACTTTTCATGCGTTAGAAAAAATTTTATTAATTATTTTATTTTTAAATATTATTTTCTCTTTTAATTATAAATTTAGTATACTATTACTATAACAATATTGAATACTCTCAATTAATTTAAATTATTATAAATATATTTTTTATATTAATTATTACAAAATTAACAATTGTTATTAATATAATAATTTATGATTGTATAATAATATTAAAAATATTATATTGTTATTAAAAACAATTTCTTATCTAAATTTAAAATTCCAAATGTGTATATGAAATCGAAAATTTTTTTAAGTAGATTGAATTTAAAATCTTTTATAATCTTGATTTAAATTCTTAAAATTATAAATGTGAAACAGCCATATTAATATACCTGAATTGTGATGTTTGAATTTAATTTTAATTTAAAAATATTATTTCTTTTATTTAGCTATGTGTAAGATTAACTTTTTCAATCTAGATTTAACTATAAAAGGTAAAATGAATAATCTTTTGAAAAAAAGTCAAATTTTCTCTGGTATCTTTTCAATTCTATGTTCTCTGTACATTAACATTATGAGAGACATTCACCCTAGAAAGCCCTTTTTTTCTTTTCCCTCTTTTGTTGGTCACCAGGAATCATCAAGATCTCTTTTATAAGTACATAAAAAAAAAAATTAATATAACCTGTGAGATTAATTAAAAGTAAAAATGAAAGTTAATTAAAATTAGTTTGTTTTCAAATAGATATTTTAACAAATTGTGTCATATATTTACAACATTATATTTTATCTCTGTTAGTATGTTTGTTAACAAAGTTATTTAAACATAATTAAATTAAATTTGAGTGCACACTTAAAAAGATTGATAAACTCACTAGCAATTATATAAATTTAACATGCAATTTTAAATTAAATCATTCGACAACATTAATTACAGTTGTATGAATACGATAAGAACTTATGTTGTTATGTTTACTGTATGAATTAAAAAATAATAATAATGATAATCCACCCTGATTCACAAAGCGCTATTTTCATAATAAATTTTTTATTTAGATTTTAAAAATAATGATCTTCGTTGCATTTAAGTATGTAATAGACATATCTCTCTTATTGTGATATTTAAAAATATGTGATTTCATTATTGTTTAATGATAATAGTAATTGCATTTAGAAAGCTGTTATAATCTAACTAAATATTTGAAATATATTTTCTAAAAATGCAAATAAATTAAAAAACAAAAAAATAAAATTGTTGCTCACAATAATTATACCTATTTTGTTTAAATTAAATGCTCAATGTGATATTTACACTGTGTTTGAATAAGAAGACGGGAGAAGTGAACTGATTTTTTTTAATTGGAGCGGATACAAAAAAAAAATGGAAAAGTAAAAGAGTAAGGAGTGATTATATTTCGTAATTAAAGATTGTATACAGTATACAAAATTATAAAAAATTATTAAGAACAAATGTTATATTAAATATTTATTTATTATTGTTATTATTTAAAATTGTATTATTTTTCTAATCATTTAAGTAAGTAGATATGATTTTTTTTATTCATTTACTCCTTGTTTAAATTTATCCCAATATTATTATTTTTTCTTCATTTTATTCGTCATGAAAGACAGCGTTGGATACTATACTAGTAAACTTGGACCAAATATTCTTCACCCTCTTCTATACATGTAGTTTTTTAATAAGTAATATATATATAATACTTATTTTGATAATTTTATGAGAGTAAAATATAGTTTTTTTCATAATAAGATATTATTACATAAATATTTGGTTACTTTATTTACCTAAATGCTAATGTCTAATTGCAAGTATAAATGTTAATATGAATTCCCTTGACTTAATTTAAAAAGTAAAACAAAATCAGCCTTTTCTTGGTGAAATCCTTATCAAGGATTGTATTTTTTAACATACAATAAGAAAATGAGAAGAGTCCGAATACTTAAGAAGACATAAGCATACTGGAAACTAAATAGTCATTTAACGTAAATAAATAATTTTTTTAATAATATGCATATTTTGGTTCATGATTAAAAAACGAGAAAAAAGTTAAATTTAAAGATAGATTTAACTGTTTATTTTATTTGTTTCTGATATTAGAAATGTCAAAATGAATTTATTTTATATGTATCTAGCTCACTAAAATTGGAGAGTAAGGCTTAATGATATAAATTTATCAATTCACTCTATTTTAACTCACTCGTTAAAATATATGTTATTGGTAGGTTAGGGCAAGTTGGCCGTCTAACCCAAATTTAATTATTTAAAATTAAAATTAATAAAATATTAAATTTTATTAATATAAAAAAATTTAAAATATTTTTATTATTTATTATAATTTTTAATTTTTTTGATTATTTTTTGTGAGTTAACCCACCCACTAACTTTTTTTTTTTTTTAGTTTTTGTGAGGGTGGCTCATTAGCCTATCAAACTACTTTTAAACAGTCAAGCTATAAAATTAGACCCATTTTTTAAATGAAATGGACTTGGCCTAGCCTGCTTTTAGGCAGGCTGTAATACCCTGAATTTTGTATTATTAATTATTGTTATATATATATATATATATATATATATATATATATATATGTGTGTGTGTGTATAAATATAGATAGATGTTGGAATTTGCACTTGCGTGCGTGATGATGATGTTAATGTGTATAAATGCATATGGATGCATATAAATGTATTCATGTACGATTGAATTGGATTGATTGGACTGAGAAACAGGTTAAGGGTGTAATACTGGGGCGTTCTCGCTATAGCGAGAGGATTTTTGTTGCAGTGAGAAGATCCTGAGTACAGTCTCGCTGTAGCGAGACTCAGCAGAAACTAGAGTGCACTGCTGAAATTTTCGCTGTAGCGACAAGGGGCGTCGCCGCAGCGAGAGTGTCTCTCTATAGCGACCTAAAGAGTATTTGAAGGGGTTAGGATTTGATAAATTCATTTCTCATTCCTCTTTTCAAAATTTCTTCAATTTTCTCGACCAAAAACCTTATTTTATGGATTAAATTGACTCCAAAGTAGTTCGTGAGTTAGATTGAAGGTTGAATTTGTGTTGGAAATGCTTAAAGGTGAGTTTTAATGGTTAGGGTTTCGATTTTCGTCCCTCTTCTCTATTTTTTGGGTTTTTTTTTTAGTTTTCATAGAGTTTTTCATGTGTTTTAGGGATGGAATTTGTGTGAGAAGTCCTTTTCATTGTTGATTTGTGCGTGGGTCTTCAATTCGAGGTAAGGGGGACTCTAACCTATCTCAATTTATTTGGAAATCCATTCAATTACTATGTTTTGGTAATGTGATTAAGATAGAATATGTGAACTGGTGTGTTTTGATAGATAATGATGTTGGGGCCTATTATGAGTGGACTTGGACGAGGAATTGATGTGGAATGTGAGTGAGTGTGCTTACCTATCATTGATGGATGTATATTATGCTGAAATTGTTGTATGTGAGTTGAAAATACTATGCGTCGAATGTAACGCGAATGAATATGAGCACTTGTGCCGTGTGTTGTGAACGAATGTGGGTCTATGTGCCGTGTAATGTAAATGACTATGGGCATTGTGTCGTGTGCTATGAATGAATATTGTATGAGACTGAAATGAGTGTGAATGGAGCGTGATAAACGCCATTGTAATGATGCTATGAATGGTTCAGCGATACATTAGAAGTGTGGAAGATGGGGACAGTAGAATTACCTTAGGAAAGAGAGATTGGTGGTGACACCAACAGTGAACGTGGGTGCACCACAAGCCACACACTCTCCTCCTGACTAGACCTATGATCGCTACTTTTGCCGAGCGACTTGTGACTGCCCATGCAATATCCGTGACACGGGGGTAACTGGCGACCATTCATGATGTGAAATTGTGATCACAGTGTCACAACAAGCGTGGCTATGTGCACTGAGCGCACGTGTGTGTAAAATGTTTTGGTGCCGTTAGTGCATCAGTTATGAATTGAAAATGATATGCTTGAAAGTGTCATTTAAATTGATTTTACTTATGTGAAATGTGTTAAAACTACTTGAAGGGTGTTTGAGATGAGTCTCTATATTTGTGTGTGTTGGATAATGTGGAGTACTCGCCCTTACGTTTATTTTTTAGTTGACCAAGACGATCAACACTAGACTTAGTGAAGGAATGGATGAGATTGCTATAGGACTCTGATTTTCTTTTGAAATTTCAATGTATTTGAATTAGTTCTGTAATAGTTTCCTTAATCAAAATATGTAAATACTTATTATTTGGAAATGAAATTTTTATTATTCTTATTTTGAAAAATGTATTATTTTGAAATTAAATTTAAGGTATTACACATGCTTTAAGTGAGCTTTTATCCTTAAGTATTGCAGCTTAAAGATAAATTTAATTTGTTGTTATATTTATTCTTAAATCTAGGGATGATAAAATGAGTTTGATTGCTCAGATTGACTTATTTAGCCCATCAAAATTAGTGAAACGCCTGAATGCTATAGATTTACTAGTCTGCCTAACTCGTTTTGTTTTAACTTGCTAAAATGTGGACTAGTGATAGGTTAGGACGAGCTAGTTTGTTGGGACCCAGATTTTTTTTTTAGAAAAAAATAACTAAATATAATTTTTATTAATATAATTGTAATTTTTCAGTTTTTAAGCGAGTTTTTGGCGGAGCAAGGTGAACTTGTTCGTTTTGCCACTCATGCCTTGCCTTGGATAGACAAAGCGAATTTAGAGTAGAGTTCACACGTGATGATGAAAATTTTTTTTAACTCAACTTCATTTGTATTGGTATTTTTTAATTTAATTTACTTATATACTTCAAATATTTATATATATTTTTTAAATAATTAAAAAAAATAAACAAAGAGTGAAAAACCTAAGAGAAAAATTGCATATTCAATAAAATGTGTAATTTTTATTTATTAATTATTAGAAATTTTAATTATTTATATTTTAAATAATTATAAATAAGAGTGTTATTTGTGGATAAATTTACAATGTATTTAGTTAAATTTTAACATTCCAAAAAATGCATTTCAAATAACAAATGAAAAAACAAAAGTCAATATTGAGTTAGAAAACAACTTCACCTAATTTCATAAAGATGAAATATCCGGCACCTTGTCCACCACCTTGTAAAGAGAATAAAAACTAAGTAAAATAAGACCATATTAAGTTCTCAAATAAACAATACCCATGTTTTTTTTTTCTTCCTTGAAAATGTATAACAAACGTGAAAATCTTACATCTCTAATAAATTTGAAAAAAAAAACAATGTTGACTATTTTATTTGTTATCTTATACATTAAGTATATTAGTTAATTGCTATTAAATTTACTCTTTTATATAGTTTTTAACTGCATAAACAAGTTTTTTATATTTAGGATATAAGAATTGTATTTTTTTTATAGTTTTATTTCTTTAACAAATGCATTGAAATAGAAAAATTGTATTTAAATAAGATTATAAGATAGGAGAGGTGGTATGATGAAATTCCTTCTAATAAAAAGAAGACTATAAGATAAATGGATCCGTTGACAAAAGTCACAATGGAGCACCACAGCCATAAATTATTAAACCAATTTGGATCCTCCCAACCACTTTAGGTGGTGCTAGTAATGGTGGTTGCACACACTTAGCATTATGACACACAATAAGCCACTTACCAAATAATCTACCTTTTCCACACACTTAGAACTATCACACAGAACACGTCACTCCCCAAATAAATTGGAGTTTTCTCTCATTTTTAGATAATAATACAATTTTAAATCATGTAACTGTACACAATGCCTAGTAATGCACAATCAAATTGAGAAATGAAAACAACATGAAAGGTTGCATTTATGATTGTGAAGTTAATTAGAATTTTTGGTCTATAACAAGAGACCGTCAAGTGTTTTGAAACACAGAATTCAAAACAAATTATTAGTTGCTTAATATAAACAAAATTTGTATATTATTAATTTTTACTAAATAAATTCACTGTTTACATATAAATGCAATAAAATAATTTATAGGTTTAGGATAATATTTGAGTATATGTATAACATTGGATAAAAAATTGAAAAATAAAAGACATAATAATTTAAAAAGGTAAACAGGATAAAAATAATTAAAGTGAAGCATCCCATGTTTTACTGGTGTGTGTTATTCCCAAAGCCGATACTTCCTTTTCAAGTCCTTTCTCTCTCACACACAAGATTCTTCTTTCTTTCTCTCTCTAAAACTTCACCTTCTTCTGTGCTGCTATTGCTATTGTTGCATCCAGGAATAAGAGCAAGAGCGAGGTAATCCTAACACACCACGCGCGTGTTTCCTTGGTTAAAGCTCGGATCAGCCATGGCAGCACCAACTCTCGCTTCTCTGCGCCTCCTATTCTCTGTAACCCTAATCCTAACCCTCGTTCACCTGGCACGTGCTAATTCCGAAGGAGACGCACTCTACACGCTCAAACGGAGCCTCTCCGACCCTGACAACGTTCTCCAGAGCTGGGATCCCACCCTCGTTAGTCCTTGTACTTGGTTCCATGTCACCTGCAACCAGGACAATCGTGTCACTCGAGTGTATCCCCTTTTTCTTTGCTTTGTTTTCTCTCTCTCTTTCTCTGTGTTGTGAATAATTAATACTAATCATTTTTCCTCTTTTGTTTTCATTGAAAATTTTGCTTAATATTTTTGGCTTCTTCTGTTTGATGTTTACTTTGATTGTTTGTAACGATCGGTCCCTTGTTCTCTTCAAATTTGTATGTGTGTGAGTTGTTTTCAGGTTCTCTATCCTTTTTCTTCTTCTTTTTCGCCAGTCAACGCTGGGTTTAAGGATTTTTCCCAGTTTTTAATTGCTTTATGAAATTGAGGGATCTTCTGCGAGATTCTTTTTCTTTGCTGTTTGATTTTTGGGGCATGAGGTTGTTCTTGCTTAAGTTTGATGATATAGTTGGTGTTGGTGTAATACTGGCTAAATGCATTGGATTGACTGAAGCAATTAATATTTTTCTCATGTTTATGATGACCGTTATGATTATTTCTACAGGGATCTTGGTAACTCTAACCTGTCTGGACATTTGGTACCTGAACTTGGGAAGCTTGAGCATCTACAGTATCTGTATGTTGTCTAATCTTTGCTTAATAGTTTGTGCTGATATTGTGAATTCAGTAACAAAATGAACTTGTAGTTAGATTAGTCAATCGTGTGCAGTAGTGGCATTATATAGCGCAGTCATGACCCCCGGCGCTCCCCTAAGCTCTGTAGCATTGCACTTTGTTGCTGTGGCTGGAGCAGCACAACTTGCGGCTGCTTTCACGGGGTTTCATGGCCATACCAGCTGCTATTCACTCAGCTGGCGTAAAGCCTTTTTTGCCCTCAGTTTCGTGACTTTTGAAGGTGTTTTAGTGGGGCAATCTTGGGATTTTGCTCCCTTTTATGGTCTTATTTTGCATGCTCAATCCTCAATATGAACACCCTAGTTCACAGCTGTCACAGTCACCATCTCTGATGAACCAAGCTCTGCCAGAAGATTCCCAGCGGTCCACATCTTTTTCTGGCCAGGATCTGATGCTGCACACCATTTCCAACCTGGTTCTGGTTTCACCCTTCATCTCCAGCAAGTCCCATCTCCATTTGAGGCATTTTCTGGCGTGCTCATCTCTGCTCTGTTGTTAAATTCCTTTTTTTTTCTATGTTATTGACTTGTGTGTCAGTTTCTGAAACTCAACTTTTGATCATTAATTATGAAAATGTCTTTAATTTGTCTACTGTTGATTATTTTTCAGTATATATATGTGTAGTAGAATCTATGTTAGGTGTATCTTAACAAAACAGCAGTTGTATTGCTACCTGCAATAGCCATTTTGGGGTCAGCCACTTCACGTTGCTATTTGGGATTGACTACTGTGCTTGTAGTGTTGCCAAAATGATCAATCAATAGCATTTGTTATGGTACCTTATGTTGAATAATAGTGTTTCAGGTTTATTAATTTTTGGGTTTACTGTGGTTCTCTTTTTGTTGAATGTAGTGAGCTGTACAAAAACAACATTCAAGGAACTATACCTCCAGAGCTTGGAAGCCTGAAGAGTTTGGTCAGCTTAGACTTGTACAACAACAATATATCAGGCAGCATCCCGCCTTCATTGGGGAAATTGAAGAATCTTGTCTTTTTGTAAGTCTGGTTAACATTGTATTACTCTAATTAAGCATGAAAGGACTGTGCTATCCACCTTGCCCTTCTCTTCCCCTTTCTTTCATATGAATTCAAACAATGCTTTGAATGGTGCTGGAGAAATTCAAAATTCTTTGAATTTTAACTTGTGAAATCTCTATGGCCCCATAGTTGGTCCCAGGTCCAGGTAAAGGAAGAGGGTTGTGTTAGGCCTTTGGCAGCCAGTGTAACACTTCTTGAAACATTTTGTAGTAGCCAACCTCACCTTGTGAGATAAGGCTTGTTTGAAAATACAATTTTGATATATCCATGCAAAAGGAAATACTTCCTATCCTAATTTACTAATTCTGCTTGGAAAAATGTAGAATGCCTGAAATATGTCTGCGTGAATGTAGCTTGGGCAAACCCAGATTCAGGCAATTTTGCATGAGTCATTGAATTGAGATTGATGTAGCCCAACATTCAATAGTTTGATTCAATTCAAGCAAACTAGAGAACTGAGAAAGTTCCTGTATAATATAAAAATTCATCTAAATATTTCAATGGACAATTGCTAATTACATTCTGAAATCCTTGGTAAAATTAAACGGCTAGTTAGTGAATGACCTAATGAAAACCATATTCTTCTTTATGTGGTCAAAATTTTTAACTCAGCTTTTAGCGCTCTCAGAATCTGAAATAGACCTCGTGGAAGCTGTGACAAAATTTGACATAAATAGTAACACGAGTTAATAATCTCATCTTCAATTGTTGGAAGCTGCTAATGACTCTTTCAATGTTATATGGCATAACTTACCACATTGCTAACTGATAAGACTTCTGATTTGGTTGCATAAATTATTCAGCACTTGCATATTTCTTATTAGTGTTTTCCTTGCAGACGGCTTAATGACAATCGACTAACTGGCCCAATCCCCAAGGAACTTGTTGCTATTTCAAGCCTTAAAGTAGTGTAAGTAACCTTGTTGTCTTTATATGTTGATAAAATGATTTGGTGGTAACATGAATATTTGATCTTTTAAAGAGCCTAAGTTTTTACTTTATCTTCAGGGATGTTTCCAACAATGACTTATGTGGTACAATTCCTACCTCTGGGCCGTTTGAGCATATTCCATTGAATAAGTATGTCCCAAATATCTTTTATTTCAAATTTCTTTAAGCATGTGACTTTTTTCTTATATTTTCCATGTGATGCTGTTTGTGTTGATTTTTGCTAGTCATCTTTATTTCTCTCCTGCATTTTCTTTTTCTCTTTTTATTTGGGGGGGTTGGGGGGGGGGGGTGTTGGGTTGGGTTTAACAATGAAAATTCTAGTGCCCTTTTCTGCCATATGCTGCTATATCCATCACTTGCAATTTTTGTTGCTCAATGATTAGGATGTTGTATCTTGTTTTTGGGCTGATTTATGGAGATCATGTTAATTGTGATGGTGATATTTGATTGCTATTGTGCGTTAATTAGATCCCTGCTGTACCACATGCTTTCGATTGGCTGCCCTGGTTCACTGTTCCCGTGATAATGGGGAATTGAATTGCATTTTAGTGTCCTATACAAACAGTTTTAGTTGGTATCATGTTACTTACTGAATAATCATTGTTTTTTCTTTTGAATGCTGTAGCTTTGAGAATAACCCTCGTTTGGAAGGTCCAGAGTTGGTGGGACTTGTAAGTTATGACACAAACTGCTCGTGAATAACGTGATGTAGTAGGATCTCAAACTCCGTTGGATTATATATATGTATTCTAAAATTGAAGTGTATTACCTCATAGTGTAATGGGCAGTGGTAAATGTAATCTCTGGTATATGTAAATTTACATACTGAAGAGCATTGGCATTTGTAACAGTAGTGTGGTCTTCTAATGACGTTGCAGACATGAATATCTATTGATGTAATACTAGTAAAAAATGAATTTGGTCACTGATAAAATATTGTAATGTACTGACGCTTTGCTCTCCATCTCATCTAGTAATACTGTTTGTTAGCCCCTGTTGCACAAGCTGTTATTGTTATTGTCAACGGTGTTGTAAGAGCTTTTATAACCTTGGTTTTTCCTTCACATATGTAAGTTATACCGGGGTTCCTTGAATATCATGTATTTGGAGAAACAGTTTATTGAACAACAGTTTACCCCATAAGAATGTAAGGTATGAACCGCTTCAAGTTATTGGGATTAGTCTCCTGTTCTACTTTCCCTTAGAAGGTAGCAATTATTATGCAAAGCAATTTTGCTTTTGCAAATACTGGCTTCAACTTACCTTTAACTTGGGAATAGCTATCTCATGTTTTTTAGCTTCTTGTAATATTGTTGTATCTTTTGGTTGACCAAATGGAAAAAATATTTTATTTTTTTCAAACAATCCTCAAAATGAGAATACTCATTGTTAGAATTTGTGGTTGGAAAATTGCGGACTTTTTAATGTCTCGGTTGTTGCATGCTGATATCAATCAAGTCGATCAAGCAACCAATAAGAAATGAGTTGCAACAATATCTCACTGGTTTTCAGCATCGCTAATCAGCAGCCCCCAAATGTTCTTTTACATCATGCTTTGTTGTTCAATTCTAATTAATTTCTTAATAAACACTTGTAAGACTATAAATATAATGAATTATGAATGTAAAACAAGTAAACTTTTTCTTCGCTGCTCTTCTTAGCTTCGATCTTTACAAAGCCATCTCTGCTGGTCATTATTTAAAATCATATTCAGTATGGTAGCATTCAGAGTTTTGGCTCACTATGCAAAGGGCATGTAAACTTATAATGTTTTCAACAAAACAAGTTCAATGTGAATCAAATAATTTTAGGAAGGATTAATACAATTTTTATTTTTCAAGTTAGTTATATCTACGTTTACAAGTTAAAGAAAAGTAATTAACATGTTTATGCAAGTTTATATTCAATTAGAATAATTTACAAATTTCAATGTCAGGTTAAAATTTTAATCCACAATGGTTTGATAGTCATGAATTAATGTATCTTTACATTATATTATTTTATTTTTAATAAATAATGATATATAAATAAATAATATTTAGTGTAATGAAAATGCTAAATGAACATAAATTGTCAGGATGGCCGAGTGGTCTAAGGCGCCAGACTCAAGTTCTGGTCATCGTGAGAGGGCGTGGGTTCAAATCCCACTTCTGACATTCATATTTACTCATTTTTTTTTGTGACTTTCTAAATATTATTAAAACATTCCATTTTCGGATCGGATTCGTGTGCTTATTGGGTCAGGTTTGCTTTTTCAACATTGATAGTAATTGCTGATACCAAATTCGGCCCAAAAGCTTCATTGGACATCCTTTTCATAAGCTCAGAAAATTTGGGCAAAAGGCTTTTGACTTCTTTTACTCTGTGACCTTTTTTTTTTAATAATCAGGAATAAAAATTAAAGGGTGAAAAATACAAGAGAAATCAAATGAAAAAGGTACGTTATTTAAAAAAAATTTATCTGATAAAATAATTTTCTTTGAAATATTCTAAAAAATGATAGAAAAATAAGGAATATTAAATATATATTATATTTAAAAGTACAGACAAATTACAGTGTATGTGAAACATTTTTCTAATAAAAAAATTATGTTCAGTCTCAATTTATCTTTTAATATTATTATAATATTAAATTGTCATTCAGTATTTTTTTTTTAACTTTATCTTTATCATCCAAAATTTTCAAACATAGTAAACAAAAATGTTATCGTTATTTAAAAACTCTGAGTCTGTCAGTGTTCACTGACTGGGGAAAGTGACAATGGTCAACAGTTAGCGGCACTTGACGCCAAACTCCACGTGTCCATTGCAGTCACACGCGACAAAGTAACCCATGTGTCCATTACAACTTTACAAGAGAAATTTTTGCTGTAATTTATAAGTTTAATTGTTCTTTTAATTTATTTTATTTATGATTTTAATATTTTAAATTATTATTTTTAACTACTAAAGCACATCGATATACTCATATAGATTACTATATACACATATCTTAAACTTAACTTTCAATAAATACAATTATATTAAATATTTAAATAACAAATCTTATTATTTACACTAATTTTATACAATCTAAATAAAATCATTATTTTTTAAATATCTGTAGTTTAAATTTAAATTTTTTTTCAAAAAGGTTTCCAAGTTTTCAATTGGTCACTTTCCAACAAGCATGTTTCACTTACCATCAATAACACTAAAATATGAAAGAAAAAGAACATGAAATGTCCAGTAATTTATTAATTGTATGGTGCAAATTTATTTGTCCGAATTTGATCCCTGTGAATGAGTTCCCCACTCTCCCGGGACCTTAATTTAATCTGTCACATGTTCAATATCAATAGTTAGTCACAGTTTTCAAATTGGCTTTATATGGATTTTGGGAGTGCCCATTCCATAGATTGAAGTGCATGGAAATATCTGAGAGGGGACCAGAGCTTTTATTTTATAATTTTTAAGTTTAATGGTGAATTTCACACTATGTTTTTGTATAAATGAAAAAAAAAAAAAACTAAAAAATAAGGAAGCATGAAACTTCTCTTGCTTCTTAGATCTCACAACTTTTTTTAACTCTTTTCAAGACTGAATATAAAGTCATATGTGAGATGCAATTTTTTTTATGATTCCATCAATATCCTGTCTCAAATTACTTTAACATTTAAGCAAAATTTACTGTGTTTTTGTAATTTAAAGAGTTTGATATATTTTTTTATACCTGAAATAATTTTGACTGTTAATTTTAAATTAATAAATAATAAAATTAGGCTATCCTTAAAACAGTAGAAAAATTATAATTATTAATCTAAAGAGGGTTATAGAATAAACTTCTAAATTTATGAATAATTACAACAACAAACACCTAAAATTTATAGAATTTTGTTGATATTATATATCAATAATTTCAGCACCAATACGAATAACACAAAAATCAAACACATGTTTTTCATAATATGTGGTCCTCTAATTATCTTTTGCAAGAAGAATATCATGAAAAAAAGATCCCAAGCACATATAGATGGACGTGCGGGTCAATTCGTAATAATTTTGTTAAGTAATGAACAATAAATCTCTCTCAATGTAAGATTTAAGACTTCAGATTATGTAATGAAATATAGAAGTAGCAAATTTCTGCTGTGTTAACCAAACTCTGCATTTTGTAAATATAGTCTAATATATATAACATCAAATAGGTAATGTGATAAGGTAAAAATTTGGTAGAACATGTATTTGTTTTCTCCCTCCATAATTCGAATCATGTAAACTAAGATTAGAAGTTTTTTAATTTACATTTTATTGTCTTTTAACTCTTCTGTGTAATATTGTTATGCAAAGAAGAAAACCTTGTATATCAAGAGTCGAAATAAAAATGAAACTGAAAAAAAGATTAAAAAAAGCATTATTCTTCATGAAGTAGTATCTTCACTAGAAAATACAGTAATTTTGAATTGTTATCTCTTCCAAAATTTTCTTTAGTTATGGCACTACCTTTTCAAATTTCATGGAAACTGGAAACAGCATGTATTTGAGGCTGTACTTTATATAATAGTTGAAAACTGCTTTGGTGGGACTGTCGGTGGAATCATATAAATAATGATAGCAGATGGACAAACATAGTCAGAACATTATTTCTCACACAAGATGAGTGCGCATTTTATTTGTTATTTATAGAATTACTTTTAATACATTTTAATATTACTTTGGAGTGGGATATATTTTATTGATTTTATATTAAATGATAAAATTATATATTCACCTAGTTATTTGAATCAAATTATATTGAAAAAGTATAATTAATTTTTTTTATTTTTATATACTTTAAAAATATATATTATACTAGTTTTAATATTTAATATGTAAATTAAATACTTTTGAATTAATATAGTGCATCAATATGATATACAAATTTTGTGACTTTTTGTGCACCACTGTTCTTTCAAATAATGGTTATGATAAAGCATATGAAGACGGATTCTATATATATTTATAACTAGCTATAGTTTTGTATCTATGAAATTTGAAGTACAATTATATAACATGCTTCTAATAAAATAGATCACTCTATATTGTTCATCTTGCTATTTCTAGAGTCCCTCAAGTATTATATACAAGCCCACATTGCTAGGCCACAATGCCATAGTTGATCAACCCTATATAAATTCCCATAAGTGACCAACAACTTCTTCATAGGTATTTGAGTAGGGTTTCCTCATTATCAAGTTCTTCTAGCTAGCAAAAGCATCATTGATCATAATGAGGTTCAAAGGTCTTACCCTATGGTGCATTTGGATGAGTTTGTTTAAGTTATCATTAGGAACTGTGAGGTGCTACGAGTTTGATGTAGAGTACATTATCCGAAAACCAGATTGCTATGAGCAAGTTGTGATGGGAATCAATGGCCAGTTTCCTGGCCCCACTATAAGAGCTCAAGTTGGAGACACTCTTCACAGAAGGAACAGTTATCCATTGGCATGGAATTAGACAGGTTTTTTTGTTGTTATTATTTATTTTCCTATCTCTTCCTCTTTTTCTCTTTTGACACACACAGAATTATATTTGATTAACGGTTTATTATATCAATTTAAATCCATTCCTCTTTTTGAGTGTTGTGTTGCAGTATGGAACACCTTGGGCAGATGGAACTGCTGCTATTTCACAGTGTGCCATAAACCCAGGAGAATCTTTTCATTACAGATTCACAGTTGACAGGGTATGTACATCTCTACTTGCTTGGTTGCAAGGATGTTAAAAATTGTATAAATATAGATTTAATATGAAAATTATAATTAAAAATGTAGACTCATAATTATTATGTTACATTGTCTACTTATTTAGAGTTTCATATTTCATGTTTATCAATAAAAAAATACCAATGACAGGTTCTTTTAAATTATTTTAAATAATTAAAAAAATGTTCATAAATTGATTTCTTTAAATCAATTAATCATGAGAAAATATGATAAAAACTAAATTTTTTTGCTTCCATGGATATAAAAATCACACTTTTACGTATGATATATGATGTAACAATAATATATATAGTTCTTTTTTAATATGAACAAATAATACATTGTATTATTATTCTATATCAATATTTTTCTTTAAACAAAAATTACACCAACAATGACAAATAACTTAACGTCTAATATTTTCTACTAACATATTTAGCAATTTTTTTAGTATTTTATGATTTTGATTTATCTTATGTGCAAACTATAATAAAGTTAATATACAATAATATTGATAGTGAAAAATGTGATGCAGCCGGGTACATATTTCTATCATGGGCATTATGGCATGCAAAGAGCAGCAGGATTATATGGCTCTCTAATTGTGGATTTGGCAAAGGGACAAAAGGAGGCATTCCATTATGATGGTGAATTCAACCTTTTGCTGAGTGATTGGTGGCACACAAGTGCACATGAACAAGAGGTTGGCCTCTCTTCCATTCCATTCAGATGGGTTAATGATCCTCAGGTAAATTAAACACAACACTACTTGAGTATCTTTAATATCTAGTTTGGAAAAATACTTTAGGATTTTTTGGATGTTCAAATCCCTTTTGAGTTTGTGCTAATTTGTTTAATAAATTTCGGTGGTTTTTTAAATATAAATTCTCAAACATGTAAACAAAATAATAATTAATTAACTACTTTCTGATATCTTATAAAAAAATCAAACATAATTTGTGTAAAATTAATTCTGCATTTGGGGTATGGCTTAGCTTAGGAAAAATAATTATATGTGTATTACCAATTCTTTTAACTATAATTAGTATTATAATATCACTTTAATCTTATTTATATATCTTTTTGGGTAATTATACATTTAATTTTTATATACTTCAAACTTATTGTTTAATTAAAATAAATTAAGTTTGTGAACAGACTCCTAAATAGTAATACACATTAAATTTTATAATGGATGTTGGGAACTGTGTGCGCGTGAAAATAGTGTACTGTATGTCAGCTTTATGTACCTATATCTCCCCAGTGTGATGTAAAATTAATAACAATAGAAAATGAAATATTTCTATTTTGAATATGAGAACCCAAATTCAGGAGTGTTTTGTTGTTTATAAACATCTTATTCATGTGATATAAGAATTATAAAAAAAAGAGTATTTCTATTTTGATTAAAGGAATTCAAATTTTATATAACGTTTCATATTTTCTTTTAACAATTGAAAATTAGATGATAAATCCATTGGCAGATCATCTTCATGCACTGTAGAAGTGTTTAAATAGTAAAGTGCTTCAACAGTTGATGAATAATATTTAGCTATCTGTATTTCTAAAAGAATACAAAGAGAACGACAATAGATTGTAGGCTCTTGAAAAATTGTGACCCATCAAACATTTAACTTTTTCAGTCTTTGCTGATCAATAGAAGAGGACAATTCAATTGTTCCATGGCAGCTAATGTTATTAACAGCACCCTATCGCAATGCAAGTTTGAAGGTAGTGAAGAATGTGCACCCCACTTCTACATGTTCATCCAAACAAGACCTACAGGATCAGGGTTGCCAGCTCTACTTCCCTAGTTTCTCTCAACTTTGCCATTGCGGTAATTGAGTTCTCTCTCAGCTTTAGTTAGTACATGTTTGTATGCATTAGGATAAATCATTATCTTTTAAAAACTCTTTCAAAAAATTGGAAATTAAAAATAATTATTTTTATAAAATAAGTTAAACTACATCCATACTTATACTTTACTATTGAATTGGTGATTCCAAAGACATTTTCATTATTCCAACAAAAGGAAAAAAAAAAAGGCGCAACTGTATGAGACTATGAGTCATATATTAACACTTAGTTGAAATTGAATTAGGACCAATTTAGAAAAAATTTTAGAAAAAATTTTGTAGGAGAAAAAATTAATATAAAAATTAATTTTTTTAATAATTTTTGATAACCTTTCTCATTTAAATTTTCTTCAATTTTAAAAAATAAATTGTTTTTAATTTATAATTTTTTAATATTATTTTTTTATAAAAAAATTTATGAAAATTTACTCAAACTAGGTCTAGTCCTATTTTAGTAGTTTTCTAAATAAGTTCTTATAAAAGAATAAACTCAATATAAAATAATTTTATTAGCATAAAAAAGTAATACATGCATTATTATAGTGTGCGATCACACTGTTCAATTTTATTAAAATGTGTTACTGAATAAAATTATGTTATAATAATATATATTTAATATCATGCAATGTGACAGCAGGAGATCACTTTTCGTTTAGACAGACTCCAATTTACATATCTAATTTTTATGCGTAATTAATTTTAACACGAATCATATGTATGGTCTATGGTGGTTTTGGTATAAATTTTTACCTATTTCTTTGTGCATTAGAATCACAAAATGGTGGTGATGGAAGCTGATGGAAACTATGTGGAACCATTTGTTGTAGATGACATAGACATACACTCTGGTGAGAGCTACTCAGTCCTTCTCACTACAAATCAAGACCCAAACAAAAACTATTGGATTTCAGTTGGTGTTAGAGGAAGAGAATCCACCCCACAAGCCTTGACCATTCTAAATTACAAAACAGTTCCTGCCACAAACTTTCCTAATTCTCTACCCCCCCCATCACACCTCAATTTGATGATTATAAACACACCAAAGCATTCACTAAAAAAATTCTTGCCTTAAAGGGAACTCCACAACCTCCCAACCACTATGATCGTAGGCTTCTCCTTCTCAACACAGAAAACTTAGTTGATGGATATGATAAATATGCCATTAACAATATCTCATTAGCATTACCATCAACACCTTACTTAGGTGCCATTAAGTTTAACATCAATGATGCCTTTGACCAAAATCCCCCTCCTGAAAACTTCTCAATGGATTATCATATCTTCAACCCCCCAATGAATCCCAATTCAAAGATTGGTAATGGTGTTTACAAGTTTGAGTTAAACCAAGTGATTGATGTGATACTCCAAAATGCAAATGCATTGAGTGGGAATGATAGTGACCTTCACCCTTGGCATTTGCATGGACATGACTTTTGGATTTTGGGATATGGAGATGGGAAATTCCAACCAAGTGATGAGACCAAATTCAACTTGAAAAATCCACCATTGAGGAACACTGCAGTGATTTTCCCTTATGGTTGGACTGCTTTGAGGTTTAAGGCTGATAATCCTGGAGTTTGGGCTTTCCATTGTCACATTGAGCCTCATTTGCACATGGGAATGGGTGTGATTTTTGCTGAGGGTGTTCAAAATGTGAAGGAAATACCTGGGGAAGCTCTAGGATGTGGCCTCACTAGGAAGATGTTCATGAACAATAAATACAATTGAAATAGCATATATCATGCATAAATAATCAACTTTATCCCCCCCCCCCCCCCTTTTTTTCTGTTTTCATGTTTTGTTTCTAATATGAGATTAGACCTATTCACTACCTTATACAAGGTAGTTTATCTCTTCCCCTTTATTGTACTATTTTTCTTTGCAAAATCCTTGGAACTCTTAAATTTATGAGATCGAAATGTGTTGATCAATTGAGAAAATGTGAATAAATATGCTAAATTTGCATTGCCATGGTAGTAGATGTTATAGATAGCTATGCTACAATTCTAACTGATTAGAGTGATTTGCATAAGGGGTTAAAGATGATTGACCAAGAAAAGAATGAGTTAATAATGAGAGATTTGAATACTTTACACCGGGTTTTAATTTCAAGAAGGATGCAACATAAAAGGACAATGTTATTGATTACTGAAATTATTAAATTACAGTTTGGATCAATTAAACACATAAATTAAATATTCCTAACAATATTTATTCTAAAAAATATAAAATTTATGAGAATGAAATTTTTTAAAGACTAAATTCAAATGAAATCATATTTGTAAAGGCTAAAAACATATTTAAAGTAAGAAAACTACTCCACACACAAAATCTTGCATATTTTATTGAAATTATTTTAAAAATATCACCAACTAAACATGCACCATGTTTGATTTTAAAATTCTAAAACTGTTATAATGCAAAACATATTTGAGATATACTTGCTAAATATGATCTCCAATTTCTTCTGTTTATTATTTCCTTACCAAAAATTTAAAAATAGAAAGAATGGAGTTTACTTCGTTTGGACCTAAAATATTCTATAAGTTTTATATGTATATATAGCCTTACAAAAATAGAAGTTAATTTTGACTTAAATTTTATAACTCCTTTGGGAAAAAAAGTAATAAAATACAATATTTTAAGTATAGCTAAGATTAAATTATTGTTATTTTGAAATATGGACTCCTTTGCTGAATGAACTTTTATTCTGTATCGCTGTAAAATAATTTGGAGTTAATAATTTGAATTATTTATAAAACTTATACAAGTTTGATTTGCCCCAACTATATGCAATAATTCAAAAATATCGAACTTCTCATAAAACAAAAATTCCAGTATCCGATAATTGAAATATCTACTTATCAGTGTTCATATTGAAGATGGGTGCCAGTCGTGTTTACTTTTTTAAAGTTTAAACAAATTGCCAAACGCACTAAAGGAATAGATAGAGGAATAAGGGGGAAATATTACAAAAGTTAAACCTAATTTTTTTTTTGCTTAATTTATTCCTTGTGCATGACTTTATTCTCAAGTACTACTATTTTTCATTGACAAAAGCAAACCTAATTGATTTGCTTAAGAGTAAATTGGGAGGAAAAAGTAAAATTTAAAAACAACTTAAAGTATGGTTGAGATTTAACACCAAAAAAATCAATATAAAAGAAAATTATTATCTTTTAAAATATAAAGAAACTAAATAATAGTGAAGTAATTTATTAAGTCAAGTGTGATAAAAAATTACTTATTAAAATAACATTTTAATTAATAAAGAATAAGTTTTGTCTTTAATATAATAGAATGTCTATATCTAGATCCTCCCCTCTCTATATATACAAGGGCACCCAGCTAAGCCATAATGCCATAACCTTCCAATCTATTGACAATTTGCTCCTCCTCATAAGGCTCTCAGAGGAAAAGCAAGAAAATGAGCTTCAAAGCTCTAACCCAATGGTGCATTTGGTTGTGTTTATTACAGTTATCACTAGGAGCTGTGAGGCACTACAAGTTTGATGTAGAGTACATGCTTCGTGAGCCAGATTGCCATGAGCACGTTGTGATGGGAATCAATGGCCAGTTTCCTGGCCCCACTATCAGAGCTCAAGCTGGAGACACCCTTGATATTGCACTCACCAATAAGCTTTCCACAGAAGGAACTGTTATTCACTGGCATGGAATTAGACAGGTTTTTCTTTCTATTTTTTTTATTAACTACCTAGTACTCTTGAGACATTAAAAAAATATGCTGACAGTATGTTACTTTTATAAAAAAAAATTTTAAGATACAAATTTTTTGTTTATCTTTTTTTTTTTTATCAACCTAAACCCACACTTCTACTGTGTTACAGTATGGAACACCTTGGGCAGATGGAACAGCTTCCATTTCACAGTGTGCTATAAGCCCTGGAGAAACTTTTCATTACAGATTCACAGTTGACAGGGTATATTACATGCATTATTACGTTGATCTCCTTGTTTTCTGTTTAGTTTCTTAATTGGTGTTTGTTAATTATCCCTTCGATGTTCATTAGTCCTAACTTACATGCATATATTGTTCAGAACATTGTGGGTTTGCATTATCAATAGATGTATGATGTACTAATGGTACATATATGTCACTGTTTTACATTTCAAAATTTGTTATTATAATGTATTATATTGTTATTGTTACATTATGTTTATAATATTTATAACATTTTTAAATTTTTATAGTGCATGTTATGCGTTGAATGTTCAAAGTATATAATTAAGTTAATGTAATAATATTCATGGGTAAAAATATGGTGCAGCCGGGTACATACTTCTACCATGGGCATTATGGTATGCAAAGAGCAGCGGGGTTGTATGGTTCTTTGATAGTGGATTTGCCAAATGGACAAAAGGAACCATTCCATTATGATGGTGAGTTCAACCTTTTGTTGAGTGACTGGTGGCACAAAAGTACACATGAGCAAGAGGTTGGCCTCTCTTCCAAGCCATTCAAATGGATCAATGAACCTCAGGTAAATTAATTGAACAAAACAACCCACGTAGTGTGTGATTCTTTTCTTTGCTTCTTCAAGTCTTATAATGGATCAATAATAATGTATGTGAAAGGACACATCGTATGTCAGCTTTATGTACCATCTCCCTCATGTGATGTAAGAATAAAAATGGAAAATGGAATATTTTGAATGTATGGATACAATTTCATTGCGTATGTCCATCACCCGCAAGTGGGTATATGTTGGAATTCTGTGAATTTGGTACAAATCTTCCCAACATATTGTTCATTTTTCAACCAGATTTTTAACACTAATGTTTGTGGTAATTTTTATTTTATGAATGGCTACGTGTCTTTGATAAACAATTAGTGAAAACATTGTAAGATTAATGTTTGTGTTTTTTAAGAAGTGAAAATTAATTGGATGATAAATCCATTGCCAAATTGTCTTTTAGTCCCAGATTCTTATATGATGACATAAAGCTCTTTTTTTAAAACAATAATAAAATGCTTCAACAGTGTTTTGCTTCAAACAAATTCATTTGATGAAGTAATTATATGTATAATCCAAAGGTTCATCTTCTCACCTTGGAAACATTAACTTTACTTTTTCAGTCCTTGCTTATTAATGGAAGAGGACAATACAATTGTTCCATGGCAGCTAATCTTATCAAGAACACCACCTTGCCCCAATGCAATTTTAGAGGTGGTGAAGAATGTGCACCCGAGATTCTCCATGTCGATCCAAACAAGACCTACAGAATCAGAATTGCCAGTTCCACTTCCTTAGCATCTCTCAATTTGGCCATTGCGGTAAGTTTTCTATTATATATTTTGTTCCATCATAATATTTATTTAATGATATAAATCATGCATTACTACAATTTTACTTCAAAAGCACATACTAGATTGGTATTAAGGTAAGGAATTAAAGCTTAAGAAAAGGATTATGTTTAACCTAAGGACAAAGCAAACAATAACCACTTACAAAATAAAAAAAGAAGATTTTAACTTAATTTATTGGTATAATGATGCACATAAATACTTTTTTTTCATATTTTAGAATAAATAATTTACATGACTTTAAATTTTATCATACTTCATATTTAGAATAAACAATCCAGTTGCTTGAAGCTATAATTTGGCAATGATTGAGTCTTGAATACTAAATTTTATGTTTTGGTCGGATTTGGGGTCGTTTTCAAAGTTGATTGAATCTGATTTTCATAATAAAATTAATTATAAACTATAAACTTATTAGTACAACATATATATATATATATTAAAATAAATAATTTTTTTTGTACAAATTAAAAAAAAATAAAAGGGAAAATTAGGAAGATTATTGTGGAGATGGCAAAGCAGCAACCAAGATTGTTGTACAGATCTTGGCCTTTTCTGTTCTGTCCATCCGTAATCCCAGGCCCCACACTTATGGGCTCAGGCCTGTACGGATTCAATTCTCCCTTTGAAGATTGTTGTAAAATACCTCACTTTTTTTACAGAAAAAAAGGCCTCACTTTAATTAAAAATGTGACTATAATATATTTTATAAAGCTTAGATAATCTTCTTCTTATAAACTATTTTTTAAAATTGAGTTAAGATTAAATTTACGATATGAGAACTTATTTAATTTGAATGTTAGTTACTAATATGTATATCTAACCTATACACTTCACAAACTAGATATATAGTCCTGAACTCAGTAAATAGTTTACATCAATTAAAAATCTAGACATAATATTTTTTATAAAATTTAAATAAATTTCACCCTGTAAACTAATATTTATAAATGAGTTAAGTTCAGTTTTTTTTAATGATATTATAAAAAAAGATTTTATTATGTAACATATCAATAATATTTTCACATTTAATTTTTCTTATATTCTATTTTTATCCGTTCTTTTCTTTTTTATTAATATTACCTACCACATCTATTATTTTTTTTTTAATGTTTTACACTCAAATCACATTGCTTCATGAAGGATATAAAAGCTAAATTTTAATTATAAAAGATTTCGGTATTTCTAACATGCAAACCGAAATCTTTTGCAGTAAAAAGTATATTTCTCTAACGTCAGTTGGTGTAGAAATGAATATTGATGTGTACTTAGCATATTTTTTTGTTCTTATAGAATCACAAAATGGTAGTGGTGGAAGCTGATGGAAACTACGTGCAACCATTTACTGTAGACGATATCGACATATATTCTGGTGAGAGTTATTCAGTCCTTCTCAGAACAGATCAAGATCCGAAGAAAAACTATTGGATTTCAGTTGGTGTTAGAGGAAGAAAGCCCGACACATCACAAGCCTTAACCATACTCAACTACAAAACAATGTCTGCCTCAGTTTTTCCTACATCTCCACCCCCCATCACACCTCAATGGGATGATTATAGTCGTAGCAAAGCATTCACTGAGAAAATTCTTGCTTTGATGGGAACTCCACAACCTCCACTTCATTATGATCGTAGAATTTTCCTTCTCAACACACAAAACCTTGTTGATGGATACACTAAATGGGCCATTAACAATGTCTCCTTAACATTACCATCAACTCCTTACCTAGGCTCTATTAAGTTTAAACTAAATGGTGCCTTTGACCAAAAAAGTCCACCTGATAATTTCTCAGCAAATTATGATATCTTGAACCCTCCTGTGAATCCTAATTCAAATATTGGAAGTGGGGTGTACATGTTTCAGCTTAACCAAGTGGTTGATGTGATACTCCAAAATGCCAATGTATTAAAAGGGAAAAATAGTGAAATTCACCCTTGGCATTTGCATGGCCATGACTTTTGGGTTTTGGGGTATGGAGATGGAAAATTTCAACCGGGTGATGAGAAAAAATTCAATTTGAAAAACCCACCATTGAGAAATACTGCAGTGATTTTTCCTTATGGTTGGACTGCTTTAAGGTTTAAGGCTGATAATCCTGGAGTTTGGGCCTTCCATTGCCATATTGAACCTCATTTGCACATGGGAATGGGTGTGATTTTTGCTGAAGCTGTTCAAAATGTGAAGGCTATTCCTAGGGAAGCTCTTGCATGTGGCCTTACTCGGAAGATTTTCATGAGTAAGAAACACAATTGAAATTAGTAGCCACTTGTGTTTGCATTGAATTCATTGAATTTAGCTTTTTCTCATGCATGCCTTGTTACTCCCGTCAATTTGTTGGTGTTATTGTGTTATGTTTCCATTGACTACCTCGCATAGGGTAGTTATCTTTTCTCTGTTGCATTTATCCTTTGCAAATCTGTGTAATTCATAAACTTAAGAGAAATGCATGTGTGTAGATCAATGGAGTATCTTTGATATTATAAAAACATGTTAAATTTGTATGCCCATTGTAAGTGTTAAATTATGGCTTGTTATCCTATTAGTCTGCAATCGATTAGCATGGTTGGCATGCGGGGTAAAAAAAATGGCCAAGAAAAGAGTGAGTTAATAATAAGAGATTTAAGGAGTTTATATAATTAAGGTATGTTCAAGTGAAATGAAATAGAAAATGAAAATGACAATGATTTTTGAGAATATTGAACTATCATTTTGAACCAACTGAATGCATTAATATATAAAATATAGGTTTTGTGACAGTATCATAAGAATACTTATAAGAAATAAATAAATAAATCTTACTAAAGCTGTGTTAGTATATGACATTTTTTTTAATTCTTAACTATTTAGCCTTAAAAGTAGTTGTTAGTGTTTTCCATAAAACATTCCTAATGAATGAGCTTGACAGACATTCATGAAGACTTCTCAAGCAAACCAAATTTGGTATAGTTTCCATGACGAAAAATCATAAACTAACATTATCATTTGACTCACGAGTAATAAAAATGTCCATGTTATGGAAACCGCACCAATAATTTTGAGTTATATTATTTTTAATAACACCCAATAATTTTGAGTTATATTACAAAGCAATACAGTGTAACATTTACGTATTAATTAGATCATTAGCTGCATACTATGGTCAATAAAGATGATGCAGCGATAAACAATTTAACATAAACAAATTTCCAATCTCAATAAAATAGCAACAAGCCTTATTTCAGGTGCATGACTTAATATGCGTGTTGTGATTCTATTAAGAATCAAATTGTTTGTCTTGTATCAAAATTTCCAATCTTAATGATTTTCTAGCGAAAAATTTTCACCAGATTGAAAATTTTGAGCTGCCAATAAATTTTCAATCCTTGAATGACACTTTTATTTGGTCGCCTGAGCAATTATATTACTCAGTGAACTGACTTCCTCTTTAGCAGCTTCAACTAAATCCTCCTGCAACTCATACCATAAGTTCAGAATTTTGTGAAACACAATGTTACAGAATATGATTATTATAGAAATTGGAAGTGGAAGGGCTCTTTTGTAGTCATACCTGTGCACCTATCAGTCTCAGAGTTGCTCTCTTACTAGTCTCCTGCATTGCTCCAGCCAGCAAAATTTCATCCAATATAAAATATGCCTGATAGGATCAAGCTTAATTTTAATCATTCATACAAGACAAATAATGAAAGAATAAATGGTAGATTTTTTTTCCCATTACATCATTAGTGTTCTTAGTTATATAGGACTTTCAAGTTATATTAAAAAAACAGACATTATGATTGATCACAAAGTAGAGTGGAACCAACCTAAGAGGGATCCTCTGTCTTAGTTTAATTAAAAGTCTAATTTACCATGGAAGCTATACTGTTTAACATGACATTAGATTATAAGATTTGATTTCTAAGGGGATGCAAAAACAAGTCAAAATTTAAGTGTAGCATCTTGGAATTCTTTTGGCTTTATTCTCTAATCAAAATTTGAGTTTTATCTTCGTAATCTAGGATTAAATGGATAACACAGTTTTGTTCATCAAAATAAAGTCGAACTATGTGCATTATAACATTGAGATTTTATATTCAAGTTTAATAATAATAAGAGAGAATACAGTATGAAAGGAAATGATTTACCTTATGAAAATTAAAGATTAAATCCAGCTCACAAACCTGGCAAGATAAGTAGGAGAGAAACAAATTGAGGTTCTGATTTATGTGTACTAATTATTAAGAACTTGAAACAGTTTATGATACTCACACTGCCAAAATAGCGATCCAGTGTCTCAACATAGTGATGAATAATGGCAAGGGTCTCCAATTCATTGTCGTCTTGATCATTGCAGATGCAAAAGTAGAGGCTAGCATATCTTAACAACAACCAATACCATTAGAGTCAATTATTGTTCAATGTATTTTGCTAAGCATGCAACCGAGGCAAAATAACAAAGGGGACAGTCATGACCACCTTTTATAAACAACTTTGAAACCTTTCCACTCCACGAAGTTGCAGAGCTTTGGGGCTCGAGAGATAATTAGGCCACTTAACTCTCGAATTACCTTCCAAAATTTTATAAGAGGATAGCAAGAAGTAAAATCCGTGTTACAGAGGCAAGTAAATACTATTTTTTGTAATTTAAGTACTATGAGGCATTAACATAGATGAAGGGAAAACATGGTGACATAGCAGAAACTTTAATATAAGGATATGATCCAGTGCATATATTTAACAAATTCATGAATACACTAAACATTAACATTAAATATAAAAATATCAAGAAGTATATGAAATATGCCTAGTATGTGTTAGAAAAATACTCTGATTTGTTCAGTGTAAAAGACAATCAAACAAATGAAGTGCCAAATACAATAAAATATCTTTATACATGTATAAGGGTTTCTGCCTTATCAGAAGAATCATTGGTTTAGCTGGTTTGATAAATCTCATAACACAAATTCAATATCTTTTTTTATTCGAGTGTTTGGCTTGTTATCACCCCTATATATGTGTCTGCTGATTCCGGAGATTCAACATGCAATTTCAGCGATGAAGCAAAATTAAAGACTCACATTCAATGATTTGTGCAATTTCAATTACCAAGATCCTATAGATGGGGTTAAAATTAGACCCTTTATATTGTATATTTGAATTAGGGACAGATACCTTGGATCTTTCCTTTTGAGAGTATGGTGAATACCATTTCGTGAGCCTCACTTTTCCTTGTCGACTAATGAGAAGCACAAAGTGAATCTACAACCAAAAAGAATTATTATTTATTAGAGTCACTACATTTCATTTATAATTATAATATAGACTATGTATACACATGATCTATGACTACGAAACCAATCATATATATAATTCAAAATCAAATCCAAAGGGATGTGGAGGGAATTAAGCCAACGTCGACAACAAATTGTGACCTCAGCCACTACATAATGAGTTTAGGTTCATCAGAAGGAATCACAAAATTTTTTAGAACATGTAACATGGATATAATTAAAAAATGATGAAAGTGAGAAGGAAAAACATTTACCATTGATGATTGATATTGATGGGGTTTGAGAATAATACAATTAAAATTCTTTGAAGATTGATGTTTTACACTTTTCAGAAAGGGACAAAGTTATTCCGTTTTGTGATGCGTTACAAAGTTTAACTTTCTGGGTTCATTAGTTTCACACAAATTAAACTGTGTATCTGATTATTTTTTTTAATAAATAATTTTTCAAATATGGATTTGTTTTTCTTTTACTTATTAATATAAAATTGAGTTGTTACTTAGAAGAAGGACTCATGCCTAATCACTGTTTTTTTTGTATTTATAGCTTATTTAGTTCTAATTGTGTTATACTACTGAAAACACAATTATACAATCTTTGCATATTATAAGGTGATGATTGCAGCATCAAACATTATCTTATGAAATATCTAATGATGTTATTGACGTCTACTAAACTTGCCACCCAAATGGTTGGCCAGCACCATATGCTACCCACTCTTTTTATATCCTGTTTGATGCGTATTAGATAAATTAGTAGGTAATTATGTAAATTATTTATAATTATTAAAAAATATTAATCTTATCAATTACATGATACAATAAATTAATTTCACTTAAATACCTCCATTAAAAGTGCTAAAGTTATTAAAATTGTTAGTAGTTGGCAAAAGGTATTCATAATAAATAAGGATATTATTACAAAAACTAATTAAATATTGTAAAATAAAAAATAATTTGAATAAAATAAGACGTGTTTTTTGTTCTCAAACCTTTGTGCTTAAACACTCTTAGAGATTACTAATTAATATAACTACATGATCTGATTTAGTCCAAATGAAAGAAAAAGTGATATTTTTTAGGTCAAAATAAACTGATGTATATTATATGCTAAGGAGCTTAATGGGCCTTAATGATAAGCCCGATCCACTTAAATTCTTCGCATATTTTTAAAATTTTTTTTAAAAGATAAACTATTATAATTATGATTTTAATAACCAAACGTCATTAAAAAAAAAGGAAAAATTCACGTAGGCTTAAAAAATTTCATCTATGTGTCACTAATCAAATAAAAAAGTTACAAGTAAAATATAATAATAATTTTGTTATTATTATTATTATTATTATCAAATAAAAAATCAAATTTTCCTTTAAACAAAAATTAGGGAAATTTTTTTTTCTCTTTTTCTTGCTTCCATTGAATTCACTCTTTTCCCTTTGAATGGTTTCACAGTGTGTTCCACTAATGTCTCGTCACTCATCCACTCACTTATGCAGAGTATCGATGCTCTCTCTATGCTCTGTACACAGTATATTAAGTGCTCTTTCTTCGTAAATCATGTAATCGTTCACAAATTCAACGTAAATTACAAAATCGAAAAAAATAAAAAATAAGTAAATATCATAAAAATATTTTTAATTAAATCTTGAATTCAATTTTAAAATTAATCGAATTCAAATCGAATTTGTGTATCTATATATATTATAAAATTACAACACTTAGTTAATTTTAATAATTTTACTTTTAAATTTATAACTTTTAATTAGTTTTTATGGATATATTTGATCATTTTATTTATTTTAGATTAATTTAAGTGTATTCTTATACATCATATATTTTTTATATCAATTTTATGTTTTATATAAAAATAATATTTAATTAAAAATAGTGTAAAAATAAAAAAAATTGTTTATTATCTTCTAACTAAGTTTAAGATAAAATTATAAAGAATGGTTCATTTGATATGATCTAAATTACTTACAATCGGATTTCATTGAAGTTGAAAAATTATTTGAAACAGTCTAAAATTAAATCACAATATATTTTTATTATTGGATTGAATGATTACTTGCCTTAAAAATCAATCCAATCTTGTTCACAAACACCCCTAAATAGTTTTGGTCCATTATTGCCGACCAAAAAGAATTTTGGTCCTTAAAAACATAAATATAATTTAAAAAATTTAAGTTATTATGAAAAGAGATACAAATAACTTTTATACTTAATATCTTGGTGTACTTTTTTTAGTTTTTGACAGGTAGAATTGAAAATAATCTTTCACTTCAAAGAAATTAATCATAACATTAAACTTTTACAATGTTTTACATGACAACCTGATCAATAAACTCGTATATCCTATATTACACAGGTTAAAGTGTTTGACTTTTCATGTATCTGAAATTTGTATACCTTATTACTAATTAGGTCGAAACATGTTTTTGGAACAGTGGAAAAAACAGTAACAAAACCTGTTATTACAGGTAATTTGAGTGGTGAATGGATACACCAAAAAGGATTTTGGAGTATGTTAAAGGACCGTTTGTGTGTGTGTCCGTTTGTTTATGTGAGTGACTTCGTAATTGGTCAGGTGAACTTGTCAATATGAGCAACCTACGAGACACACACGGACCCCACACACAAACAAAACACAGAGAGAGAAACAGCAACTTCATTAATAATGTTCATACATAATATCACAATAAATTTATTATTAAATACTACTAATAACCGATTATTCCGAAGTTAGGATTGGATTAACCTAACCAATGTTATAAATATCTCTTGCACTTCCATTAGTCCTCAAATTCGGGATTTTATAACATTTTATTTATTTTATAACCCCGCCAATAATGAATGGCACCCCACTTCACATTCACCAAAGAGCACCACCCCAACTCAAACCCTTCTTCTAAAGCAATAATAAAACCAGGATAATGCTCCACACTCTGTCCCTTTTCTCACTCTCTTTCTTCTCACCTTCCTCTCTCCCTCTTTTCTCTTCTCCTCCTTCATTCTCTTTCTGTTGAAGCTCTAAAAAATTACCCTTCTTCTCCTCTTGTTGACCTGTGGTCTTAACACAAGACCCACTTCTGGATCTTCTGGTAAGGTTCCCTTGATGAAAAAAAAAAAATTGCCTTTTGTTACTTTTCAGTTTGCTATTGACAGCTGCTTGGTCAATAAAATTATGGGTTTTTCATTTTCTGGTAATTAAAATTGTGGGTTTTTGTTTTCTTTTTGTGTTGCTGTTTGTGTTGGTATTGGTTTCACTACACTGTTGATTTGTGAAGTTTTAATCTTTTATTAGTTTTCTAGTCTTCAGTTGAGTTTTTCTAATATGTTGTAAGCTTCTTGTTGCTGTTTATGGTCTCGTGGGGGTTTCAGTGATTGGTTTGGGCTTAGATCCTCTGTTCGTAGCTGGTTTGATTCGTTTCCTCATCTGTTTTGCTGATATCTTTTTTCTTTTTTTTGCATGAAACTTGTCGGTTGTCATCTGTTTGATGATGGGTTGATTAGCGATTCTTTTCTAAATTATTACTGAAGCATGCTTAGTGTATATGGTGCTTGTATTTTCATGTCTAGTAACTGTTTAAATGGATTATGTTTCAGATAATCCAGAATTTTGAGATTTCAATTAGTGATCTAATGCCCATGTACTTTAAAATTGACAAATACTCGTATTGTTTATTGATGAATACTTTAAAATTGACAACGTATCCGTAGATACAACATATTTGAATAGCCGTGCAACATCGGTGATCAGTCAATTTTTTGTTTTTTTTAATCCATGTGTTTTTCCGACCCGCCTTTTAGCCTATATCCAATATTGCTGGATGAGAATGAAAGAAGTATGTGCCTTTTAGCCTATATACAACATAGTTGATGATTGGAAAGTATTGTTTGATCTTTGCGCCGTCTCAATTGTTATCACTGTTTTTGGCTGTTTACAGGTGTAAAGGTCTTTAAAGTTTGAAGATTTGTTGAATTGAGTTGGTGTATAGTACAGAAGAGGGTGAAATTTGAAACCCGGAACATTACTTGCTTCATCTGAAGCTTATAGGCTGAACCCTCTTTTTTTTTTTTTTTTTTTTTTTTTTTTTTTTTTTTTTTGGAGATTTAGTCTATCGTTGGGTTGTTTTACCGTGGGAAAAGATGATGATGTTTGATGACATGGGTTTTTGTGGGGATTTTGATATGTTATGTGGTCCTGCCCTTGGGGAAGGGGATATTGCTGTCAGACCAACTGAACCAGATCCTGTAGTTGAAGATGATTACAGTGATGAAGAAATTGATGTGGATGAGCTTGAGAAGAGGATGTGGAGGGACAAAATGCGTCTCAAGCGATTGAAAGAACAAACCAAGGCTAAGGAAGGAATTGATGCGGCAAAGCAAAGGCAATCCCAAGAACAGGCAAGGAGGAAAAAGATGTCAAGAGCTCAAGATGGAATACTGAAGTACATGCTGAAAATGATGGAGGTTTGTAAGGCACAAGGGTTTGTCTATGGTATAATTCCTGAGAAAGGAAAACCGGTGACTGGAGCATCTGACAATCTTCGTGAATGGTGGAAGGATAAGGTTAGGTTTGATCGGAATGGTCCGGCTGCCATAGCCAAGTATCAAGCAGATAATGCAATTCCAGGAAAGAACGATGGATGCAATTCCATTGGTCCAACTCCACACACCTTGCAAGAGCTACAGGATACAACCTTGGGTTCTCTCTTGTCAGCACTTATGCAGCACTGTGATCCTCCTCAGAGAAGGTTCCCATTAGAGAAGGGTGTTCCTCCACCATGGTGGCCCACTGGGAAAGAAGAATGGTGGCCTCAAATTGGTTTACCTAAAGATCAAGGTCCTCCACCATACAAGAAACCTCATGATCTAAAGAAGGCATGGAAGGTTGGTGTTCTCACTGCAGTTATCAAGCATATGTCTCCTGATATTGCCAAGATTCGCAAGCTCGTGAGGCAGTCCAAATGCCTTCAAGATAAAATGACAGCCAAGGAAAGTGCAACCTGGCTTGCCATCATCAATCAAGAAGAAGCTTTGGCTCGAGAGCTTTATCCCGATTATTGCCCTCCATTATCATCTGGTGGAGGTAGTGGCTCCTTGGTCATCAATGATTGCAGCGAGTATGATGTTGAAGGGGCAGAGGACGAGCCAAACTTTGATGTGGAGGACCGGAAACCTGAGAATCTTCATCCATCCAATCTTGGGATGGAGAGAATGAGGGGAAGGATGCCAATTCAGCAACCTTCTCATCCAATCAAGGGAGGGGTTGTCACAAACTTGGATTTCATTCGGAAGAGGAAGATTTCTAGTGACTTCAACATGGTGATGGATCAGAAAATCTACACTTGTGAACATCCTCAGTGCCCTTACAGTGAGGTTCGCCTTGGTTTTCAAGACAGGTCTTCTAGGGACAATCATCAATTGAATTGTCCATATAGAAACAATTCTGCAGATTATGGTGGTCCTAATTTCCATGCTAATGAGGTTAAGCCAGTTATATTCCCTCAGTCCTTTGTTCAACCCAATACTACAACTCAGTCTGCAAGTCTTGTTCAACCTTCATTTGATCTAACCGGCCTTGGAGTTCCAGAGGATGGCCAGAAAATCATTGGTGACCTAATGTCAATCTATGATACAAATGTTCTAGCAAACAAGAATGGAAGCTCCACTAATTGTGTACCTATAGAAAGTCAAAACCTTTCTCAGCACAACATTCAGCAACAACAAGACAACTTTTTCCCTGGCCAAGGAATGGTGATGGAAGGAAACTTCTTTCCACGAGAGGAAGGTCAATTTGACCGGTTCAAGGCCATGAACTCTCCTTATGATACCAGCCACAACAACAATAATATCCATTTGATGTTTGGTTCACCTTGTGATTTGGCATCCTTTGATTTCAAGGAGGACATACAAGGAGTAGGGATGGATACCCTTCACAAACAGCAAGATGTTTCAATTTGGTACCAGTGAAAATGACAAGTGCAAAGTCGTGTACCAATGACTTCTTATTGTGTCATTATTAAAAGGGGTGCCCTCATCATGTGAAACTCCCTTGACTCAAAGGCAGTAACTGCATTTTTCTTCACATGTAATCGTTTAGGTCTATAGATATTTTATTATGCTTGGCAAGTCTGGTCTGGTGGTATATTATGGGTTAATAAATCATGGATGTTCCCTAATGTAACCAACCCCTGTTGTGTGTTTTTATATGTTAGCCCTATGTTGTTATTTAATACAGATACTATATGTACTATTGTGATATAAATAAATATTTTTATTCCCTCATGAGTTGTAGTTCCACTATACATTCATGGTTAAGGAATCTGAATATGTGGCCTTGTTATTATGGGAAATTTGGTTTGGTAGATGATGGGAAGAGAGAGGTTTGCCTTCTCATATGCCATGCTTATCTTTTTCCATATAAAATGGACCCCATTTGGCAGATGCCAATTTACATACATATTCAATTGCGTGATCAACTTGTGTGTATGGGTAATGGCATAGTGTTGTGGGGTCTTTTCAAGGGACACGTTGCCTTTGTCTTTTTGTAGTCGACAGTCAAATCTTTAGGCGTGCTTTGTAATTGTTCATCTTTAGTCTTCATTGAAAGTGAAATTGCCTATTCATGAGACGAGCAAAAGGGGCATTATCACTTTTGATAGTGTTAGGCGGCTAAACTTGCACTCAGTTTTTCTATTTTTGTGCTTAGTTTATGCCCATTAAAATGTTAATATTTTGCATAGTAACTTCATTTCTTACATTTTTGAGACATGAACTGCTAATTATCCATTTAGAATGGCATAGTTGTCATCAAAGTCAGTGAAGTAAAGAAATTGTTTGAAACGGTGGTAAATTAATATCGCTACGTGTTGAAAACTTCCGAGTGCAAATCCACCCAAGTGTATGGCTAATTATATGGTTTTGTCGAGTTCTTTTTTTGTATGTATCCAAAACTTGATTGTTGTTGTTATTTATAATGGTGGTAAAGTTCATGTTTATTAATGTGAATTTTTTTTAAAAAATTTAATTAAAAATTTATTAATTCAAATATAAACAAGGACAAACTGCAAATACGACGATAAATGGTGATTAATTTCTCTTTAATTATGTTAACATTTTAGAATTTATACAAGTTGACAAAAATTGAGATTACATTTATCAAATTAAAAACTAAAATTTTCTTTTCTTTTTTACTGAAAAATCTATACAGAATTCCAAAATAATCTTAATTTTGATGTTGGTTCTTCGAGTACAAAACATTCTTCTTAGATAGATAGGGCTATCACTTTTTGAGCTTCAACATCCTATAATGGAAAGAAAATATCCCTGAAGAAGCAGCATAGCTGACAAATGAACTTGCAGTGTTTCTTAGCATCTGTAACTGCAAGCACCTGCACACCCTGAAACATACTTCATCAATTTCCACAAGCAACAAATACCAACAATTAATCTTAAAACATGTACATGAATATGTTCAATAAATTAAAAATAACCTAAGAATAAAACTATGATTTTGCTAACACCAATTCTTAAAATTAATTTTAAGCAATTAAAAGTAAAAATTTTCATTAATAAAAAAATATAAAGGTTATAATAAAATTATTTCAAAAGCGATCTCAGCAAAATTGATAAAACTATAGTTCAAAGATGAAGAAGTATAATTCCATTTCTTGTGGGAGAGTTTGCTTAAATATAGCTAGAGAAGTAGTTGACTTAGTGGTATATCATGTTTCAAAATTAATGGTGAAAATTCAACTATAGATAAATAAATTCTGGCTAGAACATAACGATCTGAATCTGATGTAGCACCCTAAGGAAGAAAAGTGTAGAGTCCCCAGCCACTGCTTTTGCTTTGTTTTGCTTTGCCTTAAATATAAAGAAAGACAACGGCATAGCTGGCCATATGGCTTTCTATTGCTGTATCTGTGACTGTGTTACCCTTCTGAGCCACAATGGATAATAGCACCACAATTTTATGTGTGATATCTTATCTTTTCGAAAACACCAAAACGCATCAGTTTCTTGACTTCTCTCTTATTTCATTGGCTGCATGAGAAACAACTTGAACTTTATTTAATATGAAAAACAAAGTAAATATAGAATTTGATTGTTGTATTTTGACATATTATTTTTATTTTTAATGTGTATTTAAAAATAAGTCAAAAAATTTGTGTAGATGGGAATTAAATGCAAACAAAATTGAATTAATATGTAAGTAAAATGAACTTTTTATTAAGATCAAATTGTACACATCAATATTTTTGAGGATAATGGAGAAGATGAAGATGGTGCAGATAAAAGAAAGCAAACTTTCACTGGCCAAAAAGCTTTTTACACAATTATTGCAGCCACGTAGCGGAGTTTAACATGCAAGCTGAAGTGGGGTCGTCCTATTTTACCATATCTGCTTTTTTGCACACTGTGACAACAGCAACTTTCACTTGTCACATTGCAAATTAAGCTCTCATGCAGCCCACCTTTCCCAAAATGATAGCTCTCTAGCTAGTGGCAGCATCTCAACTTAAATTCGATCATAGATGTTGATAGCAACTCTATCAAATGCAAATCCATTCAATATGAAAAATAAATGTTTTTCTCTTTTGCCCTTTTAACCTTTTTAGTTACTCAGTGAGTGGAGTTCATCTTTTTCTTTTCACCTAAACTCTAATTGAAAAAATCTCAGCTGGGCATCAAAATATTATACTGAGATTCCAAAAGTGTCAAATATGTCAGTTTTTCTAGAGGGACTTCTTATCAACAACAGCAGTTGCTTCTAGATTGATTTCTTGGATTGACTAATAATACCAAAGTGAAAGGAGATAAAAGTTTAATAGTTTAAAAGGTTCCATTTGATTTTCATGTTCTCTTTAGTGAGATCTTGATTTAAGCATATGATAAGAGTTTAGAATCTTTTCAACTATCCATTGTTTTCTCACTTTAAACTGTACAAACCTTGCAAATTCACGCCACCAACTACCTAGTTTTTCTTAAGTTTTTAATTTCAAACCACAATTTAAGATCAAAGGAATTAAAAAAATAAATAATGTAACCTCTATTTCATAGCTGCACAAGATGCAACCCACCAACGCCACCGAAGGTAGACTAGTTTTTTCAATTATTCTATTGCAGCTGAAAGGTATCTTTAGTGGTAGCAAATAAAGAAGTTGAAAGAGAATTTTTGTTAAAAAAAAGTTGAAAAGATAGTTAGGTATATTAAACTATGAAAGAGAATAAAATAAAGAGGGAAAACGTAGCAGAATATTACTAGAAGCCCAAAATCAAGAATGGCTATGGTCTCAGATGTTGCAAATTTGAAATTAAGATGCCAACCTAGTTGGTCAAATAAACATATATTCTGCAGTATATTACGCGTAGAAACATACTCAATTTAATTATAGTATGATTTTTTCCCTTGATCTTGTGCATTCTATACGTATAATTTCAGATACCATAAAGTCAAAACTTGAACATTCAGTCACGTCTTCTTCATTAATTCATTATAAACTATATGGAATATTACCATCAATTTCTTGGTCAACAGTATACTACAGCAAACAGCATATTATAATTAGTGTCAAACAATTTTTTTTACATTAAATGATATAGAATATATATCGAATACGTAAAATTATTTTTAATTTATGATGTGGAGTTCAAATACAGATAAATATATATAATTATATTAAGAAAATAGATATATTTGTCATGCTTTTTTCCATAATATTGGAACCGACATGATTTTGCTAACACAGGTTATCTCTTCCCTGCAAGTTGCACAGCATCACCAAGAGAAACAAATCATGTTACAAAGCTAGAGTTATCAAAGAAGGATAAATAACATTTTGAAATTAAAGGGTAAAAAGAAATTCTGACATGTATTAATTGGATTAATTCCTCTAATGTTCTGATTTTTTCCCTACTGATGAACAATAATTCTTTTTTAACGAAAGGGAAAAATAAAAAAAAAAACTACATATAATTATTTATTTTTTAATTCAAAATTTAAAAATATATAAATGTAAAAATGAGAAGATTTACAAAAATTATATTTTTTATTCAATCTTTTTCTTTCTCTCTCCAATCAAACATGTGAAAGAACAACTATCATTTAGGAGAGAGAAAAAAATAATCAAGATCCACACCCAAAAACTTTCCAATTTAGAGAGAGAAAAAAAGTTGAAAGAGAAGAGACTATTTTTGCGTAAAGACAAAAGTGTTAGTTATTTTATTTTATTTTTATATGATATTCAAAAATTATAAAAATAAAAATATTCGAAAATAAAATTTTAGTATTTTTTTAGTGTAAGTATACAAATTTAGAGATAAAATAATAATAGAAAAAATTAAGTGTAAAGATTACTATTAATAATTTTAATAGTATAAAAAATTATTATTAACAAATTTTTTAAAAATTATAAAAAAATCGATAATGACAATTTTTGCATTCAAATCAACTAATACATAAAATATTTCATATTGCTGTAATTTTTTTAAAATATCATATTTTATTAATTTTTTTCATACAAAAATGTTTACAATTTTATTTATTTAATTTCTAATTTTATTAACTTCAGATTTAATGATTTATTTTTAATAATAATAAAGTTTTTTATATTTTCATAAAACATATGTTTTAATAAAATTTTAACGCTTTCGATAGTTAAAATTAGTTCTAAAAGTTAATATTAATATTTTTCATTAATTTATCATATTATAAGGATTTAAATATCATTTAATATAATTTTATTTTATTTCTCTTTCTTTACTTGTCTACTTACTAAGTAGAAATAGAAATTACATTTTTCTCTTTAATTTAAACAACTTAAAATTTATCCACTTTATTTTTTGTTCATCTAAATGAATCAACATGAAAAGAAAAGAAAAAAAATATGATGTTCTCATTTTACACCCCTCTTTATTGTTAACACATATGTAGAGGCGTAGAAGAGAAAGGAAAGGGTGTATGATGAAATAAGATGAGTGATATGAAAGTGAGATTTGGATGGTTAGGCACTTTAGTGATAGTAGTTGTGAGTACAGTTTATATTAATGATGGAATCCAATGTTCAATGATCTTTCTTGTGTGTGTGTGTGTGTGTGTGTGATGCATTCACTGATTGAGGAAAAGAAATGGCACCAACTGACACATTTTTATGGTATAGAGCGCCGTCTTGTTGAGGTTCCCCAGTCCCAACACTCTCAACCCCTCCATCAATTCTCTCTCTCTCCATTGGTTTATGGATAACCCTTGTTGAGTTTCCATGATTTTATACCAGTAAAGGTGATTTGGAACAAACTGAAGCTTTGTCATTGCTTTGAAAAGTTCAAATTTAAATTCATACACAATGTTACCATGTTTCTAAAAGTAAAGTAATTTTAATGATCACATGAATCAGTTAACATATTGTTCAAGCTTAGAGAGAACTTTTATCACTCACGGTGATATTCAATAGAACTACCTCTGCATGAGTTAAGCTGGAAAATGGTTCTTGAATGTGTAGTAGATAATGGAACTTTTGTTGCATCCTGTAGTGTGGCATGTTGTTGGGTTGCACCACAATACAGGAAACGAGGGTGTGAATTGTGATCTAATGCATGATGAAGGAGCATGGGCCAGATTTATTGCTTCATGTTCCAATTGTCGTCAAAGGAATGGGCCCTTAACTCATGTCATTATTAAAATATGTGCCTTGTGACTGTCATGGCCTGCATTGCCATTAAAGCAGCCTGGCCCAATTCTCACATGCACTTTCTCAAGTTCATTCTCAATCCAGGGTTTTCTTCTTCTCTAAATTTATTATAAATGTTAGTCACCATTTTTTTAAGGTATTTTTAATATATATTTAATAAAGTTTACTAATTTGTAAGTAAATGTGACCTGTATCGTAATTCTCAATTCACTGCAATATATTTTTTTAATTTCTCAAACAGAATTCTTAAACTATTGGTTATTTTTTATAATATTTTTTTAAATATAGTTTCATTGCCAGCTAGTTTGAGTTTATTTAAACAATGCAGAGTTATGTGAATTCTATTCTCAATTTAACGAGTGAATTTTGTAAATTTTAATTAATAATTGAAAGTATGTAAAAAGAAGTATGTTATTATAATGTAAAACTAATAATGTATAGCTGATTATTAATACCATCTGTCAAGTCTCTCAAATGGTTACCCATATGTACAGAAATCGGAAAATCTTGGATTTTTCAACGAATAATGAACAAGCAAATGGGTTTTACAGACACACTCCACATAAGGAGGGGATATGGGGTTGACTGGCACAGCTAACATTGGAATTTCCGTTGATGTTATAATCACTTCCAGATCCAAAGAACTAAGCTAAGTGTTGTTATTTGAGCATAAAGAATTTCCCTCAACCCCGAAAGATGGTAATTTTCAAATGATAATATAACAAATCATCTATAATCAGCAACAATAGTTTAGAAGCATAGAGTGTGACATTTGGAGGAAGACTTGTAATGCTTAATATGCCTAGTAAATTGATTGTTTTGCATGTCACTGATAGATTATAAACTCAAACTGAGTAAATGAGAGCAGTAAAATAAAGTAGCATCTAGGCAGAAGAATATACAAAACCATATCAAACACACATAAGAATACAAGAGACCTAAGTGAATATAAAGACCAATTGCATGTTGACAAACTATCAGACAATGCACCCCCTCAACCACCATATTTTCTGCATGAGAAAAAAAAAACACTTTGAAGTCCAGTTCTACCAAAATGTAGAAGCAACATTGCCACTATTTTTTGTTTGCAGTTGACCTGTAATAATCTTGAAAAATTATTATTGATTTTGTATAGAATGATTCGTAAAATTTAAAAAATAATAAAATATAGACTTAGAAATACAGCAAATTATGATTGTGATGGGCAGTTAATGATATTTGGTATATAGTACAGCTTGACACAGAAGAACAAAGGACCTAACAACTTACAATAGCTGAAGAAGAGGAAGACCAGAAAGGTAAGATGGGAGAGGTCTAGTAAGTTTGATGTTTGATGAATCATTGTAAACAACCCAAAGGTCAAACAATAAAATTATATATAGTCAATTTTATCATTGGTTTTATTTTAAAGTGCACTAAAAGATACATAATAAAAATAATAATAAATAGTAGTTTGCATTAAAAAAAAATAACACTTAATGTTATTGTGCTATTAAATTTTGTATTGTGATTCTTAATAAAAACATGAATAAAATTTAGGTGCAGTACGATAAATATTATCAGTGTTGTTCTCCAATTAAAGTTGAAGCTTCACTTCAACAAAAGTTGACATAAATAGTCACTAATAAATATTAAAGGTACTGCACTTAAGTTTTGTTTTTAAAAACATATTAATATTCTTAGATACACATTAAAAAATTATTTTATCGTATTCTAAATGAATTTCTCACGTACCCTTAACATGAAAAAAATGAGAATTCAAATTATTAAATGCAAGGTCAATAGAGAGATGGTTGATTGGTGCTTAGTTTGGTTATTGTGTTGATAAGATCATCATTCTGATTATGTAATTATTGATTGTTAAAGTGCCAATTTGATGCACAAACTCGTGTTAAGGGGCATTGATTCTTCAGTTTCGAATGTTGACCGAGTCCCTCTCTTATGGCATGTGTTGAGAATCTGTGTTTTAATTGTTGGACATAAAAAATTGCTGTCTTTCTATCCCTCTTCGTATCAATTTCAGGATGGCCAAAGTCACAAATATATCTAATAAAAATGCTTATAATTTTAAATAATATGTATATATCCTCCCTATGTAATTTTGGCAAACGAATTTCTATTTTTCTTTTTGTCTGTGTTCTGCCTTTCCCCATTCATCTACGTTTTTCTAATGTAGCCCATTAGAATACTTGTGATATAATTAGGAGTTACATTGAAAAAAGTGAAATAGTTTTTATAAAAATTAATATTTTAATTATAAATTGATATTTTATAGATATTATTTTAAAAATGAACGTTTTATTTTGTCCTTTTTACATTGGAAACCGTACTCAAGAAAAACAAAAATCATACATAAAAAAATAGAAGAAGTGAGATGTTAGCGTAGTAAATGGCAGCACGCGGTTTTGCATTGGGATGCTTGGGAAGATAAACAGAAAAAGAAAGATGTGGTTAAAAGTTTACCAAAGTCAAAGTGCAACTCAGCCATGTAATATAGTACTGTTGCTTTGTATCTGGGAACAACCAATGACGTTATCTTGAAAAGTCTATTTCACAAGTAGGATCAGAACCCTTTATATATGTACAAGTGTTAAGAAATATATTAAATATATTTTATTAAATATTCTAAATTATATAGAATATATTTGATATGCTTTTATAATTTTAAGATAATGAATATTTTTTTATTTTAAATTTATTAACATATACTTTTTGAACATATATTAAACGATCATATATATATATATATATATATATATATATATATAGAGAGAGAGAGAGAGAGAGAGAAATTCTCTTCCATGTTTTTGCTAATCATCATATGATAAAACAGCAACCTACCTACCATGTTGCTCAGTTATTGTCTGCCTTACAGAACTCTTCTTCTACCACTCTAGTCTGCTTCTACCCTTCTCTCAAAATCAAAACTTTCCCTTAATCATTTATTTTCCACACTGCATTCTACCACACCCACTTCCTCTCTCAGATTCATAACTTCCCCTGCTCAGAACCATTCTTTTTTAACATCATAAAATTAATGTGGTTCTGTTGCTCCTCTATTTGTTCTTCTACTCGTTTTGGCTAGCATTGCTGCTTCTGCTGTTACCAGTGTATCCTTCATTATTCAACAAGAGGTAATAATGAATGCTTTTTTTTTGGTGGGGGGGGGGGGGTTTGATTGTGCAGCATGAAGAGTAGGTTTATTGTTTAATAATTATAGCAATTATTGTTGATATTCTGGCTGCATTGTTAACATTTTGGCCTTAATCGGCATGTGCATTACATTATAGAATAGTATTATGTTCCATCTTCTGCCTTCAAATTTTTGTTGTGCATTTGCCCCTTTGCTCTCACTTTCAATGTGGTAAGTTCCTCATATAGTCATGTATATTTGTGTTGTTGATGCTTCGATTAGGAGCTACTAGGAAAGGTATGCAGGCTGTCTGGTTGATGCTATTGTTGATGGTGGCTATTGCATTGGGCAATTCAGATATTGATGCACTCCTTGAATTCAAGAAGAGTATTCAGAATGACCCTTCTGGATTAGTTGTTAATTCTTGGGATTCCAAGTCTTTAGATTCCACTGGATGTCCTCAGAACTGGTATGGAATATTGTGTAGTGAAGGCAATGTTATATCAATCACTCTGGATAATGCTGGTTTGGTTGGCGAGTTTAATTTTCTTGCTATTTTTGGCCTTACAATGCTTCGCAACTTGTCAATTGTGAACAACCAGTTCACAGGAAATCTCTTACATGTTGGTCCAACGGAATCACTTGAATTTCTTGATTTGTCCCTCAACAAGTTTAATGGCTCATTACTCTCTAATGTTGTTCAACTGCGTAGTTTAGTGTATCTGAATCTTTCTTCAAATGAATTTGGAGGTACTCTTCCTATTGGATTTTACAAACTTGAGCGGCTGAAGTATTTAGATTTGCACACTAATAACTTTTCTGGGGATATTATGCATATCTTTTCTCAGATGGGCAGTGTGCTATATGTTGACTTAAGCAACAACAGGTTTTCTGGTACACTGGATTTGGGACTTGGAGACGGATCCTTTCTCTCCTCAATTCAATATTTAAATATTAGCCACAATTCCTTGACTGGTGAGCCATTTGCTCATGATGGTATGCCGTACCTGGACAATTTAGAGGTCTTTGATGCTAGTAATAACCAATTAGAGGGTAATATACCTTCCTTCACGTTTGTGGTATCTCTAAGGATTCTTCGACTTGCATGCAACCAGTTGACTGGCTCACTTCCACAAGCCTTATTGAAAGAGAGTTCAATGATGTTGTCTGAACTGGATCTTAGTCAAAACAAGCTTGAAGGTACCTTACTTCTATGTTTTCTGTATAAATTGTTATCACATTGTTTCTTCAAAGTTAAAACATCCATTTTTTTTAATATAAATGTGTACCTAAACTCAAGATGCCATTGAACTATGCAACCAGCCATGCAACTGTTAGCAGACTTCTAGGTATTTGCATAAAAAATTTATGTGGTAACCTATATCTGCAATAAAGTTGCTTTCCTTGTTGTACAGTTTTTATATATTCATCCGTTAATCCTTATAGGGACTTTTTAGTTTTTTATACAGAAACATTATGGGAAGTGCTTTCAAAGTCTGTCCAAAAGTATGCTACATGTGACAAATGATCTCTTTGGTCCGCTTTGTACCCTTCGGCTCTCCTCCATTCTTCAGCACTTAACTTGTTCATCAATTTTAGTCATAATTGTATAAAATCATATTATATGGATTAAAAATTTGTTATTCAACTAGTTTCTACTTACCCTTTTCTTCCTTTACAATTTAAACTTTCTTTGTAGGTCCAATTGGAATTATTACCTCAGTAACTCTGAGGAAGCTTAATTTATCTTCAAACCAATTGTCTGGCCCCTTACCTCTCAGGGTAGGCCACTGTGCCAGCATAGATTTGAGTAATAACACTCTATCAGGCAATGTGTCAAGGATCCGGTATTGGGGTAACTATGTGGAAGTTGTTCAGCTTAGTACAAACTCATTGACAGGAATGCTGCCAAACGAAACATCTCAATTTTTAAGGTTAACTGCACTTAAGGTATCTGGTAACTCATTGGAGGGCTTTCTCCCACCAGTCCTGGGAACATATCCAGAACTAAAAGAGATTGATCTTAGCCTTAACCAGCTTTCTGGGTTCGTCCTACCAAGCTTTTTTACCTCAACCAAATTGACTAATCTTAATCTCTCAAACAATAAATTTTCTGGATCAATTCCTTTTCAGTTTGAACCACCAAATGGTCCATTAGTTTCTGCTGAAAATTTTAGTCTGGTGTTTCTTGATCTTTCACACAACAACTTGAGTGGGATTCTTCCTTCAAATATGAGTAAGCTTCACAATTTGGCATATCTCAATCTATGCAGCAACAAATTGGAAGGTAATATTCCTGGTGACCTTCCGCATGAGTTGAGAGTATTCAATGTGTCCTTTAATAATTTTTCTGGTGTTGTACCAGAAAATTTAATGCAGTTTCCTGAATCAGCATTTCATCCAGGAAATATGATGCTGACATTTCCACATTCGCAATCATTACCTAAAGATACTTCCAACCTAGGTTTGAGGGAACATCGGTCACACGAAAAATCCACAACTAGGAATGTCTTGATTGCATGTTTGGTTACTGGTGCTATTGTGATGACTTTTGTTGGTATAATAATTTTTAATAGGGTTCATCACAAAAAAGAAAGGACTTCTAAACAAAATGGCACAAAAGGCATAACCCAAGAGCGTACTTTCGCATCAAATATAGAGGCACCTTATAGAAATTTGGCAGCATTACCACCTTCTCAAAGGGGGTCTGCTGATGATGCAAGAAACATTCATCCAATGGAAAAGAAGCCGACAGATCTTGGCCATGATGACTTAATTAAGTATGAGGAAGCAATGTCTTCTCCAATGTCAATTTTGACACCTTCAAATCCGTCATCTTCTAAAAGCCATCAGTTTGAGTATGCTGGTTCCCTCAAAGTATCCTCCCCGGACAAACTGGTAGGAGATTTGCACCTATTTGATGGATCCTTGGTGCTAACTGCGGAAGAACTTTCATGTGCTCCAGCAGAAGTTATTGGCAGGAGCTGTCATGGAACACTCTACAAAGCAACACTTGACTCTGGTCATGCTTTGGCTGTCAAATGGTTAAGAGAAGGAATCACTAAAGGGAAAAAAGAGTTGGCAAGGGAAGTAAAGAAACTTGGGACTATCAAGCATCCAAACCTGGTTCCTATTCAGGGTTACTACCTAGGGCCAAAGGAACATGAGAAACTGATTATATCAAACTACATGAATGCACAATCTTTGGACATTTATCTCCACGGTAAGATTATTGCTTCATGTTTGATTGCAGCACAAAACCTAGCTTTTTGGTTGTGATACTTCTGATGATATTATTGGATGTGAAGAGTGATTTACCACATAGAATTTGATTTCTCTACTTTAGAATATATGAAGCTCTTTCAAGATGTTGGATAATTATGAAATTTCAAGTTTATTCTGTAACTTGGACTATTGTAGAGATATTATTCTTTTTTCTTGAACATTTAGTTTGAAGTAGATCTTTGATTTGAATTTTATGCATGGCCTAAACTTATCATGCCAAATATATATGCAATCTTCACAATTTTTACTTGCTGAAACTCTATTGTAAAACATGTTTTACTTTTAGAGTCAATTTGTTTAAAACTGATAATGGCATGGTCTCTCAACAAGTTAGAACTCAATTATGTTGAAATGCAGGACGAAATTTTGCAACACTCTAATGAGCTAAATTTTAAAGCTTTGTTAAACTTTACATATAGATTGGAAATTTCAACTGCATGGAGCGACTCTTATTTGTTTCCATTTTTATTCCCTCTGTAGAGGCAGATAAGAGAAATCTCCATCCTTTATCACTTGATGAAAGGCTGAGGGTGGCCATGGAGGTGGCGCGATGTCTGCATTACCTACATGATGAGAAAGCCATACCTCATGGCAATCTCAAATCCACAAATATTCTGCTACAAACTTCCAACAGGAATGTCCTCCTCACTGACTACAGCCTGCACAGGATACTCACTGCTGCAGGCACTGCTGAGCAAGTTCTGAATGCTGGTGCACTCGGTTATCGCCCTCCTGAGTTTGCTAGATCAAACAAACCGTGCCCTTCCTTGACAAGTGATGTCTATGCATTTGGAGTAGTCTTGTTGGAGCTCCTAACAGGAAGAAATTCTGGAGAAATAGTTTCTGGAATTCCTGGGGTGGTTGATCTCACTGATTGGGTGAGGTTCTTAGCTGAACAAGATCGTTCTAGCCAATGCTTTGATAGGACTCTAATGGACAAGCACATTGGAGAAAGACCATGTAGAATTCTTGATGAAATGCTGAAGGTGGCTCTTAGATGCATTCTTCCAGCATCTGATAGGCCTGACATCAAAACTGTCTTTGATGATCTTTCAACAATAAGGTAGCATTGCTGATTATATCATCATTAGCCTTAGCCACTAACATAATTTTTATATATAGTTTATTTTCCTTTTTCATGTTACTTTTCTAGTTTGTTAAATATTGGCCCCTTCATGATATGACAGCTCTCCAAAGGCTTTATAACAAATGAGGATAAGAAATGAGATTCTTTATCAAAGGAAATTCATTCTTTTCAACCCTTAAATGGGTACGTTGTATATTGTTGAATTTTGCAGTATTGTTCTTTGTAATAGTTGATATTTGCTAGACATTAATCAACCTCTTTGCCATCACAGGTACATATGTTTTGTAATTGATTCATTTATACGGGTTGGTACTTGTATATTGTGTTTGGATTGGGAGAAATAAAGGGAAGAAAATAAAAGGGAGATACAATTCAAATATCAAAATTTCATTTTTTTTATACCCCAAACGTATTCAAGAATAAAAAGTAAAAAATCTCAACAATGGTGTGTTTTAGATTTTTATAATAATCTTTTATGACAAAAAATAAAATAATAGACCTACTTTTTAACATGAAAATATAAAAGTACTTAATACAATACTTGTAAACTTGAAAGAATATTATTTTATACTATGACATTTATAATTTTTCCAATATTTTATATTTTTTAAATAAACTATTAATTTTTATTATTTACTATACATATTTAATATAAAATCAATAGTGATACAGGTAAAAAAACATAAAATAATTTCTTAATATTCAAGATAGATACAACAGAAGTTTCCAAATATAAATGACAAAAAATACAAATACACACGTGTCAATTATATTGAAAACTTTAACATTGATATATATGGTTATGCTTTAAGAAAAAAATAATGATTTTAATTATTTAACAAATTTGTAACAATGAATTCCTACTAATAGAAATTTTGGATAATAAATAATTTTGTGCTGAGAATAAAAAGGGTAAAAAGTTTACAGTTTATTAGTTAAGTCTAATTTTTAAATTAGGATATTTTTTATATATTTTATTTAATTCTTCACACTCTCTTTTACATATTAAAATAAGTGAATAAAAATATTTCTACTTCCCTTCCTATTTTTATCTATTCAAGTAATATACTCTTTTTGCTTTTGTTTTACTTCTTCTATTTCTTTTTCTCTTATTTAACGTAAAATTTAGCATATGAGTGCTTAAAATAACATTTTAATTAAATTACCAGTATTTTAAAACGGATAATACTACTAAGCATTCTTAAGGTAGTGGTTAAAATAATAAAAATGAAAAGCTCTTATGTGTAAGTGTTACCAATTTACTTTGTCAGGAATAGTAAATTTATTATAACTTTAATAAAAAAATATTATTTTTTTAACCAATATCCTTGATACACTCATTATTAATAACACCTTTTAATTTTCTTTAAAACAATGAAATTTATTTTAAATATTACTACCTTAGTACCTTTTTCATTCCTTTTTTACCTTTTAACAAATGCATGTTATGACAATTTGATTATGGGTTTGCTAACCAGTCCTTAAGATTAAAGAATATTTTTTTAGAAATTACGTTAAAAATGTAGTGAAAATAATAAAAACAGTATATAACTTTAAATTTCTGAATAAATATCTTTAAAATATTAATTGATATTTTCTTTAAAATAAAACAAAATACTAAATTTACTAACCTAATATGGACGTTATAGCAATACCTAATCCCCAACACATATTATAGCCCTTTTTTTTTTATTATTTATACTTTAAAATTAAATACTATATTTACTCTTTTTTTAAATTTACTTCAATGTCATTTTAAAACAGGCATTGATTCATTTTAAAAATTTTAATATAAATAAATTTAAAACTAAATAACAAATAATAATAAACAATTAATGCATTTTTTGGCTGAAACTTGAGTTGTTTTTTTCTTTTATTTAAAGCTTTTAAGTTCATCCTCTACTTCATGTGGCAGCCGGCAAGGTGTTGGATGATTCTCCACAATGGTGTGTTTGATTTCTTCATTTTCAAATGAATGGCAAGTCTTTGATTCGTTCAAGGCTTGTTTGTTTGTGCTTTTTTAAGTATTTCTTTAATTAAAAATATTTTTTAATTTAATATTTTATTTACAAATAAAAATCAATTTGAATAATACCATATCATTTAAATTTTTCGTTTATTATATTTTTCAGTAGTACATGTAAGATTTGAAAATTAAAGTATTCTCAGTCCCTATTGTTTTAGTTGTTATAAAAAAATATGACTTAGTTTATTTAATATATAAAAGATCCTAGCTAGAAGGCATATCATATATATGTTTTTTATTTTTATCTAAGCATTTATAATAAATAAAATTTCATTTATAACAAAATGCATAAAAGTAAACGTTATTAATTTTTTAGCATACAAGAAACCTCTATATTAATATTCGTTTGATATACAATAACAATTAAAAGTAAGAAAGTTTTTAATATATACTTAAGTTTCAAATAAATCATAAAATCTTATTTAAAAGAATAATTATTATATAGATTCATCAATTTATATGCATTTTAGTATTTTTTTTAAAAATTATGCTATTTCAAAATATATATTTTTTCTAAATATAATTATCTGCTTTAGCATATATTTAAAAATATAATTTTTGCATTAAACATTTACTGATTTCTTTCTAGTTTAGTAATAGCTTTTTATTAAATTTCTTTAATATTAAATTGCATACATCTAATGAATTTGTTATAACTATTAATAAATATATCATTTAACATTAGTATACAGTAAATTTTATTTACCCATATAGATAATATATGTTGATTGTTTTCATTAAATAAAAATGAAAAATTTAAAACGTATAAAGTTATTTATTTCATCAATAAATATTGGTAAGTAATTGAAAGATAAATTTTTTATGCATCAATTAAAAATACAACTTTAATAAATAACATTCTAAAAAGAAATTTTGCATAATATTTAATCTAAATAAATAAAAAGAAGAACAAAAGCGTGTATGGCAAAGCGCCAACTAATTGGCAGACAAAATGAATCGGCAACTCTCTTTCCGTGTGCTTACTTGAAAAATGCAAATCCAAATGCAAATTCAAATGCAAATTCAAATGCAAATTCAAATGCAAATTCAAATGCAAATTCAAATGCAAGGTTTTAACGTAACTCGAATTTGAAAAAGAGTGGGTCCCACACTGAACTGTATTATAAATTGCTCACTCGCATTTTAAGAACTGGAAAACCTCTTAATTCCATTTATACCCCTAAGACGTGTCAGATATTACATTTCACGCGCAAACCCTTTGCTTCTTATAGCCCCTCACTCTTCTTCCTCTCCTTTCATCTTTTTATTTCAATTTCCATTTCCATTTCTTGCTTCACTCGTCACTCACTCACTCAATGGCCGACCGAGTTCACCCCCGCGACTCGCCCCCTGTTTCCGGAGAAGCACCGACGGTGTCGTCTCAGGAGGATGCCGTCGTTCCAAAGCCACCGCCTCCGCCACCCTCGGAGAAGCCCGTTCCTCCGCCGGGAACTTACGTCATCCAGATTCCCAAAGACCAAGTCTACCGCGTCCCTCCGCCCGAGAATGCCCGCCGCTACGATCAATACACTCGCCGGAAACACCGTCGGTGCCGCTGCTGCTGCTGCTTCTGCTGGTTCATCGGATTGATCTTCATTCTTGTCGTGCTCCTCGGTATCGCCGCCGGGGTCCTCTACCTCGTTTTCCGTCCTGAGGCGCCGCACTACACCATCAATCAAATCGCTATCAGAGGAATTAACTTGACTTCGCCGTCGTCTACTGCAGCGATCTTGCCGGAGTTCGACGTCACCGTTAAGGCCGACAACCCTAACGACAAGATCGGAATACATTACGAGACGGATAGTTCAGCTGAAATCTTCTATAACGACGCGAGGCTGTGTAACGGCGCTCTGCCGGCGTTTTACCAGCCGTCAAATAACGTGACGGTGTTTACGACGGTGTTAAGGGGGAACGGAATCGAGCTGAGAAATGAGGATCAAAAGGCCTTGCTGCAGGCGCAGACCAAACGCGAAGTGCCGTTGACCGTTAGGCTGAGGGCGCCTGTGAAAATAAAAGTGGGGTTGGTTAAGACGTGGAAGATTACCGTTAAGGTGGACTGTGATGTAACGGTGAATGAGCTAACGGCGCAGGCCAAGATTGTTTCAAAGCATTGTAATTACAAAGTGGATCTTTGGTGATGAAACTGTATACAAAATTGTGTGTTTTATTGTAGAGATAGGAAGGAACCCTTTTAAAAGATTATAATACATTGTTTTTATTTAATACATAGTGTAGTGATATTTGCAGATATTATATACATTTTTCGTATACATCATGGTAGCACATCCATGTTATATGTTTATTTAGTATTGTTTTTCAGAAATTCTTGAAACTGTGATCTATGATACCACAACTCTTTAGAATATCGGGTTAGTTATCTATAGTAAATAACAAAATTGTTTCCTTAAAAGATTATTAATTGTAGTTTAGTCTGACGAAAATTTAAATTTAGTCGCTTATTACCAAAGTTTAAATTTTATTAAAAATGTGCATCCTTCCAAAACCCAACTCAAGTGGTTATTTCTAAAGAAATCTGGATATTTACTGTCTTTTTCAGTCCCATTTTATGTCTAGTTTCTATCGAATATGACTATAAAATTTGAGATTATCATTTATCGATTCATATTTTATATAAAATCCATAATTAGTACTAGTTAATGTGATTGTATATAACCAAAGTCAAATTATCAGAGTTTCTTATTTGTTTTTACTTAGTAGATATTGTTACTTGGTCAAGATCAATAACTGGGGGGAAAGGTCTACTATTTGCCTAATCAAATCAACTAGTGGGATTTATATGAATAAACATATGTTTGCTTATACTTAGAAGGAAGCTATTGTACCTAATCGACACACCCCTTCTAATTCAATGCCCCATATAAGTGGTTTGTTTCTATATAACGTTAAAAATTAGCTGTTATATCTCAGCGTTTAATGCTTCCATATTGTCATTGTATTAAGCTGAAAATAAAAAGTCACTGCAAGGTGCAAAGTTTTTTTCACAATGGCGTGTAGAATTAATTGCACATTTTGCAGAAGTCAAAGCTAATTCGAACTTTTAGATGGAATAGGCTATGTTTCTTCTTTTCATGTATGGATAAGAATTTATCCCTTTTTTTTCTTTCTTACCATTAGATGAGAATCCTTCTTAATTGTACCTAAACAGAAGAAATTTGGGCAATACATCAATCAACATTGCACTTGTAATGTTTGATGTTAATTAAGGATCATTGTTAATCAAGACTAGACTAGACCCTTTATTCACCGCCATATTCATTTTCTAAAAGTACCATTGACTATGCAAATCTCTCATCATTGTTTTAATATAAATCTCTCTTAGAGAAAAGTAAACAAGGTTAAGACATTTTCTTGCTCTAGAAAAATATTAAGGATAAATAAAAAATGGAAATAGATTGTTTTATTGCATTTGAATTTTACATTTGTTAAGTATACATTTGAGAAAGGTAATTATTTTTTTTTCTTTTGAAAAATAAAGACAAAAAGTTTCCTCCACAATAATGATGATGATAGATATCAAACATTGAGCACCATTACTTTTATGTTCATCTCTTGTAAATTTTATTTTGAATAATATAGTAAATTAATCTATAAAATTATAAATATTGATGAATTTATCCTTTAATATCGCAGAAATGTGATTTTAGTTCTTCAAATTATTACATAATAACTATATTTCAGTCTTTAAAATTATAAAAATAAGGATTAAAACAACCCTCATTACGTAACTGATGCCTGTAGGTTTAATTCAGTATATTTCACTTTTTAACAATTTCTTGCATGATGAAAACTTTCTTTTACTACTTTAAGTTTTCAAGAATTTTGCTGTGGAAAATTAAACAAAAGGAGGTGAAGTCTGTGATACATATAAACTTTTAAAATAATTATACTTTTATACTTTTTAATGGAATGTGAAATGAGTATAAAAAAGAAAGACATGGAAAGAAAGTAAAATAATAAAGAAAGGTACAAAAACATGTTCAACTATAATAACTTTAAATTTTACATATATGTATATGCATGTATGTAACAAATACGAACTAAAAAGAAAGAAAGACAACGACATAATCGAACCTTATTTTAATGGGTCAAAGCATAAAGAAGGGAAAATGTCCTTATGAGAAAATTGGCCGTAAAAAGATTAAAAAAAAAAATATGGACCCAAACTAACGTTTACAAATGAGGGGCAAATATTTATAGTTTCAACCTAAATAATTAATAATTAATACGATAGAGAATGATGCCATTAGCTTTAAAAAGGGGCTTCTAATACCATCAAAGAAAATTAGATAGTATATAATATGATTAAAATATAATAAACTCATGATTTTCGATTAAGAAGAAGCAATTAGTAGGAGCGATCATGATCATGGATTCAATCCAATTCATAAACCCTTTATAGTTAATTTTATGTTATTCATTTTTTATAAATTAAAACTATAAATATATATCAAATTGACCTAAGTTATTCCAGTTGATTCAAGTGGGGTTAATAAAAAGTAACAAATTAATCCAATCTAACTTAAGTAAATTAATTAATTCGAATTTCATTATTGACTAAACTTGCCTCAATGGCCTTAAACAGCCATAGAAATTAGTTTCAAACAATGACTAAAACAACTAGTCCACAAAGCTCTAATTACATCCAAAGTCACAATCCATCTACAATCACTTTAAGTAATGTCAATTATATAAAGACACACAGGCTGTAATTCTTTTAATATTTGTTAAATTTTGTGCCTAAAAAGAAGATTTAAGTCTTGAGAGTTGTCAGGGAAATAAAAAATTATAAACAACAGCTCTTAATCCTTTACCAACCAACTTTTCTTTTAGACCATATATAATTTTTACAGAATGGATAAAAAAAATATTTGTAATATAGTGGGACTAATTTTTTTTATACTCAAAATTTGAATTTGAATCCTTAAAAGGATTTAATATTATTAATGCATTAAAACTTGTGAATTTTAATAAAAATTTTGTTATATATAAATTCTTATTTTATGTCATTAAACACCCATTGTAAAATCATTTATTACGATTTTTTTTTTGTGGTTATTTTAAAGTTGTGTAATTCTTTTAGTCAAACTCATTCAATTATGCACCCAAAAACAAAGAAAAAGATATATGGAAGTAACTTGAAGAGAAGGATGTTGCAATATGACATAACCACCTGCTATGAATATGACATAGATTAGGAGAAGTTGCTGTAATTTCCCTTATTAAAGGTTGCTGCTTTTGTAAGATGCATTACAATTAGTCAATTGAGACTAAGGTTAATATGATAATGATGCATCATTAGTAAAAGAACAAGTGGAAATTGTAGAAACAAGGAAAGGGAAGGCTTAGGTAAAAAAATGTAAAAAACAAGAAACTCTATCTTATTTGGCTAAACCTAAGATTATCTTAATTTATCTTATTACAATCACACATTCACATTCAAACTGCATTTTTTTCAAATTAATCAGAGTTGTAACACTATGCATCCGAGACAAAATGTTGATTTGCATAAATACACATACATGCAAGTTGTCCAAATGAAAATGCTGAAAATCAATGAGGTTACTAACCCCGGGAGTGTACTAGTCAAGATGACCTACTATAAGGGCTATTAGTCATTTAAGTTTTCCTTCCTAAAATTCCAATTAACATTATTAACCTATAATTACGTACTCATAAGATAAATTAAAAAATAACATAAGCAAAGAAAAATGAAAAATGACAAGGTGTTCCATTAACCCTTTGCTTGCAAAAATTTACACCCAAATTTCTTCATCATCAGAACCTGGTACTTCAGCTCCCTAAGGGATTGTTTGGTTTTAGAACTGTTTTTGTTTTTACTTTTAATTATAAAATTGTCACTTTATTTGCATTATGTTTTCTATTTTCAAAAATTACTTACAGGAAACAGAGAAAACTAAAAATATAACAGAAACAATGTGACATTTTTATAATTAGAAATAAAAAAGTTTCCTGAAATCAAACAACCCCTTATATTCTTAAAAGGACTAAATTAACAAATAAGTATGACAATCAGTAATGACTTTATTACATCCTATCATGTACAAATGCTCCATCTAATGGACTAGTGTGCTCAACAAAAAGATATAACTCTGCAACTCCACAATGTTTCATGCAATTCTTCTCTTATTCTTTTGGATGTTTATTTTCAGCCTAAACCACTGGAGGTTGTGACTATGAGTCTATGATGGATCTTAAGACTCAGAATTCTAATGACCATCTTAAGATCGAGGATTCAAATGACCATTTTGAGACTGAGAATTCAGTCTATGGTAATTTTTCTTAGCATCCTGAATGACTTGTCTAAGTTCTGTGTACATTTTGACAGAACAACTAGACAAAACATTTAATTGACGAAGAAATCGAATCAAGCTTTCTCGAAATCTATCAAAACCTGAAATCCAGTCCTCTGAGATGTCATCTCTCAATAAACCATCTGCTGATTCACCACCAATATCAGGCTTCCACATTGACATAGGAGGATGAGCACCTTTTTCTTGGTTCTTGTCTTGGCGTGGTAAGAACCGAGCGGTATCAGCCGCTAAACTCTTCATAGAATCCACAACATCCTTTACAGGTAATGTACTAAGATTTTTCAACCAGAACTCACAGGTGGCATATATTGGAGGGCCACAATGTCTAAGTTCAGTTTGTGGTCTCCTTTTTCTCTTAGATGATTTTTGTTGGAGATGAACACATTTGTGAAGCCATCCATTTATAGCCTCCAGATAGGATTTCTGAGCTTCAATCCACTTGGTAAAGCTTGATGAAAGAGAGTGCAGTTCATTTTCAAGATAGGCAGTAATCTGCCGACGTAATTCAGAATGCATGGAGATTCTAGCATGGCTATCATTATATGCCGCTGACATGATCTGAAATTGATGTCTGTGACAATCATACATCACTTCCCACATTCGATTCAACCTGCCATCAAAGTATAACAGAATCAGATGAAATACAAAAGCAAGAACCTCATACTAATCAACCCCAACTAAAGTTATGGACACGTGTGAATTGTACATCTCAATGATAGAAAAACATAAGTTGTTCACTGATCCAAATTCAATAACTGGCATCCAATTTTAATCATACATCTCAAAAAAACTAGTAATCTTGAATAATCAATTACTAAAAGTTAAAACTTAACACTAAAACTTGGAAAACTGACAATTGTATTTAACTATAAGCTTATTTCCAATTTAGACAAGGTTTTTAATGTTGACAATCTTTTGGCAGAAAACCTCCATAAGGTTTCAAGTGCAGAAAGTCCACTATAGGGAATCAATGTGCATAATTTGTTGAGTTCAAGGAGTTGTGTTAGCAAGTTTCAAAGTCCAAGGGAGTTTCTGTACACAACCCATTATGGGGTGCTACATTTCAGCATGAAATTAACACTGAACAAAACAAGCAAAACCTACAGAATCATACCCGTCAATCAACTCCTCAAGTTGTGGCTGAAGTTCTTTGTCCCGTAACTCCTCAATCCTCTTTGATATAGAGTCTATCCTGTGAATTGCAACTCTGATTCTTGAGTGCAGATCCTTGACTGTGGCACGAGTTTTATCAACTGCTGAGGTCTTTTGTTCTTTTGATTCCAGTTGCCTTAAGATTTTACACTTCATGTCATATTCCTTTCTGACAATCTCACTAGCCTACTTGCACAAACAAACGAAGTTATTAGAAAACAAACAGATTTAAACAGTTTGGATATTTGAATCGCTAAATTTAACATCATATGTAACACTATATATCATTGTTTCTATCTCTCTCTTACTTTTTATCTTTTTTGTATACACACGTCCCAAAAATACACTACAAATATAAAGGTGACACATAAAGGTGTCCACTTTAAGGCTACAAACAACAGTTTCCTTGTTTAAAATATTTAGTTGTCAACAGAATAACTTCCGGGTTTAGTCTAAGATCCAAAACAAGAGCGGCAACATACTATTATCTTAATGTAACATACAGAAAATACATAAAGGTTGATGTAATTATTTATAAGAAATACATGGTACCTTCACTTCATCATAGAGTTTCCTTTCCCAAGCGTATAGCCTATCCAAGGTTGACGCATGGCTTCCAGAGATCATACAAGAATTATCAAAGAGATTATTTGTATGGTCCTCAGCATTGTCTATTGTGTTCGCTCCCAAAGGGTTTCTGGATGAGGACGATCGGGAAGATGCTGTCCTATGCCAAGTTAAGTACTTCACCGTGTTTTGAGCAGGTTCTAGGATGTAAAGAAGGAAAAATTAGGTGTTGAATTCCAAAAACAACTTTAGGAATGAATATCTAAATTACAAAAAAATGGAATGGATGCATTTCTTGTAAAACAAGCTTCAGAATCATAAGGTCTAAAGTAATCTTATCTTCTGAAATGAGTTTCAATTTTAACAGGAGAATAGAGAATGTTATTACTACCTTGCCGTATTTAAACAGAAAGGAACTGAAAATGAGTTCTAAAATTTCTAGGAAAGGAACAAAATCAATTACATCTTCTAATAAAACCCAATTCCTTAGATTCTCTACATCACAGAATCCAGAACATTCAACAATTTCTTGACCAACGCCAACAATAGCCATATTTAGTACATGGATTTGCAATTTGAATCATTCTTGCTAGGGAAAATGTGTACTCTTGGGAATACTTTAAATTTCAGAAGTAACAAGAAATTGGTTCGACCCAACAAGGTCAGCAGTGTCTAGGAAACACGAAAGATCAATGGTAAAAATGACTTAGAAATTACCTTCTGGAACTTGGCTTGGGTCTTCCCCACATGAGAAACAGGCCTTCAAAAACAAGGATACCACAGAACCTTCTGTTACAATTAAGAATTCCCTGGTTAAAACTTAAAACCATTTTATTTTAAAATAAATTACAAAGCAATTAAAAGAAACTTCCAAAACCCTTTTTGAAACAGAAACTGAAGCTTGCTAATATCAACTTTCAACAAGAAGATATTTTAGTTAAAAATGTATCATCATCTCAGTTATTGGACATTCATACAGTGACTGTCTTTAGCCTATTGGGTATATCCTTTTTTATCTTTTTGGCCAAGCGCCTATAGAGTATATCATAAGTAGTGGCATGCATTGCAAAACTATGGGGAAAAAAACAACTTTTCATTATCCAATCATTTTATTTTACTTATAGAATACTAAGAAGTAAGAACTGCTAATATTTAATATTCACCAGATGATAGTCGACACACAGACAGATAGAAAGAAGAAAGCCAGAAAGATTACTTTCTTTTCCAGGGAATATTGGACGAAAGTGAAATTTATTTGCTTCAAGCATCCTTGGAACCTCTTTACCAGATTCTGAAGCTTTAATAAAGAGACCTTCAACATCTCTCATGCTTGAAAAGAAATTCTTAGGAGCAACTTTGTTTTCACTATGATTTTCTTTCTCCATTGATTTGTTTGTTTCAGGTGGAGGCAAAGCTGCCACAGGTTCTGTCTTTAATGAAGATAAATTAGGAGACTTCCCCTTCTCTCCATTTACTAATTCAACTTCAGAAGCTGAATCTCCTTTCAGAGGCCTAGTTGTAGGAGGTGAAACATTTACTTGAACATGGTTATTGGCTCTATTCAGATTTTCAAATCTTTGGACTAGAGTTTCTGCATTAGGCTCTTCATCAAATTCATCTTCAGAGTCCCTAGATTGTTCCCTTCCGTGAGATGAAGCCTTCTCTTCGTCATCTTCTAACTCAGGAATCCCTTCCTCCTCTCTTAGTCTTTTTATATCATCACCATTCCCTATATCTTGTGGCATGCCCTTACTTTCTTGAAAAGAAAATTGATGATCAATAGGATGAAAAAGGCCAAAGAAATCCCATTGTGGAGTTCCAGCTGGAATAGAAGAATCTTCAAATGCAGCTGTTTCAGACATTACAGTGTCATTCTGTGGGACAGTGCCTGATGATGTTACTGTTGCTATAACAGGTACTGGTGGTTTTTCTTCAATTTTCTTAGAAGAAATAGTGCTAAGTCTCATATGATTTGCTTGGAACTTACTAGAACTAGAAGGAGAGGGAGTTAGAGAGAAGGTTTCAGGTTCAGCTGCATCTATGTGTTGTGATCGTGACACAGACGGTGAAGAGAATGAGAGGTTCTTTTCAGTTAAAGCAAGTGGCGGTGGTTGCTCTGGTGTTGCATTAGTGGAGGTGTATAAAGAAGGATCAATTGGTGCTTCAGGTTCTGTGAATTTTCTCAAAGCTGTTCCTGTATTCTTCAGTGATTGGATATATGAAACATGAGCAGCTGCTAGTGAGCAACGCCCATCAAGTGCTTGCCTTACAAACTTCTTCCTTTCACGGCACAATTGCAGTGCCTTATCATCCTCCATTTTGGAGTTTGAGGCCCCCATTATCCCGAATCTAACTTACTTAAGTTTGGCTTTCCCTTTATGGAAATTCTCAACCTTGAGTTCTATCTGCAAATTCATTCAACATCAAATCAAATATATTAGACAAAAAACAAATGAATTATGTACTAGTAGTAAACTCAGGAAAGGCCAGATTGTATTGCATTTGTAAAACATTGAAAAAAAAAAAAAAGGACTAGGATCTAAGAAGTGGTGGAGATGATAATGGTAATTACTGTGAAATGTCACCATCAATTTTCATGTGGACACGCAAGCAAAGAAAAGTGCATCTGATCTGAGGAAAACAGTATTGTTAGTGGAATCATCACTACATCAAAAAACACCAACAATTGCTGAAGGAAAACCAGCTCAAACTTCAAAAACTCAAAGAAAAAGAGCATCCACTATACAAAGAGAAAGCAACATGAAGTAGGGTAGTAGAAAGTTGAAACTAAAAGCCAAAAGAGAGTGTCCAAAACCCAATGCAAGGCACAGAGAGTGCGTGAGATGCATAAAGCAACGGAGGCAAATTTCAAGGAAGGGATAGACAACCCAACTGCAAAATCGGTTATAGAAAGTGGGATTTTTTTTTTTCAGTAATTAGAGAAGGAAAAAGAAGTTGGATCAAAGGCTCTTCACAGTTGATATAGCATGAACAAGGAGGGTACCCAAAAAGCAAAAATCAAAGTGAACCACCAAAAAAGAATAATGGAATTTGGAAAAAGATGGAAATTTTGGTGGGTACCGAACAAGGGTGCAGTGAACCAAAGCTGCACACTAGGAACTTGGATTTCAGCGATGACCCATATAAGAGAATCAATGACAGAAATTGGATTTGGAAAAAAGAAAGGAATTTTCAGAGTAGAGAGAGAAAGAGAGAGAGAGAGAGAGAGAGAGTAATGAAACTCATTCACCCCATGGCTTCGACCATGCAAAAGAAACATAGGAAGACACAGACATCTGAGTGAGGACAGTGAAGCCCACTTCAATGTGGGTCCCACTGTCTGTCGAAAGTGGAGCGTGGGAACACGCGCTTGGAGCATCCAATATTCCAATGCCCTAAAATTTAATAATAATTTGCAATAGCTTTCTCTTTAAAGGCATCTAATTTTCAACCATTCATTTTCCATCCAAAAGTGTCTAAATCAATTTAGGTGTATTCATTTTATTCTTTTAGAAGAATGAAGAAAAGAAATTCAAAGCTTTGATTAAAAATAAAGTTGCATGTGTGTTGGGTGAAGTTTGTTCTCTAATACACCCTATTAGCATTAGCATAAAAAGCATATCAAGGTACTAATTGCTTTTGTTGAAGCTGCTCAGACTACTACTTTTAAGGAAAATGTTTCTTAAATTATGATATAGATACTTTCAAGTATTTTTATTTGAAATATATTTTTTAAATATGCACACAACATAAATTTTTTAAATATGAACACAAAAATTAATTTAAATAACATAATTATTTTTTAATAATATATTTTTTCAGTCAAATTCTTAATATTACGTGTGTGTTCAATTGAAGGTGTCAAATTTAATAAATTTATAATTTTAGTAACCCTATAACCTAGACTTATACTTTTAATAATTTCTTACAAATAAATACTCAATTCATCAATTTAATTGATACATTTGTATTTCTATAATTTAAAATTAATTCATTCGAGACTATACCATTTTATTTGAATACACAACATATTATTTTAAAATATAAACATTTATTATTAAGTTACATAACCTCTTAAATATAGATTATCTAAATTCAATAAACATAATTATTAAATAATATTGCATGATTAAATTAACAAAATGTAACATTTATAAAAGTTGTTAAAAACATAAATTTATCAAATTTTATATATATATATATACACACACAATTTAATATCACATAATAATTCATAATTATAAAAAAGTTGAAAAAAAGAAAAGAAAAGTTGGACAATGGAGAAAGAGTGATAATTGGGGAGAGCACCGTCTTTGCTGTGGACATGTGATTAGCTTTTTGGCTTCATCACCTTTTTCTTAGTCATCCCTTTCATCTATGCTTTACTTTTTCTATATTACAATGTCATCACATTCTTTACAGATAACAATGGTCATAATATAAAATTAATAATTCATTTTCTCTTTATAAATTTTAATTCAGTGATAATTTTTAAATAGTTAACATAGTAACACTATCATTTTCAATAATCTAATTCTAGCTCAATTCAAGCATCAACCTAACAATTCTTACTTTAAATGGAAATTATTTATTTAGAGTATGTTATTTGGTACTAAATAATTTTTTTTATCAATGTCTCATAACTAATCATAATTATAAAAGACAATGATATTTTTCATCTTTTCATTTTAAGTTATTTCACGAAAAAAAATTCATACAATTTATCTTTTTTATTTTTTTTACTTTATGGGTAAAACTATTCAAGTCCATAGGTGTTGTGAATACAAGATACCTTACGAGGAAATTTGGGTCTAAATGGATTAAATGAGGTTATATTAGTTTTGCTTTTTATTTTTTCAATGATCAATCCAAATTGAATTAACTTTAAAAAATAAAAATTCAAATAACTCAATCAGAAAATAAAAAAATATAAAATTAAAATTAAGATAATTTTATAATATATATTTAAAAGTATGGAATATCAATATGTCATTTTTGGTGGGTAAAACTTTATGCAACAAAAACATACACAATCTCTCCTTTTCTGTACTGCCACGTGTGCCTTCAAACTAGTACACGTGTGAGTGACACTGAAAGATTCCTTCGTGTGTGGTCAGCAAGTAATCGGTGATATAATTTAATTTAATTTCACCTATTTAAATCGAATAATAATAATAAATTAATACATATATTTAATGAAAAATAGAAATTAATGATTTACTTTACTAATAAGAAAACAGTAATATAATTAAAAAAACACGAACATATAATTTATCATCTAATATGAAATTTTTTTAATACATGGAAAAATACTGAATAGAGTAGAATAATAAATGGCAAGTTTTTTTATTATACAATGCATGGATACTTTTATATTAATAATAATATTAAAAACATAAACAATTAATTTAAATAAAAAATGAAATATAAGTAACATAAACTAAAGAGGGTAAAATTAATTTTTTATAAAATTAAAATAATCAATTTAAATGTGATAATAATTCAAATTTGAAATAATAAATGGATATTTAATAAATAAAATTTAAAAATTTAATTTAAGAAATATGATTTTTGAAAATCAACATAAAAGGTAATTAAAAACATAATTAAGAATTTTAGGAAATTTTAAAATATTTAATAATTACCAAGTAATAGAGAAATTATGCATTCCAAAAGAAATGTCTTTATATTTAAGTTAGAAGAAAAAAAAAATTAAATTCATAATAAGAGGGGGATTTATTTAAGCTTTCAATTTCAATACTATGCACCTGAATATTGAAGTTTGGGACACTTTCTACTTTTTTTACTTTTTATTTATGATAATTTAAATATATTATATTTTGAAAATATACAACTTTATGTATTGTTTATTATTAAATTTTTTCCTATAAAAAATTGCTACAGTATATACATGTATTGTTATGTTGACTAAGAGGCTGTTGAAATGAAATTCTTATATAACATACAAAATTTATACTATTTTATATGTAAACAATAATTAAAGTACATTATTTTTAAAATTTATTTATATCCAGATATTTAAATTTTATTATTATTGAAATATTAAAATAAATTAACTTTTAAAAAACTTTAATTTGGGTGTTACAGTGATTAATAAAGTCCTCACTTGTTTCCAAGTTTTAAATCTCATTGTCATATTACGGTGTCATAAGGAAAATCATATATAATGAATTCCCATGTATGGGATTGGCATCAAGGAAAAATTTTAAGACTAATCTATATAATAATTATTTCCTTTTATGATAAGTCAACTATTAATTGAAATTAAATTATAGCATCAACCTGATAATGAACCTTCCATATACATATTAAAAATAATCTAATATAGAAAATCCTTGAAATCAAATTATTAATTTTGCTTAGTTGCTTACCATATAGAGACACAAAATTGAAAGGAGTGTAGAGTGGTTTTGAAATATTTTTTAAAAAAATAATATTTTTATGAAAATTAGTTGAATAATTTAGTTGAAAGATGAAATGTTTTTTAATTAAAATTATTGAGTTGTTTTATTGAAAAAAACTAACTAAAATTATTTGATTACATTTTTATTTAATTTTAATTTATCATCTAAGTATGAATATTTAATTTAAAAATTATATCATGATATATTTTAACTGCTTAACGATGTAAAACATGAGTGTTTTTTGCAGTAAAAATTCAAACCTATTATCTTGTTTCTTAAAATCTAGGGTCAAACATAACCTTTTTTCTTTTACTATTTTTATTGTGATTTTAAAACATAATTAGCAAGTATATTGTATTTTAAAAAAAAGGTAAATATATATAACTAGCTTAAATTTAAAAAGATAAAGTATGAAAATACTTAATTTTGTTGTATAGATAAATAAATTTTGATATAAAAGGGAATTTTTAAAATTAAAATTTAAAAGTAATTAAGGTCGATATTTTTTAATTTAAAATATTAACATAGAAGTTAATCTGAAAAAGAAATTTCAATGTGAAAGGAATGTTTAAAAATAATTAACAATTTGAAAAAATTTTAAAATATAAAAATAAATACCAAGTAATGATAAAATTACACGTCAAAATAAAAATATATATAATAAAAAACGTTCTCATTTTTAAAATTAGAAACTTAAATTTAGAATATAAAAATAATTTAATCAATATTTCAATATTTGTAATAATTGGCAGTTTCTTGAGGAAAATTTAAAAAGTACTTAAATTAATTTATTTTTGCTTTAAAATGTGATTTTGATTGTCCGTGTTGCTAAATCTAGCAAATGTTTAACGAGTCTATTTTGTTTTTGTTTGAGCAATTTAATTTTGATAAATTATTATTACACAAAAAACATTTTATAAATTTAATGATATATTGATACATCAATTAATAAGTTTGACAACTTATGTGTTATTAAATTTAATGCATTAAATGATATTTTATTAAAAAAATCATTAAATTATATCTTAATACAGCATTGGCTAATAGTATAAAAAATTATTGACACAATATACAGTAACTTTTTCCTATTTTAGAAAATTATACCAAACATTAAATCTATATTTTTGTAATAGAATAAATTATACTCCAAACTTTTAAAAAATAATTGTCACTATAAGGTTTTACATAAAGATTAAAAATTTCATTAAATATTAACAATTTTACATAATATATGTTTGTTCACTGTATCACCCTCTCACTCAGTTGATTTCCACTGACATTTCACTTAATTGAAATCTCAAAAAAATAAATGTAAAAATGAGAAAAAAGGGAAATTTTTAATTTTATAAAAATTATTTTAAAATAGTTAAAACATTTAAATTGGCGAGTCCTCAAAATTATTGAAAATACGGAAATCATCAAATGAGTTTTTTAAAAAATGTAATTGTTTTAAGTTGGACAAGATAATTAAAATTGTCGAAAACATCAAAGTTTTATTGAAAATTTAGTGGTGGTTTGCTTATAGAAAATATTTTTTATTTTACTTTTAATTATAAAATTTCCATCTTATTTCTAACTTATTCCTCTTTTTAAAATTTTGTACATAAAATAATTAAAAAATATTTGTACTATTTCTGTATAAATTTTTAAAAATAGAATAGAAATAAAGTAATAATTTATGATTAAAAGTAACAGTAAAATAATATTTTTGAAATTAAATAGTCACTTAATTCTTAATGTTTAAGATTTTACATTCATTTTTCAAAATTTCCATATTGTCCAAAATGATTCAAACACGGCTTTGACGAAAGTTGATTTCCCTTGGCATCAACAATGCATTTGCATTAATATCATTCATTATAAGAGTTTTTGAAACTGAAAAGAGCTTAGGATCCATTGATTATAAGGTGGAAAAAAATAAAAATGCAAATATAAGGAGATTCCTCTCTAGTGAGAGTTACAAGCATATAAGTATATAAAAATTTATAGCATAAGATCATATATAAAAGACATTCAATAAACTAAAAGGAGATGCATCATCATTCAAAGGTGTAGGGAAAGATCCAAATTGTCCTTATCAATGTTCTCTTGTGCATCATTTTTAATCTTCAAGGTAGAAAATGGGTGCTTTCCATCTTTGGAAAGAAGAAACTCTTTCATCTTTGATTGCATTCCCTCGTAATAATTTGGTGGGGTAAGACCCATTCTTGGCCTTTTTGAAGCACTTGCTAAGTCATTTTCTTGAAATTCCCATAAGGGTCGTTTCATTGCTCTCTCAAGATTCAAGTCCTTGTAAGAAAGCATGTCCAAGTTTTGAATTTGAACTGGAGGCAAGAGCCCTGGATTAGCATTATCCCTCACATTATGAAAACTATTCATGCTAATCCTTGGATTAGGATTAATCACATTGCTAAGCCCTGAAGGGTTATTCCTTTGATGGCTTGTGCAAAGACAATTTGCTCCATTTGCAAGACTTGGAAAGCACTTTTGGTCATGAATGGTAGCTCTTGTTGAAGGATTTGGAAAACCATTTGTGTGATGGCCTTGTAAACCCACACAATTGAATGGGAATTTTTTAACTGAGTCTACATGTGGTGAAAAAGGAACCACATTATGGGAACCCAATTGCCCTTGAGGATCACTTGGAATAGCTAAAGGCAACATTCCACCATATCTTCCTCCTCCTAATATGGGTGCATTGTTGTTGCTAGAGGAGGCATGAGGCACCATTGATTGAGTCTTGCCATCTGCAAAATTTTTCTCTTGGTACTTTCCTACATGTAACATTTATTAAAAAAAAGTAAATCAAATAAAATAATTAGTAAACTTTTAGACACAACATGGTTGTTCACATGACATGTGGTCTTCAAGAAAATATTAAGATTAATTGAAGTTGTTACCTTGAAAGAAATTGATAGGACGAGAATAATCTTGAAGTCTCTGCTGAGGTACTCTTGAGTTACTCCCAAGTGATTGATAGTTATTGAGCATTTGATTGTAACAATCACTTGTACGATTGCTTACATTCTTTTGAACCATATCTTTGTTGGAACCCAAAAAATAATTCATCATGAATGAAAAGCTTAAAGAAAACTCAGAAAGAAACTATTTCACTCTATATGAAAAAATCTATATTCTCGTATCTTTTATATTAAAAAAATTATTTCAAAGCTAAAAGGAAAGTAATCTAAGAGTAACCGGATACTTAATATACCAGTTGATGTGTACGAGTAGCGTGTATATCTCTACTCGTAAATTATATCAACTAGTATAATATATATCCGGTTACTCGGTTTATTTTGAGTCTTAAAATGATATTAATATTATGATGTTAAATTCTTTCACAATGAAGATGTAAAAATTATAAAATAAGATTTTTTTTAAATAATACTAACTTTGAAAAAAAAAATATATGTAATAATATTTAAAATAGAGGATACTAATTAATGCTTGTAAAACAAAACATTAAAAATATATTTCAGTCTTATAAATTTTACACCTCCTGATAAATGAGGGTGCCTCATTTGATCTTCTATTCATAATTAATGATTGCATTATTTCAGATTCTAATTTATGTATCTTCCATTAATGGACAGTGTTTTTTTTTCTTTCCTTTTATGCATTCTCTTCTTTCCGTTAAGGAAAACGTTACAAATACTTATATGGAATAAAATTGAGTATAAAATTAATTTGAGCAAACGTTTTTTATTTTTTTCATAAATAATTATAATATTGCCTCTTCTTGTTATAAATTAATTTTTTACTTTTAAAGATTTATATTTAAAATTTTGAATAAAAGTAACAGATATTTGTCATGTAAGAAAATGGCTGAGTAAATTGATTGCTAGAAGGTAGGTGTCTTCGACCCACTGATCAATCTTTGGTTTGGCATGGTGTGTATTTTAATAATTTTTTTTTTTTTTGCTAATGTGTATTTTAATATTTTAAAAGTTAGTCACCTGACCTAAATAATACATTTATATGATATATATGATTTTAAAAAAAACTATTGAGAAATATATATTTTTAGATTATTATAAATTAATTTAAACTCATAAAGTTTCGCTTATAAATTAAATATTTTGAATAATTAAAATAAATAGTGTGAACAGTGTAATAAGTTAACTAAATAATATACTATTAAAAAACAATTCAAGAATCGTAAAAATAGAATAATAATTAAAATGAATATTTAGCATTTTTTGAATTACATTTATTATGATGTCTCAAAATAGTAAACAAAATAATTTTTTTCAAGTATTTCACAATAAATTGGTGATACTGTTGTGATAAATTAGAAATTATTAAAATGGTAATGATAAAAGTGAATAGTATATTGAGTTACAAGCTCAAATGCTTCTTTAAGTAACAATTAAAAAAAAAAGACAATTTATTTTAAGAGAAGATTAATAATTATAATTTTTATTTAAGGCACTCAACTCTCAAGTTATGTTAAGCTAATTCATGATGAGTCGAGTGTATCTGCAAGTTCAAACCCCTAATTTTCAATTACATTTTTCAAAATTTATCACATAAACTACAAATTACAGTGAAATAATTTCTTGCAAGTGCTCGACAATTTTCATTCTTTATTTGCCAGGACGATAGTGTTTGAGATCTTCATCTGAATTCAATTTAACGTATGGTCTAAATGAATTCATTCAATTGGCTCAGACAACCTTATTTACCACAAACTTTAATACCCAACGTCATTTTTATCACTATGTTCTCAACTCTTATCTTGTTTTTGTCATTTTGTAGGTATGAATTAAATTCGACAACTGGCAGAAAATGGTGGGGGACCATAGAATGCTGAAGAATACGAGTCAAAGTACGGGAGCCACACCTACGCCGTCTTGAAGCAGAAAATGGATTGCTGCCAAATCAGAGGTCATTGTTCTACTTATTTTTATCTATGGAATTCGAAACTGTAGTAACTCAACCATTTTCTAACCTAAGAGTTAAAGCTGACAAAATAAGTCTATTTAATCTGACCAGTCTGAATCCAGCTGATAAAACATGAAGTTTAAATTTTTAAATTTTTAATTTGAATTAGATATAGAACTTTTAATTTGATCAAATCAAGTCCAATATAAACTAAACCTGTAAGAACCTGCAAAAAGATTTAGATGAGTAGAGTATTTCATTTCATTAATTCTACCAAGGTTTGTGTTTCACTCTGATTAAATTATTATTGTAATCTTGTATTCCCAAACCAGCTCTGTTCTCATCATTTAAAGACTGTTTTATCATTGTGCAAATGTGACACGTTACGAAACAAGATGAATAAACGAAATGCATTTCGTATAAAATCCCAATGTCATGACAACAGTAAATTTTAGCTGCAATAAAAATTCGTTCTTTGCCCTTTAGAAACAGGCTTTTCATATGTTGGAGGAAACGCTGAATTTGCCAAATCAAGATTATACAGTTATAAGATATAAGGGGTACCCACAGGTACATAATTTTGTGACAGTATATTGGAGACTCACTATATTCTAATCAAAGTAATTTTGCAGCCCCCCAAAAGAAGTAATTTGAATATCATTAACTTCTCATTCTAAATTCATTGCACACCCACTTTAACTAGACAGGAATAAGCAATTATCTAAGTAGCAACATTTTTTTTTCTTTTAATACAAAATAGAGACAATACTGTGACAACGCTCAAAAGCGTGTAATTAAAAGACGTGTGTATATCTCACAAGGTAATGATCTTCCTATGTGCATGCTCTCCAATAGAACCTAGTTCTCCATGATCATGATCATGAAAAATTAGGGTCAAGATTCCTACTAAACACAGCACTGAACCAACAAGAAGTTTGTCATACTTCTCCACCCAGTGAAACTTCAGCTGACTAGCCCCATAAAATGACAATGCTACTAGCGAAGTCATCACAGATATTGTGCTGTAAATGCAGTACATGTAAAGCTTGGTAACAGTAGTGAATATCCAAACAGACATAACACTTTTGCAAACTTAATTGGCATCTAAACCAAACTAGCATCAACCCAGAGTAAGAAATTCTGTGCCTTCAAGATTATGCATCTTTAACACACAACAACATTTAAATTCAAATGGAAGACAAAAATCAGGATTCTTACTATTCTATTAAGTAACCCGAATATAAAAAAGTAGTCAAGGGATTTGGCTGGATTGTGATGGCATCTCAAATTCCAAATAGTTTGTAGTACCAAAGCAATAGTTTGTGGTCTTAATGTCAAAACACATTTTCATGATCAGCAAGTGAAACCGTTCTTAGGAGCCTTTGCTTTATTCAATGCTATGGTCAACATCGGAATTTTTAATATCACCATTTTCCAATAAATAAAATATCATATTAAATAATCACACAAAGGAAAAGAAAAGAAAAGAAAAGAAAATTATGAACATTAGAAAAATAAGCTCATAAAAGCAGAAGGCAAAAATTCTTTACATTTAATGGAATTGATTAATACCTGAATAGCAGCACTATGATGGCAAGCACCATCATGGAAGATGAATTTCCAACAGCAAGAAATACTGGAAGTGTTGTAGCACAGGGAGACAATGCAGGAACAAGAATTAGTCCAGCTACAGCCATTCTCTCCATGGGTTGGTTATGCGAATGACTATGGCCGCCCTTTCCCACCAGAAACAACACTACATAACTACCACCAAGAAGTACAAGCAAAAGTGAAGCGAGCTTATGCACTGTTTCTTCACCAGCAATGGTGTTTGCCATGGTAATTGCTGTTATACCAAGCAGTGAAGTGGATATTACGTGCAAAATTGCTCCAAGTGCAGCTGCATGAAATACAATGAACAAGGTTAAAATTCACTAGAAGACAATCCTGGAACAGTCTTCTGTCTTTGTATTTGAAACAAATTAACATAAAAAACAATAACAAGTCCTGGAAAAGCTGTTTGACATCCTTAATTGCTGTGGCTGAGTTGATAGTGAAAGAAGCAACGATACCACTAAGCTAATAGCTCAGAAGTCCAAATATCTGATGCATTTTCAAATGCAGCTTTTGTGCAAAACATCAAACTTAAAGTAAAATGCTAAGCCTAATGTTCAATGAAGCATATATGGTTTCCCTCAAATATAAAAGAACATATCACAACAAAAATTTACTAGATCCCACCAATAAAAAATATTGACTTCAATGATCATTGTTATATTATTGGAATGAGTGGTGGCCTAATTCAGCTTTATATTTAACTACTCAAGACTTTGCACAACGAATTCAACATTTTGCCACCGATGCCTCAGACTAAATCTGTGACCTAATGGGGCAGAAAAAGGATGTGTAAACTCATAATCTAATCACTAGATTTCAAGTTTAAACAGAAATAAAGCCATGTATAAGGTAATTTTTCTTGTCTCATTCACTTTACTCACACAGAACAATTATCTAATTCAATCAAAATTGTCTGATTTGTCACACTCAAACAATCATCTGCTACAACAGAACAATGCCGAAGAAAACCAGAGTTCCTAAACCCATATGAAGATTCAAACATGAAACACACCAAAAAGCACAGCAAAGTTTTAATTTTTATGAAATTTAGGAGGACCCAGAAAGCCGAACTTAGAATTAGGAAAAAGGGGATCTGAGAATGAAATTGGGGAACGTACTGACAAGAAGGGTTGTGGAGAGAGTCCATTTCTGAGCACGACCCACAATGGAGAAAGGAAGCCAATGTGTGGGAATGAAGGAATGAAGAAGCGAAACGGTGGCAATTCCTCCGATTGTGGAGAGATCTTCGGCGGTGAAACCAGCCATTACACGCACCCAAAAAGGGATTATTTTATTCTTCAGATCTATTCTATTACTCAAATCCACAATCAAATATTCTACACAACACCCCAAATCTTAGTAAACTCTAGGAGCAACCAGTGAATCAAAATATGCTCATCGGTACGCATCGCTAAAAAATGAAAAAATTATTATTTAAAATTGTTATTAATACACTTTTCTCGTAATTTGTAAGAGTTTAACTTTTCTGTATTATTAATATGAACTATTAAGTAATTAAAATCGGTGATATAGCCATTAAAATAGAATTAAAAAAAAAAAGAAAAGAACAAGTTCATTTCCATGGTTACGATTTATCCTAATTTGATATTTATTTTTTAAAAGAATACACTAGTTCGATAATTTTTAAAAGAAATTATTTAAAAAGGGTGTTTTTTCGTTTCTTTGAATTTTTTTCTATAATTTTTTTTATATTATTGTGAATATTTAGTTTTAGCCTCAACATCGAATAATAAAAAATTGGCATGTAAATTATTTAGCAAGATAAATTAAAATAAAAAATCATAAAAATATAAAAACTTGAAAAAATAAAGTAACCAAAACTTTAAAAGTTCAAATATAGACTATTTTTATATTTAAGCTATAATATAATTCAATTCAACCTATTAAGCTTCAAGTGCCAGTATTTTTGTTTTACAAGTGATTGTATTAAAGTCAAGTAAAAACACGCTGAACATCCAGGGACTACTCTTTGAAGCGTAAAAAAAATATGAAAAAACACCTATGAGATAAATAAATGTGCAACCAAACACATGCATAGTAAAAATTAAAAAGTATTTATTATATCTTTGTATTTCTAATGTAATAAATATTTTTTAAAAATATTATTTTTAAATACTTCAATTCAATAATAAAGAAAGATATTAACAAGCATTTTGGTTTTATTTAGTTTTCTGTTCTGTAAAGTACATACACTTACGGAATGAATAGGAAAAGTAGCAAAGCACTAAGCTGAATGTGAATACCTTCTAAGCATATACACTTGATGAAGCTTGGATGTGAAAATCTTCATCTGGTATCAAATTTCTACATGATTCCTCCAAAACATTATCCTTTTTATGCCCATTTTCTGACATTACTCTCATTTTATAGTATTTGCTTTGTGAACATTATTAAGATGAGACGTTGCTTTCAACCTTCCAAGCAAACTTTTTTTTCCTTACAAATACTTGTTGAAAATTTTGTCTATAGTGATAAGTTACAATATGAAAGTAGTTTCTCATATCATTTTATTCATGTGATGTTGGGATGTTGTTCTAAGAAGGAACCTTGTTCACCAGATAAATAAATAAATATGAAGGAACCTTGAAATATTTGTAAAATGATTTTGTTTATTCATTCATCTAGAGCATATAATCAGGGTTCACATGAATAGCATTTCTTGACAGGGCATTCTGTGTTGACATGTACAGAACCATATACTCATTAATCAAGGCTAAGATGTATAGCACTTCTGGACACGTGATTCTGTGTTGTCATGTTCAAAAATGACAAAGCTCAATAATTAGGCTACTTTCTAGTAGTTAACACTGTCAAATTTAAGGATGATCACTTCGTTATTTAGTGTGTGATTAGACATTAGATGAATATCTATAAATGGTTTTAATTTCATAAATTAATTTTTATTAAACTGAGTTTGAAATAAAATAATTTTTTGTTTAGATTCTTTCTCCAAAAAGTTGCACTAATAGGATTAATATCTTCTGAATAATTTAGATCAAAACCAATATTGATCAAAACAAAGTTCATGTAATGCACAGCACTCTAAAACATGGTTAAACTAGGTTTTATCTACCAAAAGTATACCGTGTTAAACATGGTTCCATCTAACCGCAAAAGCAATTTACAGGTGGGTAGGTGTCAAATTTGCTTTTGAGGACAAGAAAACATCATCGTCTTTGCAGACAAAAATTATTAAACAAGTTAGAAGGTAGCAGAAAAACCAGTTGAGAAAAGAAAATTGACGTTTGACTTGAGCCAACGCATATCCAAACGTACGTTAAAACACCCCATCTTTTTCTTTGGTAATTATATAAAATGAATTTAAAAATTATATTATCCTAATCCATAAACAAATAAAAATATTTAACAACTCATCACAATGATTCCGAAAAAAAGAAAGAAAGAAAAAGGGTACCTGAGAGTGACCCGCAAATATCATAACACCAAACTAGTTTGGAAGCTTTGTCAAAAAAAGAAAAAAATTAAGTGTAAGTACTCGTGATATTATTTTTTAATTAGAATTAGAGTTTTATTTTGTTAAATTATGCAATAAAAGTTAACATATATTATTAAAATAAAATTCTATACCCAAATCTTTTTCTGAAAAAAAAAAAAAGTTTAATAGCTTCACACGGAAGCAAAAAAAGGTCACTGTCCTTGGTTCATTAGTCTCCATCTGACCTTTCTATATTAATTTTGTCTTAACTTTTAAAACTTGCAAATTCTATGCAATACACGACATTACATCACAACACTTTGTGTTTGGCCCAAAGTTTTGACTTATATTTCGTAGGCCAGCTCCCAACGCTTTTCAACGCTGACACTAACACTGTGCATTGGCTCTTCTTGTGCTTTGGATCGCCATGGAAGATAAACTAGCAACAAAAAGTGAAGGGCAGCCCATAAGATGTAAAGGTGTGCTATGCATGATTCACTAAAACAAACATACATAAGTTCTATGCTCTTTTTTATTATCTTTTTTAAATGTCTTTCTTTTACTATGTTTCATGTGTTCATATATGACTGTGAATACTATTTGCGAATTGTAGCTGCGGTTTGTCGCAAACCAGGTGAGCCACTTGTTATTGAGGAGATTATTGTGGCGCCACCAATGCCTCGTGAAGTTCGGATTCGGATTATATGCACATCTCTTTGTCAGAGTGATGTTACTTTTTGGAAAATGAAGGTTTCTATGTATTTTTTTTCTTTCTATTTAAATGATTTAAAACATTTTTCTTAGTCAATGTCTTTCATGTACCGTTTTTTCATTTTCACACTTTTTCTTTTGATTCTATTGATTTAAATTGTTTTGGAGGTTTTTAGTGATTAATGATTTTTTCTAATTTACTTTCACCTGTTCTTTTAAGGTACCTCCTGCCATTTGTCCCAGAATTCTGGGTCACGAGGCTATTGGGTGAGTATATAACTTTTTTATATTCTTATTTTCGTAGTTCTGTTTATTGAGAAAATGTCTCATTCATAATGAAAAAGGAATTCCACGATTACTTATTTTTATGGTCTTCCTGTATCAACACAAGATTTGTGCTCTTTCTTAGGTAGCATAAACTTTTGTGCTTCAATATATAAATGTTTGCTCAAAATTTGTTGTGATCCTTACTTCTGACAAAAGTGGTTTCTACACTGTGTTTCTACAGGTGCTAAGATTTTTAAGAGCCACCTTTGTAGTCTAACTCTCAAGAGTAGTTAATTTCCTAAATCCAATTTATAGAGAAAGGATTGAATAGCTATGAGACAGATTCTAGTTTTTCAATTTTGAGCATTGTTTAGTTAATAGGAAAGGGTATCCGCAAGCCTTCAGAGACACTAATTTGAATATTGATTTATCACTAAAATTTACCATTAATTAATTTTCCTCATCTTTCTTGGGTTGGTTGCCAATGATTTTCCACCTTGAATCCCCTTGTATTTTCCCTATACGTTCATACATTTAAATTACCACTATGGCACTTGAGGATGTGTTCCAATCAATTTTTATGTGATCCAGGGTTGTGGAAAGTGTAGGAGAGGATGTAACTGAAGTTACAAAAGGAGATGTGGTTGTTCCAACTTTCTTAGCTGATTGTGGGGAGTGTATAGATTGCAAATCAAGCAAGAGCAACCTCTGTTCAAAGTTTCCTTTTGAGGTGTCTCCATGGATGCCCAGATATGGCACCTCTAGATTCACTGATTCAAAAGGAGACATCATATATCATTTCCTATGTGTTTCTAGTTTTAGCGAGTACACTGTGGTTGACATTGTCAATCTAACAAAGATTGATCCGGCAACACCACCCAACAGGGCATGCCTCCTCAGCTGTGGTGTATCAACTGGTAATTTGTCTAAAAGATGCAAACATTTAATAAAATAAAGTAGAAGATTTATATCAGTTATAAAATATAAATTATGGTCAGAAAGTAGGTCATAAATAAATACAAGGTTGTTTTTACATTTTTAGGGGTAGGTGCTGCTTGGAGAACAGCTGGCGTGGAGCCAGGGTCTACAGTTGCTATTTTTGGGCTGGGAAGTATTGGATTAGCAGTAAGGACTCCTCATTCTTCATTAAATACTTTGTAGTTTATAATACTGAAATGCTCATTAATCATTGCAATTGATTGGTTTCCTAGGTTGCTGAGGGAGCTAGACTTTGTGGAGCAACCAGGATTATAGGTGTGGATGTCAACACAGAAAAATATGAAATTGGTAATGGTTTGTTTGTTTAATAATATCACTGTAAGCATTTTGTCAAATAATAATGTTAAATAATTTTGTTTTAATGTTTTTATTATGTAATTGACATTGTGTTTGTTCACTGCTCTACTCAGGAAAGAAGTTTGGAGTGACAGACTTTGTTCATGCTGTCCAATCTGAAAACAAATCTGTGAGCCAGGTTGACCCTCTTCTAGGCTCCAATCTTTATTTATTTTAATTGCCTAAAGTCCTGAAATTTCCTTTTCATATGTGATTTGGATCAGGTCATCATAGAGATGACTGGTGGGGGAGCAGATTATTGCTTTGAATGTGTTGGTATGGCATCATTGGTGCATGAAGCATATGCTTCTTGTAGAAAGGTCTCTCTCTCTTTCTCTCTCAATGCTTCTTGTAAGCATTAATTGTTGAAACTAATGCTTTAATTTGCATACAGGGTTGGGGGAAAACAATAGTTTTAGGGGTGGACAAGCCAGGATCCAAGATGAGCTTTAGCTCTAGTGAGGTCCTTTGTGATGGGAAGAGCCTCATGGGAGCTTTATTTGGAGGACTCAAACCAAAGTCTCATGTACCCATTCTCCTTAAACGCTACATGGACAAGGTACTGTGTGCACTTTCTTTTATTTATATATTTTAGTCTATGCTCTTTGTGCCCTCTATTAATATGTACTGTAAAACTAGTGATAATTATGTAAAATTAATACTGACATAATACCAAGTGTTCATGATGCTTCTTTTTAGTAAATTTCATCTCTAATTATTTACAGGAACTGAATTTGGATGAGTTTGTCACACACGAGGTGGAGTTCAAGGATATTAATAAAGCTTTTGATTTATTAATTGAAGGACAATGTCTCCGATGTGTGATTTGGATGGACCAATGAGTCCATTCTGTATAAGTAATTGATGATTTGAGCCCTTGAAATATGACATCAATATGTAAGATATTGGATACTCTTGTTATTTTATATTTGATGAAACATATTCGATGTATTAAATAAAGTTGCTAAAGCAGTTGATTCACCGGTAAAGGAATTGTTAAAGAAGTTGGTGTTATTCAATGCTTCAAAGTATCTTAGTGTGCATTACCATAGTTACTTGGTAATTACCATTTTATATAAGAGAAAGACCAGAAACACACTCTTTTTAATACATTTTTAATTATTAATCAAAATTTATTGAAAAATTGTATATATATTTTTATAACACTTTGTTGAAATTTATTAAAATAAAAAATTACGTGAATTAATACCAGAGAAATGTTTGCTCTCCTACCTATCATCTGAGTTACTAGCCCAATTTTTGTTTATGGTGTTGCTGGTTCAGGAAAATGCTCAATGTTCTCTCTCATATATCCTAATTTAATAACCCACATGTCACTTTTTACTCAAATTTAATAACAACTCTATTACCCTCTTACATAAGTCTCACAACTTATCATAATATTTTAATATTTATCGATAATTCAGTTTAAAGTGTCAGTATATTTACAGGAACTGAGTTTGGATGAGTTTGTGACACATGAGGTGGAGTTGAAGGACATCAACAAAGCTTTTGATTTAATGATTAAAGGAAAGTGTCTTGGATGTGTGATCTGGATGGACAAATGAGTCCATTCTTATATATGAAATTGTTGCAATTCCTAATTCAATGAAATGGAGCAGAAAAAGTAAGGACTCATGATAGTTCATTGATCATTGTAAAACAGAAATGCTGATTAAGAATTGCATAATGGTATGTATCTAAAGCACCAAAGTGTGCATATGGGTTGCCACAACCTTGGACCTGATAAAGCTCCCAATGGTATTAAGGAAAAGCTTAGCATCATCACACGCTCGCCCACGCGCCAACTTCTTATACAAATAGCTCTGAAAAGTCATGCGTTGGACGTACTCATCCCCACAGAGCTCCACCAAAGCCTCCCTGGACGCGTTACTACCGTAGAAAACCCTCTGCAAAAGATCCAAAAATCTAAAAGTGCTAACATACTCCGCATCCCACGGTTTAAGGTACTCCCTCCTAAGATCACACTCGTCGATCATCATCGCACCACCCTCCGAAGCCTTTACGACAGCGTTTCCGCACATACGACCCGATTTCGCTGCAAAATAAATACCCTCACCCGAACACTTGGTAACGTACCCTGCAGCGTCCCCTACGAGTGCCACGCGTCCTCTGACCCGAACCCGACGCGGGTGCTCCGGAATCGGGTGGGCCTCAATTTTAATCACTTTTCCACCGTTGATCTTCGGCCTCACTCTTTCTCTGATAGCGCGCTGGTACAACTTAATATCCTGCTTGCACCGCACCGTACCCGTCCCAACTGCCACGTGGTCACACTTGGGGAAAACCCACGCGTAGAAATCTGGGGATACGTCTTCACCTACGTACATCTCCGCGAGATTTTCGTAATACGCCATTTTCTCGTCCGGTAATTTGATACGCTCCTGGAACGCGATGGCGCAGGTGTAGTCGCCGGCGCCGATCGATTTCGCGACGCGGCTGTTGGCGCCGTCCGCGCCGATCACGACGTCTACGGCGAGGGAGCGCCTGGAGGAGCCGTTGGTCGTGTAGTGGACGGTATAGGGTGCGTTTGTTGTGGCGGGAAGGTCGAGGCTAGTGACGAGGCCGGAGACGGCGGTGGCGCCCGCGGACTGGGCGCGGGAGCGGAGGAAGGAATCGAGGACCTCACGGCGGAGCATGGCGATGAATTCGTGAGGGTGTAGGGTTTTGCCGAAGTCGACGGCGATGTTGGAAGGGGAGAAGATGCGCATGTGCGTGACGTGGCGGTCGATGAGGTGGTGAGGGATGTTAAACTCTTCGAGCATGCAGAGGGGAATGGCACCGCCGCATGGCTTCGCGACCGACGGCGGGTTACGCTCAAATAGGAAGGTCTCCACGCCGCCGGAGGCTAGGGCCTCCGCCGCGGAGGATCCGGCGGGGCCGCCTCCGATTACTGCCGCCCGAAGCTTGCGGCCGGTGAAGGATGGGCGAGTGGATTTGGAGGCTGTGATGGTGAGGGAGTGAAAGTTGGATTTGGGTTTTGGGGTTGGAGTGGAAAATGAAGGTAAATAGAAACAAGTTCCAATTTTTGCAGCCATTGAGAATGGTGAAGAATGAAGTGTTTTGGTGTCTTAGGATTTTAGGTTAGTGTCTGTGATTTAGGGTTTTTCTCCAATTTGAGCGTGGGTGTAATAATTTTTTACATTTTCTTTACTAAAGTTGAACAGTTGGTATCTTTTTCAAGTTCTTGTTTGTTTAGTATTGTTAATGCATACTTTAAATCGAATTCAGCGGACAAAGACAAATGTTGTCAGCACCAAAACCCGTTTTGTGCTGTTGGATTATAATAAAGAAATGGTTTTCAAATCAAAACCTGGCAGTGGGGTTAGCCTATGGCTTTATAAAAATGTTCAACTCCAAATTGTTCTGAAACTTTTCTTTATGAGTGAGTTTTTGTGTAGTTTTGTAACTGCAAAGGTAAAATTGCTAGATTTCCATGTTCACTAATTCATGGATGGTGATAGGACGGCAAAGATTAGGGATTGGTTGGCCAGACCAGGCTGCATCAGCAAGGATGGAGTTGACTGCTTGTGAAGGGTTGTATAAATCCCACCAAATATGGGTTGAAGCTTGATCACAGGCCATGTCCATGGAAACACACCCTATCATTGCACCATTCAGACCAAGTCCGCAACATGCCCTCTTTGCGTCTTCAAAACCTGTACAATGAAAGAAACACTTGATTAATTTATTCACATGGCTGCTTGTTAATTTCAAATGCTTGAACATACCCAACATTCAGCATAGGAAACTCTCAGTTCTATTAGCCTGACTTTCCCAATAATTGATTTTGGACTCGTATTATGAGTGTATTTGGTTTCATGTTTACATGGTTACGGATTCACGTTTACTTCAGCTTATGCATTGAATTCACATTTGCAGTTTTTTCGACGTGTTTTCAAACTCACTGTGTTTGCTTATTCTGCCATTCTATATAACCTATAGGTGAAGTTATATAGAGAAAAAAAATTTACCATAAAGCCATGGTTTATTGATAATCTCCATCATTCCACTGTATACATCACAGAACACCATCTGAGCATCAGGAAATTCGGCATTAAGTTTGGCTATTTGTTCATCCAGCAATTTGTTGTATTCAAAGACCAACTCATTGACATGTTCCACGCAACTGTTACCGTTATAATCTCCACCTGATGTGTGATTCGACTCCAAGGCTATGCGAGGTGTGCATCCCAAAGGAAGGATTCCCAAACATATGATCTTCCTCGCATTTGCATCATAAAGATACCTGGCAGCATTTGCCATTTGGTTGACCAAAATGGTAGCAAAATTTTGGGGATTGTGCTGGAACATTTGGCTTGAAGAGTTATGTAGGAGTAGATCAATGTAATCCTCTTTGCCAAAGGAAAGGAAAAATATGGAAGATTTTGTAAATTGGAGAGCAGTGTCCTCGCTCAGCTGCAGTTGCAACAGCTGCATAGTCTCAGAAACTTGGCGTAGTTGTTGGGTGAGAGATTGGTGGCTGTAGCTTCCCTGGTTCATGATTGTAGCCTGTGTTGAACCAAAGTTGAGACCACCAAGAACCTCTTCCAGAGATCCATTTTGACCATAAAATGGCCGGATTGATGTCAATCCAATCTTCTTAGCTACAACAATGATTCCAATACTACTCATGTTAAATATGTTATTATGATCACTAAAGAAGGTTTCTGATAGCAATAATTTAAATAGATCCATAATAAAAAGGGTCTATACTAAGGGTATTAGGTAAAATGGGCCTGATGATAATTACTTAAATGATTTAATTTCAAGGAACATATAAAATGTAATAGACCATATGTAGAGGGAGAGGGAGAAAACTATTAAGAAGCTTATAGTCAGTGCCTCTTGAACTGCATTGAAATAGTTGGAAATTATCATTTCAATATTCTAGTTTTGCAAGAAAGAGTCTTTCTGTACCTACAGTAGGTCTAGAGTAGAACTTCAATATTTCTTGAATAATAATAATCTTTTGCCTAAATTCTTGGTACTAAGTATATCAGTTTCTTTTTTCCTATCACAAATACAATGGTTCCAAATTATAACTTCTGCATTATCCTGCATGTGGGATTTCATCTGGTTTTGCCCAATTTCCAAGAATCATGGAAGCAGTCTAAATGACCAAGAAAGAGAAATAAGAAGAGATAAAAGAAAGAGAAGTACCAAGAAGTTGAGGAAGAAGGGTAGCATCAGAGCCATTACATGGATACAAAGAGAGACGACCGTGAAGCAGAGGGTAGAACAAAGTGTTGTCTCCACAATCAACCGAGGAATCACCTAAAACATACAATGCCGATACATGTGAGCCATTCTTCTCATTATCAGTGGCAGTTGGTGGTGTATCTGTGTATTGTCCATGCACTATGCTGAGAATGCTCATTATCAGAACAGCAAGAAGAAAATGAACAACACCAAACCCTCTTTTTCTCATATTGTTTTCCTACTTTGAACAATCAATTTCCTTTGACCCTTGGTGTAAGAACTGATTTGCTGCTATATTATAACGTTGGTGTTACATGTAAAACATAAGATGGAAGGATAAAGAAGCTAAAGATTTGCAGGATTATCTCAGTCTAGAAGTATGAAGGTACTTTGCAGCATTAATCGCATTATAAAATAGTTGGAAATTAAAGATTGATTAGCTTTTCTTAAAATCTTTCCCACTTGATCATAGGAGAAGGAAAACAATTCCATTCATAACATGTGCAGTCATTGGACAAATTGTGTTCTTGTTCTTTTATTTTTGAAACACCACTCACATTTTTCTCACTTCTCAACAACCTTCATCAGCAAAATTGATGTTTTTATCCGTTCTTTTTATTTACGAAAGGTAAAAGAACGGATAAAAATGAGTCATTATGCTTTGGAAGAAGCAGCAAGAAACATAATACTCACCCAACGAAAAAGTTCGGTCTTGAACATTATGTAATTTTACCCAAAATTCAAATTAAGAAGCTTCCGGCGACAAGATTCATATAATCTAATTTGGGTGAACTTATTTAAGAGAAAAAAATTAATATAAAAATAAATAAATAGAAGTTAACTTAAATTCATAAAAAAAATAATGTATTTTATTACTTAAATTTTTGACTTATATCAATACTTAATAAGTTTATCTAAATTCTACCATAACCTTATTGTCTATTTATCAAATTTCTTCACGAATCCGATCTAACTGCGGCTAATAAATTTTACAGATTTCAGTTATTAATAAAAATCAGTTTTTAGTCCCTCTTTCGTAAACTGAAGTTAGAGCAATTCTTCCATGAAGAATGGATAAACACACTCATAACTAGTGCGCATATCGCAGTTACATTTTAGTGAAAAAATATATATACGATGGGCTATCATAGGCAGCTCTATCTGCAATACCAAAAACTTGTGACATAATTGCATGTTTTCGTCCTTCGTAATTGATTCGGAGAGCAATGAAAGGGCAAATTCATCATCCAAGAACATAAAATGACCACCGTAGCTTCATATGCAATATCTTCCGTCCATTTTAAGTCGATACGTTTTATCAAATGCACCAATAGATTTCTAGTGGAAATACCTTGTGTAAAAACAATTCTCTGAAAGTAGTACTATCATTTAGGAATTGTACCATTGATATGCAGATGGAAGTAGTCTGATCTGATCACCACTCAATGACACTAAATATATCATAATACGGAGAGAAACTTAAGTTGGCCAATTTAACTGCTTGAAACTAAAATATCGTATACATCAATTTTGTGAAGAAAAAAAAAAAACTATAAAGATTGGCAATTGGTGCATAGAAGCAAATATTTGATGACCTCGGTGACTATGCCTTCAGTTTTCCACTCATCCCACGTTTATTGGGCCAAATACAAGTTGCAGAATTCTTCTTGGCTGCAACTGAACATTGATCACTCCGACCATTTTTATTGCTCAGCTCTGTTTGGAGCTTCCGCCGCCTCATCCTGTTCTCTAATCGCATTCCTCTTAATGCACGGACTCTACGCTCAATTTCCAAGGCTTCCGTGAAATTCCAAATCCTGACAACACCCTCTTCACCTCCACAGACAATTCTATCAGCTCCTATATCTACAGAGAAAAGATTGCTCTTAAATCCGTGCAACATCCTCTGTGGAGGCTCCACGGTGTCTACACTCAAATGCTTTAACTTTGAAACTCTCTTCCCCAGACCTCGCTTGCTTGTCCTCAGCAGCTTCCTCACATCAATTAGAGCCAGCTTGCCATCACTTGATGCTGAAACAAGCCATGGAAACTCAAAGGCAAGTGAATATACAGGACCTGAGTGAGGAACCCAAGCAGCCACGTGCCAAGCTTTAGTCTCAGAGCCATCATTTACAATCTCATACATGTGTATTGCACCGTCTTCACCTCCAGTAAAAAGGAAGTCCCCCATATGGCTCCGTGCCAAAGCATAAGTATTGCCAACATGAGCATTTTGAACAATGGTCTTCAAAGTTCCATTATTAGTGTCCCAAACATACACATCTGAACCTGATGCACTGGCAACTGTAGTATCATGCGGGACAAGTCCCCAGACCCAGTCACTGTGTCTAAGCACTGCAGTGCACTTCATTGAATGACGGTCCCACACTCGAACAGTTGTGTCCCATGAACCACTATAAATCCTTGTCAAATCTAAAGCAAGTGAAGTGATTGGACCTTCATGTCCCCAAAGTCTATTCTGGTTTTGGGAGCTTCTAAGCTCAAACAGATGGGGCAGTCCTTCAACAGCCCTCCAACAATGAATGAATCCATCAGTACCGCCAGCAACCAGCAGTCTTATATCTGCTGCAACGGCACGAATGGTGCAGCCAAGGGGTCGTGATGATGCAATTGACAAGCCATCCTGCATGTCCCACATCCTCACAATGGTGTCATACCCAGAGGTAAATATGAGCTTCGCAGAAGCCAATAAGAAAACAGTCCGAACTGCTTCAGTATGGCCATACAGCACATCAATACTATAACGTCCCATAAAAGTCTTGCTCCTAAACTCCCTTTCCACAAAACGTTCCTTCCATGACTTATCATCTGAGACCCCTGAATCCTCTGAATCCGCAGCCACGAGAGCTGTTGGCAGTCCCCACCTTTCATAATAGAACTCCTTCCAAGCATGGTGCTCGGATGCAAGTCTCTGGAAAATTGTGGAGACACACGAAACAACGCCGAGATCTTTCGGGTCAAGGCAATTAAGAATCTCAGATATCAATGCCGGAGGAAGGTCGGTGATGCACCGACGACAATCAAAAACCACATCACCAGGAATCGACGATTGGTTCAAAGTACTGGCCGAGGCTTTGATTCCTTTCCTGGAATTAATCTTGGATGCCCCCTTTAAATTCTCACCTTTCCCAGATTCACGTTTGGTATTCAGAACAAGATTAGATGTAACTATTCCTTCAGTAACAAATTTGGGACTAAGCTGATTTGGTTCAACTATACCTATACCTGGATTTGCTACAAATTGTACCAATTTTTGAGAAACCTTAGTAGTCTGCGGGCACTCAAATGCCATAAAAAATGGATCCTACTCTATGAATCAAAAGGGTTGACTGTTCAAACCCCTGCAACGTGACAAATTCAAAATTCCCAAACCGAAGCCAATGAAAATAACAAATTGGGGGAACACTGAAACCCTAATATGAGGAACCCACAAAAATTGACACCCGATTATATATCGAATTAACCCTAAGGTTAGCAAACAATCGAAATCCTACACTTGCCCCAAAAAAAGGGGGGGGGGGGGGGGGGGAAATAAGAATGATTGAAGTTTGATGTGATTTATTTAAAAAATATACATAATTCTAGATGAGGCAAAAAGATTATTGAGGGGGAAATTGAAAAGGAGGGAAAGAGATGAAATACCTGGAAGCGAGGGAAGAGAAAGGAATAAGGGTTTGTGGAGTTAGGTTACGGAAACAAAAGAATGAGATTCAGATTGAGATTGAAATTTACACACCACAGGTTTGGGGACGAATTTGCCAACCACCTTCGGGGTAGCTTTCCAGGATTACTCGAGACAGATTATTAAATTATTAAATAATAATAATTAAAGAAAACTTTCAATTTTGTGTATGTAGGGAAATTTTTTTTAAAAAATAAGTAAATATTTTTTTAGAAATAAATTAAAGTAAATACGAACTTAACATTTTGATAGTGTTATTATATTAATTCTTCAAAAAATTTATCATTCATTTTTAAAATACTTGTGACATTAATTCTTTAAAATTTTATTATTAAATTAATCTATTAACTTTTTGTCGCATACAATACACTTATCTTTTTTCAGACAAGATTGCATTTAATAAAAAATATTCATGATTTTAAAAATTATGAGTAATTAAATTTTAGACAGATTAAATTATTAAAAAATGATTTTTCTAAAAAAATTAATATAACGGTGATTTAAATTTTCAAAATATAATTTGATGATTAAAATATTCAAATGATTAATATAAAATGATATAAGTGATTTTAGAAAATTAAATTGAAGGTATTTTACTAAAAAATTAATAAATAAAAAATAATTAAAATTATTGTATTTTATATTATTAAATGTATTTGTCTTAATCTTTTATTTATTTATTTTTAATCCATCTTAATCTTTGAATTTTACCATCAATGTTTTCGCTAAAAATTGTAAGTTAATTTGTTAATTTAACCTTTTTTTTTATATAGATTTATTTGACCTTTCTTAGTTTTCTTTTACTTCACTTTTCACTTAATTTATTACTGTAAATTCAAACCACTTTCTTTATTTTTCAGTTTTTATATATCTATATATATGCAATAAAACAAATTTGTGTCTCCATCTCCCAATTTGATTGACAAGTTTTCTACCAAAATAAAAATTTTAATTTGCAAATTTTACCGTTCCCATTTTTCAATAGTTCAATTAGTTAAAATAAGAAAGAAAAATAAACTTATATTCATGCTTCAAATAGAAACTATTATAATGTTCCATAACTTAAGTAATTATACTATTTATTAGAAGTTAAAATTAAACAACTAAAATATAAATAGTATTCATGTTATCGTTTTCTTTTTCACAACACATTTTTATTTTGATTTTTTAAAGAATAAAGATAGGTAAGGACAATTATTTTTCCCCTAAGACCACAGTAACATTTAAAATTATAATAGATACTAAACTAATTCGAGTTAAGTTAAGCAAAATTTACAAATAAAAAAAGAAAAATCAACAAAAGCATTAAAAGAATATAACATTAATTAAAGTTGGAAGTTGAGCAAATTTAATTAAAAATGGTATTTATATTTGGAGTAGAAAATTTGAGTATTAATTAAATATTTTTTAATTTTAGTTATTTTCAAAACATAATTATTCTCATTCATTTTCCTACAATGAACGCACTGAAAAATGCCTGTAGAGTATACTATAACAGATTCAAACATGTTATTTATTGAATTCTTAGACTCAAAAGTTATAAATTTATATTATTGTAGTTTTTGTTGAATTTATTTTATTTATCATTTTTATAAGAGTATCTTTTAGTTGACAAATGAAGACTAAAAAATTAACTATCTTAAATGTAAAATTATCCAAAAAAAAATATTCTTACTTAAAATATTTATTTTATTAGTATTGCTTTTTAATGTTCTCGCTTTTTGATTGTTTGCGAATTTCTAATATTTTTATCAGGGCTAAAACATCCACTCATATTTTTAAAGTAAATTATGGGGTTATATATTACTTTTATTACACGAGTAATAAAGACACAAATTTTGTTTAGAATATAATTTTAATAATAAATTAAAAATTATTTAAAATTACAATTTTGAAAATAGCAATAGTAAAAATCACTAAATGGTAAATTATTATAAAATTATTTTAATTAAAACTTTATTGTTATTACTATTTCCTTTTATTTAAGTTCTGATACACAAAAATAATGTTAAATAAGTTTTAAAGTTGATTACATTTCATTTATCATATATCAATAATATTTTATATTATCTAAGTAAGTCGTGCATAGAACACTCTACTCTAACAATGAACAATAATAATAATAATTTTTAAAATTTTCGTATCTTTGACTTAATATTTCACATCAGTGAATATTCGATACGAAAATGGAAAAGTAATTAATAATAATTTTCCCAGTTTGATCTGAATTGTGATAAATGGAAGAAATTTGAATAGCATAATTAAGATCCTATTTTTGCTCCATTCGTTACGCCATGAATTTCAGAGACAAAAACTCATCTTAGAGAGAGATAAGAGAGACTCTCAATCTCAATTCTCAAACACACCTCAAAATGTCCGACGAAGAATCCACATCCGCCGCCGCGCCGGCCACCACATCCGCCGCCGCAGACTCTCCACAAAAAATCCAAACTGCAATCGAAGCTCTCTCCGCCATCGTCCCCTCTCTCTCCTCCGCCGCCGCCAGCAACCCTCTCTCTGTCCTCAACCACCCCGACACCTACTCCCAAATCTCCACCCTCCTCCGGCACCCTAACTCCGGCGCCGGCGACAACAACCTCTGCCGCTGGCTCTACGACACCTTCCAAACGGGCATCCCGCAGCTCCAGCTCGTCGTGCTCCGCTTCCTCCCGGTTATCGCCGGCGTGTACCTCTCACGTGTCGGCGACCGGAAACCCCAAGCGGGGTTCGAAGCGGTGCTCTTAGCCCTCTACTCGCACGAAACAACCTCACGTGCGGGACAAGCGGTGTCGGTGACGATCCCAGACCTGACACACCCAAGCGTATACCACGAATCAAAAGCACCGATTAAAAACAGCGCGACGGAGCTGAACATGGCGGTGGTGTCTCCGGCGTTAGAACCCCACGGCACGGTTCGTTCCACCCGAAGAGGACGCATCGTGGGTGTGGCATTAGAACTTTTCTACAGCAAGATTTCCCACATGCCCATTTCCTCAAAGATCGATTTTTGCGAGTTTTGCAAGATGTGGGCTGGTCAAGATGGTGACATGTACATGCACTTCGAAGAAGAAGAAGAAGAAGAAAAAGAAAGGGTGGTTGAAGAGCAAAACAGCGAGGTGAAGAGAGAAGGGAGGGTTCCTTTGGGTTGGGAATTGTTGCAGCCAGTGATGATGATTTTAGGACACTGTTTGTTGGGTCCGAATAAGAAAGAAGAGGGTGTGTTTGATGTTGCGAGCGATGCATGTAGGTGTTTGTTTGCGCGGGTAATGCATGATGTTGATCCTAAAGCCATTTTGCCAATGAGGAGTTTATTAAGGCTTTCCAAACGTGCCTTAACAAATGACGATGATGATCCCACTGAGCTACCCTTTTCTGATGTTATTTCTATTTAGCCTACATTTCTCAATTTTTCTTTTTCATTCTTTATTTTCGTTTCCTTTTTGTTTTAAATTACAATGTGAGGAATTCATATCCTCGTTCGTTGCATCTTTTGACTTTCCTTGGAGATGTCTTCAAACTTTATCAGATACCATGTAATAGGATATATATACTAAAAGAGTTGTATTTTAATTACAGTTTAGAAAACGATCGAAACAGAAAAAAGAGAAATAGGTAACTAGATAGACGGTGTAATGGAGTGATATAAACAGATAGTCATTGTTATGAATATAAATATAGTCATTTTTAAAAAATTAAGATATTAATATGACTAAAAGTTATTAAGTAAAATATACTTTCTTATAAATTATTTATATTTTTTAATTACTTTTATGGTTTAATATTATTAATATTTATATTGATATATGATAGTTTTTTTATTAATAAATTTAAAGGTAACGCGATGATATTGGGGTAGTTGTAGTAGTGCATACTATATGCATGTTCGTTGTCAATTTTGAAGTATCAGTGCAATATACATAACTCACACTTAATTGACCTCAATCGGTAAGTATTGTATAAAACGTAGCTTTAAAATAAAATTATGACTGAGAAATTTTTTAAAATATTGGGTTAATTAATTAAGTTTCTGTTTTCTTAAAAAATTTGTGATTTTTTTATTTAGTCATTTTTTTAAAAATCAAACAAAACTCCCTTAATTTTTTTGGGTATGACATGCCTTTTTTTTGTTGCTAATTTTCTCATTTATCTTTTTATATTTCACACATTTTTAATTTAGTTCCTGTTTTAGGAGAATCAAATAAGACATTCATCATATTAATAAATAGAGACCAAATGCAAAACTCATGATATTTATAAGGACTCATTTACATTTTTTATAATATTTAAATGAACCGTATGAAAAATAGAAGGGAACTACTCAATAAAAAAAACTATGAATGACCTGTTCAAACAGAATTAGAAAAAAAAAAAACAGGAATTAAATAAAAAAATTAACACACATACACAAAAATAAGGGATTAAATAAAAAAATTATGAATTTTTGAGAGACTAAAAATATAGTTAAGCCACACCCATGTATATATATATATATATAAAAGATATGAGAAGAAAAAAGTGGAAGAACATAAAAGATATTAATAGTTGCAAGATCATAGTAGGATTTTGTGATAGAGTCTGAGGTTAAGTTCAATCTCTCAATTGTTTCCTTGGATCAAAGGTTGTAGTCTATGGCCAACAACAGTAACCAGCTAATAAGGTTGCTGGAATAACTCTCAATTTTGTTCCTTATAGACTTGTCTTTTTTCTCAAATATGCCCTGTCTGTATGCTTTGTTGGTTTATTATTCTAGTATATGTAGAGATTAACTTTGCTTTGATTCCAACAGCACTTCTCTCTTCTTACTAAGTGGCTATAAAATGAGGGTGTATAAATTTATTCTTATTTATAAGACAAGGTTTTCCGATAAGGAGCACTTGCTATCGATTAGGCTACTAAGGAAGAGAATTTCAATTTTAATTAAATTGACTACGTATGAAAAGGGAACAGAACTAGTCTATTGTTTTTCGATTCTGGGTATAGGTTAATGAGATTGATTATTGGGAACATTGTTAAAGATGAAAACATTCATGTTGACTATTAGTGGAAGTGTCAAACATGATGCAGTTGAAAATGTAGTTTTCTATAATCAAATGATGCTGTTGAGGCTGAAAACATATATCACCGTAAGACAAAACTTGATTTTGACTTTAGTTGTTTAGTATCTTTAGACTGTTTCAGCTTTCTGACGAATCTGAAGTTTTGGTACGATCAATAGCCTATAATCGCTAGCAACTTTCTTTCACTGTAAGTTGTTTTTGTTACCTAAACATGGAAGTGCCACAAGTGTCATTGACGCCTCTTACTTCTCAAACATATCTTACACGTCCATTCATAAAAAGTTGTTTATTAAGAATATGCTATAAAATCATTTTGAACTGTTGATCATTGTAAGAGATAAGAACCAACAGTTCACTGTGAATTATTCTGTTCTAATACTTAATCTTTGAGTTATCAATAATTATCAAACATGTTTCAATCTAATTGGAAATCTATTACATAAGCAACTTGATTATTATTCAAACTCAAAATGTAAAAAATCATGGATCCTTAGATGACAAAATAGTTCTAACAAAATCATCCATTGCTCTCACCGAAGACCCCTTCATTTCACCCTTCTCTGTTGTTGCCTCTCTCATGTGAACCGCAATCTCCTTTACCTTCTCCTTCATCTCCTTACCCTTCCCTTCATGATCCATAGCCACTTCTATCACCTTCTTCACATCCTCCCCACAAATGACACTTTCCACAGTCCGTGTAAGCTCCACACCAACCCCCAGTTCCTCCATCAACATCTTCACATTGTATGCTTGTTCTGCAGCCAGTGGCCACCCAATCAAGGGCACCCCATTACCAAGACTTTCCAACACAGAGTTCCATCCACAATGACTTAGAAACACTCCTGTTGACCTATGTGACAAAATCTCCAACTGTGGTCCCCATTTGTGCACCAACAAACCCCTTTTGCTATCCCTCATTCTCTCTTCAAACCCTCTAGGCAACCATTCTTCCCTAAACTCTCCATTCATGTCAAAACCAAAAGGTGGCCTTATAACCCAAATAAAAGATTTTCCACTCTCTTCCAACCCTTCAGCCAAAGCCATCATTTGCAATTCACTTATAGTATTCTGCGACCCAAAACAAACATAAAGCACAGAACTTTCATCCTTCAAATCCAACCACTCAATGCATGCTTGAGTTGCTATGCCAAGTTCCTTCCCTACACGATGTTTAGAACCCTGTAGTTCAACCGGTGGCAAGAGAGGACCCACACTCCAAACAGGAAGTTCAGTATACTTCCTCAAAAGCTGCAATCCCAAAGGCTCAATCTCCTCAACCGTGTTGCAAATCCACCCATCAGATTCCATAGAATACGCGATCTGCGGAGGAAAGAATTTGGACCACTCATCATTACCATCAGCAAGTCTTAGATATCTATGCAACTGTGTGATGTGGAATCTGTAGTTTTGAGGGAACCCGGGAACATAGAACTCATCAGAGTCAGTTTTTCTATGTGGAAGATTGGCCCATATAGAGATATAAGCCAAGGTTCCATAAGCACCACAAGTAGTGAAGGTTATGTTCCTAGTACCACAACTCTTGGCAACGTTGTTAACCCAACCAAGGAACAAGTCAGAGATAGTGCAAAGTGGGGGTTGACCCTCTTGTTTTGTGATTTGAGATATAAGAGAGTGAAGCGGTGCTTGGAGACTGAGTGAAGAATGGAAAAGTTTGCTTATGTGAGAAAGAGGGAGCTTTTCTGTGTTCTCTATGTTGGGGGGTAAGCCATGTTGGGTAGAATTGAAGGGTAACTCAGCAAGGTGGATATGATTGTCGTTGGTGTTGGAAGTGGAAGATCTAAGGTATTGAATGTTGAGGGGTGTGTTGGCTATGGTGATGGTGAAGTTGGTTCTCTGTTGGATTAGCCTTGCTAGTGCTAGGAATGGAATGACGTGGCCATGTGCCATGAATGGTACCATCACTATGTGTCCATTTTTCTTTGTTGATTCTGCCATTGGAGCACAGGGAGACTCCTCAGCACAAAATTTCTCTTGGTTTCACATAAATAAAATAAAGCTTAGGGTAGAACAGAATAGTATGATAACATAATGCAAAAGGTTTGGCTGAAATGTGTGAATGACATTAGTCCACGTACGCGTTGTACATTATATCTAACAAGCTTTTCGGTGCTGTGGGACATGCTTTGGAATGTGTTGCCCTTTGGTGATCTAATCTACTTGCTCTTTCCAAACTCAAGTTCGAAGTTTAACAAAGATAGTTACTATCAAATGAAATGTATTAATTTGAGAAATGGTAAATTCTTTTATATCCCTTAAAGGGTATCGTGTAGAATTTTTTTTATTTAAGTGATAATTTTATTTAATAATAAAAATATAATAATAATAATATTTTTTTTAATTTGTCATATATTTTTTTTATTAGTATATGTAGACATTTTTATAATTTTATTTAATGCTTGGATTAAAGCATGAGGGGATCCGGGATCCACTGTTATCTGAGTCCATACCGGTTTATGCCTTTAGACTCCAAGTGGTTTTCCTACTCGTCATAAAACATGTAGATTCATTCAAAATATATTTTAAGTAAAATTACATTAAAAATAAAAATCACTCTAAACTTGCACTGAACGTGTAACGAAATTTTTCATACGGTTTAGCTAACTTCGCTTGGTTTGCAAATTGTTCTACTTCTAAAAACCAACCACCTCAGAGAACACACAGTTAAAAAATAAGTAACATCAGAGAAAACGCAACAATTTTATTTTATTCCTCTTCCTACGAGTAGCATTTTTTATATATAAGAAAAGAAATGTAACATTAGATCGCACCTTGCAATAGCTCTAACTAGGATGATAAAATGGTTCTTGCAAAATCATCTATTGATTTCACTGAAGACCCCTTTATTTTACCCTTCTCTGAGTGCGCCATTCTGATATGTTGTGCAATTTCATTTGCTTTCTCCTTCATCTCCTTTCCCTTCCCTTCATGATCCATAACAATTTCTATAACCTTCTTCACATCATCTCCACAAATGATACTTTCCACCGTTCTTGTAAGCTCTACACACACTCCTTTATCCTCCACCAACATCTTCACATTGAATGCTTGTTCTGCTGCTAGTGGCCACCCGATCAAGGGCACCCCATTACTAAGACTCTCCAACACAGAGTTCCATCCACAATGGCTTAGAAATGCTCCTGTTGATATGTGTGACAAAATAGCCAACTGTGGTGCCCAATTACGTACCAATAAACCTTGCTTTGTGTTTCTCATTCTCTCTCCAAACCCTGTGGGTAACCACTCTTCCTTAAACTCTCCATTCATGTCAAAACCAAAAGGTGGCCTTATAACCCAAATAAAAGATTTTCCACTCTCTTGTAATCCCTCAGCCAATGCCATCATTTGTGATTCACTGATAGAGTTCTGTGAACCAAAACAAATATAAAGAACTGAATTTTCATCCTTTGAATTCAACCACTCAATGCATGCTTCAATTGCTATGCCTGGTTGTTTTGCATTAGAACACTTGAGTGTAGTTGGTAGCATAAGAGAATCCACAGTCCAAACTGGAAGCTTAAGAAACTTCCTCAGAAGTTGCAATCCCAAAGGCTCTATCTCTTCAACAGTGTTGCAAATCCACCCATTAGACTTCATGGAAAGTTCAAACTGAGGAAGGAAGAACCTTGACCAAGCATCATTGCCATCAGCTTCTCTTAGATATCTATGCAACATAGAGCGTTGGAAACGGTAGTTTTGAGGGAACCATGGAAGGCAAAACTCGTCTGAGTCTGTTTTTCTATGTGGGAGGTTGAACAAGATTGACATGTAAGCCAAAGATCCATAAGCACTACAAGTGGTGAAGGTTATGTTCCTTGTGCCAAAGCTCGTGGAAACGTTGTTAACCCACCCTAAGAGTAAATCTGATATAATACAAAGTGGAGGGTGACCCTCTTCTTGTGTGATTCTGGATATCAAGGAGTGAAGAGGGGCTTCAAGGCTTAAGGTGGCATTACCAATTTTGAGATTGTCAACTAGGGATGCCTTCTCTGTGTTTTCTACGTTGGCGGATAGACCATGTTGTGTAGGATTGAAGGGTAGCTCAGCAAGGTGGAGATTAGTAGTGGAGGAAATGGAAGATTGGAGGTATTGAACGTTGAGAGGAGTGGTAGCTATGGTGATGGTGACGTTGGTTCTTTGTTGGATTTTCCTTGCTAGTGCTAGGAAAGGAATAAGATGACCCCGTGCCAAGAAAGGGACCATTATGATGTGCCCAGACTTATTTTCATTCTGTGCCATTGGAATATTTGAGTTCACAAATGATGAAACTTCTCCTCTGATCTTATAGGTTGATTTGGTAATTAAAAAATGTACATAGGGAACATGAGTTAAAAGCTGAAGGGTGTGTTCGGCAAACACCAGGGATTTGTCCTACTTTCCTTGAACCTATGTAATTGTAAGCACATGCTGCCTTCATTGCCGCCCTCTTTTTCTGATATTATATTTAGATCTTTGTGTGGTTTTCTCTCCACTCTCTCATTATTTACATTAGATTCAACGACTTTTTGAAGGATTATTATTTTTTGTTGCTAAAGCAAACTTTGTGTTAATTAGTGACTTCGGAGCTTTCTTATATAGAAAAGGGTTTAGGGGATTGTGAAGAAGATTACATGTGCAGGATACTATCTTAAATCATTAAACAACTGAAGTTAGATGGTACCATAACATATTAAAATACTTTCAGGAACGGTTAAGATAAGCGTGGATATTAATATATTAAAATACTTTCAATATAAAGATTGAATTTTTAGTGAAGTAAATATTTAACTTATTATTTTAATACCATCTTATCTGAATTCAGTCAGAAACAACATGCAACAAAGAAAAAAACACAAACTAACCCACCAATTCTTCCTGACCATTTGTCATCAAAAGCAAACCTTTTTGCAACATTAATCACTATCTGTCTCATAAATTGCATCATTCAAATGGCCAAATTCATCTTGTTCAGGCATTTGGGATTAGAGTGGTTGAACCTCTAGCAAATAAAATATGATACGATATATATAAGGCAAACACATGGACCATAGTAATGCCCAAACTCATCTAGTGATCCGAGAGAATTATGATCTTTCAAATAGAGCTACTCAATGCATACTTCAAGAGGTATATATACCAAGTTCTCTACCTGTCCTGCATTAGGTTTGGTTCAGCTGGTGGTAAAGGGAAAAAATGTGGACCAATAACCATTATTGGCTTGTATTCACCATTAAGTTTCTATGCATCAGAGAACGGTGGAATTGGTGTTTACAATGTCTATGTTCTATATATGTTGGCTTTTTCCATGTACCAACTAAACTTATCTATACATAATTTGGGTCCATGGTGGAATCTGCTTTAGAGTTTGTTGCTAGCGGTAAAGTATTGATAAACGCATGCCGAGTGAAAATATGGTTCTGCTTTATGAATTGTAATGTCAAAAGAAATTTTACTTATAATCTCAAGAACTCAAATTTTGGAAATTACTATTTTGGAGGACTTTACCACTAATGACTCTTGAGGATTAGTGGTAGAAATCTTATATAAGAGAAAAAATAGTATCCTGATCCAAAAAATTATATTATGTTATGCATATTAATTTTATAATTTTAAAAAAATACAATTAATAAAATATGAGTAAATGGTGTGGGACCACCCACTGCTCTATCTTAATCCTTGTATTTATGTGGTATTTATTTATCGTGTGGGCTCAAACATCAAACCGTTGACATATTCATTAAGATCGACGAGTAAGAAAGTGAGAGGACAAAAAACTTTTGGTAACTGGGCTAACAAACTCACGTAGCTTGTCATGTGGGGTATAATTAGGTTGACTTGGGCCAGAAATAGACCCACTCCAAATTGGGCCAACAGTATTACCCAATTTTCGCTTTCAACTTGGTACGGTATTGATGAGATAAAAATGTAGGTGTAAATACAGTATTATGCATATTACTAATATTATTTTTAAATTTAGAATTTTATTTTGAAAATATGTATTAAATTTTAATATTAGTACGTTGACTTTATATTAAATAAAATATTGAAACAAAGTTTCAACTCGAATTAGAAAATGGCATTATAAGGCTTATTCAATGGTACATGGCTTCTTTTTGTTAAACATAATATAATATAATGATACAAATTAGATTTTTTTTTATTTAATCAAATAAAATTTTAAAACTAATTCTTAAAAATTAGGATAGTTTAAAAACAAACTCTCTATATAGTACTTTTTTTTTGTTATGTAAATGTTAATATTGCATATGCATGAACTATAATTAATTTATATTATTACTTTAATATGATATCGTCTCTTCCAATTTGATATTACATTAAATCTTGACACATGATGAAGCGATAAGACTACATTGCTCTTGCAAGCAAGTAACAGTTTGAACAAGGGAGATTGAGATATATTTTGTAACACCCAAATTTTGTAATATAGTTTAATTATTAATATAAGTATTTACGTAGACTTTCATATGTTATTATTAATTATTATATATATATATATATAAATGATGAGAATATATGTGTATGCTGGAATTAGACTGAAATTTGGCTAAGTGTTCTACTGCAGTGTGTTCTTACTGTAGCAAGAGTGTCTCGCTACAGTAACAAAACAACAGTTTAGGGTGCATTTCTGGGTGCAGTCTTGCTGTAATAAGATTCTACAGAAACTAGGGTGCAGTTTTCTCTAATATTTTTTCTGTAGCGAGAGAGGGTGTCGCTGCAGTAAGGTCCCCTCGCTGCAATGAGAGCAGAAGAGGATTTAAAGGAGTTAGGATTTGGGAAATGGTTATTTCTCACTTTTCTTTTGAGATTTCTTCAATTCTCTCACTTTCAAACCCTATTTCACCGATTAAATTGCCTCCAAGCCGCTTGGGAGTAAGATTAAAGGTTAGATTTGTGTTGAAAACGCTTGGAGGTAAGTTTTAATGGTTAGGGTTTTGATGTCTCTCTCTCATTCTCTATTCTCTTGGTTTTCCTTGATCATTATAAGATTCCTCCATGTATTTAGGACTAAGTTTGCGTGAGAAACACTTTCTAGAGCTAAATTCGTGTGTGGATTTTCAATTCGAGGTAAGGGGAGACTCTATCCTATCTCGTTGTGTTTAATTTACTAATTATTTCATGTGGCTGAGATAGAGAGTAGGAAATGTGTATAAGCATGTTGAGCAATTGATATTGAATGTGATGAGTGAAATGATTGAGCCTAATATGGGCGAATAGATGTGTTTGCATGTCTTTGAATTATGTAAATAGTTGAAAATGAGTATAGATGGCATGTTGAAATGTTGTGTGTATGGAATGGACATGTGTGTCGTGTGTGGTAGATGAATGTGGGTCAGTGGGCTGTATACTGTGAATGAATGTGGGCACTTGTGCTATGTGTGCGAATGAATGTGGGCCTATGTACTGTGTAGTGTTAATGACTATGGATATTGTATCGTATGCTATGAATGAGAAATGTGTGTGTGAATGGAGCATGTTGAATGTTATTGTAATGATGTTGTGAATGGTTCAACGATATACTGGAGGTGTGAAAGATGAGGACGATAGAAATACCGTGGGAAAGAGAGAGTGGTGGCAACACTAACAGTGAGCGTGAGTGCACCACAGACTACACACTCTCCTCCTAGACCTCTGACCACTATATTTGCTGAGCGAACTACCTACGCGGTATCCGTGAGGTGAGAGTAACCGACGACCATTTATGGTGTGAAACTGTGATCACAGTGCCACAGTGAGCGTGGCTAGGTGCGGTAAACGTATGTGTGTGAAATGTTGGTACACTGAATGCATCGATTGTGTTTTGAATTGGAATAGATGATGAATGATGATTGTATTGTGGATGCATTATTTAAATTATGTTAGTAAATAAGTAGGATTGAGGTGAGTCTCTATGTTTGTGTGTGTTAGATAGTATAGAGTACTCATTATTACATTTATTTTTCAAGTTATCAAGACAATTAGCACCGGACTCAGTGAAGAAAGAATGAACTGTTATAAGACTTAGATTGTATTTTGAATTTACGATATAACTAAATTAATCATGTAACAGTCTTTGATATAAATTTATAATCATTTATTGTTTTAAACTTTTTTATGAAACTTTGTGATGGAATCTTTTATTTAAATGAAAATTTAATTACTCCTGTTTTGCAAAATTATTACTTGTAAATTAATTTAAGATGTTACATATGTCATTACCAAAAGAGTGTCATCCATAAAAGGATGATAATAATATTAGCAATCAAAATACATGACCACTATCACATGTTAGAGGGAAAATATTGTAACTGATTTGACACATGTTACAAGACATTATTTCATCAGTTAAATAATAATTATAAATACAGTCTTTTATTCATTGACAATATGTAAATTTAAATTTATCATTTCCATGTGAAAATATTAGTGACAATGATCAAATTCTATTTAGAATAGATATATTCATGGTTACTTTTATGGTAATTTATGTTTAATTTCATTCAATATATATTTGCTTAACAATAAATTTAATGATGATGTGGAAAGTGAATATGAGAATGACATTGTTGTTAAATATAAAAGATGATTTTAATTTGTTGTTAAATATAACTAACAATTCACAGGAAGGAGGTATTATATACATAAAATTTTATTCTATTTTTGTTGACAAAGAAGATAAAATAACTCTATGGTGTGGTTGTAATGCATGCATGGTTGAAAGTCCTTTTTGAAATTTAAGGCTACACTATATTTATATTAATTGAGAATATGTTGATCAAGAAATGAAAAATTTAGATATTCATGTTGATTAAACTTAGAGGGAGAGAGATACATTATATGTTGGTCAAGTGTTTAAGTCTAAAGAAAATGTTAAAATGACTATTAAACATTTTACAATAAAAACATATCAAAGTTATTTCATGGTGGGGTCAAAATCAATAAAGTTACATGTGAAGTTTTCAAATTATAGCAATAGATGCCTTGGAGAGTTAGAGCAACATTGGCCAAAAATTTGAATAAATGAAAAATCACAAAATGTGGTAAAAAAAAACATGCCTGTATTAATCCAATAATGTTTCTAGACCACAAAAAATTGAATTCAAACTTCATTTACACCTATATTCTTGGTAAGTTTAATTGAATCAATTTATTTGATAGCAAGAACCTATATGTAATTTACTAACATTAAACATAATGAATATGTTACATTTTTCACTAACTTCTATAGCCATAAAAATAGACTCTTAATTCACTATTACTACCTAAAAAATTAATATACAAAATATTATTTTATTTATCAAAAATCAACACTTAAATATTTCATAAAATTGTTTCTACTTTTTTATTTCTCACAATAATACATGAAAATACTAATTTTTGGACCTATTGGAAGAAGATGAAGGAAGAAGGGAAGAAAAAAGGATTTCGTGGAGCCTGTTATTACTTTGCCATGTGTCACAATACGAAGCATTATCACGGTAGATAAAACGATAGTGCTCTTTCTTTATCCTTTTCCGTTGACACAAAAAAAGAAAAAGAAAAAAGTGAAGGGTTACTTAGGCAAGTAGGTGAGCAAAACAAAGAATAATTAAGCAGAGTGGTCATATAATGAAGTCTAACTCTTTATTCACAGGTAAGCAGAAAGTGGGTAGTAGTTAGTTAGTAAATGCATTGCCATTTCCTCATCCGACTACTGTTTCACACTCTCACATGGAACACCCTCACCCCCATAATCCCTATGCCATGCTAATACATCGCTTTTTGGTTTAGCTTTTTAATAATAGTTTTCTTTCAAATTAAACATATATTTAAGTTTTAACGAACAAAATCCAGGACCCTAAGTAATATCACAAAATCCAGCATAGTTAATAAATAGATACACCCCTTAAATATGATAATGTTCAATTTCTTATTATGTATACAAAAAACTTACTTCAATAATCTCTCAATCTTGAAAGACAATAGTTTTCGACTATAAGATAGAGGATACTTTTAATATTTACAACAAAAATAAATATATATACTTAGATTTTTATTTTGTGTCATTCTCTAGTTTTATTTTTGCTGTAAAAACTAAAAATATAACACTGAAATTCATTATTATTTATAAAAATTGATTTATCAAAATATGTGAGAAAGGTGGGTTATATAGATGATGAGGGCAATTTGTTAGATGTCCTACCCCAACAAGCAACTACATCGCATTAATACATATGCGTATGCATCGATGCACCTTTCTACTTACCACACCTCACATTATTCATCCTTTCTCTCTATAAAAATAATATGAAATTGAAATCGAAATTTTGTAACCCCCCATTTTTCATTTATATGTGTGATTAAGTAACTAGCAAACACTCTCTCTCTCTCTTCCTCCTATTCAGGTACTTCCTCTTCTTCCTTCATGCATCTTCTCGCCTTCTTTTGGTGACTCACGTTCTTAGTAATCATCGAAACCCAATTCCCCTATTCAAAGTTTGTATCTTTTGGAACCCCTTATTCCCCCACTGTTGCTTCATTGAAAAAGCTTGAACTTGACATTTGCTGCTTCAAAGATTTGATTGTTTATTCGTAGTTTTTAAAGAAAATGTGGGGTTTTCAGTTTTCTGTTTTAATGACATGGTTGTAAATTTGATAGCTTCTTGTGAAAAATCACACTCCATGCATGGTGTTTTTGGGTGCTGATGTGAAATTGTGAATCTTTGGTTTATCTGGTTTTGGAGTTTCAGTGGCTTCTTATATTGGATCTTGCATATAATTCTTGTTTGATTGGCAAAGTGTGTTGCTGACAGTGCTTGGTGAAGTGGGATTGTTTCGGTTTTGAAGATGAAGGTCATTGTGGTTTCGAGGAGTGGAAGAGAAATTGTTAAAGGTGGCATCGAGTTCGGCGATTCTGTATGTCTTCTTTTTCTTAATTTCTAACCCTTTTTCTTTTCACATTTTGTTAATGTCGTTGTTGGTTTTGATTTCTTAGAATAATTTTGGGGAGTTGGATTTAATTTGTTTAATTACTCAAAAGTTTCCCCACGCTGTTTTCAAATGTAAAGCTTTATGATTTATCCCATTGACCCATTGTTTATTTGCTATAGGCTACTGTAGCAGATCTGCAGAAGGCAATTCATAGGCGAAGTAAGATAACGTGTTCCTTTACTCAGGCTTATATCTTGATGGTGCTTAGATGTTAGTGCATGTGGTTTTAGTTGTTTTTGTGATGGATTTTTAACTTACAGTGTGATGAGAATTGTTAACAGCCTCATAGGGTGATTGACATTTATCATTCTTGCTGGATCTTTCTTCTTTTAAATGATTGAAGCAGCGTGAAGTCTTAGTATCATTTATTAGATTGTTACATCTGCAACTAGTCTTGGTTGTTGAACTTGATATATTGGAATGGAAAATTAGTTCCTGGCTTGTGAACCCAATTTTTAAGGAATTGTTGGCTCCAAAACTAGTTCCATCCATTGCATTCTAACCCTACTACTATTGTATGCTTGGTTATTCCATCTTTGTACCTCTCTTGGAAAAAAATGCAAGTCTGTTGGTGTATCTATCCCTAGTCAGCACTGGATTTCTCAGATCATCATTAACATGATTTGTTTGTTTCACTTCAACAGCCAAGAAGTCCCCATCAAGGCAGCGCTTGACACTTCCTGTCCAACCAGGATCAAAGGAAAGGCCTGTTGTTCTTAATTACAAAAAGAGTCTGAAAGATTACACAACTTCAGACACCTTAACGGTGGTATTCAAGGACTTAGGCCCACAAGTTTCTTATCGTACCCTTTTTTTCTTTGAGTATTTGGGACCATTGCTTCTCTATCCTGTCTTCTATTATTTCCCTGTGTACCAATATCTTGGTTACAAAGGTGAACGTGTCATTCACCCGGTGCAGACATATGCCTTGTACTATTGGTGTTTCCATTATGCCAAACGAATTCTGGAAACATTTTTTGTGCATCGCTTCAGCCATGCAACCTCACCCCTTTCCAATGTGTTTCGCAACTGTGCTTATTACTGGACCTTTGGCTCTTACATTGCTTATTATGTGAACCACCCTCTATATACCCCTGTAAGCGATCTCCAAATGAAGATCGGATTTGGGTTCGGGATAATCTGTCAAGTTTCAAATTTCTATTGCCATATTATACTGAAGAATCTCCGCCGACCTGATGGAGAAGGTGGATATCAAATCCCTCGTGGCTTTCTCTTCAACATTGTTACTTGTGCAAATTATACAACTGAGATCTATCAGTGGTTGGGCTTCAACATTGCAACGCAAACTATTGCCGGTTATATTTTCCTTGTGGTGGCTACTTTTATCATGACCAATTGGGCTCTTGCAAAGCACAGGCGTTTAAAGAAGGTTTGTCTCCTTACCTTTTATTTTTTAAGTTCACTAGTATAGTATAGTTTACTGAAAAATTTCATGTGAAGTATATATACACCTAGTTTGTAAAACTAGAAATAAGTTTGATTGTTCTTTTGGCTAACCTGTCTGTTTTTATATTTTGAGGATTTTGAAATTTGTGTTCATGATGTTATTTCTTCTGCTACATGTTACATTAAACACGTGATTTGTATGAACCAATAATGTTAGTCTTTTCCCTCTTTTGCATCTTTTATTAATGAATGATGATGCATCTCATCTGTTTTTTATGTATCTGCAGTTATTTGATGGAAAGGAAGGGAGACCCAGGTATCCTCGTCGATGGATAATTTTGCCCCCACTCCTGTAGAGGCCAAAGCCACTGATGAGGTCACCAGGCTCACAGGATTCTGAGATTTAGAATTGTAGCATAATGGCATTTTAGTGATCTATTTTGATTAGATATGAATTTGTCTTTTAATGTTTTTGACTGTGAAGTTGGTTCCTAAATTGTTGAAGCAGTATTTTCCAGAATATTTGTGGTCATTTCTCGATTGTAGTATTGGGCAATTCGTCAAATTCTTCCTCTTATTGTTGGCTACTTTCTTTATTCTCCAATATTTTATCAATTATGTTAGAAAATGAGAGTTTAAATTTCTGGCTCCCACACACTTTGCAATGATTATTAACAGCATGTTTGTTTCTATTTTTTGAAAATAGTTTCTCTTTTAAAAACAAAAAAATTGTTTCCTCTTAGTGTGACTTAGGACTATGACTCTTTCCAATATTTTGAGGATTCGAATTTTAATTTGTTTAAGTGAATTATATTAGTTTAAACAAATTTTATGTTTTTTCTCTCAATTTTTTTTTCCTTCTCTCCATGCTTAACTCTCTTTCTTCAATTTTTATATTTAATTCTTTTTAATTTCTATGTTCAACCATTTTTCTTCTTTTGCAGTCAACTCTTTTCATCCTCTTCTAATTCTCTCTTTTTTCCATTTTATATTCAACTCTTTTCTTTCTCTTTTCACTTTCACTCTATCTTATACATATTTCTCTTTCTTTCTTCTATATTCAACTCTTTACTCCCTTCTCCCTCTACTACTACTCTTATATCATCCGCCTTTCTTATTTCTATCTATTTTTAGTCTTCTCTTTCTTTCACACTCAGATTCTATCTCTTTAAATGTACAAACTTTGTTTAAATAAAAAGAAAAATTATTTAAGTTAATTTTGTATAAAAAATTTATTATTTTTTGTATTTTCACATAAGAGTCTATTTTCATTTAAACGAAAATAAAATGGCCACGAAAGAAATTTAAATCCATATTTAAAGGTCAATTTTTGTGCATATAATCGTACGTCGCCTATTAATGTTGTAAATAATTTATTTTTCGTTTATAGTGTTTCTTGTACATATTTAAAAAAATAAAACAACATAGCTTTGTAATTAAAAATAAATATTTTTAAAAATTGAAAGTAAATAATTTCTAACTTTTTTATTTATTGCATATATATCTCCCACCGTTGACAACCCAGTTATGATAAAAATTGAGTTCTTTGGTTTTCGGACAACTTAGAACTCGAAAAGACAATCCATGTTGCCTAAAGTCTAATGAACCAGATATAATAACTGGGAGGGGTCTTCACTGCAAACAAATAGAAACCGTGGAATCAATAAAACAAATATTAGTTGCCTCCACTCCATTTTGTGATGACTACACAACATTTTAAAAACATATCACTGCTGACGAGTCCATATCATTGTTATCCGTGAAGATTGGACCGACTAATTTGATCGGAAACCAGTCAGATGTCTTAATTATTTAACTTAAAAAAGTTAATTCCAAAATTGGTGAAAAAGCTATAGAGAATTCGTTTGTTTTAAGTTTCCTCTTTAAAATGGTGTTTTTTCAATAAAAGATATGAAACGTAATTTTTTTTATTGCAATTATATTTTCAAATTTCTTTTTAAACAAGTTACTAAATAATACATGATTTTCCACGAGAAAAAAAGGGAACATACAAGCTGAAAATAATAATCTTGAACGTAAAAGAACAAAGATAACCTGTTTCGTAACTCAATTTTTATAATCACATAAAATCTCTTGTCATGCTAATTTGTTTATTAACATTTAATATTAATGTATTTTTAATTATCACTAATGCGACCACAGCATGAACCAAGAGCCACCATAAACTAATATTTTCACAGTTTCGATAATAACTCCGATCTTTAAATGTTACTTGCGTAAATACAAGAATCTGCTCGCCACTGCCATAAACAACTAATTAAACTTCAAATTTCCCCACTTCAGACATGTCTTAAACTTTCTCAGTGATGACTACAATAGTCCAAAAAAAAAAAAAAACTCAAAAATTGCATGCTTATATGAATACACGAAATAGAATAGTTAAAATTGTTGAACAAGATGATGCAAAATTTCACACGAAATAGCTCATGTCCCACCAACAGCCATCCATTAGTTTACCCCTCTAACGTATAAAATGAACGTCAGAAAGACAAAGCTTGACAACTGCTACCTTCAAATCCTAGTTTGATCAAATCCTACCTTCATTTCATTTGTTGACCCAAAATGTGGTACGCTTCTACAACACCAACTATCAGAACAAGCATGCAATGGCTTTCAATGTATTAGACAGACAATGCACGTAACACTCAACCTGTAATAGAATGCATTTCTCATCATCTCCGCATTCCTCGTCCTCGACCACGGAATGCACCTCCTCGACCTCTGCCACCCATGGCACTTGCAGCAGCCTCCCCTTGTGCACTTTCAGACTACATACGTTAAATATGAAATAATTAAAATCAGCTTCATAACAACGTAGCCAGAATAAAACAAGCCATAATAAAATAAAGTTAAAAAAATACAGTAACATTAAAAAAGGAAATAGTCAGACTTATAGACACCAATGATAATATAATTTTACAAATCAATGTAAAAGGCAGAAAGTCACGTGATGAGACCGAACCAGAACAATTGTTAGAATATCAATAAAAGTTGTCACAAGAGAGGCATATACTACTATATATATCCCTTTAAATATGCAACACTTTTTAGATAAATATAGAGGCCGTGGCATAATTAATGGATACTAAAAAGGCCTTAAATATTTTTAATTGCAATCAATAGTGGGTCTTTTGAATGTTATTTGAGTCAGGTGAGACACATTAAAGTTATCAACAGATTTGGACAGTTAAGATAATAAGATATAATATTATCAATGACAATTGGTAAGTATACCAGAGACCAAACCCCATGGTACATCTACATCTATCTTCATGAATGTAGCAAGCATATAGCTCCTTCATCTATAAGCAATTTAGAGGAATCAAGGCAGGACCATAATAAATTTAAACAATACCAAAAAACTTGGACTTATGGTATAATATCATCTTCACGTTTAACTTTCAACATATGATCCTCATCTTATTTTTTGCTAAACCTACAAATCATGTATTTTGTCTTACTTCTACTCAAGCGGAAGATATTTGCATGGACAATATACCATGAAAACCAGTACTCATTACTTCATCATGATAGATGAACAATGTTTAAAAGTGATAAAAGCATTGAACATTTGGACGTGCAAGTGGATTTATGCAGAAAAATCTTGAGTCAAAACAGAGGGGAAAGTGAAATTTGAATACACATGACATGATATTGATAACATAACAATAATCCCTTCAAATTGTGCATGTCTTTGGGAAATATATCAAGAACCGAAGTACAATCTTCAGCAAATATACAATGACAGAACTAAACTTACCTTGGGATTTTTAACTGTTTCATCCACACTTAAGATAAGACAAGCAGCCTCTGTTGCAGCATTTATAGCATTGATCTGCAAATTTATTGACCCACTTAAACAGCATCCACATAAAACATCAGAATCAAAATACAAAAACATGTAAAATAATGAGGCATCTACCTTCACAATTGCAGGCTCCCAGACGAAGTTGGCAAAAGAGTCAGCAATTCCACCAGTAGCTATGTCCACCCCATATGGTGCTCCCTCACCTGTAACAAGCAGGCAAATAAATGAGTCAGCATGCATGCACGAAATTCTGCAATACATGTACATATGCAAGCATGCTTCATAAATACAGAAAGCTGGCCAACCAACCAGAAGGAAGTGCATGTTTCTGCCTAAGTTTATTCAGAACATCAGTTGCATCAAATCCAGCATTGTCACATAATTGTCTGGGTATAACCTGCAGTAATACCATAAATTTTTGCATCAAAATACAATCAAGTAGCTATACTCTTTGAACAGAAGAACGTGTTCCCAAACCCTTCATGTTTCATTTCTAACAGTATCTAAGTCAGTATGCATTTGACATTTTTGGGTTTGTATTGAAACATGTAAAACACATGCACAATTCCTGATCAAATAAAACGTCTAAGATGCATCCTTAAGATTATTAAATCATGCCTTCTTATATACAAGGAACAATTACTGGAAACATTTCTTAATGGCATCAATGTCTGATTTAAAAAAAAAGTGTAAAGAAACAAATTGCTGATTACTACGTGTCCTATTTATTTGAACTTCAGGCCATCAGGCAGAGAAACCCTTGATAGAAATGACCATTAATGACAAGAAAAATACACTTGTGTCAATCAGATGTTGCCTCCAGTTTCGTACAAAACTTAATAAAATAATAAAATAGTAGTAAACATTACAGATCACAACTATGGAATGTGCTCAATTTCCAAGTACAGTTACCTCAAGAGCCTTTGCATAGGAGTTAATGAAAAGTTGAGACTTTCCAGCTATTGTACGCGCATGCTGCCTCAAGAACCGGCTTATCTCCATCTACCAACAAAAACCACATTTTAACTTCCAACACATTGACTAACATAATTCAGCAATATCTACCAACAAATTTTGGACACATACATCTATAGCACCTCCACCAGCCACCACAGTTGAATTCTTCAAAGCCCTCCTAACAATCATGATTGCATCATGCAAACTTCTCTCTGCTTCCTCTATAAACTGTATGAGAATAGAAAAACTCAAATAAACCCAAAAATGGCAGGATCTATTCAACAAGTTTAATTACCAGCTATATAAATGGTTATTGCACAACATATAACAGACCTGATCAGCTCCACCACGAAGAACTATGGTGGCTGTTTGGCCAGATGGACATCCATTAAATATGTTGAACCTCTCATTTCCAACTTGCCTTTCCTCAAAAACCTCACAAGTCCCAAGGACCTTAAAACAAATAAATCACAATTTCAGATGTATTAAATAACAATATAAAACGAGCAAACCATGACAGAGTCATGCAAAAAATGTGCAACCTCATCAATAATGTTATTGACTGATGTTTGTACAGTTCCACCAGTTGCAGCAGCAACCCTTTTTAGATCTTCTTCAGTTACACGACCAGCACAGAAAATGTCTCGATCTGCAAAATACTGTTTCAAGGACAAGTTGTTAAAAAAAGTAATTACGAATATCCCTGGAAGATTTAAAAAAAAACAGTAAAAAGAATTACTTTCAGGCATTATTGTGAACAATTAATAAGGAAGTCCATCAACACTTAATTATGTGAAAAACAAAAAGTTAACACATAATTAAAAAACTTGAAAAGTTAATAAGTAAAAGACCATTATCACATATGAGGAAATCCATATAATGCACAAGGAAATTGTCCCAGGAAGAGGCACACAGCATATTTTGCTTGTAACTCAATAGAAAGGTCAAACAATGTATGGAAAGTTGAAAGCAACACAAGAATATGAAAGAAAATTAGATTCAATAAGGATAAAAAAAAAATGATTAAAACCTGTGTAGCTAGATCACCAATAGCCAATCGTGAAAGAACAACTTTGACACCACTGTTGACACATTTATCTAACTTGTCATAAATAATATTCCATTCTGCATCAACTATTGACTGATATTGTGCTGGATCTGACAATCTATAGAGAACAAAGGAAAAAGAGGGATGTTGGTTAAGTAAGCAATCCTTCAATAAGATCTCAGCATAATCAAATAAAATTAACCCCCCCCCCCAAAAAAAAAAAACTCACCTTATTTCAGCATTTTCTTTCTCAGATTTTAGCTCCAACTCGACATTTAGTAATAGTATTTTAGGATTGAGAAACTTCTTGGGCTGTTGCTCAAACCCAGCATATGAAAATGTCTTTTTGAAGGCAACACCATTTACTAGAAATGAGTCACGCATGTTACCACCAGGAACCTGTAGAGCCATCACATTGATTTCCAAAATAAGAATAAATTGATTTACATGTAATTAGATATTAATCATAAAAACAAAAACCTATATGACAACACTCCCTTATCTTCATACATCACGACTTTAGTTAGTTGATTGTTTCAACTTCCTATCACATCTTTTTTTTAAGCAAAAAAATGTGTCTCCAAGAACAATTTTAAGGAATGTAGATATGGCACTTCAGAATATCTGAGGAATAGTGAAGCCCAAAACATATAATTAATTACAATAATATGAAAACTAGGCAAGCTTATTGGGGGAAAACACTAAAATATCAACACTGATGATGTTGTTTTACTTTTACACCAGAGAAGAAACCCCTTTAAATTCCAAGAACGTTGACTAAAATGTTAGGTGAATGATGATTGGAAAACACAGTAAAATCAAGATCACCTTAAAATAAGTACATACCCAAAAATAAAAAACTCTTATAAAATGACACAAATAAGAAAAAACACAAATAGTAAGCAAAGCTGCTTTGGAAAATCTGTTTTGCAGTTCTCTGTATGATTTAGTCAACATTGGAAAATTGGAACTAACAGTGGCTGTGTGAATTTGGTTATTTATGTAGCATAGCATGTTAATATATGGGCAGGTCAGGTTCTAGCATCTACTGAAATAAAATTCCATCAACTGCAATAAACCATAGTTCTCTCCAGTAAAAGAAAACAGAAAGAAATAAGGTAAAAATCAATATCTTCATATAAAGCCATTAAATGTTTCTTGAACTAGTTTTTCGATAGCCTAACAACAATTGATGAAGTTTCATAACAACCAGACAAAGACAAAAAAAACCCATGTAATCATTTCCCTAAAAAAATGTCAACTTATTTCAAAAGGACTTGTTCAACTATTTTGGTCATCTTAAACCTTACTCTGGGAAAGCACAAAAACTGCAACTCTAACTTAACTACATCCATATTAAGGGTGCTCACCCACATATACAACGTGATGGGAAAGACTTACTAGATTGATGAGCTTTATATACCTTTGTTTAAGAGTATCTTTGCTCCTCCATTTTTTAATTTTGTATTAGCTAATAAATTTTCCTCTATTAGAAAACACGTCACATAATCACCAATATAAAAAGAATGCAGCACACAGATACAAGGTTGCACCAGCTCCAACACGTACCTTCTTTATTCCAATCATGTTCAACCTGTCGTCATTCCCAATTGCAATTACAGCATCCACAACCATGGATGCAAAGAATTCTTTTTCTCCGCCTATAAGCTTTGAAGAAAGAGTTGTAGCAGCACACTTTGCGAGCAAGCTTTTCTTTTCTTCCAGACTTTTCCCCTCTATGCTAACAGCTAGCTCTTCAATCTTCCCAATTGCCTGCATCAACAGTTAAACATGACAACTATAATGAGACAAATCAGGAATAGAATTCTACATACAGTATTAGACACTGTAGCCAAATATAAAACAAAAACTATTTACAAACAAATAAAATCTGAGATATAAATGCGTACGGCGTACCAAAGAGCACGCAGTCCTATAGCTCCGTATCAAATTTTGAGAGTGAACACCATCTTCAATGAAAGGCTTGGCCTCCCTTAAAAACTCAGCTGCAAGCAATACCACAGTGGTGGTTCCATCGCCAACCTTTTTCACATCCACGACAACAATAAGAATACCATAGTTTATTCACAAACACACTACTCCACAATTTCAAGCATCTAAATTAAGCAAAGACAATTTACAAAATAACCACATCCAAAAAGCAAAAGTAAAAATCGCGTTTCAGAAACCGAACTCAAAACGAGGCAAACAAAACATTTCGAGATGCAGAAAAAGGAGATCTAAATGAGCCAGTTAGGTACCTCAGAGTCCTGAGACTTGGCGATGTCGACGAGGATTTTAGCGGCGGGGTGAACGATGTCAAGGAGTTTCATGATGGTGGCGCCGTCGTTGGAGATGGTGACGCTTCCTTTGTCGTCGTGGATGAGCTTGTCCATGCCGCGAGGTCCGAGAGTGGTTCGGACGACGTCGGCGACGGCGGTGCAGGCATTGATGTTGCTGACAAGTTGTGGCTTTCCTTGCGAAGTGTCTGTGCCTTCTTTGAGCAGTATGATCTGAGGTTGCTGTTTGATCCACCATTTCCAACGAGTAGTAATGAGTTAGGTTAGGTTAGAGAAACATATAACGGAACGGAAAGAGAGGGAGAGAGAGAGAGCTTACCAGCATCGCTGCCATGGTTGAGGAAGAGAAGGAGAGAGAGAGAGAGAGCTAGGGTTTAAGTTTGAACCACGAAATGGGTCTAGAAGTAGCGGTTTCTGCCTCCTCCTTCTCGCAGTGAGAGTGAGTTTGAGCTCTCTCTTTTGTTACTATCTTTTTCGAATCGAAAGTTCATTTTTTTCGTGATTTGGGCTGAAGCCCGCGCCGCTAGGGCCCGTCGACCAAAAAGAGTCCTTTATAGAACCTGGTTCAGTTAAGTATTTCGACCAAAAATAAAGTTAAGCGGAAATATATATTTGATTTTAATAAAAGTAATATTAAATTATTGATCGATATGTGTTATAATTAATTTTAGTGATAGATCTTATTGGAATATATCTTTCTTTATTAAAAAGTGAAAGAATTGAATTTTCAATATTTTTTCGTCATTTAATCATACTTCTTATGTTCATGTTCATTTGGCGTACCAAACATATCGATTACAATTATATGGGCATTTTCAATGTAATTATCTAATGGAGTCAGCATGTATTAATAAAAATCGATAGAGTAGATGTGTAAAGATATATTGTTAAAGAATACGTGCGCTTGAATATTTACACGTCGTTATGAAATTGTCATAAAATAAATTATTTTTATAAGATTTCCAAGAATTTTAAAAGTTAATTTATTTAACTACTTACTCCGTTAAGTAATCTTGAAGTTGATCCACATACTTCAAATAGATGAATGCCCGGTTATTACTTTCCTCTTATTTCTATTTTCTATGACACTATCAGAACTATAGTGAAAAAAATTAAGCGTTGAGGGTGGAGCAGTGCTAAAGAATAATTGGTTAATAATATTCTACAAACAAACCCACTTCTGAGTTGGAGAAGCCGAGGTAAACATTTTTCCGCATTTCACAATTATTATACCTTTGCGAGTCCCGTTCCATTAACATTTTTCAAGCGAACAACGAATAATTGAGTGGCAATTCTTATGCTTGAATACTGAAGAAGCATTTTATTGTTGCCAATGAAATACCTCAAACTCCAATGTCAAGCATCTTACTAAGTTAGAGCGGCAAAAGAATAATTTTGGTACTAGCTGACAACACGAAGAGACAACTCATCCTCAACCCATTCGGTCATCTGGTTCGCAACTACATAGAACAGAAACAAAACATACATGTAAGAGATAATGGAAGATATACTAATCATATTATATGGGGGTAAAGAATTATAATACAGCACGTCAAATGTCTTGGCTTAAAAAGGGGAAGGAGAATTAACACCCATCGTTTGGCTCGGCAAAATAAGCTATCAAACGGATCCAGAAGGTAGAAGTAGAACTCTACTTCATCTATCCAAATAACAAACTACAGACAGCAATGCAGAGCCATACGTGGATGCCAACAATCTAATCTACTGTTTTCCGTTTCCCTCCCTGAATTGTTTGTTTTCTGCACTCAATGTCCCAAAAGTTTTTTATTTTAGACTCCCCAATGAATGACTCCAACCACGCCCTTGTCCTCTTCGTCAAGATGATACTTTAGTTACATCTTTGCTTGATCTGTTGTACTTCATGTGGCTGTTCACTAGCTGCCCTGCCGCAATCGCGGACATCAGAGACAGCTCTCCTGCTAAAACAGATCCAGCAACAATGGTGGCCAAGAGTCTTGAGTTTGATCCTGGTGACTCCTTGCTCGCACCCTTCACACCAAGCAAATTCAAGCAAGCAGACTGAGATGCAAGTTGAGTGCCACCCCCAACAGTACCCACCTGAGAGGACAACAAATCATAAAGCATTAAATTGGAAAATTAACCAACTATTGAAAGTAAATTCTTAAGGATGGGATGCCAAATCACCTCAATGGAAGGCATAGTCACTGAGATATGAAGGTCTCTCCCATCATTGACTGCTTCCATCATGGTTATGCAATGGGAACTCTCAACATTTTGAGCTGGATCTTGACCAGTGGCTATAAAAATGGCAGAAACAATGTTACTGGCATGTGCATTATATCCACCAAGAGCACCGGCAATAGCAGAACCAGTAAGGTTTTTGAGCATGTTAAGCTCCACCAGGGCAGCCACATTGGTCTTTAATACTTTCTTGACCACTTCCTCTTTGATAATTGCTTCACAAACAACTGATTTCCCACGTCCCTCAATCCAATTTACTGCAGCAGGTTTCTTGTCCGAACAATAATTTCCTAAAGGATCAAGTCAATATAAAACCATTACATTTTCTGTTTATTTTAATATACCCATTAGAATAAAATGATTTCAGCCGACCCTGATTATAGGCATCAAATAAACAACCGAATGATTGAGATTAATATAATGACTACCACGCAACAAGTAGATGAGAAATATAAATAAATTGGCGATGAGTATGAAAGTTTGTCACAGACCCAATTTTTGCATCATGTTCAGATTTCATAGATCATAATTAAGCAACAAATGAATATAATATACTACTAAAACAAATAAGATTACATTGCGTACATATCACCTACATTAACCCTTTCTTCAAAGAGCAGAAAGAACAAACAAATCAAGCTCAGATAAAGAAACACATGACAACGCCACATGTATACTCAACCTCTACAACAACCCCATTATGTGACACAAGTCTCCTTTTCAAATCAGACAATAATATAATAAACATAAAACGGCCAAAACGTCAAACATGACGTGGAATGAAATAAGAAAATGTGATTGGACCACTTTGATGAAGGAAACAAATATGTACCTGAAAGGAAACTAACGTGTGAACACCCATTAAAAGTAAACGGTATTCCCGACATTATTCAGGTCTATTCGAGAAAGATCCAGGAAAACCCACTAATAAGTGGGAAAGGGAACAGAAATTACCAGAGATGCCAATAACATCCATGTCAGGAAAATCATTTTGAAGGAAATCAAGAACGTTCTGCACCCCTTTGGAAACCATGTTCATCCCCATGGCGTCACCCGTGCTGCAAGCGAATCTCAAATAAACATTCTTCCCAGCCATAGCACAATGAATACCTTGAAGCCTGGCAAATCTACTCGACCTGAGACCAAAAGAAAAAAAAGAAAAAAACCCCAAAACTCAGCATAAACCAAAAAAAATCTCCCAGAAACCAAATTAAAATTCCACTCCTCCATGTCCCTTAGTTCCTCCTCTCACCTAACAATTTTAAATTAAAAATAAAATTAACTGAACAACATCAAATCCAGCAAAAATGGAAGAAATGAAAATACTAATAAAATAAATTAGTCCCTGAAAAGGTAGGACCAAGTAACACCTGAATAATAATTGCAACATAAAACCACTCATGTCAAGTGTAATAATAATTTCAACAAGTCGGAAACTTCTATATCCAAAACAACACTGAATTAAAAAAAAAGTTCATCAGTCACAAAAATCATTTCAATTAAAAACAAGCAAACAAACCTGTTGAAAACAACAGCCAAGGTATCAAAATTGAGAGGATCCTCCAAGAAGAACTTCAACTGTGCAGCCCTTTTAGCAGTGGAAAACCTAACAACAGGTGCCCTAGACATGCTATCCCTCAAAACGACACTGCTAGCCCCACCAGACGCATAAATTGCTTTGCACCCTCTATTGGTACTCGCCACCAAACACCCCTCCGTCGTAGCCATCGGCACCGTGTACTCAAACCCATCCAAAAGCAACGGTCCCGCCACACCCACCGGAATCTGAACGTACCCCACTGGCATTTCGCAGCACTGACCCAAAATCGACTCGTAACTGAACCCTTCCAATGGCAAACCCTCCAGCGACCTCCCCGTTAGCCTCTGCAGCGCCTCGCGGCGGATCGCCGCGGCACGGCGACAGTCCCCGAGCCTCGATTCCAGCGCGTATGAGGGCGTGGCGCCGTCCACCACCGACTTTACGATCTCCTCGTCTTCCTCAGAGGAAATCGAGGGTTCCGGCGGGGGCAATTTGGGAATCGGCGGTTCAGAAGCCACGGGGAAGTCGTGGCGGGGTTCCGGAACAGCGTCATCAAGGTCCCAGACATCGTGAGAGGCGCGTGCGATGAAGGACTGAACGAAGTCGATGCCGAAGAAACCGAGGAGGTAGATGAAGGAAGCGATGAGGGAGACAATGGCAGCAATCTCGGAAAGCGTGACAACGTGGAGAGGAGTGGAGCTTCGGATCTTGTCGCGCCACCGGTGGAGGAGGTAGTAAGCGACGGAGAAGAAGAGAGTGAAGAAGATGGCGTTGGTGAGGTAGAGAGGGAGAGGGAGGGCGTCGGAGGCCTTGGGGGTAGGGGGAGGGGAGGAGGAGGAAGAGGAGGTCCTCTTGACTCGGTGGGGACGGAGATCCATTGTTGAACGGAGAGAGTGATAGGAATTGTTAAAGAGAAATTGAAAAAATGAAATGAATGGTTAATGAGTGTGTTGTGTTTGCTTTGCCAGCGAAGGTGACGAAGGTTCCACGCTGCCACCGGACCCAGCAGCGTCGGGATTTGCTGTTTCTTGTTTTTTTTATTAAGCACTTCTGTAAACCCAACAACACCACATCGTCTCTATTTTTTTATTAATCATATGTTTAGCAGTTGTGCATGTTTAAGCTTAATTGAAAGAATTACATTTTAATTATTCAAATAATTATTATTATCATTCCTTTAAAGGATCGAGAAAGAAAAGGTAAAAAGTTGTCCCCAAAGCAAGGAAGCGCATGTCACGGAGTCACGAGCGTGGAACTTACCATTGTAGAATCGTGTGGGAAACCTCAACCAGAGTTCAATTAGTAGTTGCTATCATCTCATTTTTATTAATTAATGAATAGTAAATTTTAATTTCACATTAGTATGTTAAATTACCCTTCATCAAGTGTTTTAATTAGGAATGCATATGATTCTAATAAATTCAGAACAACAGGTTGATTTCGACAATAAAAGATAATGAATCAAATTCAGATTCTACATAGGACTAAAATTGCATGCATGGCCATTCAAAGAAATTCACATGAAAAATAATATGTCCAAATAAGTAAAAGCTTTCTGTTTTTGAGAAATGTTATTAGTTTTTTAATGTACCTTTATGAATAATTAAAGTAATTAAAAGTAAGATTTAATGCATGTAATATTTTTATCCTTAATAAATTTTAACACATGATGAAAATGCATTTAAAAAAATTACCATGTGCAATATCATAAAAGATAAGAAATTATGTATAATAAATTTATATAAAAATTTATAATATTCAGAATTGTTAATGTATTAAATTATGTAATTTTTTAAAAGTAATGAGCCTAAAACTCACGCATTTAATGGCATTGGTAAAGTGCGTCTGATTCCTTCCACTGCCACCAACTTATCTACGCTTAAGTGTAATTTTTATGATAAAGGTTAAACAATATCTTTAAATAGTAGTTAAAAAACATTAAAAATTTTGCTATAAATAATTTATTGTAATTTTTATTTTTTGTATTCAGTACTGTAAAAACATTAATTAATAAAACTTAATTTTTTAAATTAACTTGATAATCATAAACAACAATAAAAAAAATCACATTTTTTATATAACATGAGAGATATAGAAGAACGACTCCAAAGCCATCTTGCCAAAGAAGGAAATTAAAGGTTGTAATAGCTAATAATTAATTAATAAAAAATATTAATAACATATTTTTTTTAATACACTCTTCATTGTTAGTTAACATTTATTTAAAAAATTTAATTTACGAATGAAAAAAATTATAAGACTTACATTATTTTTAGAAATTTCAAACAAAAATGTGTTAGAAAATATTTTGCTAAGCATTAGTTTTGATTAATATAATTAACATCGTGATAAAAAAATTTATATTTTGACCACCTTATCCATTGTCAAATTTTTAGGATTAAAATATTAAAAAATTTATAAAAATCTAATATTACTTTTCATTGATTATCAAAGATAATTATTGAAAAACTTCAATTAATAAAATACAATTAATAAAATACAAGTATATTATTCATCTACTACCATATCAATTTCATTATTTCTTTCTCAATATTTAATTATCTTGTCATGTATGATAAGTTTGTGGGGTTAAAATTGATTTACCTTACCTATTTTTAGGAACGATTTTCTCAGTTAGACATATTCGTACATATTTTTATACTTATATTTTATAAAAAAAATATTTATTACAGTTTTTATAAACTTGAATAGTAATTTTTTTTTTAATCTTAATCAACCTAAATCCTCGTATTTATCTTAGAGGAAGGAAAATTGATAAAATGGGTCATCTATAGTTAAAATTTGTTAAATTATAGGGTTTAGATTTTAAATTTTAAGTCCAAGTTAATTTAAAGATTTTTTACTTGACCTATTTGATTTTTCTTGATCAATTAAGTTCGGTTGATTCAATTTATTTAAATGAAAAAATTGCAAGTTTAGGCAAATTTAAATCTTTATTTTAAGATCTAAAACATACAAGTTTGTATTAATTATATTAGATGTTACTGTGTTTTAATAAAAAATAAAATTATAAAACAATTGTTTTTACTTTTAAGTACAAAAATATTATACTATTTTTATAGGATATAATTTTTTGTACTAATTTAAATCTAAAAAAATTTATATTTGATTTAAGTATTTTATTTAACTTACATCTAAAGGATTATAATTTATTATTTCACTAACCGTTAAATATAAGTTAAATAAAAAATTTAAATTAAGTATAAAAGTTTTAAAATTTATACCTGTGAGAAGATCATTCACCCTATTTCTATTATATTTCATATTTATAAATATATGTACACAAAATAATGGATAATAAAAAATTTATTATTTTGTATACAAATCTTTAAAAATAAAAAAATGGAATGAAAATAAGGTGATTAGTCTACAATTAAATGTGAAAAAAATAAATTTTAAAACACTTGTTAAAAAAATTGTTTTAATGCAATTTGGTTTATATGGTAAACAAATAATTTAAAATAAAGTTCTTGAGGTAAGGATTGAAAACTAAAAACAGATGATAGGCATTGACAGCATGACTTGCATGGAAATCAGCCAATTTATTGGCCCCTCTAAACTCATGATCAAGTTTCATCACATTCAGATAACTTTGAGATCCCCCAAATTAGAAGTAAACAATAGTGCTGCTCTGTGATCTATTGTTTTGTTCTTTAAGGAATTAGAATCTTAATTCATATTTTTATTTAACTTGCATTTAAGTTTCCTTACAATGCATCAATGATTAGAGGAGCATGAAGAAACATATCATAAGTCATGAAACATTCTTCATCCACAATCCCAGGTAACAAAAATGGTGATTATCCTGAAACTTGGGTAATATGAGTAAAAAAAATTAACATAATCTCTCAACTGGAACTCAGTCCTACTTATCAGATTTTTCAGGAATAGTTACCTCAAATAGATAATAAATAAGTGTTTATTTCAGTGTTTTTTTTTTAAATGATTATTTTTTTTATTTTTTTGAAAATAAGTTATTATTTCTTAAAACCAAGTTATTATCAAATAAGAATTAAATCTAAAGCATACTAAGTGACACAAAACTACGCCTCTTCATTCTGATTTGCATCCTGTAAAAGGGTCCATACAGCATATTGTCAATTAAACAATTTAACAGGAAAAACCAATAATATATTTTTTTTTTTTGGAAAAAACAATGATTGAATGCAGAAAATAAAGAGAGAAAATAACTCAAGAAGCTGAATTAAAAATTTATCACACAGAAAGTGAAGCAGACAGAAAATTTCCCTATGTGATGGCATGTGTAAGTTCTTCAGTATTTAACTAATAGACCTTAGTATGCTGCATGATGGATTGGGACATAAACAAAGATCATGGTTCTCTTATTGCAATTCCAACCTTCAAATTTTCACAATTTTGATTACCATGAAAATTAGACACTTTCAACCAATTGCAATCAAATACTATATGTTGTGATCTAGATTCGGAATATTAAAGAAAAATCAATCATATAAAGATATAATTACTATATACACTAATGTCACAAAAAGTTAGAAACTAAATACAGAACAAAGCAGAATTTAGATTACTTACACATTCTTCTTTCTGAACTTGTACATCATGCTTGGTCTTTCTTCCTCTCTTCATTTTTCTAGAACTTTTATTTGTTTCATTATTTGGAAAAATTACATGGAGTTCTGCATTCAAGTCTAATAGAACCTTCCCACATAAAGTGCAAACGCTGTAAACAGATCATTGAAATTTGAAAATCAAATAGGATGAATTAACAGCACAAAAATATACAAATTTATCCAATGTCTACAATTTTATAAGGCTAACAATAGTTAAAATGACTAATCATCATGCTAATCCAAGACCCTTTGGAATATCCTAACAGAAGATGTTTATACATGTAGTCCTATGATAGATGGAAACAGTGAAAATAAAAAGAGAATGAGAATGAATAAAAGTTTATTACCAGCAAGATTTGACCGAAAAATCACCATAGATGCTTTCCAATCTGGTTGGGCAAAGCCTGCAACAATGACTACACCACTCCATCTCCATGGCATCAATTGCGTTCAGTTTTAAAGTGCTATATAACTAGACCCAATTACAGTGTCCTAAATCCTAGGCAAACCAGTAAAATACTTTGACTTGGCATATGTTTTTTTAATCTTCTAATATATTGTCTCTTTAAATTTTTCATTTTTAAAATTTTAAATTAATTACATCTTTTCTCTTTATCTTTATCTGTGAGTATAATTTTTTTATAATGTTTAAATTATAATTACACCAACCAGAATCTTTAAATTAATTACAATGTTTTTATAACTTTAATACAATAAATATGTATTTTTTAATTAAAAAAAATATTTATAAATATTTATACTCAATAAGAAGAAGAGGTTTATTTTGCAAACTCCATTCCCTAAAATTGAAATTTTTTTCACTTTCATCGTATTTAGATTATAAAGTCTTTGCATGAACTAATTTCAACCATAGATCTTACTTCCTAAGGCGTGCTCTATTTCCTTAACATAATCCAAACAAGAACTAAGTAAATTTCATCCTAAATAAAAATATTGTTATAAATTGAAAGAAAAATGCTATTATACCTTCTTTTTCTGAAACACTCCAATCAAAATATCAAGTTTCATCCTAAATAAAAAAAAATATTAGTCTTTTTCTTTCATTAAATGTCAATCTCATCCTATAAGAATTTGAATAAAATTAAAAATTTGAGACTTTTGGGTAAAAGAAAATCGAAATCGAAACTTTTTTTTAATTTTAAAAATAGAAAAAATTAATTTTTTAAAAATTAAAAAACTAAGATTGAAAATTAAAAGTAATAAAATTGTATTTATTGGCATCCTATATTAAGTAGCTTAAATAATTTTGGTCCCCACACCAATCTCGTTTCATATTTTAGTCTGTCTCTACATACAAAAGTTTTACGTTTTAATTTTTATATGAAATAAAATTTTCTGAATTGTTCCTCACCATTTACTAAAGTTCTAAAAATGTTAAAATATATTTTTTTAGTAAGGACTAAAATTAAAAATATATTCCATGAGTGGAACTAAAATCTATAATTTTTTTATGTTTAGAAATAACAATGAATTATAATTTTTTTATAAGAATTAAAATGAAATAAGATATCAAATATAATAACCAATACCAAATTCAGATAGACCAAATGAAAAACAAAAAATTACTTGATAAGAAAAATTAAAAAAAGAGTAATGAAGAAATTATTCAGTAAAAAAAACTATTTTATAAATGACTTATTTAAATAAAAGTATAAGAAACAAAATACCAAATGAAAGGATAAAATCCTAATTAAGCAAATCTATTTATTGAAATATATTTAAATATAAACAAAACATCTATTTAATATTATTACTAATGAGTTGTGATTGATTATTAATAATATAACAATGAAACATTACATATTTTATAAATCTATGCATTGCATGAATATAAACTTTTCTTGAAATATTTATTAAAAATTACAAAAACTATAAATGTTTCAAAATAGTATGTTAAAAAAAAGCATGTTAGTGACATTTCTTTTATACCAAAGTCTAGTTCACCCTCCTTTTTGTCTTCAACCACAAATTTTTCAACCTTTGATGAACGTAGGTGACCCCTACAAAGATGAATAATGATCTTTGCATAGATAAGCCATATAGAGTCATTGATTAATAATTAACAAAATTAACAGTCAATTTTATTTTATTTTCTCTTCAGTGACTTGTAAGGTATGTATGAAGAATCTGGGATCATACCCTTCATTAAAATTTTTAATCTGCAATATTTTACACGGCTTTGTGCATCATTTTCATTTTGTTCTATCAATTTTGCTTACTATTTATGCAACCCTCATCTCAATTGATGCACTTGTTCATCGTCTCTTGTCCCAATTGATACATTTGTTTAATGAATTTACGTTTTCTTTCTTGTTAAAGAGTACAATATGACGAATTCTTCATCCACAATCCATCTTTATTGAGAAAACAAAAATGGTGATTATTCAAAAACATGTATAACAATGGTATATATAAAATTAAATGTAGGTCTATACATCAATTGTAACTATGTCGTTATCAGCTTTATTGAGAATAGTCAACTAAATCGAAATAATGCCAAATAATTAAGGTATTTTAATCCACAGCAACACTGAACTACGCTTCTTCAGGGGTTATGGGAACTTCAATTGTGTCAGAAATTGTTGGATTCTTTTCTTCATTGTTGAGAGGAATTTCAGAACTTATATCCTGCAACAAGGATCCACACATTATATTTGTCAATTCAATGATTAAACTGAAGAAAAAGATAAAGATCACAGGAATACCAATAAACAAATAAAACCCACAATCTGTGATATGCTCCAAAGATCAAGGCTTCAATTGACATAAATTTTTAATAATTGTGAAATCACGGTTCTCTTATTGCAATCCCATCCTTGATTTTCTTCTTTTCAATTTCCCTAAACATGAAAATTAGGCATATTTTCAACTTGTTCCAATCAAATACAATATACACCGATCCAGATTCGAAACAAGAAGAATCATTCAAGACAGTTTCTTCGACCCCAAATAAAAGGACAGGTTCAAAACAGAAGAATTAATGTCAAACAAAAATCAATCTGATTAAAAACAGCTCTAAGTGCATACTGAAGTTACAAGATGTACAAAATTAAAAATTAACCCATAATTAGATTTACATAGCAGTTTATTTACAATATCTCAATTGACAAACAAAAGGGAACAAAACTAAGGATAAATCAGAGTACTTACGTATTCTTTTTTCACTAATTTTGCATTGAAATTTCTCCCTCTCTTTATTCGTTTAGGACCTCTATTTATCTTCTTATGTATGATGGCAAGGGGGATTCTCAAACTTAATAAAACCTTGCCACACATGGTGCAAGAACTGCAAACATAACATTTAAAATCAATATGAATTAATGGTACAAAAATATAATATATATTGTTCCCAAAACCTTTAAGAGAAAAGAAAATATGAGCAATATGATTAATTCACCTGCAATTTTTGCCTGTAAATTCATCGACGATGTCTTCCACTTTGGTTTGACGAAACTTGCAACAATGACTGCACCACTCCATAACGATTTTTGCGTTAATTCGATGCTAAAGTAGAGTGCTATGTAGCGCGTCAAAATTCTTGGGGAACAAGTTTTACACTTCGACTAGTAATGTACCCATTTATATATATGTTTTTGAAAGGGAGCTAGGTCTCTTTTTGAATTACCTTTTAAAATTTTCTTAATTTTAAATTTAATTTATTTTGATTTGATTAATATATCTTTTTGGTTATCTTGATTTAAATATTTTTTAACCGATTCAATCTCTTAATATTATGTTTTAGTTTTTAAATAAAAAAGATTATTATCTTATAGATTTTTGTTATGTCTGTTATCTTTTAGTTTTAGAGTTACTTTTTAATACATTATTGATATCGTAATATAATATTAATTTTAAAAAGATAATCTTCTTATAATAATAATAATAATAAACCTTTTACATTAAAAAGTACTTCTTAATATATAGATAGCATATTATTTTTTTCATCATAACCTATTATCAAAAGGCACGAACAGTTAATTTCATTGAGGAACCGTGATTATGCACTTTACATGAATATCAATGTCATCAATTGTCAGGTAAAAGAATGATTCTATACTAAGTAAGTTATTTGAAACTAATAAATATCTGATTTATTGTATTAATATTTATAAATACAAATAATATACAGACTAAAATTGCTTGATAAAATTTTTAAATAAAGATATGAAAAAATAAATTTTATCAACCGAATTAAGATATCGGGATACTAGAATGTTAGCAATATAATAAACTAATTATAAAATCAAAATATTTTATGAAATACCCCGTCCGTGTAAACTTCTAAGTGCCAATTATAGCCGGTCGCGAATTAAATTAGATTGACTTTATAGACAAAAATCATATGATCCAGTTAATCCTGTCCATTTTTATAGTTATCATGTATTTAGTTTAACTTTAATCCCTCCTGTTCACCGAAAAAAAAAAATCCTACCTCATCATTGCAAGTTTGTATTTAGTTCTAAATATTCACAAAATATTGTTAAGCATGCCACTATATATAAATCACAAATTAATATATACTTCACTTGGTTTAAGATATGCATTTATTATATATTCACATAAAAAAATCAGCAATGAATCTTCTAAGATATAGCGCCATAAATTGATTATAAACTACCAAGTAATAAATAAATAAAAGTTTATACATACACGTTTTTTTAACTCGTGACTTCTTTTCAGCTTCATTAAAAACACCCCCAGTAACAAACTCAAATATTGGTTTTCTATTCTTGTTTTCTTTTACCCCCTTTGGCACTAGATCACGTTTAGCAAATGAATCAAGCATAGCTAAACTATAGGTTGTATAGGAATCAAAATGAATTTGATTTCTGTTTTCAACCTATGGAACCAAATAATATTTGCCGAAGTTTACATGCTACAGTCTAATTGGTAAGTACCAGTAAGATACACAATGCGATCTCGTCTCCATGACAAATGGAATGAACAAAAAGCCTCATATACTGATGTCAAAACTGTTGCCAAAAGACATTGGATACAAAAAGATCTTTGATTGAAATCGTATCACATGGCTCATCTTCCATCTCCAAAATGAAGATGGCGCTAAGACCTTTGCTTCTTGGATTTCTTTCCTGATGCCTGTTCTGATGATCCTATGATGTATGTCTCGGCATTTATATTTTCTTCAGATTTACGCTTCCCAAGCTTCTTTGCTTTTTTCTGCCAACGAACCATTTTGAATTCAAATGAGAAGAGGATTCATTGATTAGAAACTATTCATTAGGCAAAGAAAGCTTATAATTTTAACAAGCCAAACAAGGAAAAAATATGCCTTATTAAAATTCCATCGGAACCTTAATACCTTTAAGGACATCGCCATGTCAGCTACATTATTATTATTAGCATCCTCAGATTTATCCATCAGTCTTGCAGGTTCCTAAAAAAGAATGCAAACAAAAGTTTTATGCCATGCCGTCAAGGTAACTAAAAAATATTACGCAATACATAAAATGTTGTGAAGAGTAGCAAAAAAAATGCCAAAGAAATAGTAACACAATTCACAAACCTGGGGTGGGATAAAGGCCTCTTCTCTTCTCCTTTGGTTTTCAGCAGTTTTTTCAGCCTGCTTGTCCAGCTTCTCTTGCCATTTCTTCGCTGATTTCCTTTTGTCACTTAAAAAGTATTCTCCAGTTTCCAATTGTATATCAATCTGAAATGTCACATACATTACCAAAGACAATTTATTTCACAAACTAACAAACAAAATATGCAGAAAAAAGGAATTGAGTTCTTGAGAACCATTAAAATATAAGTATTCTTTGAGAAACATTAGGTAAGTTTTAAACATAAAGGAATTTAAGCTTCATCATTTTCTAGATCACCGGACCTCTTGTCAATTCTTTATTATTATTATTATCTTTTTTGTGTTGGGGAGGGTTAACCACATGAGTGGAAGATACTCTGTTCATTAGTGGAAAAAATCCAACTAGATAGGAGATATTAGAGGTTGTCTCACCTTACTGGGCTGTTGAGGTGGAGGGAAAGGTGTATATGGTTTCTTCTGCTTAGTGTTAACCTTCTTTTGCTTAATGTTTTTCCTAGAAACAGAAATGAAGCATCAATAAACTGAAGCAGAGTGTGAGGAGTTTACATAATTACACATACAAATTATCAAATAAATAAAAGGCATACTTCTTGAATTTTGGAAGAAATCTATCCCAGTTCTCATGGGCAAGTGCTGGATCCTTTTCAAGTTCCTTCTTCATCATAAGAATCTGCCGATTTGAAAAGGAGAACTGAGATATTTTCTAATCGTGAAATCTGTACCATAAAAGCAAGCTGGAGAAATTGCAAATTAATTAACCTTGATGTTGTATACAGGATGCATTTTATTCAGCATGCATTCTTCAACAATCCTTCTGACTTGCTTCAGGCCTTTGAATGAGCCCATAGCAGCAACTGTGTTTCCCTGTGTAATTGCAAGCAAAATTCAAAAGAAGTCAGCTCATTCTAGATTCCACTAATATCGTAGACGTAGTGCAAGTAAATGTACAGTTTTCACAATCTGTACTGTAAAGCAAAAGAAAAAATTACCTGGACGAGAATGTAGCAGCCAGTGAGTATTTCAAGAGCCTGCACGTCAGTATTATAGTTGGAGAAAAGTGAGTTGCAAAGTTGAAGTCAAGAATAAGTGGTATGCAGTGCCAATGAAAAAAAAGAAGTAACAAAGGGTTCATACTTCATCCCCATGGCTAAAAAATCAGGTCTTCACAAAAAACATACCTTCAAGGTGGAAGAATTGGGACCCACAAGATGCTGTCTTCTTTTTACAAATCGCTCCTGTAGTCAGAAAATGAAGCTTCCTACCATCAGACTAATTTCTTTGAAATACTAGTTTAGTAAAATATTATAAAAAATACAAAAGTTATGTGAGCATATATGTAGAATAGGAAATCGAATGAGCTGATTGGAACAAGGATAAGGGAGAAAACCCCATGGCCTGATGGTTTCAGTGTTTTTGGGATGTTATTAAGGAAGATCTCCTGAATGTGCTTAGTGAATCACTTCCAAGGAAAGATTGAAGTGTGTGTGTTTGGTCCAGCTTATTTATGAGTTTTTTTTTTTCCAGCTTTGAGAAAAAACTTTCGGAAAAACCAAAAACAGCTATTTGCCTTTAATAAAGCTGAACCAAAAATAGGATACGAATTCAGATAGGCATATTAAGATGGATGAGTATTGCCAGTTTGCCACACAAGTCTGGTTATAACTGCATACAATTTCTGACAGTTATCATTGTGGTAGTCAATCAGACACAATAGCAGCACTACAATGTTATTGTGTCACAGGAGGTTGCCTCTACATGTGGTTCATTGCAGCAGCTATGGTGTGCATGGGTAGAAATCGATCAAGGGTTCACCCAAAGACACCAAAACCCAACTTCTGCTTTGAATCTGACCCCTGAGCCACTGCCTGACAGTGTTGTTTTGGGCCTACCAGTGTTTCCAGCACACCCACTGCTCGATGGCATCCTCTGTTGGTCTGCTCGACCACAAATGCATTTCACACAATCACTCCCTTCACACAGGTATCTGATTCTCTGTTGAGTCAGTTCACACCCTGTCTTCACAATCCTCTGTTCCAATGACCCACCATTCCCACATTTTTCACAGTTCAAATCCATCTGTGATACTTCCTATTAATTTGATCACCATCCCCTTTTTCCCTATAAATTCCATCACATTATTCCCCTTATGCTCTTAGACTTTTCTTGTTATTGCCCTTTTAACTTTGCCTCAGATCGATAGCAATTATCTGTATACAACTAATGAGTACTAATTGTGAATATGCCGTTAACTCTTCATTTTTGAGGTTTGAGCATATAAATGTAGACAGTGTAAATTATAAATTATTCATCTAGTTTTTATAACATTGAATTGTGTTTGAACAAAGGTGATAGAAAATCAGCTAAAGCTAAAATATAAAACACTCGCAAGCAATGAATGAAAATGTTTGCATAATATTCCTACAAATGAAGAGAATAAGTACCTTATTGCGAACGAATCCACTGATTTTAATGATATCGCATTGCATTTCATCGTCAAGAATTTTGATTGCCTGAGGAGCAGGAACACTTCGTGAGAGAAGCTTGATAAGATCCCTAGCTTTGATGATAATATAAGGATCTCTAGTTTTCCTGGTAGTAGAAACGGTCATGGAACCCTCAACCAAGTTGAGTTCGCATGCAACGCCGAATTGTTTGAGAGAGGATTTGATGATTGGCCACGCTTCTTGGAGGTACTTTTCGCGGTACTGAGGGAAGAGAGTGGAGAAGGAACTCACTTCAAGCATGCCGCCTTCGTTCCACGAAGGATCGAACTTATCGATCTTCCAGCGGTCGATGTTAGGGTCTTCGTCCCATGGCTTTGGTTTGTCGTGCTTCCCCTTCCGCTTCTCCTTCGCTGCTTCGTTCGTTACGCCATTCTCAACCCCGTCGTGGATTCCCATCTCTGCTTTGCTTCGATGCCCGCCGGTGAGAATGGAGTCCACTCAGTTTCTAGGTTTGAGGGTTTGAGGATGGAAGGAGAGAAGCCAAGTTTGGGTCTGTTATTTCAGCCCATTGTTGTTAATGTCTTCATAAAAAATACGTATCTGGTTGAAAAAAATAAAAATAATCAATTATTTTATCAAACTTTTGGCTAAAATATTGTACTTGTTTATTATTAATAACTACATAGCTATATCTCGAAATGAAATGTTATAGGATCTAACTTAGAGAACTTCTGTGATTAATAATTCATCCTTTAACACTGCTTTCTTTATTATATTTTTTTTTATTAGTCTAGAAGTTTTTGAAACTTGTGAAATTGAGAGTTTTACTTCTATTTCAACAAGTCATATATATAATTTTAATAAAATAAATCGATAGTAAAATTATGTTAAAAAAGATTAAAAATTATATTACTGACATTTTTCATCTAACTCGTTATAATCTGTTTATTTTCTTAATAAGATCAATGTAAAAACATCCTTTTACCAAAAGGAAAACTCAATAAAATATTCATTGAGATTCTTTTTTTTTTTCTTTGGATTGTGATATTTTTTTCAGATAATATTTGCGTGATTTCTTTAATTTGAAACAATACATTACTAAGGAGGTGACCGTGCGATGCACGAATAAATTATAATATTATAATTAATAATTATAAAATAAAAAAATTATATAAAATATTTATGATAATATTTTAATTATTTTAAATTTTAAAATTAATTAGTATATATTAATATTATTACTAATAAAATATTTCATATATTATATAAAGATATATAATATACTTTTAAATATTTATAAATTAACTTTAAAAGTAAAATGTTTAAATTCAAATATAATTTGAATTTATAAATTATAAATTTAATTCTGTAAAATTTAAAAATACTCTTATTGTGTTTCTGAAATCATTGTTATATATTAAGTATCATAATTTAATCTTTTATTATTGAATCGTATATTTATTAATTAAATATATATAATTTAGTTCTAAAATAATTATAATTTAAATATTAAATTAATTAGTTTTAATATAACAGAAAGATAAAAAATATTAAATAAAAATTTTGATAATTTTTAAAATAAATTATTTATAAAAAATAAATATAATGGTTAAAAATAATTTATATGCAACTTTAAATATTATAAATATTATTATAAAAAATTTAATTATAGATTAGTAAATATATTTATATGTCACAAAAATTTGTTTATATTGTAATTAGTATATATTAATATTATAAAATTATAATTTAAATAAAAAAATATAATAAAATTATATTATATTGAATAATATCAAATATAAATAGATTAAAAAATAAGATAAATAAATTTTCATATGCAAATTTTAGATACTTTATATATTTTAAAATTTCAATTAAGATTTATAGGTGACTTGTGCACGAATAAATTATTATATTATAGTATAATATTATAATTAATAATTATAAAATAAAAATTAATTCTATAAAATATTTATGATAATATTTAATTTATTTTAAAATTTAAAATTAATTAATATATATTAATATTATTACTAATAAAATGATTTCATATATTATATAAAGATTTATAATATATTTTTAAATATTTTTAAATTAATTTTAAAAGTAAAAGTATTAAACTCAAATAAAATTTAAATTTATAAGATTATATATTTAATTATATAAAGTTTAAAAATACTTTTAAATTATTTTAAATTTTAAAATTAATTAGTATATATTAATATTATTACTAATAAAATGATTTCATATGTTATATAAAGATTTATAATAAACTTTTAAATATTTATAAATTAAATTTAAAAGTAAAAAGTTTAAACTCAAATATAGTTTCAATTTATAAATTATAAATTTAATTCTATAAAGTTTAAAAATACTCTTATAATTAATTTGTAATAATTTAATATGTATATATACATACCACAACATAAGGATTCTTAATAAAAAAAATAAATTTAAATATATTTAAAATATTTTAAGGCAGAAATTATTAAAAAAATAAAATTATATATTTTATTTTATCTTATAAAATTATATAGCACACAATTTAAGAATAAAAATAAATAATTTTTTTTATTAAATAAGTCTACTTTATATTTCTGAAACTATTGTTATATATCAAGTATCGTAATTTAATTTTTTATTATTGAATCATATATTTATTAATTAAATATATATATGATTTAGTTTTAAAAAAATTATAATTTAAATATTAAATTAATTATTTTTAATATAACAAAAAAATAAAAAATATTAAATAAAAATTTTGATTATTTTTCAAATAAATTATCTATAAAAATAAATATAACAGTTAAAAATAATTTATATGTGAATTTAAATATTATAAATATTATTATAAAAAATTTAATTATAGATTAGTAAATATATTTATATGTCATAGAAATTTGTTTATATTATAAAATTATAATTTAAATATATAAAAAAATTATATTATATTGAATAATATCAAATATAAATAGGTTGAAAAATAAGATAAACAAATTTTCATATGCAAATTTTATATACTTTATATATTTTAAAATTTTGAATTAAGATTTAAATGGAAAGTAAAAGAGAAGAATAATTTTATTGAAAACAAAAATAAATTTTTATATTAATTAAAATTACACATGTTGATATAATATAAAATTTATAAGTCACATATAAAATATAGACAAATATTATGATAAGAAAAATTTTATAATAAAATTTAAACTATTTGAAAGTTTAAAATTAATTAGTATATGTTAATATTATTATTAATAAAAATATTAGTTATTTGAAAGAAAGAAATATAATATAGAACTTTATAAAGTATTTTTCTTTTCTATTGACATTAATTAAAAAGAAAGTTATAATTTTTATAATAAATCTAATTTATATTTTCAAAGATTTCCTTATATATCAACTTTTTAACAGTTTTTGTACTTTTTTCATATAATATTTAAATTATAAATACTAAACTAATATTAATTCTTATTATTCTATTGTTGTATAACCTTTTAAATATATAAATTAATTAATTATAATTTATTCATTTTACTATTCTTTATGAATGATCCTATATGTTAATATTAAGGTTAAAAAAAAGTACAAATATGTTAATATATATACACACTAAATAAAATACATTTTTTTTTATCTTTATTAAATATTTTATGTTTATCCATATAACTCTGATTTGATTATTTATAATAGATTCAAATGTAATATAAATGACCCTTAGAATATATATATATATATATATATATACTCATCAATTCTTATTCATTTATTCCATTATTTCTCATTAATTATATACAAATTATCAGTTTTCAAGAATAAAATTTAAAGTAAATCATTTATATTAAAATTTAAAATTGTATTTAACTACTAATTATATGCATTTCACTTCATTATTTCAATACAAAACATACATATTTTGTCTCAATTATTTCATGTATATATGGTCATGCTTTGAGCTTGGAGCAAATCATCTTCCATTGAAACAGAAAAGTACCCATCAAACTTAATACTTGACTTATACCTGCATCATTCATATTCATCTTATACCACTAATTGGATAACTTATAAGTTAACAAAAACAGGAAACATCATGCAAAACATAATGATGTCACTATAAATAAAAAATAATTAAAATACTTACTTATTCTTGTAATCAATAGCCTCTTTTATGTTAAGATTGATATACAACTTTGTCTCATTATAAGCATTTGATATGCCTAAAGTTCCTGAAACAACTATGAAATATAATTTGTTGATAATAACAACTATCACACAATTAAAAAGAGTTTAATATAAATAAAGAATCATACCAACAAAAGTTTTCACTTTACATAATTGAATAATCATAATAGGTAAAGCATTAGAATTTTTATTCTTTAAAAAACAACCATTTGATCATCAAACTCCTCCCATAAAGTGCAAACAATTATCTGATTCTCACGAAACAAATTCAATATAATATAATCTTAATTAGTATAAAGTAATGAAAGAGAAAAAATATTAAAAAATATTTTAGCTATTAAAATATATTATAAAATAATACTCACTTCAAGTTATTGAGAATCAAATTAATATATTTGATTTTCTTTTCACTTTTTTCTACGTCTTTTTTTTACTTATTTTTTTAATTTTATAATAAACTTAATTTAAAGTTCAAGAGTTTTATGTAATTTTATCAGTTATTAATTTCTAATAATAAAATTTAAAATAAACATTAATATTAAGATTCAAATCTGCCACAAAGGATGCACCTTTTGAATATATAAAGACTGCTAATTAGATGTAAATACATTTAACTGATTTGAATTAAACCATTTAAGACGAATAAAGATATATCAAAACTGCTAATTAAAAATGAATGAATTTAATTGATTTAAATTAAAACATTTAAGATAGCCTTAAATAATAATTATTAATTATTATATAAAGATTATTGTATTAAAAAGTGAAGGCAAATTCCCCTCCAAAACTCATTGCAAATTTCTCTCCAAAACTTATCTACTTTTAGAGTTTTATTATTTCTAATAATAATCTTTCAGTAAGGTTTGAATTGAGAAATCTTTATTGTAAGGAACTTATAATCATCGTATATGCTTGAAAACACAGAAGTGTATAATTATGCTCGTTTATCTTGTGTAAAAAGTTAAATAACTGTGCGATCATGAATATTTTCAAATATTTATTATGCTTCCATTTTAATTTAAACTGATATAGTTGGCGTGGTATTCCAGTGGTACCAAGTAGCAAATTTTAAAATCAATAAAGTTTATCTATTTCTATTATCTAATACTATCATAAAAGAGATTATCCAAGTTTAGCTGGACAAGAGGAGCTGTAGTCTGTAACCAAACAAGTTGGAGAAACTTTTTGCAGAAACATCGCTTCCAAGTTCACATTTGACCTCAGAATACCGTCTTTCCAGAATACAAGGTCTTGAACCTCTTTTGAATCCAGAAAAGGAAATAAACGAGGTATTGATGCCAGATGGGCTCATAATGTCATCCAGAAACGTCGATTGAAGACACACCACCTAACCATCATCACTGGCTCTGTATGATGTGCCATGAAAAAACAATCGTTACAAAATGAATGTTTTGTACATGGTATAATAACAACTACTACTACAACAACAACCGTCCTAGTGAACCTACTCCTACAAACATTAGACTTTGAACCAAGTCCGTTAAAAGGACAGAGAAGATGAGAGGGATTGAGTCCAGCAACCAAACATCCACTTCCAAAGTATAGTCAGGGTTAATAGTCTACTGTAGATGAGCACATTTCCAATGACTACTCGCCACTAACAACATACACCCACTGTTGACATTTTACGTAAAAAGACCCGCATAGCATCTAGTCTACCTGTTATTTCTAAAGAACTTTCCATTGACATGGAAAAGCTGGACACGAGGGTTTTCCCCCTCCTTTGCGTTTTTTGTTTTTATCCCCCGCCCCCTCTTTTTTGAACATGATCGCCTGCATTACAAAAGAATCAGAGAGATACCAGTGTGACAGCAGATGTCATCAGATTCTCTGCCTGACCCTCCTACCATTTGTGTCACCACCATCTGAAAGTTGGGCCCATACACTCTGAGACTTCTCCCCTACACTGCAACTATCACCCTCACAGCCAGCAATTGTCTTCAAGATCTCTGACTGTAACCATGGGCATTTTTCTTTCATATACTCAAATTCATCTGACCTCATGACAGCTGCAACAAGTCCAGACGCAAAAAGAACCATCATATCCAGAATGTGAAAAACAGATGGTAATAAGATAATGATTCTGTATGCCCAAAGTCAAGAAATTTTGTTATATAATTCTCTACTAGTATAAACATTAGGGAGTCGTCTGCTGCGTTTCTAAAGGATAGAGAAATTTGAATATCAATTATGAATATAATCAACAACGCATCCAAATGCTTTGTATTTTGGACAAAATAGTATACCCGCAATAAAGCAACAATTATTTATATTTGAACTAAAAATGTAAAGAGAAAATACACCCTAAGATTTTTGTTTAAGGATGCATTTGGATGCAAGACTTATTTAATTACTTATTCAATAAGCTTGTATTAAATGATGATTTATACCATAAATTTAATGATGAAACTTGTTAGGATAAGCTGAAAACTGCTTATTTAGATAAGCTAAACCAAAAAGATTATCGAAATAAGTTTAAATCTTATGAGTCAAACTGTTTTTTACAAGTTATTCATAAATTCTTCCAAACAGGTCCTAAGTGTTCACCTATGCAATCCACAGCCAAGCCCTAGGAATATTTTACTTTCACTTATTTTGTTGTGCCCCAAAAGTTGTAATATTGCATGATCAGAACAGATGGAATTAGAGCAGGGGGTAAAAGTTGCCCAACCAATCTATAATCTGCAGTTTTTAAAATATTCAACACAAAAGAAAAAGAAAGACATAAATAAAACCCCTCCACAGTGGTCTAACTCTAACCCCTTTCTGCATACGATGAAAGCAAATATTTATTTCTATTTAAGTGACATAGAAAAGACATAAGAAGCTTGATTACTAAAAACTCGGTAGTAGATCAGTGTTAGATATGGATGATATAGAGAAAAGCAGAACACTGCCATGCGTGTCCAGGATAAATTGCACGATCATTTCTTTTCAAGTGGTGCCCAGTTGCACATTCAAAATGCCCACACTTTATAAATAAATATATAAGCACATAGAAATTCCAAATAATTAAGAAGGGCAAAGGAAGCAATACAAAAATTAATTGACAGAAGGAAATAACAAAAGGAGGGAGGAGATTCTGGATCTAAATATGCCAAAATAAAAAGCAGGTTGAAAAAGGAAAAAAATTGAAAGGAGAAAGACACAGATAATCTAACAACATTCCACATACTGCAAGCAGACACATTTAGAAAACAAGAAGATAATAAATGACCCTAAATTTTTATCAACTGCCAATGAAAAACTCTAAAGTCTAACAGCCTTTAAAAGCAACAAGTTGGAAAACCAATAGAAAGCTTTGCGTTTTCTTATCTTTTTCCCTGCCCTAGGAGTAGGAGTAGGAGTAGGAGTAGGAGTAACACGAAAAGGGGGATTAGCATTATTGTCCCAATGATAAACCACTAACACCTTCTTCGTTGAGGCTCCGCGTATTGGGAAAACACTCTAGCGACAGGAAAGTGGCCACTAGTTACAAATCTCCCAAAAGGTATTGAGAGGGCTATCACAGTCAGGTGCGGAGCAATTAACCCCTATTTGTAAAGTACCCCTCTTCCTATTTAGGGAGTTGAGGCGAGAAATAGCTTGATGAACCATTTTCTTTGGCTACACACCGGCCTTATTCACTTGCTTACCGTAGAGGCTGTAAGTACACAGTACCCCACAACTAAACATGAAAGTGCAACATCATTATTGGTAATTAAGGTTTTCTTACATCCAGTAGAAATTTTGAGCTACTTTTTCACCAGGTGCCATCATATAGTTCCATGACAGGGTAAAACTTTGTGCACATCAGAAGTGTCAAGTCTGTTTCATTTGAAAGTATTCAATATATTATGTGTGTTTGTTGGCATTATAATGCTGTTATTTCTATTATCAGTTATTCCTATCAGTTTGAATTTGGTACATGAGAAACAGCATTAATACCCAGTCCAAGTGGACATGGATCAAATCATCCATGGAAGTAGCTATCTCATGAAACGATTCATGAATTCCATAATATCATATTATCATGATCAGCTAGGCAAATTGAGAAGGATGATCACAAAAATGTAAATTTGTACTGAGTTGTCTTAATGCTTGAGAACCTTGAGTTTTCTTTTGGAATTTTCAATCTGCCTTTTCTGCTTGGAATCTAGTTGTGTATGTCAGACGAGCTATATTTAGTTAAGAGGAAGACTGAATCTGAATTCATATTTTAGCCATTCATCAATAACAAAAGTTGTAATCAGTCTTTATGTTAGCATGGCTGCTACTGTTAACCAAGCAAGTGATGCAGATGATACTAATTAAGTATACCTGCTAGATTTTGGGCAGCAAATTTTAGGCAAACGGCTTTCAACTCTGTGGCATGGCAATGATCAGCCAATGTTAAAATGCTGACTACAGAATTCACACAAATGTCCTTGCAAAGACGAGACTCACACATAAGTCTAAGCCTCTTCAAGCCATATTTGTCTGCTGCATCTAACAATTTTGCTGTCAATGTCTCAGAAACTGGAAAATCACTATCCGAGGTTGATGGAACCTTGTCCACCTCTTCTGTGAGGGTATCCCTGTAGATAAAGTGCAGCATAGCCTATAAAAGGTAGAGGAAAATCAGGATATTTCTTTTCCATCATTGTAATTTCCCTCTTAACTCCTATAAAATCTTTATTCTATCAAGGGAAAAAAATAACAAGAAAAATCAGCAGGAAAATAAAATGATAACAGAGTAAATCCTAACCAAGTAGGGAGGGAAAATAAGAAAAGGAGAGAAAAATAAGAAATAAATAGCTTTTACCTTAAAAACCTTCGGTTCTAAATCTGTTACAATAATATCCTTCTTCTCGACATCTAAACCATCAAAAAATTTAGATCGAAATTCTGGGGATCTAGCAGCCAATACCAACTTATGAGCCGGGAATTTTTCCCCAGCTACATGAAATGTAACATCTGAACCTTCCATGTTATCCAATAGCGCACCAAAGTGTGATCCAATGTCAGACTCCGGGACATAAATAGAATGAAGTTGAGGACAAGCAATTGCTGAAACCACAACTCCAACTGTACAGTTGATTTTCAAGCAATCATTCTTAAGGAAATCAGAGCTTTCAAGCATTGACCGTCTGAAAAATCTCTTGTACCCCCTATAAGAGCATGTGAACAAGATCAACATTTCACATGTCAACACAACAGTGTAGTTTCAGACTGATCTAGCATCAATTTACCGTGTATGAATCATAATTTGCCATTTACATATTTATAGGTTTTCTTAATTTGATTTCATCTTTACTAGTTTCTGCAAGATACAAGTTTTTTTCTCTAAATTGTTTTTTGTAATAATATAAACCCAAACTAACCTGTTTATAGTTGGGTTTGGATCTCAAATAAAAAAAAAAAGAAAAAAACTGACCTGATCCACTGTGTTGTGTAGGTAAGTTAGTAGTAATTTTTCCCATAAAACCCAAATCGACCTATGATAACCCCTAACATAAAAAAATCTTCAAAAGAGTGAGATCCTTTTTCACTCATGAAGTCTTCATGTATCATATCTATTGTAGTATAATTATCTTTATATACACCACGAACAAAACTAAGAGCAAGCCATATAACTGACCAGTATATAACGTTTTTGGAGAGCTAATTACGAGGAATGATTAAGAAAAGGGGAATCAGAGTGTCTTAGGGCCTATTTGTTTTAATCTAAGAATCAATCTCACACCGTGCACACAATTCAATGTAAAATCTGTAATTGAGATTAATTTGGACACATTTCAATTAGTACGTCAACATCCAACTTAAAAATCAAATTTATCTAACCGTAAAACAAATGGTAACTTAAAGGACCAATACTGATACAATAAACTGATTTAGACGAGAATGACACACCATCGTATGCACAAACAAAAAAACACAAGATATTCAGGCTAGATAAAATCCCAGTGTCTCTAAAAATTAAACCCCGGTTCAGATTCAGCATAAACCTAAACCACAAACATTCAAACAACATAAGGAAATAAAAAACACCAATAAAACAGGCTAACATAGTATATATTACGAAAACGAGAAGAGGAAATGAAATCGAAAACCCTACCACATGCTTCCCTTGTACTTGAGCGTGTAAGGACCACTCTCGAGCGATCGATCGAAATGGCTGTGAACCTTGTGCTTGCCCTGGCCACTCTGATCCAAGAGCGTGAGCTCGAACAGCGCTCTCACGTCGGTGCCTTCGCTGGCCAAAGCGATGAAAACGGAAACGTAAGCGGAATTGTCCTCCGGATTCTTCCCGTCGGGATAGAAGTAGATCGCCCAGTGGTGCCCTCCGACGGTGAACAAATCGCTCGCAATGTGCTTCCCCACTCCCATCCCCTTCGCCAGCGAATACCCTTGGATCACGAACTTGTGAGAGCCGTTCACCGTCTGCGTCACCGACCTCGAGCTCGTCGGCGACGACAACACCGCCCGCGCTCTCTCCGCCGTTCCGGCCATGGCTATCGGAATCCCAAGCTCATAAGACGGAGGAGCAATTCTCCCCCAGGCGGAATGGAAAATGGAAGAAGGAAAGGGATTCGCGAGTCTGAAGAATTTGGAATCTAAATTCGGTAATTATTTTTATTTATAAATTATTTAATTTCGTGAAAATTAAGAGTGAGAGAGAGGTTGCGTTGATGGAAGGAGAGAACGCCGAAGGGCGCGTCACGGTCTCGAGGTTTCTGAGGTAACTTGGGTTGACTCGTTGACGTCAGGGTGTGAAATGTCATGTTTGCCCCTGAATGCTCCAGAAAGTGTAATGACGTGGCGAGTTTTCATTGGGGGACTGGATGCATAGTCACTGTAGTGAATAACACGTGTTCACGGATTTGGCATTTATCTCATGTATTCTTCAATTAACGCTTCATTAATCATTGCGATGCGATAACCTGTAGGAAGAATAAAAGTAAACAAAATTTGTAGTTTCATCTAAATATAATACATGTTACTACCCAATTTATCTTGTTCTTATAAATTTTAACAGCATAATTAGTTTAAAAAGAAATACCTTCGGCTTTTTTATTGAAATATTATAAATTTCTAAATAAATTTTTAAATTATGATTTTTTGATATTATTTTTTATTTAGAGTGATTTGATTGATGTGGTATAATATTTTGCTAAAATAGTTGAGAAAAATAATAATTTTTTTAAAAATAAAAAAATTTCATTAAAAATGTAAAATAACTATATTGTAACAGGTAATTTCACATTATTTATAGCAAAATTAAGAGTTAATTTCTTTATAAAAAGTGAAAAACTTATAAATGATACGTGTCATAGCCTTAATGAGTTTTTCCATAAAAATTATATAATTTATATTTGTATGTAAATATAAAAAATATTTTCTTATATTATGTTAGTAATATTTTTAATTTTAATGTAATCATAATTAATATTTAATGGTAAAAACTATTATGCTTAATTATGTTAGTGATTTTAATTTTTAATTAAGATATAATTTAAATTTGTATGTAAATAAAAAATTAAGTATAATGTTAGTTAATTTTATTTAATTATGATTAATTATAATTTTCTAGTAAAAAAAATAATTTATATTTAATTCACGTAATAAATCAAAATTGTAACACATATTAACTTATTGTAAGTTATATAATTTTCATAGCAAAACTTATTAAAATCGTAACACATGTTATCATTCACGAATTTCTCACCTTTTATTGTGAGACTGACTTTTAATTTTATCATAAATATTGTGAAATAACCTAAATATTAACATGCGTCACGATACGATTATTTTACATATTTAGCGATAAATTTTGTTGTTTTTCTTTTTAATAATATTTTTGTCAATCATTTTTGCAAAACATTATGCTACGTCAACAAAATCACTCTAGACAAAAAAATAATTTCAAAAAAATAATTTTTAAATTTATAATATTTAAATAAAAGAGCCAATACTTTCTAGCAATCACTATTATTAAAATAAATATTATGATTACATTATTAAAGTTTTCCAACATTTATTTTTAACTCGTACCTCGTAAATTTTATTTCATATAATTGTATTTTTAAAGTTTTTAAAATTTAAATATTATGAATATAACACATAAAAATAATCAAAATTGTTAATATTAATAACCCTATAGCTTTGACAACCATTTAATTAGCAATGCCTAGTAACTAGGAATGAAAAGCAAATGGCATACATCACTTGTCATGGTCGATTTTTTAGGGTACTTATGAAAGTGAAATTCTTTAAATTAAAAATTGAGATTTATTTAAAAACTGTTTTAGTAGATTTAACCTTCGCACCGTTAAGTAGATTTTGAATGATAAGCTTAACAATTATTCCAATAATTACATATCCGATTTGACTTATAGACGAATACGCAAGCATACGTTTCAAGTATTTTGAATAAACAAATTAATGATTAATAGAATGTTAAAGCTAATCTTGTTTAGCTTTAGAATATTTTCAACTGATAAAAATTTAGTTGAATTTGTGAAGGACCTCGTGGCAAGTAAAGATGTACAAGATAAGATTTGTGTCACTAACTTGTTGCAAGTCGATATTAACTTTGACGTATTTGAATTTTTAAAATTAAACTTGGGATATTTTAAGGACAAGTTTAAATTATAGCATGAGATGTCTCAATCTCATTTACTGTCTCTTTTTTATTTAAATTTATATCCTTTTTAATGCAATTATATATTAATGATAATATTTTAAAATTTAATAAATAACATTTTACATATCTTGATATTATATTTATATTTATATTTATACCAAGTTAAATCATATATTTAATTTTATATCATTTATGAATTAATTCTTATAATTAAAAAATAATAATGTTTTAGTTTTTATACAATCGTTTTGTTATGTTTGATTTTTATCATTTATGATTTGATCTCTATATTAATAATAAAATAAAATATATAATAAAATTTTGTATAAAAACTAAAATATTAATTACTCCAAATATAAAAACTAAAATATAATTTTTTTAAAGTATAAAATTTATAACGCCATGAAGACTAACTTACAAACATTATAAATATAGGAATGAATCGTATATTTTATTTGAAAAAATTAGATGTTAAATATAATTACAAAATATATGTATTGTAATTTAATATAATTTTTTCAATATTTATCATTGATTAATAAAAAAATTACTTAATTTTATATTTTACTTGTATCTCACTTTTAAAAAAATTAATATTAACATTCAATTTATATATAATGTTTTCTACAGTATATAAAATTTTATAATATACTAAAAATATTTTTATATAAGAAGATAAATATTTATTATATAAATAATTATAAATTTTCTATCACGATTAATTAATTTTTGTTATTTTTATTAATAAATATAGATTATTTAAATGATATTTTAAATCATAAAATTGCAATAGTAAAAACAGAAAACCAACGGGGTTCCTCGACCCCACCGTGGAGAGGTAATGGCTGGTCGGCGTCAGTAGTTTTTCCCGTAGCACTGACATATATGGCTGCTGCGTGGAAACCAAATAGAAATAGACAGCAGCAGATAAATATGCAAAGCATCTTATAATATACTTAATTTGTTAATAAATTCACATAAAACGGATGACAATCGTGAAATTTAAAATACTCTAATAATAAATATACCAAGTTGGGGAGTGTCCCACAGCACAAACACGCGGACGAGGAGAGGAAGCATCTAATTTCTAAAGCAGGTGGCTGCAGGAGTTGGTGAAAAGGCACTTTTATATCGACTATTTATATGTATGTACGCATCTTATAAATAAAAATAATAATAAAATAAGCAAGTAACAGTAGACTATCTCTATCGGTCACGCACGAAACGACCCTCACCTATCTATCTGTCCATCTATCTATCAACGAAACGATGATCTCTGTGATTGACGCTCTTCAAACGGTTCTAAGTGCTTCAAAACGACTTCCTCCAGCGACTGTGCCTCTTCACGATGCACTTGGCAAGGTTTTGGCAGAAGAGGTTCGCGCCATTGATCCTTTGCCTCCTTATCCGGCCTCTGTTAAGGATGGTTATGCGGTGATTGCTGGAGATGGCCCTGGCGAATATCCTGTAGTTGCTGAATCCAGAGCTGGAGATGATGCTCTTGGTGTTACTCTCACTTCTGGAACTGTCGCTTATGTCACTACCGGAGGTTTTCTTCCTCTTCCTGATTTATTTCTACTCTGCATGTGCTGTTTCTGATAGTAATTAGGTTTTCTGTTTTGTGTAATTGTAGTTTTTGTTTTTTGGATGTTGATTTGTGATTAGTTGTGTTTATATTTATTCTTCTTATGTTTGTTTTGTTGGTTTAGGGCCTATACCTGATGGTGCTGATGCGGTTGTTCAGGTTGAGAACACTGAAATTGTGACCAGTGACTCGGATGGAACTCAGCGGGTGAGAATATTGGTGCAAACCGCCAAAGGCAATGATATACGCCCTGTGGTATGTATGATTTTATCTGTTATCAGTTGACAATACTTTAGAGTAAGTAATTGCCGTGATAATGTTGAGTTTAACATGTTAGACTACTATGACAGGCAAGAATTGAGTGCGTGATTGTATTGTACTGGAGGTTATGGGTCTCTTGAATGACCAATGTTGACAGTGTTGTGTTTTTTTTTCTTCTCTGTTTTTCTATGAGTGTGAGGGCCGCTATTATTGTGAATCTGATTCTGTGACAGTGTCTGTCTTTTTCCAAAATTCTTATACACAGGAAAGGAAACTTGACACCAAATTTTTTCTCTAATTTTTAAGTTCTCTTTCATTTTTGTATTATAATGTAGATTATAGCGTTTGAAATTTTGCTGTTTTGTTCACTGCTTTCTGCACTGGGTGATCTATGCTTTTGTAGTTAATCTATGAGTATTCTCTGACAGGGATTTGATATTGAGAAAGATGCAATAGTCTTGACACCTGGAGAAAGATTAGGCGCTTCAGAGATTGGCTTGCTTGCTACAGTTGGTGTAACAACGGTGAAGGTATTCTTTTGAGAGTTCCTGGATTCTGTAATTAAGCAAGCTTCTTGCCATAATGGCACATAGTTTATTTGATTCCTTGGGTGGGAGCATTTTGATATGTTGTCTTATTTGCATGTTCTACTGTTGGATATGGATATTTGTAATGATGGAAAATAATGCTTTTATGCAGGTTTATCCTACTCCAACAGTTGCTGTTCTTTCTACTGGAGACGAGCTTGTAGAGCCAACTACTGGGCATCTGAGTCGTGGTCAGGTATTGTTATGGAGTACTAGGACTAGTAAGATGAGTTTATGAAAATTCTTCGCAGGAAAACTAATGCTATCAGTTATTAAGAACTATCATGTGGAAGCTGGTCGTTAGAAATGACTAAAATTCTATGTCAGCTTCCAGAGTTTTTCTTAAATAATTATTAATGTGATACTGTAGATTACTACAAATTAGAATTGACATCGAGTATATTTCATTTAAAAGAACACAAATAGGGGAGACAATGGTTCAACATGAATTGACAAAGAAAATTTCAATTTGGAGATATTCTTTAGTTGGTTATTAAGCTGGTGATGTGTGTGTGGTGTTCATCTATAGCCTTCCCCGCTGCCTCTATTTTAGAATGCTAAATAGTACTTCCTAGATCACACTCAACTCAATGTCATAATATTTGTAATAGATTACTGTTGGGTAACCCCCATCAGTAGTTAATTACAATGTTATTTACCCATTAATAATATTTCTCAGTTAGTTAAATTGAATTAGTTAATTAGGCATGCTGCCTATAATAAGTAGAGGGGATGAGGGGGGAAGTGTCCTGTCAATTGTGGGAGAGTTAGGGCCTTTGGCTTGGGAGGAGCAGTCCCTCAAAGGACTGCAGTGTTCTTTCCTTGTAGTTGGGATTCATCCTTAATTCTTCTTAATCAGATACCTAGTTCTATCAATTACTAAATTGTTATCTGAATCAGCCTTGAGATTATACCAACAATAATATGGTTGCTTGTTTTGATTTTAGCATCAGTAGTATGTTGTTGAATGAGGTTTCAAATAGCCATTTGAGCTTTATAATGGAGATTGTTAATTTGTTATTATGTCATTGGACCTTTAATACTTAATAGGCTAAATATACATTTTTGGATGGAAATTTCTTACTATGTGCAAATATATTGTTTAAAATTTGTTGGACAACATAACAGTTATTTTACCACATTAATTAACTACCCATTTGTGGACTATCTGTTTGGGTTTGTGCCATAATTTACATCTGTTGCTTGGTAAATGTAATTAAAATGAATATAATCTAATATAGATCCAATGCAGATTAGGGACTCTAATCGAGCCATGCTACTGGCAGCTGCAGTACAGCATCAGTGCAAAGTTCTGGACTTCGGTATTGCTAAGGATGACAAAGAATGTCAAGGAAGGGTCTTGGATGAAGCTTTTGCTTCAGGAATTAATATTCTTCTAACTTCAGGAGGTGTATCAATGGGAGACAAAGATTTTATCAAGCCTTTGCTTGAAAAGCGAGGCAAAGTACATTTCAATAAGGTTATCCCCCTCTTTTTATTTGATTGTTACTAAAATTATTCTGATGTCTTGTAATTTCAGCAATAGATGCAGTGTGTTTGTCATAGTAGTAGAAGTAGTAGAATTATAGATTTTTCTGTCTAATGTCCTTGTCAGTATGATTTATAAATCATGTTATCTTAATTTAGGAATCACTTATCTCTCAGGTGTGTATTAAACCAGGCAAGCCATTTACATTTGCAGAGATTGACTTTCAACCAACAGAAAGTAAAATTCTAGCTTTTGGGCTACCTGGAAATCCTGTCAGTTCTTTAGTTTGTTTCCATCTCTTTGTGGTCCCTGCCATACGCCAACTTGCAGGGTGGACAAATCCTCATCATCTTAGGTTGCATAAACTTCCAAAGTACAACTGTTTTTAAGATGGCCTGCTTGCTTTTGCTTAGATTCATTTTATTTGCTCTCTATGCAGGGTACAAGCTCGACTTTGTCAGCCCATAAAGACAGATCCACTTAGACCAGAATACCATCGTGCTTCTATTATCTGGACTGACAATGATGGAACAGGCAATCCAGGGTAAGTTGGTGGTGAATTGTTTTGCTCTAGTCTGGGTCTAGCTGAATCTACATACACATCTGTTCTCTCTGTTGCATGTGTTTTCGTTTATTTATTTATTATTTTTTTGAGAGGGGGGAGGGGGGGGGGGTTTGGGGTTGTTATGCAGAGGCTTTGTTGCTATATTTGATCTGGTCTCTAATGAATGAACTTTTTATCCTGTCTGTGATTCTCAGTTTTGTTGCTGTGAGTACTGGTCATCAGATTAGCAGTCGACTACTTAGTATGAAGTCAGCTAATGCCTTGTTGGAGTTTCCAGCAACAGGCAGTGTACTCTCTGCTGGGACCACTGTGTCAGCTATCATAATTTCTGACCTAAGACCCATGGGTTGTGATGAGAATCATGTGTCATCAAACTCAGCCTTAGCTTTGCCAGGAATTAAATCGCCTAAAATAAGTACTGATTCTTCAGAGGAGGCTGAATTCAGAGTGGCTATTCTTACAGTAAGTGATACAGTTGCCACAGGAGCTGGCCCCGATCGAAGGTATTGGTCTTCACTTTATATTTTATACAGGTGCATGCAAACAAAAAGATTGTAAAGAACATTAACGGGGTATAGGCCATATTCAACATGTTTGTTCTTGACCTCCAGTGTTAACTAGGAACTTTTATTGTTAATTGAGTGCATCTTGTATACTCTTCCAAAACAAAGAAAAAGTTTCTGTGGAGACTAAAGGAATGGAGCAATGTGGCATTTGTTGTCATTAAAGCTAAGATTTAGCTATGGTATCTCATCGCAACAGCATTGGTATGCTGTATGCTGTTGAAAGAGTCAAATTAGCCAATGTTGTCATAAATCATCTTCCCAGTTGGACAATGCTGAATGGCATCTGGATACACCTCTTTGAATCATTGTTTAAAAGAGGTCACAAAGTTGATGCAAAACTAAAAAGCAAACTTGATATTAGTCAATGCCAATAGAGGCATTGGATGTACTGAGTGTTTTGCAACAGTGTCAAAGCTTCTAGAGTTTGTAGATAAAAATTCTGCTTTGGGCATTGATCTGTCGTAGTTTATTGTCCTATCAACTGCAGAACCCTTTTCTGTATTATATATATCTGAGATTTCATGTTGAATTTCTACACATCCAATGTATAACACTAGGGTTTTTTAGTATTGCATTTTATACAATATTTCTAATCTGTGCAATGTTGCACATGATAAGAAGTTATGGATTGTAAATTTTTATTAGAAATTACAAAATTTAATACAACTTAATGCATTAATACTATTAAGTGCTACAATTTTCAGTAAAATGTTACCATATATTCCTTCTTATCATGTACAATTTTACACAGGTTAGGAAAATCATCGTAGTTAAATAACAATTAGAAAACAGGGTATGACTGTGCAAGGTGCTCTGTATACTAGAAACCTTCTCTCAGTCATCCATTGGTTAGGCATTTCTCTATTCTTCTATTTGTTTATGTTACTACTTGGTTCTAAAGTAGTATCCCTTTGTGCTGGAACACTCGGTTTCATGTTTTGTCCTGTAAAGAAAAATTGCAAGCCAACTATTATTGTTAGAGATGTGGCCTGCAATCTTGTTATTTGTGACTTGTCTGCATTTGTTAAAGTGAAGTTCCTCTTGAGGTTTCCCAGCTAAAATAAATGGAATTGTGTGGATACATTGCGCTGCATTTGAAGAAATAAATTTAAGTTTGTTGTTAGTATTTTCCCTTTTGTGACATAATAAAGTTATTTCAATTAAAGATATCTGATTTATGAGAAATTACTAGTTTTGCAAAGTGAAAATATTGATGTCATGCATGTTAGCAATGTGTTAAAAACTGAACTGGATATTGAAACATCATTTCATTAGTTCAATCGGTTAAATTTATGGTCAAATCATGATTGAACTGGATAATATAATTTGATTGGTTCAACCAGGCGATCCAGCCAGGTTTTTGAAACATTGGTGTTGGCAGTAAATTGTGCTGACTCCTTTACAATTAAACAGTGGTCCCAGGGCAGTTTCTGTTATTAATTCTTCTTCAGAAAGACTAGGAGGAGCAAGAGTTGTAGCAACAGCTGCGGCACCAGATAATGTGGCAAAAATTCAGAACATTCTAAAAAGATGGAGTGATGATGAAGAAATGGATCTTATTATTACTCTTGGTAAATTTCTATCTAAATAGCTTCTCAAAAGAAATTGAAAACTTGTAGTTTTGTTAAGTTGACTTCTGCTTTATTTTTGCTTTTCCAATCAAGGGGGGACTGGATTTACCTCACGGGATTTAACACCTGAAGCTACAAAACCGTTGATTGAGAAAGAAACACCTGGTCTTCTGCATGTAATGATGCAAGAGAGTTTAAAGGTATTGGCAGCTATGCTTATGTTTGTCAGATGAGTAATTCTAGTCGTGTGTTTTGCATTTTGTGGTTTTGTCATTTTCTTACTTCTGCAGTTTCTTTCTTTTTATATCTGTTTTTTTGTTCCAAATCAATGTTCAAGGAGTTCAACATGACTGATTGGTTGGGCTGGTCAGTCTGGCATCAGTCACTGCTATAATGACTATGATATGATCATAAACAGAACCTATATATTTAGAGTGATCTACATTTTTTCCAACTTCTATTCACAAGCTCCTTGCTTTGTTATAAATTTGGATGTGTTAAGAGTATAGTAGCTTTGCTATACTGAGCATTGTGTATCTAGTCTGTTAGGGGATTTAGATAGTTAGATGTGTTAGTTATGCGGCTGTTGTCAGATGTAACATTTTGGGTTGCTTCTCATTGTCTCCCCGTATGAGTCTCTCTCTCTTGTTTGTTCATTTTGATTTTAATTCAATAAAACTGAGTTTCATTCTGATTCTCTCCCTCTTTGTTCTCTTCTCTCTACTTTCTTTGTGAGAATCACCATGTCTACAGGATGAGAAGTAATAATTGAAACACATTCATTTAATAACAAAGCAAAGAGATGAGTTGGTATAAATTAAAATGAGTTTGTTAGGGGCTTGTGCATAGAAGTTTATGGAAGTAGCATTAGTCTTATTTAATATTTTCGTATGTTCAAAGGAAGTTTGATTTCATGTTTTTTAATTTTCTCTTAGTTTGTTTGAATGATGTCGTTTTTGTTATACATGCTTAATTATGATGAGCCCATGTGGCTTTCTCAGGCCTGCTTCTTGGGTAAGTCTGTAGTCAGGGTTTATTGATTTTGTAATAGGCATAATTGATTTACGTCTTAACTTTTCCAGTGAAACAAAATTAATGTCTATATGATTGGTTTCTTTAGGTGACTCCATTTGCAATGCTTTCACGCTCGGCAGCTGGAATCAGAGGATCAACCTTGGTAAGGCAAAAATGCCAATAAAGCCTTTTTTTTTTAATTTTGATTTAAATATTTTATACTCTTTCTCTTTGCTAATTTATACAAATTAATGATATGTCAGTCGTCACATCACACCTTCTTACATTTCTTTAAATTATTGGTGAAATTTTGCGGTGAAAGATTTTATTTGAATAATGGATAAAGAATGAGGGTTAAGTGAGAGTAATTAAAACTAGGAAGACTACAATCACACATGGAGATTAAAAGCATACTTAAACCTTTTCTTTGCAGAACAATGTAGAATTTCATGTAAAAATTTAAATATGTCAATCATCCTCTCTTCTCCTTCTCCTCTACATCTAAAACAAATTAAAAAAAAATAAAATATTGAATAATTGTGAATTGAGCATCTCAAATGCCCTGTTAATTTGTTAAAGAATATTTTGTCCCAGTAACTTCTTTTTAATGTGGTTTTGCAGAGTTCTCTCTTTTTCTTTGTAAGGGCTGTTCTAAGAAAATATCTTATTCTCTCACTTGTAAAATATCCTGTAGGTACCTACGAACGAACAAGTAATTAACTGTTATTTTATTTTGGAATTATGGTTTGTTTAAACAGATAGAAAGTCCTTTTAGTCATAACTAATTAACTAAGGGGGATGACAGAAATAACTGGCTAAATGACTGCACCTGTAGTGTGAATGTGTGATGAATCTCCTTCTGGTTTATCAACAGAATATTGTAAGGGATAAATCTTCCATATCTTGTTAGATTTTAGTTGTATGGGTTTGAAGGTACCTATTGTTTTCAGTCTTCACCCTTACATTAGTGTTGTTATGATTAAACAATTACTAATTTCTGGAAATTCATGTCATATAGACTTTAAAATTTTTACTTTTTTATTTTTATTTTTATATGATGATTTGTATCTATGACTAGTTACTTTAATTTCAGCTATTTAGTTCTAGTAGCCTAGTGCCCTTGGCTTCTAAATAGTGCTGCATTAGCGATGTATCGTGTAATAGTTAAGGAAAATCTTGTTTTTTGCTGAAAATAATACACCCTAGATTTCTGTGTTTGTTTTCTAGACTTGTATTTAATGGCTTAGTTATGGTTGTTGATTTGTTAAAATTCAGATCATTAACATGCCTGGAAACCCAAATGCTGTTGGTGAGTGTATGGAATCTTTATTGCCATCACTTAAGCATGGTCTGAAGCAGCTCAGGGGAGACAAGAGAGAAAAACATCCTCGTCACGTTCCTCATGCTGAAGCAGCCCCTGCCGATGTGTGGGAACAGAGTTATAAGTTAGCCGCTGGTGCTGGCTCTGACGTCTCTTGTTCTTGTTGCAAGTAAAGCTAATTATATTTTCTCATTTGCTTCAACCTTGTGCCCCCATGCATCTCAAGGGGAGGGAAACAGATCAGGTGCAGTTATCATCCAATGCTGAGAAAATTCTATAGAACGTTGATCTTTATATTTTATTATAAAAGTAAAATTTTGAAGGGTGAGGATCCTAGTCAAGTAGCAGGAGAGAGGGGGAGAGAGAGAGAGAGAGAGAGAGAGACAGCGATGAGAATCGATGCATGCTTTCTTATTTGCAAATAAGAATCAGGGCATTGGTTAAGCAATTAATATTGATTCTTTTTTCAAAAATTCAAAATCACTCTAAAAGTGCATTAAAAATTATGAGAGTACATTAGTAACATTTTTTTAATAAGAATGTTTATTTTTTATTCTCAATGTCCTTAAGATACCAATTAACATCTGTCAAATGTTAATTATATTTCTAAATCTAATTTGATGCACTGATAGCGTTAAAAGTTATATCTGATAACCAAACGATGTGTGACCTAATAAGAAGTCTAATAGTTGATGTTAAATTCATTGAATGATTTGGTAACATATTAAATGACTGTGTAATTTTATGAGTAATGTTATAATATAAACACATTTAATATATGTTTTTGTCATTAGGTTGAAGATACTTATTAAGGAGCATTTTATGAATACTTTATTAAATAATTTTTCATTTTGTTAATCAGTATCCTAAGTATAGTCATTAACAATCTCCAATCTTTTTTACTTCTTCCTTTGCCCCTGAATCTCTGGACAGAGATTAAGAAGCAAAGGCCGGCGGAAACTACAAAATGATACTACAGAATGTGTTATTATTAAGCTGTAGATGATTGTATATCAAATATAGAATACGGATACATTGCACTGAATTGAAATATAATTGCAGAAGTTTTATTCTTTTATTGAATTTATGCATTTATATGCAAGTGAGTGTAGTGTTTACTTTTTTTAAGAAAGAAAATCACAGCTCTTGGAAGTTTGATTCACCATGGGATAATCTGAATGTATTTCTAGCATAAATCCCAAGTCCCACAACCAACAAGATTAGCACCACCCATTTCACCAATTTCTTCCACTTGTTAGATGGTCTAAAACTAGGAGAGAAACCAATTAGCCTAGTTTTGGATCTTGTAACAGCCTTGGTTTTAGGAGCTTTGGAGGTTGCTGCTGCTTCTGTCTCAGTTAAGCCATTGGTTCTGGCTTCCTGAGCTGCTTTGCCTGTACTATCTGTTGTTTCAGTTTTACCCTTCTCCGTTTCATTGACTTGCTCCACCACCTTCTGTGGTGTCTTTTGCTCAGAAACTTCGCCGTTAGTCCTTGTTTCTGCTTTTGGAGTATCTTCTTGGGCACCCTTTTGCTGATCAACCTTTGGTGATGGTTCTTTAGGCCTTGGTGCTTCTTCCAGTGTTTCCCTAGGCTTCGTCAATTGACCGAATCTGACTAATAGCTTACCATCCTCGAACTTGGCAATCACGTCGTCGGCGTCATAATCCGAGGGAATGGGAAATTCTAAATTAAAACGATGCCATCTGTTCGCAGTGATTAGTCGTTCACCCATTAGCCTTAAACCAGGTTTTGAGGTCACTTGAACCTTCAATTGATCCCTTCTATAACCTGCATGTTGAAAGTGTGTAGTAGATGATGTTTTTCCTCTTTCTTTTTTTTTTTTGGTCAATTTTTATTTTATTTTTGCTAAATCAATACAAAGGTAGATTAAAAATTAACGTTTCAGCAAATTAACAGAAATTGAGTCAAAGTTAATTTTTATAAGAGGCATTTTTTATAAATTAATTTTTTTGGTGAAATTAATTTAAACCTTATACAAAAGGATATTTTATTCAATCTTTATAAGTATTCATTATTTGAATTTGGTTTTTGTCATCTATTATTGTTATTTTAACACCTTCCCTTACAACTATAATAAAGTGAAATGTATGATGGGTTTGCAAGTTTGTATAAAATTTATTTAAATTTATCATATAAAAGGCTTATAAATAAGTATTTAATTAAGTTTATATATGTGTGTGTGTGTGTATATATATATAGTATTTTTTCAGTTAAATTATTTTAATGTTATGTGGCGAAACTTAAAATGATTTTTTTTTTTTGGAAAAAAGTGAGTAATATGTATATGGTCCATAAATGATATATCCCTTTATCCTTAGACATGGGAATTATTTCCAACATCCTTATGCACCTCTTTATCAATTTTATTGTGTTGTTAATTGGCTTAACAAATAGCGGCAACAAACTTGAAAATATTTATGCATATATAGAATAAGCTGAAGATATTTTCTTTATAAAAGTCAAATTGAAAATGAATGTTACATATGAAGACAAAAATATTGGAAAACCAGCCTCAAAATATTTTGGATGTTGCTTATATTATAATATAATAAAATAATGATTAAGTTGATATGATTCCAATGGGAAAGAATTGAAAACTTGAAAAATTATTACCTGGGAGGAAGACAGTGAAAAGCCTTTCATTTTTGACCCATTCATATGGGGGTTCAAAGTCTACGTAGACACGATTAGCTGCTGGCTGTGTCCTCATTGAATCCATTCGAGGCTTTGTTTCTCTTTGGGTTGTATATTTGTCTCTTAGTATTGAATTGCTCCTAGTGTTTCTTTTATACTCATAATTCTCATATTTTATTTGCCTTCTTACTTTCTTTTCGTACAAACATTAGTCTATGTGGTGCAAGAAAAATAATATGCTTTAGTAACAGAGGAAGGTGACCTCGTGCCTTGGTGATGCTTAAACCTAAAAGCTAAATTATGTTCTCAGTGCACATCTTTAACCGACAAATTCCATCACACGATTTATCTATTCGCGCCTGTAATTCTTGTCCAAGTCTTGTTTTCATTTGATATTTTGATATTAAAAAATCAGTTTAATCAAAATAGTAACTTTTTTTTTTATGTTTTTATTTAATTATAAATTATCATATTTTTAAAAAAATTTATTTTTATAACAATTACTTTAAGAGAAATATTTATGATAATTTTTAATTCGTTCACGGTATAAAATGTTAATTGATACTGTATGTAATTTATGTTGAATGATCCAGATGAATACACATTGAAATATACGAAGAATTTGTCGGAGAAATTAAGTCTCACAATAGCGTTAGGCTTTTTGTACGTTAGGAATATTTAAACGACATGTGAATTTATTGGCCCCTAATTTTGCTACTGCCGACTAAGCTTGGAATATTATAAGCTAACCTCGTATGTATTGTGCTTAAGCATCTTTGTCAGGTGTTTTCTAATTGAATAACTTTTTGTCAAGAAAATTAATATTTTCACATTCTTTGATGGAGTGTAAAATTAATGGATGTACAAATAAAAATAAAGTACATTAAAATAACATATTAAAACAAATGAAATGCAAAAAAATCATAATTATTTTGTTCCTCAGATGAAATCTATAAAAGGCACTAGGTGTATTATTTGGATTTGGGTTTTGAAAGTGGATCAAACATCCAAACCCAAAGTGAAAAAGAATGATTGAGCTACAAACTTAATGACCTACTTGTTTAAATGTCTTCAACATTTAACATTCTCTCTTAAAGTTGAATTAACTTAAGTTTAGTTTTGATATTGCTTATTCCTTTCATCTTTTGATTTTGTACCTTTTTTTGGTCTATATATTTTTGTTTGACCTTTTTTTTTTTAAAAAAAAACTGGGTTATTCATTTTTTTAAAATTCTAGCTCTACCTTATTAAAATTTTGAATGTAAATCTAATTTAAGAATAAGAAAAATTGATCGATTTACAGGCTTAAATCACTTACTTATCTAAAATACTTTAGACAAATTAAACTTAAAATCCTCTTGTTATCTTTTAATTTGTTGTTAATCTGTTGAACTGAAACTTCATAGTATCTAAACACATACTAGGTACCACTGCTGTAAACTATGCATATATCACAGGACACAAATATTGATGTTGTGACCATGCACTAACATACATACATACATAAAAGGAATTTGTCGGGTATGAATTGCAATTATAGGAACCGACTTGCTTCCATCCAACTGCGCACTATAAGAATTTGTCATTTATTAATAAATAAAATTATAGAAATATTAGAATAAACTTTTTCTAATATAATATTTATCTAAAAAAATAATTTGTTAATAAGTAATTTAAATTTTTTTATTAACAAATAATGTATTATACTAATATCTGATGTTTTAACAATATATATTAATATTAGATATTAATACAATCATTTATTGATATAATAAAACATGTTATTAATATTAATATAAATTTATATTGTTTATATTAATAATTAAGTTTTATTAAAAAATATACTATCAAATATTAATTTAATGTTAAGTCATTAATAAATGAAAAGTTTTAAATTTCATTAACTTTAATATTTAGAGTTTATTTAAATAATAATATTTTTTATTAAAATTTTATTATTATTAGTTCATCAGTTGATTAAGTTAACTTTGTTTTTGTACAGTGAAACACAATATGGAATCTTTGTTTTGGATTCTCAGTATATAATGAATCGTGTCTGTGTAGGCCTAGGTACTGTGATTTGATGGATTTTGGCTATTCCGAAGACCTAAGTAGTGTCGAAGTCCTGTTATGGCATTCTATTACTGTTCAACTCTTAGCATCTACTCCTTAAAAAAATGGATTACTTAAGGTTGAAATATTAATTATTGGGTTTTAATTCGTCGGAGAATTAAATAATTCTTATTCAAACGAATCATCTATTTGTTTACAATTTTTCTTAAAACGTAAATAGGGAAAAACTGGTCTATTTTTAATCCAATTATTAAATCAGACCAGTTGTTTGACTCCTTTATTGAATTTAATCATGCGTTTACAAACATGAATACGCATGTGGGTATTAAAATTCCTCAAATATTGATCCTCCCTGTGATGGCCTTAATGCATTTTTGACATACAATCCAACCACCATAACCAATAAGATAACCACAACAATGTTCATCCATGTCTTTGGCTTCTTAAGCTTTGTGAGTTTACCGCCGGAACCTTGCTTAACATCCTCATCTGCACCGGATCTCAAACTAACAGTGAAATCCAAAACCCTTGTTTTGAGTCTCTGAGTTATTTTTGCTTTTGGCTTTTCTTGTGCTTTAGTTGTTGTAAATTGTGTTGTCGCTGACACCCCATTAGTCCTCACCTCCTCAGCAACTTCTGTTTTTTTATTCTTTTCTTTTTCATCACTAATTGGTTCTTTCTCTTTCTGCGATGACTCTTCTGTTTTGCCCTTTTCTTTTTCATCACTAGTTGGTTCCTTCGCTTTCTGTGGTGATCCTTGCTTATCAACATGATCATGTGCTAGTGCTTCAGCATTAGGGCGTTGTGGCATTGGAGTTTCTTTTTGTGGTGTATTTGTTGCTTCTTGTGGTAGTGGTTTAACTGGGCTGATTAGCTTGGGAAACTTGATGGTTAAGATTCCACGCTCATACTTTGCACTCACCTCATTGTTGTCACAATGTGATGGAATGGAAAATTCTTTAGCAAAACGACGCCATGTATTCTCAATGATCCGTCGTTCACCATTGATCCTTAGGACAGGAGTTGAAGTCACTTGAACCCTCAATTGTTCCTTTGTGAATCCTGTGCATGCATGTTCAAAGTTTACATACAAGAAAAATGTAACCTTTTTGAGAAAGTACGTACATCATGTTTAATTTTCATCAGAATATTGTATTGTGTATAATATGATTTATTGAATGAATTTTCAAAATAAAATTTATGAATATGAATTGGGTTTTAATTTTTAAGTTGACACATGTCAGATTTAAAGTTCTAAATATTAAAAATATGCTCATATAAGAATAGGGTAGGGGTAGATTGTATATATTTAACGTAGAAAGGTTTTATAATGATAGAGTAAAAGGGGACATACCTGGCAGCATTACAACGAGTGTGACACTTGCTTCGTCTTCAGACCATTCGAAAAAGGGATCAAAATCTTCGTAAACACGATTAACTGCTGATTGTGCCATGGTTGCTTTTAAATTTTTGTTGATCTTTTGCTTTTGGCTTCTATCTCTTGTTATCTCTTTTGATGGAAAATGAAAGCTCTGGTTGTTGCTTTTATATGCGCAATTGATGAGAGATTATTATGCATTTTGCACGCAAATTCTAGCTCCTGTAATTTCTTTTGCTTTATTACTTTCTTTTCTTGCAAACATTGTTTCTCTATTACTAGGGAGCTGATGCACGAAAAACTATATACTTTGGTCTCATAGAGGAGGTGACCTTGTGTTTAGGGATTCCTTATTGCATATCTTTATTGGCAAAGTTAATGATTTTTTTTCAAATGAAGAAATGAAAATGCTATATAAAGAAACCTACTTCTTCAAAGAATGGTTATATGTTATTTCAATGTCTAAAACTTTACATATAGGTGAGATGACATATACTCTTGTTAATGGAGTTCCTTTAATTCAATTGATATATTTAGGTAATAATAATAATAATAATCGTCCTTTTATTTATTATTTCTAGCACCAACTAGTATTTCTCAAATGCTTTAAAATAATTGGAGTTATAACTAATACTGAAACTTTTGGAAAATTTTTGGATCAAGACAAAATATGAAATTTTTTTCTTTCAAAATTAAAGAAAAACTAGGTTTTTGAAAGTGTTTGAAAGTAATAGACACACCAGACAGGCGTCAGCTGTTCATTTACAAATATATAGAATTACACGTGTGTATGTTGTATATGTCTGCTAAATATGTAAACTAGCCTTCACGAAACATTTTACCACACAAGTGCATTATATACACCACTATGAAAAAAATATACAGAGTAATGATCAGTTGTTTAACTTGTCCCTATTAAGGCACAGATAAACAGTTAGTACACAGACAATGACATCCATTAATTATATTCATACTGATATATTAATTTATATCTTACTTTTTTTATACCAATAAAATTATTTATTTATTATAATATATCATATAAATTTATAATATTGTTCTTAATAATTTTATGTTTATCAGATAAAATTTATATTTATAAGTCAGTCGAACGACTAAATTATGTAATTTTTTTTGTAGCACTTAAATAATTTGCTTTTAATTGATTAGTTAGTCCTGAATCATAAATGGAGCAATTAAGTTTATAAACATAGCTAGATATTTCACGTGAAAGAAAACTAGAATATGTTTGATAATAAACAAAGGCTACTTAATTCACTAACACTTAATAATTTAGTAGAGCATATAATACATTAATTAGGTGTCAATAATGTTTAAAAATCTGATGTCACACACTCACAGAAAATATTTAAAATTTCAATATAAATAATCATATATGACTTCTTTTGTAAGTAGTTAATAACATGTACGATTTCTTTTAATGCACATCTTGATTATTATGAACTCAACTTCTATGATCTCTTAACAGGTGATATTAAATCGCCCTCAACATCTTTTCGTATGTACGTACTGTGGACCCATTGTTAGAGTAAAGCAACAAGTCAACAATTGAATTTCCCCACACCCTTCAATCTGCTAATGAATTAGCATCCAAATAATTAAGTTGTCTACAATCCTTAATGTACAGATCATCATCAAGGGTCTGCTGATCTCTAGCAACCACAGAAAAGGAATAGTAGAGTAGATATCTACTGTGAAGCATGTTGATCAAGTTCAATCCTTATTAAAGTTTATGAAAAAATTATTAAAATAAATTATATTGATTTTAGCGATCTCTCTGTGTTAAGAAAGAAAATAATCTTTTTACTATTTATAAATTGAAAGATACAATATATAAGATCAAAATGTAACAAAAGAAAAATAGCTACCAATATCAAAATTATTAAATATCTCAAAATTGTATTAGTTACATAATCTTTTATATAGAAAATAAGTCTTAATTCTTAAACAAAAATTATAAAATTTAAGAATAACAGCAAAATACATAAATTATGAGTAAAAATTGATCTTAAATCTTTTGAACTTGAAAATATCATGTGCTTTTATATAACTTTAGGAAAAAAAAATATTGAAATCTCAATTATTAATTCGAATATATTAGCAGTTTATCTTCTAAAACTAAATCCAAGGACCACACATTTCAATCCTGACAAGAAAGAGATTCGCTCCAATTAACCACTTCTATGTTTGGTTTATCAGTCGTTATGATATGAAAGTTAACATTGGCAAAAAGAAGAGAGCGATATCGATCTGAATTAAGTTCATTGCCAATATTATTTATTGAATACAAGGTATACTGAATGCATCAAATACAAGGACTAGCTAGATTAATATCTGAGTTACTATTTATAACGTTATAATTAAGTGGGAACACATGATATATAGCCTTTCCAACATGAAGTTTGTTTTTGGCCCCACACTTGATCATAGGAAATTAAATCTGAACGATAATGGATGTAAAATAAAATATAACTAGCTATAGAAGTGTGGATATAACTATATCAGAAAAGCTACCAATACTAACAGCTAAAAATCTCTCTTTATTTTCTTATCCAATTCATGCATACAGATAATTATGCCTTTCATACAATATTTGACATTATAATTAACATGAGGAAAAGAAGCACTTAAAACTAAAACTCATCATGGCTTTTGGGTCCTCCAAAAGATGACTTGACTACATTCTTAATGTAGAGCACAGTCATCAACAGAAGAAAGATGGCAGCGACAACATGGGGCAATTTGTTTTGCTTTTTAACTTCATCCACCAAACCACAAATCATGGCCTTGATAGATGACATTGTGATCATCTTGACAAAACTACTCTTACCCAACTCATCATGATGAGTACTAGTTCCATGCATTTTTTCCTCAGCTTTAGGGCTCACAGCTTCTGCTATAGCTGCATTGGCATCTTTTTCTACTTTACCATTCTCCTTCATTGACTTCTTTCGAGAATATTCTTCATGATCTTCTTTCTGTTCCAGGGATGGTGTTTGTTGTGTAGTTTCCTGAACTTTATCAGTAAAAGTTTTGTTATTAATGGTATCTGTTTCTTCTTCTTTGTGCTTCTCCTTTTGAGAATCTTCTCCTTTTTCTTTTTCTGCCTTAGGTTCATGAGGTTGTGTTTGTGGCTCAGCCTTGGAATGTTCTGCAGCTTTGTCAATTTCAGAAGGTTGAGCATTTTGTGTGTGATCATCAGACGGTTCTTGTGTTGTTGTTGGTGTTGCTGTTGTTGTTGGTGTGGGTGTTGGTGTTGGTGGTGTTGTTGTTGTTGCTGTTGCTGGCGGCTTCATCACTTTGGGAATTCTTACATATAGCATTCCAGCTTCATATTTGGCAGTGATTCCATTGGTTTCATTGGTTTCAGAAACAGGAATTTCTACGCGAAATCGACGCCCTTTGTTCTCGCTTATCTTTCTTTCACCAGATACCCTTAGGACACGATTTGAGCTCACTTGAACCCTCAGTTGATCCTTTCGAAATCCTGTCAAATCAAAGTAGGTACGTACAAATTATTGAATTTAATGCTTTAATTTCAATGACAATATTATAATCCACATTTTTTTTCTTCTTCTATGATCTCTTTGCATCTTATAGAATTTGATTATTTTATATCAATTTGAATAGGGTCATAATATGATTTTATATATGTATTTAAATATTCTTAGTTGTATAATTAAAACCTAGCTCATTTATAAACCAACACTTTTATTTTTTGTACACGACTCTACAATCAATTAAATATCCTTATAAAGATGATGACATTTACCTGTGATGTTCTCATCAATTATACTCTCAAATATATAGTCACCATTAGTCGTTTTCTTTATTATTTTTTTCAAATCTAGCTACATAATTAATTCTAGTCTAATTTGTAAAATGTTATTATAAGAAAGAGTCATAAACTAAATAAATCAAACCTGGAAGCATAAGAATAAGCGTGTCACTTTCTTTATCATGATCCCAATCAGAGGGTGGTTGAAACTCTTCATAGACAAATTTGGATGGTGTTTGTGCATCTGTTTGTTGCTCCACCGACATTTGCACCTTTGTTTGATTATTTCTCTTTTTTCTTTTGTGTTCGGTGTGTAATTTGCTGCTTCTATTGTAGAATGAAAATCTCTTGTTATGTTAATTATATATACATTGATGACTAGCTGTGGTTTCTTGGAATGTACTTTTTCCTTTTCGTGCAAAGATTGATTTAATTATTATATGCTGAGTATTTTCTTTGTTGTCCAATGCAAGAGAAAGAGAAAATAACACATTTGTTCTCTAAAGAATATTTTACTTGTATGCTAGGCAATGTGAGCTTCTTTCTCTATGTTTCATGCCCCTCCTGAAAACATATACATGTAATCAAATTCTTTATTTTGCAAATTAAGATAAGGACTTCCAACTGTTCCATGGTGAGGGTTTGCGTTATTCTTTGCTATATTGTCTAAACAAGAAGATATTCTCTTGGTTACCAAATCTACAACTCAGTTATATCATCTATGCCTTTAATCTCTAGATTTGGGTTCCAATTTTTTCACACAGCCATTTTTTTACATCTCCCATCACATACTGTTTTATTTATGTCTATCACTCTCTAAACTTTTGATGTTCTTTTTCTTCATGTACAATTTTTTTACCTATCTTTTAAAGTATGTTTATAATTTGAGAGAGGATAGTTTTTATTTTTATATTACGAAATTATATAATATATAAAAATAAATAAAATATTAATATTTATTTTAAAATTTGTCAAATTAGAAAATATTTATAAAATATTTTTTTTTTCAAATTAGTAAGTATAACACATCCATGAATTATTGTTTCGTTTGATAGGGCTTAGGAGCGATAACTATTACAAAATTTTGAGTTATATATTAAAAGTGTACAAGATCTATTAAACAATACCTTCTTATTATACAGCACAAATTTATTACAACTTGACAAAATAAGAAAATAAAAAAAGGGAATCTCAACAAAGTTAAGAAGAAAGAACAACACAAATCGAACTTATAACGATTTGATGTCATTTTATTTTATTCGTTTTACTGCTACGATTTAGTTTGGTTTGGTTTGATTTAATTCTATAAAAAATTGTTTATACTCTGTATTTGTTTTAGTTTTGATAAAATTAATTATAAAAATATTGTTAAAAATTTAATTTAAAAAGAACTGATGTTAAAAAATCCATCTATAAGTGAGAACGATATTTCAAAAGTATATTTTAAAAATAATATTGTTTGAATGATAAAGTAGAATTATTTGTGAAATGTATATATATATATATATATATATATATATATATATATATATATATATATTGTGGGATATATTCCACACGCACAATCAATTCTCATCATTAAAATTTTAGGGAACATTTTAAAATAAGATTAAGCACAAATTTTAATGTTCTTTATATTCTATATTCACAATTTAATCAGTTTTTTAAGTAAAAAAACTAAATTTTAATTATTTTTAAAATTTACATTAACGTGTACAATATTTAAAGACAACGAGATAAATAATTGGCAATGCACTTTTAAAATATAATTCCTATGCTAATCTGGTTTCTATTCACATAAATAATTGAATTATTGCCACCCCGATTTATTTAAATAAACAATTATACACAGACCAAGATAAAGTGTACATTGTCACTGTTCAATTATTTTGAATAATATATTATCCCTGTTCATCCAAATAAGTTGAAATTAATATTTTTTTCGTATTTAATGCCCTTTTAGGCTGATCCTACTAAGGAGTCACGAATTCAATAATTTGATCATAAATATTCTTTTTGTCATATTGGATTTAATAAATATCCTTTTGTAAATAAGAAATGAGTGAAATGGAATTTACTTTAATTATATGGGGTTCAAATCTTGTTTAATTTTTTTAATACATCAGAAACCAAAATCTTGTTTCAATTTTAGCTTTTCTTTTTAATGGTTTATAAAATAAGCCTCGGACTTTTACAATATTGGGTTTTATTAATCAACTTAAGTACTAATTAATTTCAATTATTCAAAAAAAATGTATTCTTATATTATTTTTAATCTAAAAAAATTAATAAATAGTGTAAGCATTTGAAGACAGATTCTTAAAATAAATAATTTTAAAAATAATTGCGATGATTAAAGAATGACATTATGAGGTGAATAATGATAAAAAATTGTGTTGAAATGAATTTATTTGTTAAATATTAACTTGTCTATACAATTTTTAAAAGAACAATATAATAATAAAAAATTGAGGCAATAATATGTCGTCATGCCACGTCATGATACCAACTTCCATGTTTAGTAGATAATGTTTCAATTTTCAGTAGTGCATATAGTTTCTCGAACCACACACATTCACAAAGTGCATGTATTAATTAATTTTTTTTTTATAAATTATAAAATTAATACACGTTTCATAGCATGATTAGTTGTGGCTAGATAGTCTCAGACACTGTTAAAATTTCTCGAAATGTTCCCACATCATGCACCAACCAGTTGACATTGTTGTCAATGGTAATGATAACAAATGATTGTAGAAACAAGAAATGATCAGATATTGGGATTTACTACTTTGTGTTAAACTGAAATAACACTTGCTCCTCAACTATGGAACCGAAGCCGCCACCACCACCAAGTTTGGTTTTTTGTGTTAATGGTGAGAGGTTTGAGCTCTCCCACGTTGACCCATCAATCACTTTGCTCGAGTTCTTGCGTGCTCACACTCGCTTCAAGAGTGTTAAGCTTGGTTGTGGTGAAGGTATAGAACTTTATATGTGTTCAAGTTCAACCATTTGTCTTTTGCTAGCTTTGAATTTTGGATCTTTTTTCTGAAGTTTAATTAAGCTTGATACTGACTACAGGGGATAAATAGGCTTAATGTTAAAAAGGTGAGATAAGATCCTTAATGGGTTTTATGGTCTTGGAATGATTTTCCAATTCCAGAGAATGGATAATTGAAAGTTGTTTTTGCTTTTGTAGGTTATTTCTTCAATTTTGGCAGTTATTTGTTGTCTGTTTCCCTTCTGTTATTGGACATGGGTTCTCTAGTCTATTTTTCTATTTTTGTCTTACGAAGCAGCGATAATAGTTAAATATTGCAACTTGGATTACTGTGATCATTGTTTGAGGCCTAAGCTATAAGAGGCTGTGTTTGTTTCTAAATGGAATGATTGCTCATATTGAGCAATATGAATAATAATTTTCTTTTTCATAAACGGAAAAAGGGGTTGTTTACAACAAAAATTGTGAAAAAGCAGAAGAAAAAAACTTATCTTTTGTGATGGTTTTGTCATGAAAATGAAGGTGGAGAAGGCGTTGGCTTTTAATAATTGACAAAATTTTGTAACCTTGATACTTCATGTTTTGACAATGTTGGTTTCAGGTGGTTGTGGTGCTTGTGTAGTTTTAATCTCCAAATATGATCCTGTGCATGACAAAGTTGAGGATTTTACAGCAAGCTCATGTCTCACGCTACTTTGCAGCATACATGGATGTTCAATAACAACAAGTGAAGGCATTGGAAATAGTAAAGACGGGTTTCATCCAATTCATGAAAGAATTGCAGGATTCCATGCCACTCAATGTGGCTTCTGTACTCCTGGAATGTGTGTTTCACTCTTCGGAGCTCTTGTCAATGCTGAAAAGACCAATCGTCCAGAACCACCTTCTGGATTCTCAAAAGTTACTGCTACTGAGGCTGAAATGGCTATTGCAGGTAACCTTTGTCGCTGTACTGGGTATAGACCCATTGCTGATGCCTGCAAAAGCTTTGCAGCTGATGTTGATATGGAGGATTTGGGATTCAACTCTTTTTGGAGAAAGGGAGAGAGCAACGACAGAAAACTAAGTAGGTTGAGTCATTATAACCAAAATCTTAGCAACATTAGATTTCCTTTGTTTTTGAAGGAAATTAAGCCTAATGTCTATTTGGCTACTGAGAAAAACAGTTGGCATAGTCCTACAAGTCTAGAGGAGCTTCAGAAATTATTGGCACTGAGCCAAGTCAATGGAACCAGGATAAAACTTCTTGTTAGTAATACGGGTATGGGATATTACAAAGATAATGAAAGCTATGATATGTATATTGATATAAGGGGCATTCCTGAGCTCTCAAAGATCAGGACAGATCAGACAGGGATTGAAATTGGTGCAGTAGTCACAATATCTAAAGCTATTGAGGCACTGAAGACAGAGAGCAGAAATGAATTTCTCTCAGATTATGTAATGATACTTGAAAAGGTTGCTGACCATATGAGCAAAGTTGCCTCAGGGTTTATTCGGAACACAGCCAGTGTAGGTGGCAATTTACTGATGGCACAAAAGAATCATTTTCCCTCAGATATTGCTACTATACTTCTTGCTGTAGATGCAATGGTTCACATAATGACTGGTGCGCAATTTGAGTGGCTTGCATTGGAGGAATTTCTGGAAAGACCACCATTAAGTTTGGAAAGTGTGCTTTTAAGCATTAAAATTCCTAATTTGGAACTCAATAAAAATGAATCGTTGGAACCAAAAAGTAGATTCCTCTTTGAAACTTACCGAGCTTCTCCTCGCCCTCTTGGAAATGCCCTTCCCTACTTAAATGCTGCTTTCCTGGTTAAGATGTCTCCAATCAAGGATTCTGGTGGAACTGTTATAGACACTTGTAGGTTCTCTTTTGGTGCTTATGGAGCTAAGCATGCAATCAGAGCAAAAAATGTTGAGGAATTTTTAGTTGGAAAGTTGTTAAGTATTAGCATTTTATATGATGTTATCAACTTGGTTACAGCCACTATAGTACCCAAGGATGCAACCTCAAACGCTGCTTACCGTTCGAGTTTGGCAGTTGGTTTTATTTTTCAGTTCTTTAACCCACTGATTGACAGTCCTGAAGGAAAAGCCAATGGATATAGTAATCTTCCATTTGTAAAGGCTTTTGAATTAAAAGAGAATCAAAAGCAGGTTCATCATGACAAAGTTCCAGCTTTACTGTCATCTGGGAAGCAAGTCCTAGAAGCAGGCACTGAATATAAACCTATTGGTGAGCCAGTCATCAAATCTGGAGCTGCACTACAAGCTTCAGGTTTGTTTAACTACAAGTTTTATATTAAGATATTGACAGATTCCTTTTTCTTTGTATATATATTGACCTTTCAAAGTAATAAACTATTGTTAAGACAACAAAGATTAAAAAGAGCACTTCTTGCTTGGCTTGGCTCAAAGCCATTCATGTGACCGTTTCCCATCTAGCTAAATTTGACATAACTCTGATGGAAAGTTCACGTCTCTCACTTTCCGTGCTTCAGACTAGTTTTTGTCTGTCATTCACTTATTTTATCCTGTTTTGATGCCTTTCAATTATGAGTTTTCATATTTACTTGTTTTAATATATGTTCAATAACAAGTTCATTTTCAATAAATCATACATAGGTGAGGCTGTGTATGTGGATGACATTCCATCACCGGAAAATTGCCTCCATGGAACATATATTTATAGTGCAAAACCTTTAGCAAGAGTAAAGAGTATAAACCTCAGCCCTGAATTACAGCTGGATGGAGTGAGGGATATCATTTCAAGTAAAGACATTCCCAATGGCGGGCAGAACATTGGATCAAATAGTAGATTTGGAGATGCTGAACCTTTATTTGCTGAAGAGATAGCTAGATGTGTTGGGGAACGTCTTGCCTTTGTGGTGAGTTCTTAAATTCAACATTGTATGGGCTTCCGGTTCATTTCCTTGGAGAATGGAGATTGATACATAAAATGTTTCCATTTTAGTCACAAAATAGCTTCTATAGGTTGCAGATACTCAGAAACTTGCAGATATGGCTGCAAACTCTGCTATTGTTGATTACTGTACTGAAAATCTTGAACCACCTATCCTAACTGTGGAAGAAGCTGTTAAAAGATCTAGTTTTTTTCAAGTACCTCCTTTTATGTTCCCAAGACAAGTTGGTGATGTATCAAAAGGAATGGCTGATGCAGATCACAAGATTCTTTCTGCTGAGGTACATGTAACACATTCATTGTTTCCGTCTGGTTTCTGATGTTATGTTGAAGTTTGATTCTGAATAATGAACGTTTATGGTTATATTGATAAAAAAAAAATTCATTTTCATCATCTTTCATATTCAATGTGAAATCCAGTTGAAACTTGGGTCTCAATACTATTTCTATATGGAGACACAAACTGCACTTGCTGTACCAGATGAAGACAATTGCATTACTGTTTACAGTTCAAGTCAATCCCCTGAATCTGTGCATTCTACAGTAGCAAGATGCCTAGGTATTCCTCAAAATAATGTTCGCGTAATCACAAGAAGGGTTGGTGGAGGTTTTGGCGGAAAGGGCATGAAATCCGCATCAGTAAGTCTTCAGTTGTGTGTTATGCTTTTGACAACATTTCTTCTTTACTGTTAGATCTCTCATCACATCTAGTTAATATGTAGAGTCTATGTATGAATATTGAATTTTCTATAGCTTGGAGAAGGCACTAGTAAACTGAAAAAAGTCTTTATTTTCATGTTTTTTCATTTATTCTTTATAATATTCAATGATCTGAATAATATGATTCTAGTTTTTGACTTACATGGATCCTTCTGACTCGTATACATTGCTGTTCAAAGAGGGTTGTGCGTTTCCAATACAATGAAATTGGAATGGTTCCTTAGAGAAATTTTTTACTTTTATTTTTCTGGGATTAGAGATTAATGTAGTAAGAAAATTACAGTAAAAGCAGTAGGATCAGAAATTGTCAGGAAAGCAAAAGAAAACAAGATGAACAGATACTGTCTGATATCACTTTCCAGCATAAAATGTTTCATTTCCTAACTGTTTCAAAATACTAAATGTTTTATTTTAACCTCTTCCCTATATGTGCATATGTATGTATGGAAGTTAGAGCGGAAGAGCTGGTATTACCTATTTATAGTGTGTTTGGTTTTGTGTTCAAACGCATTTAGATCTACGTTTATTTCAACGCTTCTAGTTGTAGCGTTTGCATTGGATCCACGTTTATACATTTTTTAACGCATTTCCAAACACACTACATGGATGATTCTGCCGTGGACACAACACTGACATTCAAATCTTTCAGGGTTCTACATCATGTGCATTGGCAGCGTACATACTACGGCGCCCTGTCAGAATGTATCTAAACCGAAAGACTGATATGATAATGGCTGGAGGAAGGCACCCCATGAAGATAACATACAGTGTTGGGTTCAAGAATGATGGCAAAATTACAGCATTAGAACTTGAGATATTGGTGAATGCAGGTTTATATGCAGATGTTAGTCCAATAATACCAAACAACATGATTGGTGCACTTAAAAAGTATGACTGGGGTGCACTCTCTTTTGATATAAAGCTATGCAAAACAAACCATCCAAGTAGATCTGCAATGAGGGCCCCTGGTGATGCACAAGGATCTTACATTGCTGAAGCTATAATAGAAAAGGTTGCAGCTACACTTTCAATGGATGTAGATTCTGTCAGAAGCATTAATCTTCATACATACACAAGTCTTAAGGCATTCTATGAGAACTCTTGTGGTGAACCTCATGAGTATACTTTGCCTTCAATATGGAGTAAGTTAGCTGTTTCTGCAAACTACGAACTGAGAGTAGAAATGGTGAATGAGTTTAACAGGATCAACACTTGGAAAAAGAGGGGACTTTCTCGTGTGCCAGTGATGTATGAGGTGCTTGTAAGAGCAACTCCTGGAAAAGTTAGTATTTTTTCAGATGGGTCTGTTGTTGTTGAAGTTGGAGGAATTGAATTGGGTCAGGGTCTTTGGACAAAGGTGAAACAGATGGCTGCATATGCTCTCAGTGCACTTCAATGTGATGGAAGTGATGGCCTCTTGGACAAAGTACGAGTTGTACAATCTGATACAGTGAGCTTGATTCAAGGGGGGTTAACTGCTGGGAGCACTACATCAGAGTCAAGTTGTGAAGCTGTTAGGCTTAGCTGCAATATCTTGGTTGAGAGGTTAAAGCCTCTTAAGGAAAAGCTACAGAAGGAAATGGGTTTTATTAAGTGGGAGACGCTTATTATTCAGGTACTAGCTACTGTACAAATAGAGATTTCTATTTTAAACATTCATTTGTTGGTCTTATTGTTTATAATTTTGATTAGAGGTATACTGCCTAAAACTTTTCCTGTTAGGGTCTTGTAGTATTTGGAAGTTCAGGACATCTCCATAATGTGCGAGTTTATATGTAACTTACTTTATTTTCCTAGCTCACAACCAATCATATTTAATTACTATATTACTGAAAATTTTTATCAACATGCAGGCATACGCCCAAGCTGTGAATTTATCAACATCTTCATTGTATGTACCCAGTAATAACTCGAATAGGTACATTAATTATGGGGCTGCAGTAAGTGAGGTGAGTTTGTTTCTTATACATATCCCAAATAAAAATGGAATTTTCTTCAAGTTACATCTTCAAGTTCACTGAAAGTTAAATTTACTTCAATGTTAAAATAATTATTCATATTGTCACAAAAGCCATATTATAAAAGTAATTGAACCAAATTATTACATAATGATACACTAAATAATGAAAATTACTTCTCAGGTGGAAATAGATCTTTTGACTGGAGAAACCAGATGTTTGCGAACAGATATGATCTATGATTGTGGGCAGAGTCTCAATCCTGCAGCGGATTTAGGACAGGTAAGCTCTATATATTGCCATACAAGCTCAACCCTAGTGTCAAGGACCAACTCAATCAAGGAGCTTCAGCTTTTAGTTGGATGCCTAAGAATGTGTTTGGTCTCTTAGGATCACTTTTATTAACCTAATCCTTCACATTCTCTTATTTAGTTGCAAAACACTTGTTTTTTTTTTTTTTAATGAGAAATGCACTAGGGATGTTGGTTTGGATCATTTCCCTGAACTGCTTTGATCATAAAATAATTGCATGTTGCAGATTGAAGGATCTTTTGTCCAGGGTTTGGGTTTTTACATGCTTGAAGAATATGAAACAAATCTTGATGGTTTGGTCTTAGCAGACGGCACATGGAATTACAAAATTCCCACATTAGACACTATTCCTCAAAAGTTTAATGTTCAAATCCTCAACAGTGAGCATCACCGACAACGTGTTCTGTCTTCAAAGGGTATGACATAGGAGTTCTCAAAATTTTAAGTATTAAACTATGTCTGCCTGTATTTATTTTTTGGTAAATGTTACGGGCACTGGTTAAAGAATTAAAAGAGATTTTTTTTTCATTAAAAATTTCATTAATGTAAACTTACCAGTGATCACGATTTTTAATGATTTTCAACATAATTTCTAATAATTTTTTCATATTTTTTGCTTCCTAGCAAGACCGTTCTTTTTAAAACTCATAAATGCAAATCCCTTATACTTGAAACATTGAGTTTTATGCTTATTCTATTTGGTTAATTCATTAACGTGAAAATGGTCTGAATATAAAATTGGAAAATAGATCATGGTTATAGTAGGCTTTTTCCAGTGTATATGTTATTTATTTTACACTGAATTAATAAGATATAGAAAGCTTCACTTAAAAATTGAAATTCGTTGCTGCAGCTTCTGGTGAACCACCTTTACTTCTTGCAACTTCTGTTCACTGTGCCACAAGAGCAGCTGCTAAAGAAGCCAAGAAACAGCTTCTATCATGGAGTAACTCTGATGGACCAGATTCAACATTTCAGTTGGAGGTGCCAGCAACCATGCCTGTGGTGAAGGAGCTCTGTGGACTTGATGTTGTAGAAAGATACTTGAAATGGAAAATGGGCTGGAACAAAAGAAACTCAACTCATTATGCAAATGGAACAGTGATTTAATATACTTATTATTGTTTTTATGGAAGAAAAATAAGTGATGTGTTTTAAATTCACATAAGATAAGAAACATAAATGCCAGTTCAGGCTGTTCTTCTGTATTATAGTTTTTGTATGAAGAATAAGAACAAGTTTAACTCAGGTTTCTTACTTCTACTTACCTTGGATTTTATTTATTAAAGATTACATGACATTACAGAATATAACATATTCATAATATTAAATATATATTTTATTGTGTCTAAACACACGATAAAAAGTTAAAAATATAATTTTTGTTACAATTTATTCACCTAAAATAATATTAAAAAAACTTTGATAGGAGATTACTTTCTTAAGATTAGAAGCATTGACATTATTGGGCAAAGACCTTTTTCTTCAAAAACAGCGTATGGGTTGTTTCTGAGTTTTGCATCCTTGGCACATAAGTATACTCTATTAGATTTACAATATTTAATTATGTGTTTAATATATTTTTTATTATGTATCATTGAAACATATACCAAAAAATTATATTAAATATTTTAATTTATATTAAAATATCTTAGGACACACATTAAAAATATATTTTTGAATAAATTAATTTTTTCAATATGTGTATTCATCGATATATTAAAAAAATTTAATAAAAATTAAATTTTATTCAAAATTATAATATTTAATATTATTATATTAGGTTAAATATATTAAAATTTATTATTTTCATAAAAAAAACATTATATACAAATTCTTATTTGATGTCTTAAAAAATTGTTTTGATAATTACGTTATGAGGTGGCGAATGTGCACGTCGGTCATTTAGACGAAGGAATAAAGTATCACGCACAACGCAAGTAATTGAAAATGATTTTATTAATTAATATTTTAAAATTATTAATATTAAATTTAAGTAATTAATAACAATAAATTTTATTTAAAATAATCATTACATTTTTAATATAATAACTATTTTAAATAAAATTTTATTATTTTTAAATACTTAAGTTTAACTTTAAAAATATGAATTAATAAGTTAATAAATAAAACTATTAAAAATTATATTATACATTTAAGGAAATATAATAAAAAATAAAAAATATTGAAAATATAATAAAAAAAAGATTAAAAAAATTGACTGAGGAATCTAGAAACGCCTTAAGAACTGTTCCCACGTCACTCTCAAATGGATTGACTATGCGTCAACTGAACTTCTGAATGCAAACATAGGATTACATTATCATCTTTTGAAGTAACAGTTTCTGAACTTTGATTATGGGGCTCCGCACATCACCAACAAGTTTGGTTTTTGCTGTTAATGGTGAGAGGTTTGACCTCTCCCACGTTGACCCATCAACCACTTTGCTCCATTTCTTGCGCACTCACACTCGCTTCAAGAGTGTCAAGCTCGGTTGCGGTGAAGGTGTGTGTGTGTGTTCAACCATTTCTCTCTCTTTTTTGTGCTTTCAATTGTGGGTCTTATTATTGCTGTTGTTTTCAATGAGCTTGATATTGACTATAGGGAATCATTTATTCCTTCTTTCTTTCTAAGATTGGTGTTAACTTGCTGAGATCCTGAATGGATGCATATGGTTTGGAATGATTTTCATGTTCCAGACCAAACAGGTTAATTGAAAGCTGTTTTGCGCTTTTAGTATACTTCTTCTAGTTTTGCACTTAATTGCGTTCATTTTCTGCTTATGGGGTCACTTTAAATTTTTAATCTACTTTCTCTTGCCGTTTTAAGAAGCAGAAACAGTTAAAGAGTTGCATATACGAGCCTGTACTGTACTAGTTCCTATTATTCTTGAGCTATATTAGTAACTTGCATGTTCTATAAAAACAAAAAGAGGCTTCATCACAGCCAGATTTGAAAAAACTGGGGAAAATGTATATTTTGTCTTATTTTTCTGATCTGACGGTTTCGTCATGAACATGAAGGATCAAAAGTGTGGTCTTTTTAATAATCCTCAAATAAAAAATTAAAAAAAAACACTTGGTATTTCATGTTTTGACATGGTTGTTTCAGGGGGTTGTGGTGCTTGTGTAGTTCTAATCTCCAAATATGATCCTGTGCTTGACAAAGTTGAGGATTTTACAGCAAGCTCTTGTCTCACTCTACTTTGCAGCATACATGGGTGTTCAATAACAACAAGTGAAGGGATTGGAAATGCTAAAAAGGGATTCCACCCTATTCATGAAAGATTTGCTGGATTTCATGCCACTCAATGTGGGTTCTGTACCCCTGGAATGTGTGTTTCACTCTTCGAAACTCTTGTCAATGCAGAAAAGACTACTTGTCCTGAGCCACCTGCTGGTCTCTCAAAAGTAACTGTTACTGAGGCTGAAAAGGCTATTGCAGGGAACCTTTGTCGCTGTACTGGGTATCGACCAATTGCTGATGTCTGCAAAAGCTTTGCAGCTGATGTTGACATGGAGGATTTGGGGTTCAACTCTTTTTGGAGAAAGGGAGACAGCAAGGACTTAAAGCTTAGTAGGTTGCCGCAATATGACCGTAATCAAATGGATAATAGATTTCCTATGTTTTTGAAGGAAATCAAGCATGACTTGTTCTTGACTTCTGAGAAACAAAGTTGGCACAGACCTATGAGCCTAATGGAGCTTCAGAACTTATTGAAATTAAACGAGGACAACGGAACCCGGATAAAATTTGTTGTTAGTAATACAAGTATGGGATATTACAAAGATAAAGGAGGCTATGATAAGTACATTGATCTATGGGGAATCTATGAGCTTTCAAAGATCAGAACAGATCAGACAGGGATTGAAATTGGAGCAGCTGTGACAATATCTAAAGCTATTGAAGCTCTGAAGGAAGAGAGCAGAAGTGAGTTGCTCTCAGATTATGTAATGATACTTGAAAAGATTGCTGACCATATGAGCAAAGTTGCCTCAAGATTTATTCGGAACACAGCCAGTGTAGGTGGCAATTTAGTTATGGCACAAAGGAAAAATTTTCCCTCAGATATTGCAACTATACTTCTTGCGGCAGATGCAATGGTTCACATAATGACTGGTACACAATTTGAGTGGCTTACATTGGAGGAGTTTCTGGAAAGACCACCATTAAGTTTGGAAAGTGTGCTTTTAAGCATTAAAATTCCTAGTTTGGATCTCATTAAAAATGAATCCTCGGAACCAAGAAGTAGATTCCTCTTTGAAACTTATCGAGCTTCTCCTCGACCCCTTGGAAATGCTCTTCCCTACTTAAATGCTGCTTTCCTGGTTAAGGTGTCTCCATGCAGTGATTCTGGTGGAACCATGATAGACACTTGTAGGTTGTCTTTTGGTGCTTTTGGAGCTAAGCATGCAATCAGAGCAAAAAATGTTGAGGAATTTTTAGCTGGAAATCTGTTAAATGTTAGCATTCTATATGATGCTGTCAAATTGGTTACAGCCAATATTGTATCTAATGATGATACCTCAAAAACCGCTTACCATTCAAGTTTGGCAGTGGGTTTTATTTTTCAGTTCTTTAACCCACTGATTGATACTGCTGTAAAAACCGATGGTTATTTAAATGGAAATATTAATCTTCCTTTTGTGAAGGATTATGATTTAAAAGAGAATCCCAAGCAGGTTTGTCATGACAAAGTTCGTACTTTACTGTCATCTGGGAAGCAAGTCCTTGAAGCAAGCTGCGAGTATCATCCCATTGGTGAACCAATCATTAAATCTGGAGCTTCACTACAAGCTTCAGGTTTGTTTTGTATTATCAAATTTTAAATTGATTCACTAACTACTGTTTTTTCTTTGCATTTCTATCAACATTTCAAATTTGTAAACTTAAATATTTACTTGACCAGAGTTTATAGTTTTATTCATAATAAATTCCTTCTGCTAGAAGGTAAGCCTTGGTGCATTTAAATTTGTAAGGTTGTAAGCTTGTGACCTGGTGGCTGAATTTTTAGTCTCAGAAACAGCCTCTCTATTATGGAGGTTAGGTTGTAAGGCTGCAGGCTTGTGTATTGCACCACCCATTATTTACTTCCATTGGATATGTGGCATCAACCTCTTCGTCAAGTTAAAAAAATGTCTCTCTTTGTTCGCAGAAGCTTGTAGCAAGCAAATGTGACAAAATTTTCGTTCTGAAAAAACTTCCTCCTTTGCCCTTCCTGCCCTTTTGCTTTAAAACAGTCTTATATTCATTTTACAGCATTTTATAACTGATTGCTACATAGCTGAAGTCAAAACCACTATGTTTAAAGAAAACCTCCTCCCCATTCTCTTGGTTCAGATGAATTTTGTACCCACATTTTGCATCTTACAATCTCTGGTTTCCTGCTAACTATTGTCAAGATAACTATGTCAAAAACTCCACTCTTCAGGCCTTAGACTAGTTTTTGTCTGTATTTTTCAACAGCGTTATTTTATCATGTTTTGTTGTCTGTCCATTATGACTCGTCATATTTAATTATTTAAATTTGGTTCAGTAACAGGTACATGTTTTTGAATTAATCATATATAGGTGAGGCTGTGTTTGTGGATGACATTCCATCACCACCAAATTGCTTACATGGAGCATATATTTATAGTGCAAAACCTTTAGCAAGGGTAAGGAGTATAAAGCTGATAACTGAATTGCAACTGGATGGAGTGAGGGATATCATTTCAAGTAAAGACATTCCCAAAGGTGGGGAAAACGTTGGATCTAAGAGTATATTTGGTTCCGAACCTCTATTTGCAGAAGAGATAGCCAGATGTGTTGGTGATCGCCTTGCCTTTGTGGTGAGTTATTAAATTCCTCATTGATCCAACAATGTATAAGCTTCTTTTTCATTTCTTTGGACATTGATGTGTGAAATACTACCATTTTAGTCGCTGAATAGCTTCTTTAGGTCGCAGATACTCAGAAACTTGCAGATATGGCAGCAAACTCAGCTGTTGTTGATTATGATACTGAAATTCTTGAACCACCTATTCTCTCTGTTGAAGATGCTGTTGAAAGATGTAGCTTTTTTGAAGTTCCTCCTTTTCTCTATCCAAAAGATGTTGGTGATATATCAAAAGGAATGGCTGAAGCAGATCACAAGATTCTTTCTGCGGAGGTGCATAAAATATATTTTGTTTTCTTTGTTTCCCCTCTTCCTTTCATTTCACACCTTTGTTTAAGCTCACTCCAGAGTAACTAATGTGTCAATGGTTATACTGATCAAAATACTCATTGTTATCTGTCAATTCAATGTCAATACAGATTA